ATTACCGGAAATAGGGAGTATTGAAGTACAAAAATATTGCAAACTTAAAATATATTCCCAAATTGAACTCTATACTAAAGTAAATTACTATTATGTTTCAAACAAACTAACATAGTATTTTATTATAAAATTTATTAAATTATATATTTATTTGTATCTAAAATTTACATTAACATTTATTTATATAATATGATATAGTTATTTAAATTAAAATTTTATTATTTTTAAAATATAGCAAAAATATAAAATAAAATAAAATGAAAAACAAAATATGTATTCCCCCAATAAATTTTCTATTAACATATTTTTTAATTAATATATAAAAAATTAATAATTTAATATAAAATATTATTTTTTATATTACCAATTCACTTCTTTTTTATCACATGCAAAAATAAATAAATAAATAGAGATGCCGAGTAGCTGTATACAAAATTAAAAACCCCTTTAATAATTTTGTCTCCGTGAGCAACTTATGTATTCAATTAATACAAATTTTAATTAAATATTTCCTTCAATTAGACACATTTGTCAAGTAATGATTTGAATATTATTTATTTTCCTCATCCCACGTAATTTGTTCTTATTTTCTATTTTCTTTATAACTTATCATTTTTATTTTTAGAAATATAATTATGCACTTTAATCGCATTTTAAATTTTAAATTTTAAATTTTATAATTTTTTAATTTTAATTAAACTATTTACTTATTTTAATCTTAATCTATAATTATTTTTACTAAATAATAATTATTTTTACTAATACATTTCTTAATTACTTATTAATTATATTTTACCTAAATTCTCGTGTCTACGGTAATACACCAATATTAGATGGGACGGAAGGAGTATCAATTGGTACATTTTATATGTACAGTTGTCTGGGATAATTTTGTATTTTGGCAGCCCTAATTAATTTAGCATAAATTTATGGCGCTTATTATTTATTTATTGGGTAAACTGTTTTTTTAGTCTCGGATCCCCTTATCATTTTAGTCCCGTAAGTGAAATCTGTCGCAAACTAGTCCTATAAGTGAAAATTTTCGCTGTTTTAGTCCTCCGGCGCCGGAGACGTCCGCGTGGCTCGCCGGAGGTGACGTGTCCGCCAGGTCAGCGACACCTGGCGGACACGGGGATTTTTTTTTTCAATTTTTTTAATTTTTTTAAAATTAAATCAAATTAAAAAATTTAAAATATATAAATAAAATTAAAAATAAGTTTTAAAAAAAATTAAAAAAATAAAAAATAAATAAATAAATCCACGTGTCCGCCAGGTCAGCGACGTCACCTCCGGCGAGCCACGCGGGCGTCTCCGGCGTCGGAGGACTAAAACAGCGAAAATTTTTCACTTATGGGACTAGTTTGCGACAACTCCACTTACGGAACTAAAATGATAAGGGGGTCCAGTTACTGGACTAAAAAAAACAATTTACCCTTATTTATTTAATTGTGTTTGGAATTTGATTGCTTTGTAAGACAGTTTGTATGTACATTTATTTTTTTATTTAATATAGTTTAATTATTTTTTCATTAAAATATTACACCAATATTTTTTTATATTACATTAAATAATAATTTATTTTAATTTCAAGCGTCCAAATACTTAATTATCACATCAAATTAAAATAATAAAAATAATAGTATATACCGTAGAAGTATTTTATTTTATTTTATAAAAAAAATCACATTACATATATTTTTTTTATTAAATACTACTGTATTTTATTATTATTATTATTATTATTATTATTTTATATTTTATAAGACATAATTTTATGAAAACTCGACAAAAACGCAAACTGCTCTTCGATGACGTGAAGAAATGATGATTGATGTAATAATTTGGTTAAGTAAATAGAATGTTATGTTTTATATCTTTTTATATGTTGTGCTTGGTTGGAAAAAATAGTTTTAATCGGGGATACATAGACATGATGTTATTTTTTATGAATTTTAAGTCACAATGCTATGTATAATTTTAAAAAAAATTAAAATTTATATTTGTTGTATCAATTTGACGAAATTATACATATTTATTAAGTTGCTATTGCCATAGGTGATATTTGTTTTGTACTTTGATAAAGTTTATATCGTAGATACAAAGAATCGTTAATCATTACAAATTATTTGTATTTGTAGCCACTTTAATATATAACTATAAATTTCAATAATAGTTATTTAAATTAAAAGAAGAGATTAAATTAAATTAAATAATATTATAAAATATTTTCAATTAGAAAAAATATGAAAAAATTATATTATCCAATATATTTATATGCCAGAGCTATATTTTTTAGATATTCATTTCAATACTGTTTAGCTTTTAATTTTATTTATTTATTTATTTATTTTTTTCAACCATTAGTTTCGTTAGAACCCATATAAAAACTTTTTAATTTTAATTTATTTTATTAATTTAATAAAGGAGTCATAATTTCACGCAACCTATGATATTGTTATTTTATTACATCATTTAAGAATTCATATCCATATAGTCTTGGAGTTTGGATCCTATTAAATTAATTCAGTGTAAATGAAAATAATTTTTTGTTATTTTTTAGCATATGGATAAATATATTTTCATTTCTCTGCAGCAAGTTTTTTTTTCAAGAAGTCTAATATTGCAGGAAAGCTGTCTCTGCCTGCAGTCTGAATATGTGTGTTTGACATTATTGATTGTGTCCAAATATTAAATGCCTGCAAGAGTCAAACATGATATTTTGGGATGGTCAGATTCATTGAAAAAATCTTCATCTATTTATATTCTAAAGAAAATTAATATGAGTTGTGTTCTTTTCAAAGTTGCACGATATATATAACCAAAAGAGAAAAAGTTTGGTGGTGAGTGAGGTTTGAGAGTCAAAATATAGAGAGAGAAATTATTATGTGTGCTCTTCCTATTTTTTTCATGTTTTGAACTGTTGTTTAACACTGAAACCCATCAGAGAGGTCGACGGAGATCGGAGATAATGGAGTTCCAACCGGAGAGGATGATCAAACTCTGAGCTGCTCTGCTCTACGGTAGTTGTCAGTACGCGTTTGTGACAACGTGAATCTGTGGAGGTATTTTCCTAGGTTAACTATGATAGCTTTTTGGGTTGAAGGAGTTATGATTGTTTTTGTTCATAATCAACACTGATTGGTAGAATATCTCCTGGATTGGTATTCTCGGCAGATTGGTTGATAATCAAACCTGATCAACAAACATCCTATCTCATTGTTATTTTATGTTCTGCATTGTCTTTTACTGTTAAAAAGTTGTTATAACTGTGAACCACCCACACTTAGGAAGTTGGCCATTTAAAGTGTTCGAACTTGTTTTGTTCAATAAATCACTTTCCCAACATTCAGCATATATTGAATTAATCTTAACCATTCATTTATTTTAATTAAAAGCAATAATTTAATTAATTTAACTTATCAATTGCTAAGATTTAGTTTAACAGTGCTGAATAATGAGATTTCAGCATGCTATCCAATTAAGTTGATATTCTTGAGAAGTTGACTTGATTTGATGTGTTTGACTTCCGACTTATTTGATTGTATTTGGACTTGCCCAAGTGTTTTATAAGTTGCTATAGTTTACTATGGATCCATGTTTGAGGCAAGCAACGTTTAAGTGAGGGAATTAATAATTTACATAATATGCATTTTACTTGTTAATCTTTTTGGAGAATTTGAGTTGATTTAGTGTAAATTTTGTCGAATTTATGTAATTTTGATGATATTTTATTAAATTAGTAAAAATTAAAATAATTAAAAATAATTTATCCATAGTGTACTTGAGATCGAAAATTACTTTGAAATCATTCATTGGAGTAATATTGACGTAATTTCTGATAAATATTACTCTTCCGTCCCATAACAAAGTATTTATTTTTCCATTTTAGTTCGTCCCATAACAAAGTATCCATTTTTCCATTTTAGTCCGTCCCATAACAAAGTATCCATTTTTTTTAGTAACTATACTATCTACCTAACATTACAAATACCCTTACAATTTACAATATATTACACAAATGCCATTATCTTTATGTCACACATATTAACAAAGTTATTTTAGTAATTTCTACTTTATTCCGACTATATATCAATATAATACTAATATTTCTAAAATTACGTGTAAAAACAAATGAATATTAAATTTCGGGACGATGAAGTATTAAAAATAGAATATATATCTAATATAAAAAAATATATATTTATTCAAATATACACGCTTTGTATTTTTCATTTGAACATTTTTTGAATCCTTGGGCAACCTTTGTGTACATAGCAACAATTTTTTATTTTAGTGCCATTTACTTTTTAAAAATTATCATATCAATTACTCCATTTGTCTCGATTCAAAATACTTTTTTTTTATATCATTTTTGTATGTCTTATTTCAAAATATCTTTTTCATATTTTAGAAAAAATAATTATGCACTCGTACTAAAATATTTTTAGCTTTTAATTAAATTACAAGCATATTACTACACATGCAATTATTTTATAAAAAAGTCAAATAACAAAAATATCAAAATTTGTTACAAACTTTAAATAACTAATAAAATACAATTATTTTCCTGTATGTGATGACCTTGTGGTGTGGAGAGTGAACTCTGACACCTACCGGTTCATCTGACCTTTGAGAAGGGACTGAAAGAATATTAATTTTTTTATTATTAAAAAAACTTTAGAACTCCAAAAGTTCCAACTTTTTTTTGTCACAATTTCATAGGGTTAACATCATAAGTAGCACATCAAGCTTCCTTGTACCTGTGAATCATCGATCACATTTTAATTGCTTTGTTGAAATCAGTCGAAGAATACCTTAGCATGCTTTTCACGCCTTTTATCAAACCCATCAAATCATGGTCTTAATTTCTCATCTTTCCACATAAATTAAATTAAATTTCAAATATTTTTTTAATGGAAACTAAATAATGGAGTAGTAATAATTAAAAATGGTGGAAGTAATCGAAGGTTGTGACTCTATATATATCCCTTGTAAGTAATTCCCAATTATTACAACCACAATATCCTCTCGTCTTTCTTTATTTCTTTCTTTCTCTACCATAAAAATCATGTCTTGCATGAACAATCTTCACATCCAATCGAGCATTTCCCCAATTGGGAAAAACCCAAATTTGGGAAATGATAGATTAATCAAATTTAAAAATGTTAACTATGAGGGTTCTGCTATGGGGAGCCGTTCAGTGGCAACTTCTCCTGCAGATTCATCGAATTTTAATGCATCAAGAAAACGAAATTCCGGCGACCTTAAACTGATCGACGAGGTGTCGACCACCGGAAAATTCGGCAGGTTCGGCGGCGTGTTCGTGCCGGAGACACTCATCACTTGCTTGAGGAAGCTCGCCGCCGAATTCAATCTCATTCTCCACGATCATCAATTTCAGGTGTGTATTAATTCGATCGAACTTAATTAATTGATTTTGATTTTGTAATTTGGGGAAATGTTGGTTAATTTAATTGCAGAGCGAGCTCGCGGCGGCGCTGAGGGACTATGTCGGCCGGGAGACGCCGCTGTACTACGCGGAAAGGCTGTCGGAGCACTACCGGAACGGCGCCGGCGAGGGGCCTGAGATTTACCTGAAGCGGGAAGATCTCAACCACGGCGGCGCACACAAGATCAACAACGCGCTGGGGCAGGCGATGATCGCGAAACGGATGGGCCGGCGGCGGGTCGTGGCGGCGACCGGCGCCGGGCAGCACGGCGTCGCGACGGCGGCGGTGTGCGCGAAGCTCGGCCTGGAGTGCACGGTGTTCATGGGCGACGCCGACATGCTCCGGCAGTCGTTCAACGTCACTCTGATGAAACATCTCGGCGCCGAATTAAAATCCGTCGGAGGAACGTTCAAAGACGCGACGTCGGAGGCGATCCGGAGCTGGGTCGGCGATTTGGACGGCGGCTACTACCTGACCGGCACGGCGGTGGGGCCGCACCCGCTGCCGAGCATGGTCCGGGAGTTCCAGTCCGTGATCGGAAAGGAGACGCGCCGCCAGGCGGCGGAGAAATGGGGCGGCCCGCCGGACGTGGTGGTGGCCTGCGTCGGAAGTGGGTCGAACGCCCTCGGAATATTCCACGAATTTTTAACCGACGAGAATGTCCGCCTCGTCGGCGTGGAGGCCGCCGGAACCGGAATCGACGGCGGCCGGCATTCGGCGACTCTGGCGAAAGGGGAAGTCGGCGTTTACCACGGCGCCATGAGCTTTCTGTTACAGGACAACGAAGGACAGATCGTCGTCCCGCATTCGATCGGCGTCGGGTAATTTATTTAATCTCGTTTTTTTATTAATTTCTACACGTGGGTATACATACAGTAATTAACATATGTATATATATATATATGTGTGTGTGTCTGGTATTTATTACAGGCTGGAGTATCCAGGGGTAAGCCCTGAGCTGAGTTTTCTGAAGGAAATTGGGAGAGCTGAGTTTCATACAGTCACTGATGAAGAAGCCCTCCAAGGTACGACGTCGACGACACTACAATTTAATTAATTAATAAATTATTCATTTAATATTCCCTATGTTCATTTATAAGCATTTTTAAACCATTAGAGTTTTTGTTATAAAATTATAAATTTACCTTTTATTTTATGTATTAAAAAAAAGAATAAATAAAGTAAATGCTAGAGTAAATTCTTTGTATAAAGTAAAAATAAAATAATAAAAAAATATAACATTAATTTGTGGAAGTGGACGCAGTGGGTATATATTAATTGATAAATGATTGCTACCGGTGAATATTTGCAGCGTATGGGCGTTTGTGCAGACTGGAAGGGATAATTCCGGCGCTGGAGGCGGCGCATGCGGTGGCGCATCTGGACAGGCTTTGTCCGACGTTGCCCGGCGGCGCAAAGGTGGTGGTGAATTGCAGCGGACGTGGCGACAAGGATGCCGCCGCCGTCATCGAATTATTATCATCGACAACGTAGTAAAATCGTAAATCCATTCCAGATTATTGACTTTAATTTAGAGAATATATGTAGTTATAGAAATTAGAAACCTCCAATATAAATATACAATGTGTAAATCAGAGAATATATTGTATAAATACCTATAAGTGTAAAATAATATTTATATAGGAGTATAAAAATATCATCAAATATTATTAAAATACATAAACTAGAAAATGAAGATTTATTTAATTACCAATATTTTAATATTCAACCAAATAAAAAGACTATTTCCAAACATATCCTTAAAAGTAAATGAGTGCATAAATTTTCAATATAATAATACCAACAGAATCAAATAAACAAATACTAAATATAGTTGACGTATGCCTAAGTAGATGTTGAATCACATCAAAGAATATGTTGTATTATTTGATATATAAAATAAACATTGCTTATTGTTATTTAATAAACAATAATATATATATAGAAACAGGCAAACAGCATTTCCTATCTCAAGATATAAATTTCTTGAAGAAATTTAAAAAAATATATTTATTTATTAAATTATAAATATTCCACAATAAAGGACAGGTTATTTTTGTTATTGCGCATCATGACATTGATCAATAAATAACTTGTCACAATGTAGCCTATTTTGTTAGAATAAAAAGTCTATAGATATAAATATTTCTCCATCCCTCCAAGATATGGTGATATGATAATTTTAAAAAAATATAATTGATAAATAATTAAAAATATATTAATAAAATAATTATAAATTAAAATTAAAATTGAAATAAATGATTGATATAATTAAAATTTAAAATTTTTAAATATAATTAAAATATGTAATTTTTTAAAAAAATAACACGTAGGACGGATAATATCTGTTACGTATAAGAGCTGTTACGATTAATTTAATCTTGTTGCTTATATCTGCACCACATTTCATTTAAAAATATATTTTATTCAATCATAAATATTCCACAATAAATGGCAGATTATTTTTATAACTGCGTATCATATTCACATTTATTTATTATGTAGCATGTTTTAATACATACTAACTAACTGCCACAGGTCACAAATCTGACACGTCACAATCTAACATTCATTGCAGACTTAATTCAGAAAAGGGCAAAAAATTTGGATCCAACAGTTACCAGGAATTGAACCCGACGTGAATCGAACACGCAACCTTCTGATCTGGAGTCAGACGCGCTACCATTGCGCCACGGATCCGAGTGATGTATAATCGAAATATTAAATATTTGTACCAAGATTTAAGTCACCGTAGGATACTTCTACATCAAATTTTTAAAAATTTATAAATAAATACAATTAGGCATCAGATCAGATGCAGATCTATTTTATCTTAAAAATCCCATGCAAAACTGGATAATATATGCACTTTACACAGTCAACAGTATGCAAGGATGCAGATGAAACACAAGAATGCAACGGTCGAAGACGACGACCGATTTAAACATATTCATTCTTGTCTTGTCCAGGTTTCCGAGAGTTTGCCGGAGCAGATACCTGAAGAACTAATCAAATTCTATTGTTCATCCACTGGCGGAGCAGCAAATCGGACGTTTGCAGGCCTGGCTGCAACAACTGGCTCATCAGCAAATAATGATCGAATGAATGCCGGGGTTTTCAGGGGTCTCCGACCAGTCATTCGTGGGTATACATCTTCAAGAAAATAGTAGGCGTGGCCGGCTATCATTCCCTGAACCAGATTGAAAATTTTTATGGTAAATAATCACAGACTAACAATTCAAACCAATGCAGGGGTAAGAAGAGCCATTGTATAAATCATAATACATTTTTTTCGTCAATCAGGCCGTGGATTTCTACTCACAACCAGTTCGTGTATAACCAAGATCGATATTTTTTCATTTGTATCAATGCTTGGAATATGGCATCCAGAGCAATGTGCACAAACTAAGAATTTAACAATTTAACATACCAGAAGGTCAACCCATGCGCTAGCACCGACAAGTACGGAAAAACCAAGAAGAACCTGCAGAGACATCGCACAGGTTACAAGAACTTAAGGGAAACTAAAACACATGTTTCTGAGGAGAAAATAACATCAGGGAAAAGATGTTGGACGTAAAAGTCACTCACCCATGGCAAATATCCAGCTGTGAAAGTAAACAGACCCAAAAAGCTCATGTGGATGAATGGGTTCTGCTTGCTCCACACATAAACCTGTAATGCAATCGAAAAACATGTGAAGGAGAGGAAGTAAAACAGTATACGGAGATACGTTCAAATGATTTCACAAGTGAGACCACTACACATAAACCAACCATCATAAACGTGAGTGAATTGCTGAGGAATATAATCTTTGCAAACGACTCAGATACATAAGGAATCATCCCTCCAACAAGTACAATGCCGGTCAAAACGGTAGCGCCAAACAACAGCATATAGAAGAAATCTGCAGTCCTCCCACGAAAAGTATTCTCTTCAAGAAGCTTGCAATAACGAGCAAGAAAGAACATGTGAAACAAGAAATCCAAGTCTGTAAAAGAAACAGGTGGAAGGTGTGTTACATAAAGGATTAATCCTTCTCTGGACAAACTACACGTTTCTCATTTTCGTTCATTTGTATGTCTAAATCCTATATATGAATGATGGATCTGATAGTATATCAAACTAATGATTACTTTGTAGGTATATCAACAACATTAAAGTTTGATTACAAATGTATTTATGGAAGAAAAATGACCAAACTTAGAGAAACACACTCAATTAAACTAAATTAACAACCTTATCACCATTCTCCTCCTCCAAACCAATCAAACATTTGTGACCGAACAATTTCTATGCCAAATTAGTAAGCATTACATAAGCAAAAGTCTAAAATTGTGAGAATTGAGAATTAAAGAAAGTAAAAGCAAGATGCCATGATAGTTAAATGCCCCATATTAGTATACAATTACTCAAATATGGTATGAAAAAACTCATTCTAGTTCATGATTGCAAGTGACTACACTGAAGCAATTGTTGAAAGGATAAATAAGACCATTACCCATCTTCCTGAAGTACAAGAAGTTGGTAATAACGCGCCAGACCTGGTATTGCTTGACAACGAGCTTCGGATTCAAATACAAATCATATGGAGTGATAATCTGCAAAAAGCAACGATACAGATGAAAATTTCTAGAGTTAACTCTGCTCAAAAACAACTAAAAAGGAACAAAAAAGAGTCCAATTTTCCAGCTTCGAATTGAATACAAATCAATGGAAGTGCGCATGGCGGCAACAATCACCCTATCAATAGAAATCCAATCAAACTAATAATCAAACAACCACCACTTCACAGCAGAGGCAATATAAAAGCAATCTAAGTTATCTAAACCCTCCGGAACCAACCAAAACCTCAATTACAAGAAAGCCAACAACTATTTCAAACCAAGAAATGATTAACAGATTGGCTTAAAAAAGGGGCAAACATATTACATCGAGAGAGCAGCCAATGGTGGTGACAATGGCTGCAGTGAGATACGAACGCGTGATGATCGGCATCTGCTTGTACCATTCTTCCACAGCTTGAGCCATTCTTATTTCTCCCAAGATATCAATCCAAAACGAAATACACGAAACCCTAGCCCTAATTTATTTTCAAATTTGGGGATTGCTGAAAATCAGCAAAGCCAGAATGCTCAGAACGATTTAGGATTCCACAACGACTATAACGCCCAAGCAATTGAAACCTCAATAATAGTAATTAGGCAAAATCAATACTAAAATCTCGACTGGCACACATACATACACCTGCAAATATATATAGAGAGATGCACGTAAACAGACAAAAACATATGCTTGGAAGGTGGGTTGGTGGACACGCGCAAGTACCAGTCGTGTGTTACACGTACCAATGAGATGTTCCATTAACGCTGACTGGCCAATGAAAACGAAAGCTTTCGCAGTGGTGATGTCATTAAGGTGTTTTTTACCCTTTAGAATTGACAAATGACATTTCAAAGTCGTACGTTGGAGCCTCTGGAAAGGGCATTTTCGTCATTTCATTACTCTTCCAATCGTATACCGCCACCATCCTCGCATTTGCATTTAAATTCAAATTCAAAACGGTCAAAAAAGACACTACACATTGCTTCTCTCTTCATTTTCTTACCATTCACAGAGAAACACTCCCAGCATTCAAGATTCAAGAAACTAAGGAGAAGATCTCCGATGATGGAATCGAGAAAACGGACTACCACGTCCACTCCGTATCCTCCTTCGCCATTGCCGGACCCTCCGTCGTCTTCAATCTTCCGAGACATTTCCAATTTCAAAACCCCTAAAAGACCCTCGAAATTTTCAAGTTTCCAGTCTTCGCCACAGTTCTTCACTGCCAGCAAGAACACCCCATTTTCCTCCTCCCGGCGTTGCTTCAAATCATCGGCTTTGAAATCGAAGGCGGCTCGTAGGTTGAAGGCCTATGAGCTAGAGCAATCCAAATCTGCGCGGAAGGTTCAGAGTGAGAAAGAGAAATCGGTCAAATCACTGGCTAGGTCACTCACTGTGTGGCTGAATTTCTTGTTCGAGAACCCTGGCTCGTGTGGCTGTGATCCAGCTACCTTCACAGGGGAAACTGATGGTTTCGATTTGAGTTTAGGTGGAGGAGTGAAGGAAGTGCTGCTGAATAATGGGAAGAGGGAGAGTGTGCCGGGACAGGGAGTTGGGATTGATGGGCCATGGAGAGTCCCCAAGAGGCAGAGGGGCTTGTCCTGGAGGATGGAGGGGAGTGATGAAGGTGGAGACTGTGAGCTGTCGAATTTCAAGTTCTTGGGGCTGAGAGCTTCTTTGGAGGAGATATGTAGCTTTGAGGATTTGAAGGATCGAATGAGGATGTATTTGAGCCTAGGAAATTGCAGAGATATTTTCAAAACCATGGATGGAGTGACAAAGGTTCGGTTTTCTTGATTGTCCATCTACTTAAATGTTCTTTTTCATTTAGTCTACATATTTTCAACTCTAATTGTGCAAAATTGATGATGTTATATTTTATGCTCATTCGATACTAAGTTGGTTCGCCCTATTTGAAATGTAGAGGAATTTGCTTGAAAGAACATTTTTCTAGTGCTGTTCTGATGATTCGGTTTATGAGATCTTGCTCACCTGCTTTACTATGCATTGTCCTTTTCCATTTCTTTTATAATTATTATCTATTGCAGAACATCGATGAAGGTCGGCTGAGAATGAAGGCTAGTTGCCCCATAGTGAGTGACGTAGCCATGAAGGAGAAAGCCATTGGAATTCTCATGTGTTACGACCCCATTTGGCTAAGAATTGGTTTATACATAATATTGGGTGGCGATCCCTTGTTGCCGAATGGTGACGTGAGTTCTGAGCATGAAAATGCATTCTTGAGAATGGTTCTTGAAAAACAGTTCTTATCGCACACTGGTCTAGCCAAAGCTCATGCTTATAACAAGAAAGTCGAGGGCTTGTACAGACCAGGTTACTATGAAACATTAGGCAATGTCATATTGAAGAGATTCTTATTGCTTGTTATCATACTGGACCGTGCAAAGTCGCAGACAAGTCTTCCCCTTAAATATGGTATAGATGGAAAGGATGGTGGATCTCCTCCTCTGTTCACTTTGAAAGCTAATGCTAAATCGAGCCGCCAAGTTATTAGTGGTAATATAACTTTCTATTTGCACCACTGTATAAGTGATGTTTGTAATATTATAGTACTTGCAAGTTTTTCGACTGACTCTTTTCTCCTTCCTCAAATTAGATTTTTTATCTTCGGAAGTGATGCATGGGGAAGGCAATATTCTAGCACATCTGTTGATTGTTGGATATAGACTTACATACCAGCAAGTAGGTTATTTCTCCAGTATAATCTTCACATTAGGTTCTACTGATAGAAAGTTACCGACCTCTTCACTTTTACTATCGTCTCTCCCTGTATCTTTCTCATCAAAGAGTTTAACTCCCTTGTAAACTTCCACAAAATTTCTTTTTCACTTGCACAAAAATCACTCACTTCTCTTTCATCCTACAGAATCTTTTGATCGAATATGACTTCAAAGTCACTGATTTATTTGAAGACCTTCGGAATGGCATTCGACTTTGCAGAGCTATTGAACTCTTGAAACACGATCCTTCCATTCTCATGGTACAATTGTTTACACCATACGTTAGTTTTCTTATATATATGCATATATAAATTGGTTTAATGTGTTGTAATGGTTGATTCTTTTGCTGCGCAGAAAGTGGTAGTTCCAGCCGACAGTCAGAAGAAAAGTCTCACTAATTGTGGCGTTGTACTGGAATATCTCAAGCAAGCGGGCGTACCGTTACTTGATGAAGATGGGACAGAAATTATTGCAGAGGATATTGTTAATGGAGACAAGGAACTCACACTTTCCTTGCTCTGGAACATTTTTATACACCTACAGGTGTGTTTAAGGTTTAACTTTGTGCTTTTGCATTTCCTTTACCATTAAAATTGGCATTATTTAAGTAAATCACTACCATTTTTGCAGCTGCCACTCTTAATCAACAAATCACTTTTGTTGGAAGAAGTTTCACATATCCAGGGAGTTGCTTCGGTAAGATTCTGTTATATTTGTAGGTTCTATTACTCCTTGTAAAGGAATTAACACCCCTTTGTATAACAAGCATAAAATTGATGTCATTAGATGTGGATGCATGTGGAAAAGCTCTAATAATGCTTATGTCAAATAAGATTCTTGTCGATCTATAAGTAAATTTTTCTCTCTAATTTATGTCTACATTGTATTGCAGGAGAATGTCAATAACCAGACACTCTTGGATTTGCTGCTTAGTTGGATTAAGGTGTTGACTTAGCGAATATACTTGTATTAAGCTTTTGTGCATGTCTTTTCAAGTGTTCATTGTGCAAAGAGCGAGTGAGAAAAACCCAATGTTCATCACTAATATACTTTCTCTTCTAAGGGGCAGTTCAGAAACCAATAATGAGTCAAGTAGGCAGAGAAATAACAAGTCCACTATCATATTATCTCGCCGGTTTTGGGGAAGAATTCATTAGATATTGAGCTAATATGTTAGAAGTTTCAATTGGAAAATATAACCAATGTCCTTAATAGAGTTACTAAGAGCTAATCAAATTAAATATCATTAGAAAGCTTAGCATTTTACTGGTGTGTAAAAATGGGTGACAGGAGGTTCATGGGAAGATTGAAGAAAGCAAGTGAGCTTTTTTCTGATTCGTGCATTCAACATGTTGCATTTACGACAAATTTATTTTTTGCAATACATCCTTACTAACTGTGAAAATATTACATTCTTCCTCAGGCAATCTGTGAAACTTATGAGCTGAAGATTGACAGCCACTCTTCCCTGTTAGATGGAAAAGCCCTTTGGTGCTTGCTTGATTATTACTTCCGTAAAGAACATGACTGTTCGTGTTTTGTTAAGGTAATAGCACACATTCTTTTTGTTCTTAAACTTTTTCACTACAAGTTCGAAGGTAACTTCCCACACCTCTTATCTTTAGCTTAGTGTCCTACAATTGAGCTGAATTCATACTTGTTCTTGGGATGATTTTCAGGAACCTGACGGAACCAAGACTGAAAATTCTATCATGTCAGCAATTGAATATACAGATGCTGTGCACAACTTCATACTTTCTCAAAAATTAACATCTTTGTTAGGAAACTTTCCAGAGGTAATCATATCTTCACTTTAGCAGTAGTTATTGGATGTTGGCATTACGTACCAAGCTAGCAAAGATATATATTAGATCCCATATATTTGATGTTTCACTTTCACACAGATCGTCAGCTATAAGCTTTTTGACAGCTATGAGCAAAGTGTGGTTGCTCATAGTGAGTTGGTCTTATTCTGAACTTCTATTAGTCTTACTTGTTTGGATTAAGTGAGAATAGTGACTACTCGTCGTAGGCTATAGATAGTGCATGATAATTATGCTCTACCTATAATATTGCGATGTAATTTATTGAAGAAGTCTACTGACAAGAATCAATCAAGTTAAGGTAACTTTGTTTATGTAGATTAGTATTATAATAGAATGATATCTGCCTGCAGGTTTTACAAGTGAGTGACATACTAGAACACAATGGTGCGTGCAACGGGCAGAGTGTCATCGTACTCTTGGTGTTTCTAGCAGTTCAACTACTCGTGAAAAGAAATTTGGTAATGCTAGGAAGAAATTAGTTTACAAAACTTTGTCAGCTGACACCTGAAGATCATGGCTGCATTTCCTTTTGCAGGATAAGTTAAACTTTCACAAATTGCTGGGTTTTGGTTGCCAACCATCGAACAGCAGGCGCAGAAGCACAGATTGGAACAATGAAAAAGGTCCCACTTACGAAGTGTTACATTTTATAATCTACACTTAAGTGAAAGAACTTGATTATGATTATATGTAAATGGTCGTTGTCGCCTTGATTCTTGTTGAGAAAAATGCATAAGAGATTTAGGTCCATGGAGTGGTAAAAATTCGGGCGTGGTAACATTAGCGTTGAACAGAAACTTGATCAGTATAACTGCAGAACTTCAGAAAATGGTCATATAAAGCATCATCTATTTCATCATTCTACGATTTAACTAGAAGTGATTGTGGATGTGAATTTTCTCTTTACTGCAGATCCGGCAAGAGATTTTAAGGCTATAATGGCTTGGTGGCAAGACATGGCCAAACAAAATGGAAAGTGTAGTTTAAAGCCGGATAGCAGAAACGATAACTCTGTTCAAAGAGGTATCAACCTAATGATTTTAGAGGTTTATTGAAGAAAGTTCTCTCATTACATTTTTGTGCATTCTACTAATGTTTTGGTTAAAAATATAATGATCTGATCTGAAGTTATTTTGTGCATAACTGCATATAGATTTAGTCCTACCTTTCTTCGATATATGTTGATCTAAATTTATTTTGTCTTTGCTATTTGTCACCTTTTTTTTATATCATTTGTTAGATGTTGGGTAGTTTAAAAGTGTTCTTTTTGGTGCCAGAAAATGCTGCAATCATTATACAGTCTCACTACAGAAGCCTAATAGCTCGTCGAAACTACAGAAAAGTAACAAATGCAGCTCTAGTGTTGAAAAGTGCGATATTCGCTTGGTTATCAGAGAGGAAGAAGAAAACATTTGTCGAGGAACTGAGAGCAAGTAGTAAGCCGTGCTCAATTTCCTGTTCGAATTTCTTTTGAAGCAACTATGACTTGAAATTTTTGTAACTCTTTTCTATGGCATCTACTGATTAATGTTGAATGAACAATGGCAGGGATGAACTCGGAAAATCTTCCCATGTACGTCGCGCTTATGGTTGACAGACATCAGTTTGTCGACTTAAAAAGATCGATCTTAGTTATTCAGCAGGCGATAAGGTCTAGCATTGCTAGGAAGCATTATGAAGAAAGAGCCATTTGCAATCAAATGCACAATGCTGCTATGGTCATTCAAAGTTGTGTAAGAGGTTGTATGGCGCGGTCTAATTATAGACAAAGAATCATTGCTAATCTTCAGACATCAGCGGCAATCATAATCCAGCGTTCTTGGAAAGATCACATCATGAACAGACAAATGCATATTAAGAACTCGGCCGCAACAAAAATTCAGAGCAACTATCGTGGTTGGGTTGTGAGGAAGAGATTTGCATCGAAGAAGTCGGCAATAAGAACAATTCAAAGGAGGTTTCGCCTCAGAGTGGAATATCTATCTGCTGTCGTTGTTCAATCTCATGTCCGCGGATGGATGGCTCGTAGACGAGCAAATAGAGCTTTGCAACAGCTCGAATCCGCAGCAATCAAAATTCAGCATTCTTGGCGAGGCTACCTTACCAATAAACTTATGTGTCAACACTCTGCTGCAGCTAAAATTCAAAGCCAATATCGTAGCTGGATAAATAGAAAGAATTTTACGAGCAAGAAACAAGCAGCGACGACAATTCAAAGGAGTCTACGATGTTTAAGAAGCATAAAGAATTTCCAGATTCACCGAGAGAAACATTTATCTGCTATCATCATTCAAGCTCATGTTCGCGGATGGATTGCTCGAAGACAAGCGAAACAAGAAAAGAATCTCGTAGCTACAATTCAGGTACCTTGTCCTATGTACCATATTTTTTTTCCCTTCGAAAACCAGAAGTTTCATAGCTTGATCAAATGTAAAGTTTTCTCTACATGATCATTGTTGCAGAGGAAGGAGATCGCGATCCGGAAGAATTCTGCTATTAAGATCCAAAATGCTTTACGCGGCATGAACTGTCGCAAGGAATTCTACTCTCAACGCCGTGCTGCAGTCGAGATCCAAAGCTTCATCAGAGGGGAGAACACTAGGAAAATACTTATCGGTAAACATCCCCCACTGAAGAAAGAGAGAAATCGCGGCCTACGAATCCATTCTTTTTTTTTTTTTTCGAGAATACACTTGTTTACTACCTAATCGTCGAATGAATGCAGTCACTAAATCAGGAGCTGCCGAGCCTGAATCGAACACACTTCTGCAGTCTGCGGTGAAATTGCAAAAATGGTGGAGAAATGTTCTGCAAACTAGAATAATCTCAAGGTCAGCCATGGTCATCCAATCGTGTTACCGAGGATGGCGAGCGAGAAAATTGGCAAGGAGAGAAAAGCAGAGTGTCGTCGTGCTTCAAGTAAACCCCTCGACTCCTTAATTTGATCGAATCTCTTTCGACATCCTTCGTTCTAACTAAAACTACGCATCAACATTGTCGCAGTCGTATTGGAAAGGCTACCTTGCGCGCAAATACGCGAGAGCGCAGCTACGCGACCTGCGCCTGCGAATGCAAAAGTCTGCTGCAAACATAGATGACAACATGCGCCTAATAAACAGACTTGTCGCCGCAGTTTCTGAACTTTTGAGCATGAGAAGCCTCAGCGGCATTCTGCATACGTGCGCGACTTTGAGTAAGCATTTGAGATCTATTATCCATCCATTTTCGACATACATACGCGTATGTATCATTATTTCAAATTAAAACAGATATGGCGACCGAGCTTTCACAAAAATGCTGCGAAGAGCTCGTTAATGCTGGAGCCATCGCGACACTGCTGAAGCTAATCCGTTCGGTGAGCAGGAGCATACCTGATCAGCAAGTCCTGAAGCATGCCCTGTCGACTCTGAGGAACCTCGCTCGTTTCCCACACCTTGCAGAAATATTGTTAGATTGTCGCGGAAGCGTCGAAACCATTGTTTTAGAGTTCCTAAGGTTCGTAGAGAAATTACGGATCTCCATTATTGGTTGATTCCATAATCAATTTTAAACTTTTAGATAAAATGATCGTATTTTTGTTCTGTTAGGAACAAAGAGGATGGATATTTCATAGCGGCGGACCTGCTGAAGAGAATGTGCGCCATCGAGAAAGGCGCGAAAGCTATCGGCAAGTCGCCGGCGCTTGTGAAGAGGCTGAACAACATTGCCGAGGACTTGGCGAAGAAGGCTGCCGCTGCCGGAAAGGACAAAAGGAAGAAGGAGGCGGCAAGGGAGATCTCATTAACAGAGAGAAGATTAAAAGAAGTTGTTGAGCTCCTCAAAATCATTACAAAAAACTGCTGACAATCTGAATTTGATCGATCAGATCATTCATTCCCTTTGGTTTCTCGTGTTTCAGTTTCGCTCATCATGTAAACGTTGTGTTTATTTGGATAGTATTGAATTTGGATTGAACTATATGAATTGACAGTATGGTAACACCATATCATATAAAAGTAAAAAAATAATACAATATTAATATTGATATAATAAAAATTATGACACATTATAGGAATAGACAACGCAGCTTTTATTTTTACTAATATAAATGTATTAAATGGCCTGAAATTTTCATTTACGCTGTAGCCCATCCTATTGTTGCCACACTATCATTTGATTCTTTATTTTTGATTTTATTTTATTTTTTATAGTGAGGATAAAATTATAAATAAAAAAAATCAATAAACATTTTAGGGCGGGGTAGCAAAAAAAAAATTAATTTTGGCTACGTGTATATAAAGGGCGGCCTTCTCATCGTGTCGCCGTCTTTGGTTTAGTCGTTTGGCGTACGGTTTACCCTAATTTAGGGTACCGCTCGATTTCTCCCCGCCGTCAACTCTAGGGTTTTCAAGATGATGCAGCCGCCGTCTAACATGGTCCCGCCGCCGCCGCAATACCAACAGCAGCCATCGCAGCAGTGGATGCCACCGCCGCAGCCGCAGCAACAGCAGCCCCAGTATCAGGTTCTTCCGCCGCAACAGCTGCCCCCCGCTTCGTACTACTACCAGAAACTGCAGCCTCCGACCGGCGCCATCCCTCCGCCGCAACAGCAGCCGCAGTATACCCAGTTGCCGACGAGTCAGGCGCAGCAAATACCGGATGATGGGATACATAGTTTGTGGATCGGAGATCTGCAGTACTGGATGGACGAGCAGTATTTGTATAGCTGTTTTTCCGCCACCGGCGAGGTGATTTCGTAGTAAACACTTGTTTGGATGAGAATTTTCTGTCTGATCTGACCGCTTAATTAGCTTTTCTTGAATTTGATTCCTTTCTATTTATCCTGATTGCTTAATTAATTCTCTTTTCTTAAACCTGATATCTTAATTCGATTTATATTGTGTCTTCTTGGATGAGGAAGGAACTGGAGTTCCACCCCTTTTCCATTTCTATTCAAGAGTTCTTATGTGCCCCTTTCTGTATGTACTTAGAATAATTCAATTTCTTGGCAATTTTTGGTTTTTATATAGCAATTTATGCTGTCTTATATCATTTTTGTTCTTTGATTTAGTTGGTTTCTGCTAAAGTCATCCGTAATAAGCAAACTGGCCAATCGGAAGGTTATGGATTCGTTGAATTTTCCAGTCATGCTGCTGCAGAAAGGAACCTTCAGACATACAATGGCACACTAATGCCTAATGTTGAGCAAGCTTTCCGATTGAACTGGGCATCAATGGGTGCTGGTGAAAAACGTGATGACGCACCAGATTATACAATATTTGTGGGAGATTTGTCAGCTGATGTAACTGACTACATGCTTCAAGAAACTTTCAGGGCGAATTATCCTTCAGTTAAGGGTGCAAAGGTTGTTACAGATAGGGTAACAGGACGAACTAAGGGTTATGGTTTTGTTAGGTTTGGTGATGAAAGTGAGCAATTACGAGCTATGACGGAGATGAATGGAGTGTTTTGTTCCTCCCGACCGATGAGAATTGGTCCCGCTGCAAACAAACAAAAAGTTGGTAGTCAGACCAGAGGTATGACAATACACTTATTGAATGGCTGGCTTATTAAGCCAAACCTGATGAATCTATTGTTTGTGATTCACATCTTTGATGTTGCTTTCTTACAATCTGGTTGTTTTCATTATGCTGATTGGATTTTGTTTTGGAATAACCTTCTTTGTCCGGGAATTCTATCTAAAGTTGGTTTCTTTGATTTGTTGAACATGATCATAGCTTAGAGTAATTTCTTCCCATTATTTAAGGCCTTTTCGGTTCTAAATCAATTAAACTTAACCAGATAATCTCATAAAAAACTCCGGTTGTCTCAAAGCAGGGTGTCAGGAGGCTCTGCCATATATGGGCCTGGAGCCATATCAGCTGAAATGATAACCCTTTTAGTGCCTGGTTTTGTGTAGGTCAGTTTTATGTTTAATGTTATATATTTTTGGTTCTTTAAGGCATTAATTATGCTACAAATTTATTTATTTTTTTCTGGTCCTCTTCCAGTCCTTTTACTTTCCAAGCACCCTATCGATTTAATTTCCATTCCACTTTACTTTGTCCTTTTGGTCTAGAGTTATTACTTAGATTACTTTTTGTTCCAATCCTTTTACTTTCCAAGCATAATCACTGGATCTACTGTTTGAAGAAGGCACGCAATGAAAATTTGGCGATGCTCCGAGTACAGTGAGAGTCCTTATTTCACATAATTCTTCCATCATTTGTGCAATACCCTTATGATCTGTTCTATTTTTTGTAAGATTTTTTCTTTTTTCTTTTCCCACCAATGGTCACATTCTTTCCCTCTTGTAAGTCGTCAAACATAGTAGGTGGAATGTTGGTTTACGCCACATTGTGGTATGTAGTTGTTGTGGTGTATAAGGTGTGGTTATTGCTGAGAGACACACTGAGACAAGGAAAATAAATCCCTGTCTTGTCTGTTGGTGAAACCGAAAAAAAAAATGTAGGTGTTTGTTATTGCACTATATACCTGGCTTGTGATTGGCATTCCTTGAAATTAATGTGTTCTTTTTAATTTAATTTAATATTTTATATTTTGTGTTTTAGATTTGAGCTTTAGTTTACAAAATATTTTGATATGATGTCTTGTGAGACGGAATAATGAATCTTTATTGGAGATTATGATAGTTGAATTTTAGAAAAATGAAAAAGAAAAAAGAAGTGTCAAGTAAACAAAGCCTAATACCTTCTGGAGATTGCATGTTTTCTGTAGGCTCTCATTAACCATTATGGTTCAATGGTTACGATTCTAACAAAAGGAAATATTTGTTTCAGTCTGCTTTTCTTCATTTTCCTTGAATGGAGGTGAGTTATGGGTCGTCCTGCCATATGGATTCACATTATTAGATAAAGTTCTCGTTTTAGTAATATGTTGAGCTCAAACCCTATTTTTCTGCACCTCCTGTCATTGTTGCATGCTCTTAAAGTGCTTATGTGACTCTTTTGCCTTACAGTTGATGCCTGCTAGTCTTGATTACTTACGCTTTCTGTGGTTATTCTTTATTTCTGTTTTACTATGGAAGAAAGTGTTCATTTGATTCATGATTTATGTTACCTGTCCCTCCTGTAAGTGTCCACCTCTCACCTGTGTTTGTAACAGGTTCAGCCTCATATCAGACTTCCCAAGGAAATCCAAGCGAAGATGATCCAACTAACACAACCGTGAGTATAATTCTTCTGCAAACTTATAAAGATTATGTTTTGGCTGCAAACTTATACATATTGTGTTTCTATTCCAGATCTTTGTTGGGAATTTAGACTCTAATGTCACAGATGAACATCTAAGACAGGTTTTTGGACAATATGGACAGTTGGTTCATGTTAAGATACCTGTAGGTAAACGATGTGGCTTTGTCCAATACACTGACAGGTAAACTTGATGTTACCCGCAGTTTATCCCTTGATTTAGATAACAAGAAACCAAGTACAGCGTTCTTATGGTTTCATACTTTTATGACACCAGGACCTGCGCTGAAGAAGCTCTACGCTTATTGAATGGAACAATGTTGGGAGGACAGAGCATTAGACTTTCATGGGGACGTAGCCCGTCTAACAAACAGGTTCAGTATTCGTGGTGCACTCTTCAAGTATGTTGATGATGACAGATTCTCAATTGTCTAAATTTCTTTTCAAACCTCAGGTTGACTCAAACCAGTGGAATGGTGGTGGATATTATGGGTATGCCCCTGGATATGAAACCTATGGGTATGCTCCGGCAGCACAGGATCCAAATTTGTACTATGGGGGCTACCCTGGATATGGAAACTATGCACCACCTCAACAGCAGCAGCAGCAGCAGCAGCAGGCTATGCAACATCCTCAGGTATACTGCTGACAATTTTTTGCAAGTTTATAACACTTGTGGCTTGTGTGCTGATATAAGTCCTATCTTTCACACTTACACTCGTTGTTCTATTGTGTTTTGAACACCTTACAATGCAATGCAGTTTCGGCTTTCTTACTTTGCATGATTTGATGTTTTGAACTTAGATTCTTCTCATTTAGTCTCCACATAACATGTCAGATAAATATCAGTTATATGTGCACTTCATGCTGGTCGACATTATTTCTTAATTTAACTATGATGTATATTCATTACCAGTTAATTAGAGGTTATAACAATCAAAATTTTATTGTGCAGTGATGGATCGATTGGGCCAGCTTCTAAATGTGATGTGATGGATGTATCGATCCATAAGTACTCTTGTGGCCCTTGTCTTTATGACTGGTGTTAGGTGGATAGTGAGTGTTTCGTATCTGAGACTTAGACAGACATGCTTGTTGAACTGAATTCAGCTTTCTTTGCTTGCTCCCTTTGGTACTGGTTTACAGAAATAGAGGGGGCAAAAACTTACCTTTCTTGGCACTGTATGATGACTCTAGAGGGTTCATAAAGTATGCCTGCTTGACTTATCTTTCAAATTTAAGCTACATGTTCAAGTATTTGAGGTTCTTCATTTTAGATCTGAGTATTTGTTGCTGCTGTTTTTTTGTGATTAGTTAAACCGACCACTGCAGATTAGAAATTTTCTCCAATTCATCTCATATGTTTTCTGTCATGGTTCAACTTAGAATACCATCAATTTTGGTCTCTTTTCTTGTTTTCACATGTATTAAGCTGTTGTGGTTTTTGGTCTAAATATCTATTGTTTGTGGACCAAGATATTTGTTCTTGAATTTTTACACTACAGTTTGTGCTTGTATGAGTGTCATTTTACATTAGTTTTTGTATAGTAAATTTAACCTTCACAGCGATGCATAGTTGTAAAGAAAGAAGCACAAGAGTATTAGAACGGAATGACTAATTAGATAACCGTCAAAGTGAATACGTAAGGAAAAATCTGAACGTGAGCCTAAAAATGGGCCCAAAAAAATTCTGTGCCGGCCCAGTCTGACCTGGTTGAAAAATCATGTAGAATCTGGGCCTGTAAAAATTAGACTTTGTTGGCCCAGTTTGATTTATTGATAATATTCTAAATTTAATTACTTCTCAAAATATATTAACAAATATATAATATAATTTTAAATTTATCATATTTTACATAGCAACAATCAAGGTATGAATTCTCAAATCGTATTTTTCTAATAAGTATACATATATATATATATATATCTATATATATTATCATTTTCTAAAGGGTTGAATATAGCTTTTAATAATAAGTTGAGGACAATAATCTATATCTCTATATAAATATAAATATATATATTCACAACTATTCTATGGAATGTCAAAACTCTATACTATATTAGTAAGTAGTAACTTAAGATCTCAACTGCAAATAGTGTAAAAACATAAACATAAATGAGCTAAAAGAGCAGTGAAATAATCTAAATCTGCATAAACAAGAAAATAAAGCTGAGAAGAAGAAGAATACCAAACTAGGCACACGTGTGGCCATCCACGTCGATACTCAGCCTAAGAAATATCACCACCGCAGCGACCATGGGGCTCTGCAGTAGGCTGGACAGCATCCGTAAGAACAAAATCCATATAAGAACTCATGCTCGTTTGCTTCCCCTGAGCAGCGCCGACATTCACATTTAGATTCGACTGCGGAGTAGCAAGCTCCAAGTTAGTTTCTTGAGGAGCCGAAAAGGACTTGGTTTTATCCATGATGAAATCCGGAGATGTTGGCAGAAAAAGAGGATTTCCAGATACCAATGCTTGGTGGTACCCGACATTCGGATTATTCTTCAGTCCATTGAAGGCTAAAAAATCATTTCTTTCGCTGCTTTGTGGCCTTATCTGCTGCTGCTGTATTGGTTTCTTTTCATGTATAGAAGAAGACAGGTCTAATTTAAGGTTAGGGCTGCTCGGATTGCCAACGGCAACCATATCGCTCGAATGAAAATTAGTAGTATCTATGCCTTTCTCCAGTTGGGATTGATCGGCCAGAAGATACTGAGGAAAGTTAACATCACTGGTTCTAAGTCCGCCGAAATAAAGATCTGTTTTTGTAGCTTGATCGGGAACAGAAACTGCAGGAAGTTCTTGCAGCTCGATGGCAGGGGTTTGCTGCTGTCTATCATGAACATACTCTCTTGGCCGATCCATTTCGCGGAAAATAATCTTATCTTGCTGAATACCGAAAGGATTTGAATCGAGGTGAAGCTCCACATTGGAATTGTTGTTATTCTGTCGGTTATGAGCCAAGAAACCCTGTCCTGGCGATAGCTCTGCAGCTCTTTCACCACCTTCGGGTTTCTCGGCATGAGATAAACTACTGCTTGTTGATCCTGAGACCATATCTCCCATGGCTGCTGCTGCTGCCATGTTTTTCTTGGAACCTTCATCGTGCTGTTCCAACATTCCGATGCTTGTAGGATGAAGAGATGGAGACTGTTGGCTGACTCCAGTGGGTGGAGATTTTGGAATCGCGGCAGTCCCTTCGCCTCCTCTTATATTAGAACTTGAATTAGTCCTTAACATGATCGGTTCGGTAGCAATAAAGTTGGAGAGGTTCCCCACTGAATATGGAGTCACCGGAGGAGACAGGGAAGGCAAAGCAGGGTATCCTGCCGTAGCCTGCCCAAGAACTTTCTCGTGTTGGGAATTCATGGTGCCACTGATCTGACTGAAATTGTCGTAAACAGGGACAGGTATGTCTCGTCTGTTATACATCTTAGCTTGTGGGGCGACGTCATTTGCAGCTGTAACAGGAACAATCTTTCCAGGCTGAAATACCACTCCCCTGAAAGGTGTGCTGCTGTTGCCAATTCTCACAGACACAAAGTATCCGGCGTCGAATGATCCCTCAATGACGCCATAGATCATGCTTCCGGCCAGCCCATCAGCAATACCATCTTTGGAATCGGGCTCTTGTGCTTTTGCAGCACTATCAGGGTTGGAATATCGAACTTCGGCATGCTGAGTTTTCAAAAGATTAGCACTTTCCGGCGACTGTAAAGTGCTTTGTCTGAAAATGTTGCTATCCTTACGAGGACGGCCACGCTTGCGCTTGGCTGGAAGGGTTATCGATACTTCAGCCATAAAAAATGAAGTGCTGGAGAAAATAAAGATGTCGAATCAACTTCGCCCTACAAAAAGGTTGCATTTATTTTCAAGATGAATTCAGTTTAGACACTGAAACAGAGACATTCTTTCGTTCTTTGGAAAGTTCAGATAGTAACAAAAACCATGAAATCTGATAATTCCTCAAAAGCTTCCAATGGAAGAACATGGGCGTACCTTATGCTTCACCTGCTTAAATTAACATTTGATGCCATAGCTTTACAGCATTGGAAGCCTCGAACATGACATGCTCTGCATTCTAATGTAACATTTGCAAAATTGTTCAACATCAATGGCGTGAAACGACTTGCATTATCAACTACTAGGAAATAAATCATCTGTGGAAGAACAGAGATAGAGATATGCAAAAACTGCACCAAAAAGCATCAGGATGAGCAGAGATTTTCACCTCATGTATTATATTCTGCATCCATTGATTGTTCGAAGCCCCCTCGGGGGAGATAGACTCCACCTATCTGCATCGTGCAATCCCACAAACTCCATCAATCATCAATAATTAGTTAGTAAATCCACGCAATTCGATTACATCCATCTAAATCGTCCAACAAAAACACATAATTATACACGGATCAACATAGATTGCAGAAACCCAATCATCGGAGAGGAAAAAAGGTAATATATCCATGCCCTAACTTCTATGACAAAACTAATTCCATTAAACAATCAATTTACTCGCCTGCGTAAGGCTTCGAATTTTTCAGGATGAAATCCAATATATCGCTCAACAAATTGGATGCCGCTTCGCTTCGCTATTTACCGGAGGAAGTTGTAACGAACAAAGAAGATAAGTAGAGGCAAGAGACTGTGCTTTATTAATGAAAGAGATGCGTAGAATTCAATTGCGCATATTATATAAAGTGCAAAGGATTGAAATGGATGAGGAATGAATGATGGCAAACCCAAAATGGTGGTGCTATGCAAAGAATCAGAAACTTCACCGCAAATGTCTCTTCCCCCACATACGTTCCTGGCGCATTTTTCGCATCTGAACCGGAATTTAGGGTTCCCGTTGGTTGGAGCGAAGCAGACGAAATTTTGATGGAGCAACGTTGCATCGTGTGATTCCATTGCTAGTGTCTCAGCTGGAATGGAATCATGGACACAGTCGTGGAGCGATTTTCTCGTAGCCCGTCGAATCGTTCTTCCCCTACATTTCATAAACCTTAATTCTAAACCGCAGTTTAGGGTTCCTGATATATTTACTTTTTTTATTATTTATAAATTTCTATTTATATTTTTAAATATTATTGTTAAATAAGAGTGCATATGCATGAAATACTTTTGTTATGTTAAAAATTATGACACGTAAATGATTATGGTAATGATTGATTAATCAGTGTTTCTCAATCTATTTATTTTGTCTGCTTTCAATCAATTTATATGTTTTTTTTTCAGTATACTTTTTGTTTGAATAAAAAATATTTTTACATTTTCTCCGATATTATTATTTTTTTTTTTTATTAAAAAGTATATGAGGTTAGAATAAAAATATCTATTTTTAATCATTTTATTTAATTATACTATTTCTCTAAATAAAATATTTTTTACTATTGAGAGTAGATGAAGACAGTATAAAATATGAATTATTAAGGTTTGTTTGTTTAGTATTTTGATTTGAATTTTTTTTTTATTTTATATGAGTTATAAAAAATTATTAATATAAAAATAATATTTGATATTGAATGTTGATTTTTGTAAAAAAATATATTTATATTTGGAATACAGAAAAGAAAATTGTGGTTAAATTAATACAATAAATATGTGTTATGTAAACTCATATAGTTTGAATTAATTATCAATATGTTCACTCATACTTTACTCGTGGCATGAGATCATGACAATACGTGTTTTGTATGACTTATTGTCATATATTGTATATTATATTAATATATATTTCATGTTGTTTGATTTATATTTATGATTTATTAATTTATATTTCATGTTGGTTAATCTCAAGTAATACTACTCAATTAAGTAATGTTGGTAGTTGTTTTAGAGGGCGTTCCCTAACAACTTGTACGCTCCTCAATGATATAATTGTTTGACGATGATGTGTACTGGTGAATAGATCAATAATCGATGATCGGTTGGGGGATTTTAGTCGAAAGTGACGAACAAACAATTAACCGAAGCTATTGATTTGGCTATATGATTATATTGTGATGCTTAGAACCATGTTCAAGAAATCCCACTTCATTGATGTGTGCTATTAAATGAGCTGATAGGGATATAATATAAGAAGCAAATATGGACTAGATTAATAACAGAAATTCTAGTAAAGTTGGATGAATGCCATAAATAAATAACTAATAACAACATCCAATAGTGAAGCTTTAGAAGAAGAAATTGGCCATTTTACCTGCCTGCCTTAAATAGCTTGTGGGAAACTTGTTGATTAAAAATTATTAGTTCTTGAGAAGAGGGGCTTTAAGATCTTCCCATTTCTCCAAACGCTTCTTTGCTTTCTCCACCTGGAAATTAAATTGTGTAAATTTGTAGAATTGAATGAAATGTGTATGTATGTATGTATGTATGTATGTAGAGTAGACCTCGGCATTCCAGTCGGTTCGATAAGTTGTCCACAATAAAATTAAAGTTTGCATTATGGTTCCTCCAATCATGCCGGCCCAAACTCCCTGCAATCATATATGTATGTATATATATGGTTGGAATCATTGGATTTTAGTTGAGGAGTTAAGGGCTACTTTACCTTAACGCCGAGGTTGAATTTGAAGCCGAGAAGGCATCCTATGGGAATGCCGACCAGGTAGTAACATCCCACGTTAACGTATGCCACGAAAGCTTGCCATCCGCACCCCACAGCGACGCCTTCAAAATGTTCATCAAGTTCTTATCAATTAGTTGCTAAGATACGATACTATGGGTTATGCAATATGTAAGTTAATACTTTAAGAATGAAATATATGCACAGTAAGTTATGATCATAATACAAATGTGACATATAAATTGACAACAAATAACAATAATCTAACACATAGTACTCATCATTATTGATCTTAACATGTATTATAAGAATATTGTTTGGAGTAGCCCCAATCGTCCCAATAACCAGATGGGCTAATATTCATTCATTCAATAAAACAAAAAAACGGCTGATAAAAACGTGAGGTGTATAAAATTTGGTATTTATTCAATCAATAGTCTAATCTTAGGGTGTCTGATGGATGACTCAATAATACAAAAAAGTATTCAACATTTATTCCATCATATCTGACAGAATTCTATTCTAGCATTGATCCAATCTCTGTGCCACTAATTAAATCATTTGTAGCCTTTTGCTGTTTACCTCACAACTTGTTCTGAGTAGTTGGCTATAAGCCAAAAATAGCCCGTGGCACCCTGATCATGTAACTTTATTTAAATGAATCAATAATCATAGATCAAAGTACGAAGTTTGGGCTTCTCACGTAACTTTATATGATCATGGTGTTCGGGAAAAAACCCTTTTCGTTTTCACCCACTACATTAGCCATGACAACACAAGATTTGTCGTCACAGATGTTTGTTCGATTAAAGATCAAGACAAAGACTAGAGTTATATATATGCACATGGAGATGGACAAGTTACCATTTTTTATTTTTTTTCAATAGATTGGAATAGCACGAAACATAATTAATATATATGTACTTGTGGAAGATGAATTTAGAGAATTGCCTGATAAAACTGGTTGCAGTCCATTCAGAGTGAGAGTGACTGCCAAGAAGGGGCTTAGGTCCGCCACGGCGTTGGCCACCGTCTCGCCGCCGGTGAATATATAGCTTATGACGTGGCGCTGAGATAATACGATCATGGCCACAAGGACCGCCACCAAGAGGGAGACAGTGTTCACCACCACGACGGAGAATGCCGCCGATTTCGGATGTCCGGCGCCAAGCTCATTGCTCACTCTCACACTGTATAGACCAAATTTGCCCAATCACAAATTGATAATAAGTTATCTTTCAATGTTCTTTAATTATCTACCAAAGAGCAGAGGATCTAGGAGGCACAAACCTAGCAGCAGCGTTGAATCCGACCGACACCATGAACAGTAACCCGTTAATCGACATACTGCACAAAAATTAAAGCATTCAACGTCACGAAATCTTGAAATGGAGTATATATTCTTGCTTATTGAGACTAGCTTTTCAATTGAGAAATTCACATTCACAGTGAACTCAATAAGAACAAATTCACCTTATCTTTATTCTGCATCTAAATATTCCATATCATGAGAGAGAGATGCCAAAAGAATTACCAGACGGAAAGTGCATCCAATGCGAGCTCAGGATTTTCGAGCAATCCGACAATCAAGACGAGCAGCTGAAAGTACCATGTCTCTAAGCAGAGCATCACCGCCGAAGCGATGGATAATTTCACAAATTCCCAAAGGCCGGACAGAGCCTCCAATCGGAACCCCGTCCACGTGTCCTTACACCGTTGGGATTTCACAATGTACAGAAACTGTGCGGAAACGATAATCCACCACGATAGGCTGAGCACGAGCGATGCGCCTAACAGACCCAAGCCTACTCTATAAACTGCAATCCAGCTTACCACCAAGTGCACTCCCAGCGTGGCGAGTGAGATCAACGCGCTGGGGATCACGATGCTCTGCGCCTGCAGAAACTTCTGTATCGGGAAGTTCACGGCGTACGCGAGCACCTGCGGAATCAGGCCGTACACGAACACCGCCGCGAGCGTTGCCACGTCTGGAGCTTCGCCGATGAGGATGAGGAGCTGCCTCGAGAGCGCGTACACCACAACGATTGGGAGAGTGAACAGCAGCAGCACCACGGTGGCGCGTTGCAGGTAGACGCCGAGCATTTCGTGCCGACGAGCGCCGTACGCCTGGCCGCAGAGCGTTTCGACGGCGCTCCCCATTCCTAACTGAAATCAAAAGCAAATTAAAGCACGGAAGTAGCTCCGGCTACGCCGCCGTCCATAGTTGAATTCAATAACATCGAGATTGAATCAAACCAGAATAGACAATATTGATTACATATCAGTTCTCCACTTACGAGGAGGCCGTAGGCGAACAATTGGATGCCGCTGTTGCCTAGAGTGGCGGCGGCGAACTCCAGATTCCCGAGATGACCGCAGAAGATGCGAGTGGAGAGGGACATAGCGTTGTTTATCAAGTACGTCATGACCGCAGGCGCCGCGAGTTTGTAAAGGAGATTTAGCTCGATCCACATAGCTTTCGTGAACCGCTTCAAGCATGGCAAATCCACGTCGCAAAGCACCTTTTCGAGCTCCGAACTGGAGTGCTCGATGACGACGGCGGAGGACGACGGCGACTGGTGGTTATCGTTTTCCGAATTCTCCATGTTGGCTTGCACCTGCAATCAGAACCGATCTGCAATATATATATTAATAAAAAAATTTAGATAATAATAAATATTAATATACAAACTTAAATAAATATTGATATATACAGCGAAAAAAGTTTTAAGGGTGTATTTTTTTTTGGATATAGTATTTCAAATTTTACCTTATATTTCAAAATTCATATATACCACCTCAATTTTAAATTTATAAATTCAAAATAAATCTCTCGGAGGACTTTGGCGTGACAAAAGATTAATTAAGTGATACTATAATGGTTTATTTTAAATATAAAAATTCAGAAACAAATGTATATAATAAAAATAATATATTATTTTTTTTATTATTCAAATTTATATTTTTTCAAGACATCACCAAAAAATATTTTCAATATCTACTTTTTAAGAATCTTTTTATTATTTTCCTTTTTGCTGAATAAAGTATTTGCTTAGTATTTTAGTTTGCCGTATTTTTTTAGTGTGAGATGAGAAATTTGTATTAATAATAATAAAAAATTATTTTGAATATTAACTTTTTGTGAGAAAAAAATATAATATCAATTCAAATAGATCATTTGGAATTTCGTAATAAATTAAAAAAATAATATTTTATTGACATATTTTATTTTTTTACTTTATGTATAAATTTATTTGATATATAATACTCCCTCCGTTCCGTGAAAGATGAACCATTTTGTTAGGGATACGGTATTTTAGGTAGCTTAGGCTATTAAGTTATTAATAATAAGTTATAAAAATATTTTATTATTTTTTTATATGTGTAGTGTTTTTGGTATTTTAAATATCTTTAAAATTATATTTTAATAAAATATATGCAATATGGATATCATTTTCTACCCAATAAAATTTTATATAATACAAATTAATAAAAATATATATTTACTTATTTATCATTACTATAAATTAATTTTATAAAAAATGAGGAGTTTTAAAAGTAGATAAAAAATTTTTGTTAATCGAGGAGAAAGATAGAAATAAAAGGGTTTTGAGTGGGTCCTATTCGTAAGATGTTAGAAGTTTAATTAAATTGATTTGTATTTGTTAAGTATGTTTAAGATTGATAAACTTACCAAAAATGAAAATGATTATCTTTTGTAGGACGTACCAAAAAGAAAATTGAGTCATCAGCAGTACGGAGGGGGTAAGTATATTTATAATTTATCTAAAAATTAAATAATATTTTTGTATTAGTTTTTCATCATTTTTACTATAAAAAAATTTTTAAGTATGGCTGATGATAATTGTAAATTTGATTTTTTAATAAAATGATTTGAAGACCGTGAATAATAAAGTAAATATTTATAACATACCTAGGTTTCTAATTTGTATTGTTTGTTAGATTTTTTTTAAAAAAAATTATTCTTATTTTTTGTGCATAAACTATTTTAATTGTATTTATAAGAGTAAATTAGGAAAAGCAGTATATAATTAATAAAAAGTTACAAAATTTTAAAATTTTACTAAATTAAAATTAAAAACAAGAAATGCAAAAAAAAATGTTTGAAGTAATATTTACGTATATAATTTTAGTAATTTATTTAAATATAATGAAAGCAAGACAAACAATAAAAGTTAATGACAATAAATTGCTCAACTCAAAAGAAGGAAATAAAAACATCATCACTAAGCAGTGATGTTGATACCTTCACACAAACAAACCAATTGTTTCTACTTGTACACACCCAAAATTAATTGGGTCGGCCCAGTGCAGTCCAAGTCCAAGTCCAAGGACATTCGCGGCCCAATATACGGTCCAAAATAGCAGACGGATCTTTTGACCCGTCTAGCTCATCATTGAAGGTCCAACTTGATTTGGAAGCAGTCCAACGGAGGCAAGAAGGTCAAAGTGGTTAGAAAATTGTTGGAGTTGTTGGAAAAAAAAAGTGGGATAAAATCTTATTCAAATAAATTAAAAAAAAAACTATTTAAAGAAGATCCAAGAGAGCAGAAAAGACGACCATTCATCATGAATCTTTTTCTTTTTTTTTTTTTTTTTTTTTTTATTTTTCTCTGCATTATTTTCTTGTAATTTTTTCAGATTTTTTTACAGCTTTCTTCGATTAATTTCAATTTAATTTTCAGCTTCGTTCTTGTTTATTTTACCTTCTTTTTCATCAATTTTTCGGTTATTGCGAGTAGCCCGAATCCTTTCTTGAGGAGGCCGGGGAACCCTACGATTAAATCAATTCCGACAGACTTTTCCAATTAAGCCGTCGATGGCGATTTTTTTTTACGACAACCCTATTACTATTACTATTGATTTTCTTTTTATTCCATTTTTTAAAATGGTTATAAAATATTTTTAACGTAAAATATGTGATATACATGCTACATAATTACAATAATATATACTTGTCGGATCTAATTTATAGGATATTAAATTTGATCGGAGATTTACCTAATTGTATTTTCGAATATATATATATATATAATCAAATTTGATTAAATTGACCAGACATTGGGCCGGAGATGACGAAGAAGGAGGAGGATTGGGACAGGCAAGGAAGTATAATAATATTTTAAAAAGTATTTCTATAATAATAATAATAAATTGAAATGAAATATATATTCTTTTCAAATATATATATATTTAAAAATATAATATTTTTCGTCTCTTCTCAATAATTACATTTTTCATCTAGTATTATTGTCACAACTGTATGGGACATAGTTTGTATGTCAGAGTTCAATTACTCATTTACCTTCATCTATCTCTATTTATTTATACAGTCTGCATTATGAATTAATAATCGTGAAATTATGGGTTTAAACTTCAATATTTTTATATTTTATTTATCGCACGTAATCTTATATTACGGGATGGCTGAATCTAATAAGCGTCAGAGTTTAAACCGATAATCTCACGATCACGAATTTATCCCTACACAACCAAACATCCAAGTTATCCATGACGGGACTACTTATGTATTATTATTGATAAGACTGATACAGTGCAATGTTATTAGTAGATTGGAAATACATTCATACTGTTTTTTTTCCACTTAATTTGTTCGTTGGTTTTACATAATTTGTCATTTTTTAAAAATAAATTATACACTTTAATCGTATTTTAAAATTCAGAATTTTAATTCAACTATTTAGTTATCTTAATTTTAATCTATAATTATTTTTATGAAATCATAATTATTTTCATTAATACTAATTATATAATACCTAAAATTTTGCACTAATGGACGAAGGAGTAATTGATACCTGAGAGTAATCTTTGGCTTAAAAACGCAACAGATTACGACAATGAATAATTTTACAAAGAATCACCAAAGAATTGTATCAGAATTTAATAAGAGAAATTAGTTATACTTTGTTTGGAGTTTAAATTTTGAGTTGGAATTTGAATAATAAAAATTTTGAATTTGAATAGTAGTACATATGATATATAAAGAGGTGTTGATGTGATATTTTGAATGTAAAATTGATTTTTAATATAATATAAAAAATAAAAAATAAGTATTTTGATTTGATGTTTTTGGAGAGAAAAAATATAAAGAATAATGAAATACAATACCCCAAACAAACACAACATTATAATATATTGCTTTGAACTATGGTACATACTGCAAATTGCAACTTCACATTAAATAATCACATAGAAATATATATATATATATATATATATATAAACTTCTTTACAAATGAAGAACTAAAAACCCAAAACCCTTATTACAAAACCACAGAAGAATCACGTGTATATATATATATATATATGTATCTATATATATCACATTAACGGTAAATTCATGAACAAGAACTAACCTTTCAGAAAGCCCAGATGAGTCGTTTTTCCGACTATGGCTGAGGCCGATATCCAAATGCAGGAGCAGCAGCCTCATCGGAGCTTCTCCGGCATGAAATTCGATCGAATTCTCGACGTAATTTCTCAGACGCTTCGTTCATTTGCACTTATGCGGTAAAAATCAAAATCGCAGCCGCGTAGATCATTAAACACAGTCGACACATTGTGCCGGCATTGTCGAATCCTGAAAAAAATATATATATACGAAAAGAGGGAATGAATAGTATCACAATTGTCGCAATGAAACAGTTTTAAGCGACAGCGATGTTCGCCAACACAAATTGATTTTTCAAAGTATACGTCGTAAGGGTGCGCGCGAACAAAATGAATTAGTCGACAAGCAAACTTACTGCTTTGCCCGGAAGCTGCTGCAGGGAGTGCGGGGATTTTCACAGCTGTAGTTAAAAACAATCTGCGGTGAATAAACCCGTCGGAGTATCTGAAAAAGATCGAACATAATTAGAATAAAAAGCGCATACTTTTGTTGCACGACGACGATGGCAACTGAGACGAGGCGGGCCAAGGGGCTGGAATGTTGTCATTTAAATCACACAGGAAGCTGACGCCAGACGATTTGTCAAACACTACATCTGACGGCAAGCTAGGCAAGAGGCATCCCGACTCTGAATATCGCAGAAATAAAAATACATACCCAAGTCAGCGAGTGGAGATCGACAAACTAGAGAATCAATTAATTGAGCTAATAAGTTACCCTGAGCACCAACTGCCGGAAGGCGGGAGTGAAGATCGCAAGATCAGATCAGCGCCAAAAAAAGTAAATATTCGAGCATCAGTATAGTGTAGGCAGGATTTGTTTCGACTACAAAACTAACATTTGAATAACAGTCGAAGAATCTGTAATTCTAACCTTGGAGGGAGAAGTCCTTGAGGCTAATACGGCATTGGCTGTAGACGTTTTTTGTAATGTTCGCTTTCCTTAATTTAACTCCGAGCGATGCGGCGCAGTTTAGAGCTTGCAAGTTGGTGACGAAACTCTGCCTCTGGAGGTGAGAGACGTAGCTCTCGATAGAACTACAACACGCTGTTTCGTTGCTGTTATTTCCAGAACCACAGTCGTGTATAACGCGACTCACATTCGGAAAATTCAGCGGACAAACTGAAAAGCAATCACGACAAAAAAAAAAAAAAAAGAAAGGGTTAATTTTCGAGGAAGAATCTCCGATTTTCGGAATTGAAGAAATATTCACAGTTCACCTTTATTAATCCTGCAGCTAGATACTCCACGAAGAACTTCTTTCGCAGTCGAAGGCTCGAGTCTACTTCCAAGCCATCGAAGCACGACGCTTTTGCAGTCATTAATCCTATTCGAATGATCGGACAACACAAGGGAACCGTCGAGGGTGAGAAGGTTGTACGCTTTCTGAGCGAGCTTTCTTGCAGCATCCAATATAGCGTTCTGACAAACCTGTTCGCAACACTCGTTTACACTGTCGATCTTTTCACAGGCGGCGAGAAGGTTAGAAGAATCGACCGTGCTCTCAAACTCTACAAGGTCGCTAACTGGGCAAGAACCTTCAGTCAGATTTGCCGGTCGAATAGAACATATATGAGAAAGACTATCGTTGGCTCCTTGACCGACGAGAATCTGTTCGAAGTCTGAAAGACAATGCGCTGCGAGCGATCCATTTAAAGCGAGCGTGCTCGTATATTTACTCGACTGACCGATGAGAACAGCGAGTGTGGCCTCCACTTGCGGACAGCACACTACGTTGGCTAAGACAGGGGCGAATGCAGCCATACAATCGGTTGATGTCACGATCATCATGTCTGATAGGACCGTAAAGTTCAGCACGCAGAGACCTGTATAAATGGAAGACAAGCAAATTAATTAGGACAAAACAGCTTGCGGGAATTCGAAAATGTGTTGTGAGCAGGACAAACCGGATAATTTGGGGATTGTGCTGTTGGCGAATGGCGTCAAAGGAGATGGCGCGAGAAGAGGAAGAAATGGCTGAGGAGCAGATGTTGGAGAAGTGTCGGGTAAAAGTACGTCTGCTCGTCTCTCGGCTAGCTTAGAACTCTTTTCGGAATAACTCAACAAGCTGCAACAGCATTGTTGAACACCTGCACAAGTAATATGCAGATCATAGAAATTCAACAATGCATCAAACAAAATAAATCGTCAGATCCTACAGATGGCTTTCTAAAGACATTTGCAATATATTCGATCATCAGTTAGATTCTAAATCCTTAGCATCAGCTCAAATTCTCTATCTTAGGGTGTTGGAAGATTCTGACATTCTCATTCTCTATGGAATTTCAAACAAGGTTCAAAATCTCTCATGTTCAAAATTCGAAGATGAACTTAGCAAGAACTACAGATAATGTTGATCATATTCCTATTCATAGCCATGATATGAATCCAAAGCAGCTCATTTCATGAACAAGAAAAATCACGTCTACAGAGAAGCCGACAAGTAATTGGGAAATAATCAATTCTGAGCAAACTGTATTCATCAAAATCATCAATGGCGGTTTACCAACAATCCAAAACAAAAACCACAGAGCACCAATCAATTCGAGGCTCCTACCGAACAAACTGAATTCGAAATCTGCATAAGAAATTAACGCAAAACCAAACCAGTGGAATAAATACTCACCGAGAAGAAGAAGCAGGACTACGATTAGGGCAGCATAAAGATCTCGACTCTGTCGAATCACCCCTCTCATCATATCCCAACGCTCTCTCTCTCTCTCTCCCAAGCTGCTGCGAATTCTACCAATGGCGAGACAATGCAAGCGGACAGTGCAGAATCAGTGCGACTTAGAATCAAATCAGACAAAAATTAAACCCAAGGGAAGAAGGTTGAGCAGGGGAAATGGGGGTAGAGAGAAAGAGGGCAGCCATGAATGAGGTGCTTAAGTAAGTGGGGACAAAAGCAGTAATCACGAATAGCTGGACAAATGTTGTGAATCGGCGGCCCCACCGTGGGAAGAAATTTGTATGGCGGAGCCGCGATTCGATCCATGGTGTGGTGTGGAAGCTCGGAGAAATTACGCATTGTTTTGTGCCTTCAACCAACCGCCTTAGGGAAAGGGTTTACAGGCAGACATCAATGCCCGTGTGGATTCCATCTCATCCCATCCCAGCTCCTACCTCAAAGCACATGCCCCGCACGTGATCAGCGTCCCTTCCGCCTCCAGATTTGTGGAAATTTCTTTCTGCACTCACCATCATCGTCTCTCTCTGTCTACTTCACTTGCTGCAAAACATAAACAAGAAAAGGAGATTCCTTAATTTAATTAAACTGCGCATATGATATGAATCAGAATCACAAATCTTTTTCTTGTTTCTTTGAAGACTAATGTCTGTAAATCCCTTAATTCTGCATCCTTATCCAATGGAAATGTGGCCCAGAAGTAATAATGGCAAAGAACAGAGGGGCCAGGAATTAATTGACCGATATGATCTTTCTGTTTGTTTTTGTCTTAATTTTGAGATTTGATTTGGGATAATGTATTAGTTTAAGGTTTAATTACTTGAAGGGGTCGAGTGGGGAATGACTTTGGAATAATTTTCTTGGGGTTTAATTGATGATTACTCATATGCTGTGTGAATGTACGACAGCTTCTGGAAATGGTTATGGCACAAAATTCCACCAGTTGACTTACTAATGAAGGCTTAATCACGACAGCAAACAACGATTATTGTCAATAATAATGTGTGATTATTAAGAGATTGGTTGTAGGACCCCCCGAGTCCTGTGATCTTTGGTCCCAAAACTAAGGATCAGATCACCAGATAAGAAAGACAGCTCTTAATAACCTAAGGGACCATTTGATTTATGTATTGTTAATTTTGTTTGCCTTGACGACGAGTTTAATTTCTATTATTCTCCCATTAATGAGTTTAACACCATGTAATGAAACAATACAGTTGTACAGATTACATCAAACGATTCAAATTCTATAACATCATCGACTTTCATAATAATAATAGTTAAAAATAAAATTCTTATTACATGGAGTACAATATATGTTTCTAATATCATCGTACCATAGAGCACAGACTTAATGGACAAACAGAGGTCAGTCTCAGTGCGGCCATGCTGACACAATACATATGTAAAATATACATTAACAACACATAATAATAATTTCTATATCATATGTTTATATTTTAATTGCTATTCTATAAATGTTTAGTGTAATTACACTATAATTCTTCTTCGAATGATTTTTTCTTTTAAGTTATTTGTTTTAAATCCAAATTCTGTGAACGGGCTTCAATCCAGCATATTGGGCTTCAATGATCCAAACAATCTGGGCCGTCAATTTGCAATCCAACAGATTGCACAAAAAAGTTGTAAAGAAGAATCACCAACTGTTCACCTAATTGTTCTCAGTCCTTTCTCTGTCTCAGTAATAATTCATTGACTTTCTAACATGAATTAAATTAAATTAATTAATTGATTATAGGTGAAAGGGGCATAAAGAAATGATGCTAATTGATGAAAAGGGACACAAAAGAAAAGAAACAAACAAATCAGCATGTCACCACACAGTGCACTCACCATTCAGACATCTTTCTTGTCACCATGAGGAAAATTTGAGCCACGCCTGGAAATAATAACTCCATCAAGGAGGCTTCCCCACCTTCATCCTCCCCTATCAATATAGCACAAATGATTAGTCTGGATCATCATTGCATCTAATGTAATTTCGATTGATTAATTGAAAAGATTCCAAGATTTTAATTTTCCACACCTTTGTTTGAGTACATTCCTCATCAGCATTCTCTGGCTCTCCAGCTTTGCCTCCAAGTGCTTCGCAGCCGAGCCGTGCCTTTGGACTTCCCGGGGCCACACGATATGGCCTTTCATTGCTCGAACAATGTGTGGATTTCTTCGTTGATTGAAGCAACCTTTGCGTAATCTTGTTTGTTGACTAGCTAAGGTTGGATCTGTTTTGGAGATTTCATTCTTTGTAACTAAACTTGGCCTTAAAAATGATTCGGCGCCTTCTATGATGTTATCCATTGTTGAGTTCTTATCTTCGAATATCATCTGTGCTTCAACTATCTTCATTTGCGCTCGTTCTTCGCGATAAGCGTCTACTATTTGCATAATTTTAATCTCGCGTTCGACCTCCTTTTGAAATTGTGCGTGCCGATCCCTTAACTCTGTGGTTTCACCTCTGCTGGCTTCAGCTACTTTAGCTAATTCATGACAAGCACTCTCCAATAGCTTTCTCAGTCTTTTCTCTTTTTCAAGATGATAAGTGAGCATCCCAATCGATGAATTTGTGTTGACAATGTTAGTTAGAAGCTTGGAATTCACATTGTACATCCTCCTGCATTTTGTTCTTTCCATTTTGATATCATCTGCCAGATTCTTCAATATTGAACAAATCACCTTTAGATGTCGTGTTGGTATGTCTTTGTTGAAGCTCTTGATGAGGTGAGTGTTCTGTTTCCTCAATTCTTCCTTAGGTACAAATCCATTTTCAGTCTGTCTAGCAGATTCTATTGATGCAATCTGTGAACTTGTTTTGAGCCTCCCATGGTATGTTTTTGAGCAACATAGATCCAATTTCGTGAGTCCTTCCATCTCAACTCTAGTATTAGGTATTGATGAACATAACTAGCATTGAAGATAGACAATTAAATCAGGAACAACACACAGATAAGGAACAAATCATATTTCAATTTTCAGCAAACTAGAAGTATCCAGAAACACTAACAATATGCAGGATTGAGCCATGTTTGGAACTGAATATGAAAATAATCGAGTACAGGGCAAATACTAACCACAAAATCGCGTCGGCCAAACAGGCCATACCTTCGCCGCACGCTTCCCCCAATTTCATTCGTTGGCGCGCACAACCACCACAGCGACGCCGCAAGCTTCCTGGCGGAAACTCTTCCGCTTCCTCCAGCAGAATCTCCGGCGGCGCGCAGTCTCCACACTAAAACAGGCCGTGCGTCGTGACCTCCATCCAATTCCAACCGCTTCCGACCGCCAATCCCGGTCCGAGCGCGGCCGCGCATCCACCGATCAGAACTCGCGGCCTGTTCATCCGGAAACATCAGTGCTACAGCTTGAAATCCTCGGATTCCATCCCGTAACCGACAAGCAAACCGCTCACGCAAAACACTATCGCAGAGCATGAGAGCAGCTCGCAAAATTCCGCGATATGCGTGTATGTGATTCAGCAGTCCAGGTCCAGGTGGCGTTGTCGGGGGAGAATTTTGTCCACTAACGCTGCAGGGAGCAGAAACGCCTCGCCGAAAAGGGAACAGCAACACGCCAGCGAGCGACAGTGCTGCCGCTGCTGCTTGGAGTACGTTTGTGATATTATTCTCTCTCTGTCCCAGTATAATGTGTCTCTATGTATCACTCTATGCATATATATATACACACACATTATATATTGTGTCTCATTCGTGCCATGATATCTGTTTTTTAGAATATTTTAATGCAAACTTATAATTAAATATATTTCAATTATATAAATATTTATTTATTTAATCAGATTCGAGTTGTAAAAAAAGAAAGTAAAAATATATATATTTTTTTTGGTTAGATTTTTTAATGTCTGTAAATTAAGCTCAGTAAAAATAATAAAAATAATCACGTAATCACAAGTTCACTTCTTTACCATTTACCATCCCTTGAGGTTTGTCCTTTAATTGAATTGGACATGTGTCTTGTTTATTATTATTATTATTATTTTTATAATTTATAATTCGAATACATTTTAAATAAATCCGAATCCAATTTAATGTATAAATATCATGAGTAAATATAAAAATATTGTAGCATAATCAAATGCGATATAATAGAAATATTATTTAATTTCATGCATGATCCATAGACAATTTTTTCATTTGACTCGTTGGATTATTTAAAATGAACATAACAAATTTAATATTATTTTTGTCCAACTCTAAGGGTTCAATTTAATTTTTAAATATTTATCTTTAAATATTAATTATCATATCAAAATATAGTACAAATTAAAAAAAAAATTGCAAGGGATAAAATAGAACATTTTATTCACAGTCCGAAATATAATATTATTTTTCACAAAATCACAATTTCTTTTAAATATTTATTGTTGGGTTATTTCCATTTCATCGTTATTTGCATCATTAATAAGGTTGAAACATGACATTTTGTGTTGATAATGATGTAAAAAATCAAATATATAAAAAATAATTACAGGCACAAATTGAACAAAAATGGAGATCTAATGCCATTAATGTCAAATGCAAGTTTTGAATTATGAAAATAAATAAATCAATAATGGTTTTTATGGAAAATATTGCATTAATAGTAAATCAATTTAAAACATATACTCCATAATGTGTATCATTTTAAGTTTTTGTAATAAATTAAAAACTACTAATATTTTATTTGTAAGTGGAACTATGTTAGATAGTATTTTCACTTTGTCTTCATACTTTATGTATATTTATAATGATATATTTATAATTTATGTAAAAATTACTATTAATATCTAATTATTTTACTATTATAAAAATATATAGTATTTTTTAGTGAGATAAATGATAAAAAAAAAACTTTCAATTACAACAGAAGGGGCATATATATATATATATATATATCTTAGAATTATAACGTGAGAATTTGCAGTTGCTACTATTCGGGTGCGTTTTGGATAAATCTCCAGCTGAACCTGATAGCCTGCAAATTAGGTCCGATAAGACAAGTTATATTAGACGAACTATGTCTGACAGGGACTTAAAGACGTCGAAATTTGAACTCATGATCTCACTGTAAACTTTTAACAAATCGAATAGTTTTTTTTTTTTTAAATGACGTGAGAATCCGCAATCGCTAGTCGAAAGTGCGCATTAGGTAAATCCCCAACCGAACCTAATACCAATTAAAATTGAGAAATACTCCCTCCGTCCACTCATAAAGTATACAATTACTTTTGGCGTGATGTTTAAGAAATAATAGTATTTTAATTATAGTAGGTAGTTAAAAGTACTGTAACGACATTTTTGCTCTTGCTTTTTGGTGTAAAAGTAATGATGTGATGTAAAGTAAGGGTATTTGTGAAAAAAAAAAGTAAGGTATTTAATGAAATGTTTATTTTGTAATTGGACGTTCCAAAATAAAAATATGTATACTTTTTAGCTGGACGGAGGGAGTATGAAAATGGTACGTACGTTGTATGTTTAATGAGGTGGGTGGACATATGTAATTAATTAAATGGGGCAGTTAACTTAGGTATTGTAATTAATAAAGATGTTAAATTAGCATTGATAATATTAACGCGGATGAGGGCAACAAGACACTCATTGCCGAAATCAGGCTATTGATATTTCCCTATTTGTCCATCCAATACACAATTTAATTTAAATACTCCTGCTAGGGTGTGCTTAATTATTTTGTGATATTATTAGAGTTTTTATTTTAGTATTTAGTTTAAATAGTAAAACTTATTTAATATTTTACTAAAAAATAACATGAAGTATAGAAATTTAATATAAAAATAATAATTTATATTAAATATTGAATTTTATAAAATAATAAAATAAATATATTAAAAATGGGTTTTTTTTTTTTTTTGTTTGTGTGTGTTTGTTTGGGAGTTTAGATTTTGAGATGAAATTTGAATAGTAAAAATTTTGAATTTGAATAATTATATCATGTGATATAAATATGTGTTTATGTAATCTTTTTAATATAAAACCGATTATTAATATTATAATAAAAAAATAAGTATTTAATTTGATATTTTTAAGGAAAAAAAATTTGATAAATAATAGAAATTCAAAAAAATATGTCAAACAAACACACCATTTAGGATTTGCTTGATTGAGATTTAATTTAGCAGAACTATAGTTTGGGTTGTATTTATCATGAAATTTAAGAAATATTGATATTATATTGATAGTGGGTAAAAAGTACGAGGTGAAGATTTTTTTTGCCTTTGTGAGTATATTAGTGTAAAAAAGAGTGGCAATTGTGTAATAATAATGAAAAAAATAAGGGTAATATTATAATTATATAGTTATTTACGGAAATGAAATTATTGTTTTGGGACGGACAAAAATGATAAACACGACTAGTATTGGGACGGAGGAAGTACTGTATATGGAACGAATAAAATAATATTTTATGTTGAATTATTAAATTTTCTAATTAGATATAATATATATTATATATTGTGTTAATACGTGAATATATTAATATTTTTAATAATATATATATTTTTTAATTACGTAGGAACCACAACCGTTATTTGAAAGTGTAAACCCGACCGAACTTAATACTTGCAAACTAGGCATGACAAACAAGTCACGTTATGAACAGTTTTTGATTTAGGTAGAAAGTGTCCTTGGAAATTGCCAATAAAATAAAATTGTAATTAAAAAATTAAATTTAAATAATTATTTGATACGATATAAATATATATTTATTTGGTATTTTGAATATATAATTAAAATTTAATATAATATAAAAATTTACAAAACATATATTTAATATTTATTTGAAAAAAAATCATAGTGAATAATAAAATTCGAACTCCCACCAAGATATTGGTGTTTTGAATTTTTTTTTTATAATAATATCTAATGTATAAAGATAATTATATTAGATAAAAATGCTCTTATATTTTATATTTTTCAAATAATAATAAAAAAAATTAGTACTTCTTTGATCCCATAAATATAATTTTAATTGGATTGTTAGATTAATAGTTTATAATATTTAATAATTAATATAATGTTATTACTTAAGATATTAAAAATAATTCTAAACAACAATTTCAATTCGTCAAATTACTAGTGTTGCAATGTTATATAAATACACACTTTACAGCATCAAAAAAAGTAATTTTAAATATATTTTATTTTAGTATCTTTAAAATTTTGAATAATATAAAAAATTCAGAAGTAGTATTCGATTTTATTTTATTAATATTCATATATTTATATTTTAAAAATTATATCTATTGATATATTTATTTTTAAAAAATAATTTAGGTTAATATTATTAGTTTAGTTAATAAAAAATAAGAAATATAATAAAAATAATGATTAGAGGTGAACAAAATATTCGAACTCCGAAAATCAGAACCAAACCAAAATTTAAAATTTGGTTCGGATTTTCGAATCAGTTCGGATTGAATTTTTGACAAATTTCAAATTTTCGAATTTGATTGGATTGGTATACTTAAAATTCGAACCAATTCGAAATTTAAAATATAATATTTTAATATATTTTTTTAGTTATATATAATATATTTAATATTTTATTAACAAATATTATATTTTAATATAAAAAAACTCAAAATTATGCTCACCCCTAGTAATGATGGTATAATTGTGTTTAGTTACTAATCGAAATTACTTAGCCACAAAACCCCCCACAGTTGAAGGGTTAGATTGGTATTAGTCAAACTGTCTTAAATCTACACTACTTTGTAGGCACAATGCCTTCTCCGATTGACACGTGGCCACCTACACCATGTTTCTCGATTCGATTTTCTTTCTATTTCAAGACATCAAACGCTACCGTTACACTTACACTGCAGCAGCAACGAGCGTCTCCATTTCGGAGGAAGTCTCTGATTCTTTCGATATCTATGGTATGAATAATCAGGGGCGCTTTGATTGTTGGTGACTCGGAGAGAAGTGAGAATCGAGAAATATTGTGTTGTTAATGTTGTGTCGTTTTGCTGAGTGAGAAAAACGAGAGTATTCATTTCTTTGAGTTGTTCTGTTCGATCATGTTGTCGACAATGGCGGTCATTTCTCCGGTCCGCGCGCCGGCGCTCCCGAGTACGGCTCGACCGAGAATCGTGCCGTCGATTCGATTCACGCCCATACGAGTAATGAATTCCTCACCCCATGTTTTCATTTGTTGTATATATTGTTTGGATCAGTGTTGTTAATATTAGGTTTCGATACATTTTCTGGATTATATTGTAGTTTGCAGATGATTGAAATTGGTGGAATTTTTTTGATTGATTTCAATGGTGGAGTTTTGTGTTATCATCTGTTCTGGAAAATGAGCTGTAGATTGGTCCAAGTTTTTGCTGTTTGAATCGATGAGTTTAATAGTTTTTCCTAAATTTGATTGCAGGCTGTCAGTTGGAGGATGGATCAGGCAAAGACACTTCAAAATACTGATAATACGGGTTAGGTTTCTTTGTTTTGCAGCAGCAATTGTGCTGTAAATATCAGAATTCCATTTTCATTTGCTTTGTACATTTTTAGATTCTGCAGACAGTTCAAAGAAAAAGAAGAGAAAAAATTCCAACCAAAGGTCTAAAGATTCGATACTAAAGGCAGTTGTGCCAAAAACACAAGGCGCCATGAGCATCAAGAAAAGAGAACATAAGAACGGTGGAGAAGATGAATTACATGCATCTGATGTCAAAGAGGCAATTCATTATCTTCTAGAAACTGATCAGGAACTTGAATTACCAAATGAAGACGATGTTAAAAAGGTAATTGATTATATTCTAGAAACTAAGGCAAGGCTTCGTAAAGGTAATGTGATTGTGGTGGAGGCTTCATCGACAAATGGAACTTTGCTTGATAATGAAGCTAGTCAAGGAGGAAATGACCGAGTCCCAGCTTCATCAACAAATGGATCTTTGGTCGATCATAAAAGTAGTCATGAGGGAAATGGCGGAGCCCCTAACATTGATGCAGAAACAATCACCAAGAATAAGGTCAGTAATATTGCATGCAAAGCATTAGTGACATGCCATTGAAACTGTAGAGAATTAATTTTATGTATGGAGTAAGATCTTCATTTGTACTTGCAGGAAAATGTTACAAAAACTAAAGCAGTCAATGTTTCTACACGTGGGAGGATCCTTGAAGTAAAAGACTTGGTTAATGCAAGTAGTAATAATGGAGATTCTTCTGCACAATCGAAACAGGTTAAAAGTGTTGAAACTGTTGAAACAACTGTCGTGAAACAGCCATCCTCGACTGAAAGGAAAGGAGATGTGATTCAAAAGCTTGAATTAAAATGTGAAGAAACTTTGCGCAACGATGCATTACAAAGGCTTTCTGAGGAATGTTTGAAGGGATGCAGAAAAATCTTTTTTTACCCCGAGGTGGTAAAACCTGACCAACAAGTGGAGGTATTTTTCAACCGAAGATCTTCCAATTTGAAAACCGAGCATGATGTTATGATCATGGGAGCTTTTAACGACTGGAAATGGAAGTCTTTTACTATCAAGTTGAATAAGAGCCACCTCATTGGGGATTGGTGGTCTTGCAAATTCCATGTTCCTAATGAAGCTTACAAGATTGATTTTGTCTTCTATAATGGGAAAGACACCTATGACAACAACAACAAACAGGATTTCTACATTATGGTGGATAGTGAAATGGATGCAGTTGCATTCGAAAATTTCTTGCTTGAACAAAAGTTATTGGAGAAAGAGGAATCTGAAAGACAAAAGGCTGAAAAGAAAAAGGAAGAAGAAGAGCTAAGACGTAGCGAAGTGGACAGGAAAGAAAAGGAAGCTGATAGAGCTAAGGCAAGAGAGGAAGTTGCCAAGAGACAAAGAATGGTCGAAGAATTGACAAAGAATGCTCTGTTCTCACTTGAAGGAGTATGGGAGATTGAGCCGAGGCAATTTAAGGGCAATGACAAGGTTAGGTTATACTACAACAAGAGCTCAGGACCACTTTCTAACTCTCAAGATGTATGGATTCATGGAGGACATGATAACTGGAAATACGGGCCGGATATCGTTGCAAAGTTAAAAAATTCAGAGAGAACAGGCGGAGTCTGGTGGTGTGCTGACTGTAAGTGTCTATATGCTTCATGTCTTAATGAAAAAATTGGCACTAAAACTGAGTTATATATAACTGTATGCCATTAGTATTTCAGAATATTTTGGTCATAACTCGAAATCCTTCTGCAGTTGTTGTACCTGATGAAGCTGTTGTCTTGAATTGGGTTTTTGCTGATGGTCCACCAAAGCAGGCAGCTGTTTATGACAACAATCACACCCGAGACTTCCATGGCATTGTCCCGGCATCCATCCCGGGGGACACGTATTGGGTTGAGGAAGAAGAAAAGATTTTTAAGACACTTCAGAAACAAAGGCATTTAAAAGAAAAGGAAAAGCAAACTAAGGTGAGTTTGATAAAAGCACTGTAATAATTATATATACAAGATAGCATTGCATCCGGAATTCTGTAATCTGTTGTATTTGCATGTTTATTCTGCTTTTTTAAGTGTTAGCTGTATTATCTTTTTTCTTTTGATCTTCCATGTACAGGTCGAAAGAGTTGAACGTTTGAAAGCAGAGGCGAAGGCGAAAACTTTGAAATCATTTATGTTGTCTCGACAGCATATACTATTTACTAACCCCCTTCAAATCACGGCTGGAAGCGAAGTCACCTTATTTTACAATCCTAGCAACACTGTCCTAAATGGAAAGCCTGAGGTTTGGCTGACATATTCCTTCAATCGGTGGACATATTCCAATGGTCCATTTCCACCTCAAAGAATGATGCATGTTGAAAACAGCTCTCATCTCGCGGCAATGAGTAAGTTTGACTTCTGCATTAGTGTTTGTCAACATTTTGCAATTCCTATTTTATCTGGTTTACATCTTATGATTCTCTCCTCTTTCCTTCCTTCTTCGACAGTCAAGGTTCCTTTGGATGCTTATGTGATGGACTTTGTGTTCTCTGAGAGAGTCGGTGATGGAATTTACGACAACAATAATCATATGGATTATCACTTACCTGTGTATGGCGGCATCGTGCAAGAGCCCCCCTTGGACATTGTGCATATATCGGCTGAAATGGCGCCCATTGCGAAGGTAATTATCAGTAAACTGATAAGTATTTCTGCACAAAATTTGCTTGATGTGTTAACATTAACGTGCTCACAATTGTTGGATTTTATTTATTTACTTCTCCTGCAGGTGGGAGGTCTAGCTGACGTTGTTACTAGTCTTTCTAGAGCCATTCAAGACATGAACCATAATGTGCACATTGTCCTTCCAAAATATGATTGTTTGCAGTATAATCATGTAAGTTTTAAGTCGATTCTTCAGTGAAATCTCTTCATATTCAAATTTTTATGACAGCCCATGCTTTCACATTGGTTTAACATGTTTTTCTGCACTTACAAACTTTGCATTGCTGGAATAGGTTAAGGACTTGCAGTATCAGAAGAGCTACTTTTTAGGTTCGACTGAAATTAAAGTCTGGACTGGGAAGGTCGAAGGCCTGTCTGTCTATTTCTTGGAGCCTCTCAATGGGTAAATTTCTAGTCCTGCTGTCTTAACATTTATCATATCATCTTTGCAATCATAATAGATGCTCAAGAATTCAGAGACACTAATCTTTAATGTGACTGAAGATCGAATTTCCGAAGGGTATATATAGTATATATAGCCTAAAAGATACAATAGATTTTTCTGAATTCGATTTGTCTTAAATTTTTGGAACATGTTCTATTTCTTACGTCAAAAATATTTGTTTTCCAGATTTGTTTGGGCTGGTCGTGTTTACGGCTGTGGCAATGATCCCGAAAGATTTGGTTTCTTTTGCCATGCAGCTCTCGAGTTCCTTGTGCAAAATGGCTTCCATCCAGTAAGTTTAAGTCACAATTAAGCCGATATTCGAAGTCTATGAAAAAGCAAGAACATATTGTAATTTGTAAACTGATTCGACATTTCCCAAAAGATTTCTTCTACCTTTGATGGTATTTTCTTCCCAGGATATAATTCACTGCCACGATTGGACTACTGCTCCAGTAACATGGCTGTTGAAAGAACAATACGTCAATTATGGCCTCGACAAAGCTCGAGTTATCTTCACCATACACAACCTTGAATTCGGGCCACAGCTGATTGGCAGAGCCATGGCGTTTGCAGACAAATCCACAACTGTAAGCTCAGGATGATTCTGGTAATAACCTTACCAACAAGACTTGATTAATGTTTTTATTCTCGCAGGTTTCGCCTACTTACGCCCGGGAAGTTTCAGAAAATCCTGTAGTATCCCCACACCTTCAAAGGTTCCATGGTATCATCAATGGAATTGATCCCGACATTTGGGATCCTTACAATGACAGATTCCTCCCTGTAAGTACTCAACAACATTGTTCTGCAATGTTTGGATGATTTCTCTGTTTAATTAGTCGCATTTGGGTGAATTCTCAGGTACCTTATACTTCACATAATGTCATCCATGGCAAAAGAGCTGCCAAGAATGCTCTGCAACATAGACTCGGGTTGCAGATGGCTGATCGTCCGATGGTCGGAATAATCAGCCGATTGACAAAGCAAAAAGGAATCCACCTCATCAAACATGCCATTTGGCGCACCCTCGACCGCGGTGGACAAGTATGTCCGAATTATTATTTTCATAACCAACTTTTCCTTACTGATCGAGGATGATTGTGTTCTTTAGGTTGTTCTTTTGGGATCATCTCCGGATCCTCAGATACAACACGATTTCGTTAATTTCTCGAATCAGTTGAAGGGTTCGCATCATGATCAAGCTTGCTTATGTCTAACATACGACGAGCCTCTCTCGCACATGGTATTTTTTATCTTCGATAAATAGACTGTTTATGTCTCCATGCACGTGCAATATACACAATATATATATATATACCCGCATAATTATTGACATTTGTGGTTGCATAGATATACGCCGCCTCGGACTTCATTCTCGTGCCTTCAATCTTCGAACCCTGCGGGCTAACCCAACTCACTGCAATGAGATACGGTTCGATCCCCGTGGTTCGCAGGACCGGGGGTGAGTTTTCCTTCCCATCTCTAAACTTATTATCATAATCTTCGCCTTAACCATTCCCGGTTCAAAAATACTCGTCTCTACAGGACTTCGCGACACGGTGTTTGACGTGACAGATGACGTGGAGCGAGCAAAAGGCTTAGGCATTGAGCCGAATGGATTCTGCTTCGACGTCGCGGACGAAGCCGGAGTAGACTATGCTTTGAATAGGTAACTTAAAAATGCTCGACTTTGCGACATTCTTTTTTTTTTTTTTTTTTTTTTATAAATTCGATGCTAAGGCTTATATAATATATAAAATACGAACAGAGCAATCTCGGCGTGGTACGAGAAAAGGCAATGGCTGTATTATTTAAGCATGTGTGTAATGGAGCAAGACTGGTCTTGGAACAGACCTGCCCTCGATTATTTGGAGCTTTATTATGCTGCTGGAATCAACAAGTAATTTGGACATACACATTTATTTATTATTTTTTAAAAAATTTTGGTTTGTAGAATATTCAGCTTTAAGACTGCTGTTAGGCCTGATTTTGATTTGTGTTACGTTTTTATTTCAGACAAGAAATTATTCTTTTTTTGAATTTTGGGACAGGTTAAAGATTCCATTTCTATTATATTCTGTAATTTTGCCTTTGTTGTATTCACGGTTTCTTTGCTTTAAATGGGCACACAAGATTTGCTTTTACTTTACCACTGTAGATATACAGCAATTTTACTCTATATATATATATATATATATAAATTATCGCGTGTTATGCTTCTTCTTTTTTTTATCCTTTGAAAAAAGAAAAAAAAAAAACCATAAAAATAAGTGTAGATTTTGAAGATGGGGAGATAATAGATTAGGATAATAGGTTTTAATTTTATTTTAGAATTATACTGTTGAATTAGGTACAAAATATATTGAATAATAGAAAATGAAACAAAATGTAAATATTATTGGATAGAAGTATGAATATATTAAATCAGATAGAATCATCTGTCTCATTAATACTTCATATACTTCCGCACACATAATGTATATATATATACACACACGTGTATACATTATTTAATATTTAAAATGGTTATATATATATGTGAAGAAGCAATAAATATTCAAATAAAACTATACATCATGTGAATCCTATGAATATGAATGTGAATTTATATTATTTAATAATGTAATATGTCTTTATCATATTTTTTTGCTTGTTTTAGCCCACAGAAATTTATTTTTTTAAGTCCAATTAATATTAAACCAATTAATTTAAAATTCGGCAATTTTAATGGTGATTGTCGGAATTTGGGATGCAACTATTCAGGCATAATTGCACTTATTTACAAACACATATGTTCTTAACTCTCCTATATGTATTATTTGTTTTAAATGAATTCTTAAAATAATTAACAACAATTTCTATTAACAATTTTGGTGTAGAGAGAAATATTTATTGCTAAAAAATTACTCCTGTAGCTGTCACTGACCTCCAAAGATCCATAAGATCATCCGCATCAAAGAAATTCTCCAAAAATTTATTTTAATTTCCATCTTATCTTTATTTTTTTTTATTTTACAATCTCTTTCATCCACCTTACTAAAAAAATTAAATATATTTTTTAATTTATATCAAAATAATTAATAATATTATTAAATTTAAATAAAATTATATCAATATATATCATTTTGTAAAAAATAAAATTTTATATAAAATAAAAATATAAAAAAAATAATTAATTAATTAAATAAATAATTTTTTTTTTTAAAAAAAGAGTTTTGTAGGATTGCTCTGCCCAGCACCCTTTCAGCAATACTTATTTTCCACATCATCATTTTTTTTTTAACTGCAAATGATGACGTGGGAGTTTAGCCATTAAAAAAAGCACACACATTAAAAATAAAAATTAAATGCAATATTATCTCTAAAAATTTAATGCAATTTATTTCAGTGTTATATATCTGAGCAATATGTCACCGCAATGTTGGCATGATTTCAACAATTCCAATTTAATTTAATTTAATCATTTTTTTCAATTCATAGATAACATTCATATTATTTTTTTAAATAAAATATTTATTTAATATAAAAATTGATATATTTTTATTAAATACGATAAAATATCTGCATTAAATATGTTTCTTTTGTCAATTTTTTTTAATTTGACTATTTATTTTTTTTTAAAAAAATATATATTCTTAAATATTATTTTAATATTAAATTCAAATTAATTTTTTTTTAATTTATTCCAAAAAAAATACAATTTACCATCAATATATATATATATATAAAACAATAAATCCGACAAAAAAGAAATAAATAAAACAATGAAGGGTGTGGATTCATCCGGGATCTGTGCTCCATGGATCCCCCAAGAATCCAACCCAAACCAACACCACTCTTGAGTGACCCTATTCTTGTAAAGCCATTTTCTGTATTCTGAAATGACCTGAGAAGACCTTTCAACCAAACCCCATTTTCCTGACAATAAATTTTCATCACAATCATTCAAAAAAAAAGACCCCCCACTTGCTTCAGGACATTGTCCTAAAAGATTGCCAAAAAGACCTCAGGACTTCACTCATTTTACAGATCTATTCAGCAAATATATAATTATCCATCCAATCATCAGACACCATTAATTCACCCATTCAAGAATATGGTCTATTACTATTATTATAATCAGCACAGCAAGTATAGAAGTAGCAGTCTAATTAAGTGGAAACCATTATATGAGAATGAAAATTAATTACCACAAATCTCAATGTGCATTGCATTGATAGATGAAGTATATATTGATCTGAAAGTGGCAATTGACTCCATCTGCACTTTCTTCCATAAAGTTGCAACCTTTACTGCACTTTAAATTTTCTGTGATGGAGTTTGTGACAGTCTAAGTTGGCCCTTTTTTTTAAACTTTGGGATAAGGTTGATGATGAAACCAGTGAGTGAGTGAGTGAGTGAAATTGAGCTTCCCATTGCCCAATCATCTTCCTCCACTTTGCCCAATCAAAACCCTTCGATCGTTTTCCTGAACCAACCCCTATTTAATTCCCTACCTATACATTTTGAAAAAAGAAAAAGAAAAACCCTAATTCAAGAATGTAAGAAAAACAAAAGAAATGGATTAATTAATTGACATTAAAAACTTTTGGCTCTCCTTTTATCTGCTTTTCTGTGGGCGTTGTTTTGGACTCACTTCTTGTGGCTTGTGTTACAAAAACCCCACCTTTCTTACATCCACAGTAGTCTTTTTGATATTTGTTGTAATTTGGGATAAAGTTTTCATTTATTAATTAGCATAGCCCACAAGAAACCCCACTGGTTGCAGCAGACTCTCATCTGCAATGGCCACAATTTATTTATTTATTTTAAAAACCCTTTTGTTTTTGTTGTGGGATTTCATATAGGTGAAGTTTGTCGTTTTATGGTCAGTAGTCTGAGTGTGAGTCTGAGAGTGGTATTGTATTTTCAGCGGTGGTTTGACATCTGTCATTTCGCTTGGAAGTTTCTTGACTGTCACACAACACACAAATTCTTGATTGGTTCTTGTGGGGGGGTTTTTGCAGCTGCTCCATAAAACTCAGTCGAATTCTGATAGAGATTGGAAAAAGTTGTTCTCTTTTTGGAGGCATTTTAGCCTGCTGCACCTTAGCTTAGCTTAGCCATACTCCAAATCCATGGCAGATTCCTGATATTATTCTCTTACACTAAAGATCCTCCTTTTTTAACACTTCCTTTCAAAATCCCCTCTTTCTTACCACTATTTATCCACGATTTGGAATTGAAAACCCTCCTCAAGCCCTTTTTCTTCCTCTTGCCCTCTATTGGGTTTTTGTTGTTTTGGGTGTTAGAGCTCCGGCCATGGCGGATTTTCAGGGAGGGGGAATGGCGGCGGCGGGGTCTGAAGATTTGCAGGAGGAGGAAGTCTGGGCTATGGTGGGTGGGGGAAGATCAGAAGGCTCAAACTCGAAGACAACGAAGAAGAAGAAGAACTCGCGCTCCAGTGCCATCCCCCGCGCCGCCGCCGTCGCCGTCCAGGACTGTCCGAATCAGCCGTCGTCGGCGCCGGTTCGCATTCCCGACTGGTCGAGGATTCAGAAGAAGCACCCGAACAAGAACAGCTTTTGGGATGACGGCGGAGACTATAACAATGACGACGACGATGTCGTGCCGCCGCATGAATTTCTGGCGCGGCGGCGAGTGGCGGCGAGTGAAGTAGCTTCGTTCTCGATGTGTGAGGGCGTGGGAAGGACGCTGAAAGGGAGAGATCTGAGCAGGTTGAGGAACGCCATTTTAACCAAGACAGGTTTCATCGAATGAACGAAATTAAACCAAACAAACACATCACTCATCTGTCTTCTTCATCGCCATCGCCATTGCCAGCAGCAGATTAAATTAAGTGAAGGAAGGGGTCCCATTGTTTTTTTTTTAAAAAAAAAAAGATAAGGAAAAAAAAAGGGTTCATTTTCTTGAAATTAGAGAGTGAGTGAGAGTAAGCCCGGTTTTGTCCAAGGAAGGGTTTTCTTTTCTGTGTATGATCAGTTCTACAATACAATATTATCTATATATATTATATGTATTTTATGTGTAGAAATTACCAAATAGGGGTGGATCGAAGGCAGAGCACAATCTTTACTTAGGTTGTCAGATAGCAGCAGCAGCAGGCCTTTTTGGATTCATTGTACTAACAAGAAATCATGTAAAGAAATTTGGCAATTGTCAGCCTGCCTCTCTGATCTGTATGCAAGATTTGTGTTTCTCTTTATCTTTTTGTTTCTTAGTTACCCTTCCCCCCTTTTGGCTTTATAAATCCCCACTTCAATTCTTAATTCAAGAAAAAGAAAAAAAGTGATTGAATAAGCAAATCATCTATCTTTTATGGGACATCTCACTTTCTTTTATAGATTGTGCATCTGGCTGACAAATGGAATTTCGAACAAGATCAAGAATGTACTGTTATATTGGCGCGGTTCAATGAAAAAACTAAACTCAGCATAGATCTGGAATACATCTTTCAAATTGAATCGCATCAATATCTCGTATTGATTTAGCCCTATATCTCCGGTGATATGCCTGCATGGTTACGGAGAATCATGTAAATATATATAATATATGTACCTATATATACAAAATTCCAAATGAATTTGTGCAATCACACCTGTTAAGAGTGACAACAAATGAATGTATGTGATTTTCAAAAAAAGAGCTCAAGAAGGAGCCTAGCATAATGAAAAACAACTAGATGTCGCCAATATATATAAATATGGTTACATAAGTTTTTGGTCACAATTTTTTTCTTTATAAAAAACCAAAGAGTGGTTTTTCATTATTCTCCCTATTCTCTCTTTTGCAGGAAAACTATGATGATTGGCATCAAACGTGAACAGACAAAATAAATAGTGGGTTGTAAGCTTGTTCTTGAAAGAAGCCACAACCAAACCAAACCATATCCTTTAATAATCTCAAATAATTATACATTGTTGGAAGAATGGCTGCAAATGGACAAATGCAATCTAACACACCAATGGAGATTTCATTTAAATAAGAGACACAAGTCAATTTCATATTCTACACAAAGGGTAACAAATTTCAAATTGAAGCTGGTTTATGTGATCATTATGAACTGTGACATAGTTCAAGAACTGATCGAAGGGAAAATGTGTTAATAGCTTCTTGCTGAATTTTGTCGAAAGTTAGAAGCAATTACAATAGGGTTTCTTTGAATTGTGTTTGTTCATGGTCCTAGTAAGGACAGCAATATAATAGGTATCATTACACATATAATTAGGTAAAAAAAATTGTTTGACAAAATTTCATTAATCAATATTTATTATTTTTTAATAGGCTATAAAACTAAAAGAAAAAGAAAAAAAAAACAATTTGGATTAAGACGGAAAGAATACTGTTCAAACAGAAATTCAAATCAAAATTGCAAAATCAGCTTAACTTATAAGCTCTCTCTGTAAAGATGATATTTTACAGTAATGGATCGTGTTTGTTGGCAAGAAAGATATAACAAAACAAGGGAACATTGCATCAAAGATCACACATTAGTTTTAAACAGCTTCTGTCGTCTGTGCCGGGGACGACGATGTTTTCTTATGGCATTTATTCTTGGTCCACTTAATGCCCACAACTGATATGATCTTCTTCACTTTGTGTGCACCTGCAGCAGCAATGGCTCTGGCCTTGCCAAGCCCACCTGATCCAGAGCCCTTTTCAGAGCCATGATCCTTTCTGTTTCTAGTTTCCTCATCGCCCATGGCACCTATACCCCCTTCACCCCATTGATCAGCCCAGCTTGGCCCGGCCTCTGCAGCCATCCTAGCAGCCTGCCTGCCTGATCTAAGGTAAACTAAGCACACAAACTGAAATAATCGAAAACCATATATAGATTTATGGAAATGGAAAATTAGTACCTTGCTCGGAAGAAGGCAGTAAGAGCCTATAATTTGATCTGATCTGCTAAAAAAAAGAAAGTGGGGAATTTGGAGAAATTGAAGGTACTTAGTATAGAAAAGGAGAATATGGATAGGCTGTCCATTTCTAACCAAACAGATCCTTCTCGGTCAAGGAGAAAGAGAGAGGACAGCTAGCCAACTTACAAAGCTCGCTGTTTTCGCAAGCAAAAGTATAATGATTTGGTGCATGTTGTCCCCCCTGGTGTGTGTTAGCCATTGCCATTTCAGCTGGCAAGGTTTGAACCATCTGCATCTTCGGGTTTCTTTGCATCTGTAGCAAACTGATGAGATATACACTGATATCATAACACATTAAATAGCAGGGTATTGCAATTTGTCGATGACATTCACAAGCATAAAGCATAACAGCATGATAGAAATAGTTTACACAGGATATGAAGTTTGAAAGGTGCATCTCATGGCAACTGTTACGGAGGGCTGGGACTAATGCCGCTCGTTCACAAATTATTGGACTAGAGACTAAAGCAGTTACGAAGGGAATACATCATTTCTTGTATTGCTAGGTGACCCCACTAGTTTGACTCAAGTTCCTTCAGAAAATCTGCATTGTCGACCAGAACCTACATAAAGCAGAGATATATCCATTAAATATCAGCTCCATTGGGGGTTAATTTGTTCAGAAGATTAATCATTTGTCTGAAAAAATACAGAGTGTGCAATAGCTTAGCTTATTAAGACTTTGATCAACAGTACAGAGGTCAAGTAAATAAATTGAAGAAAGAAGATTCCTCTTATAATACCAAATACACAACGTATATTCGTAATTGTTATTAAAATGGGATTGTACTTTTATCTAAATGATTAGTACTACGACACAGCAAACTTACTGTTTTCCACCCGTCTGGATCCAGGAAAGAAGTGATTTTGGTGTTGATTCCAGGAATTGGTCCTGGCTGTCGAGTTATTTTTCCACCAAGCTCCTGGGTCACAAGGTTTACAACCTCGGCACTCTTGTACACATCATCAGTGCTGATTGCAACCTTGAACAAAGAACGCATATATAACGACTGTCTAGAAAATACAAGTTTATCGAAGAACTTAGATAAAGCAATATCCAGCAAACCTGTGCATATGCATTCCCTTTGGTATATTCTGCAACACCGTAGTTGTATGTCAGTTCCAGAACTGTGGTTTCCAACTCATCAGCATAGCCCATCATTGCTATGGTATACTGCAAATGTAAAAGCCATGGATTTCACCTCTGAGCTTAGTGCGGAATGTAATAGGCACAAACAAAGCTGGTTCTTTTCCAATTTTGATACCTTCTGTTCTGGTCTGTCAGTCTTTTTCACGACTCTCATTCCCAAAGCCTAGATAAAAACAGAAAGTGAGAGTTAGATCTTGTAATAGCTGACATATGTACGAACGTATGTTCTCCATCATTCAATGCAAAGAGTTAACCTTACATCAACTTTAAAGAATTTTAAATAGATTATAAAGGAAGAAGAGTTAACCTTCTCATAAAATTTGATTGAGCGCTCAAGATCGCCCACTCGAAGCATCACTTGGCAGAGAGGTTCAGGAGTAGGACCTCGTTGGATAAGTTCAAAAAGATAGCCATCTGGATCCTTTGCAAAAGCAATGACAGACTTACCACCCTTAACTGGACCAGGCTCGCGAGTGATTGTTCCACCCTTGGCCTTAATGTCTTCAACCAGTTTGTAAACCTTACCAACAGAAATTTATGGAAAAAGCTAAATGAATCAAATACTCCAACCTTCCCCTCATATCAAGTTTAAAAGATAAAGAAACAATCAATGAGAACTGACATCTGGAGTTGCTATGGCAAAATGCCCAAAACCTGTTCCAATATCATACTTATCAACGCCGTAGTCTGCAGATATGCATTCTCTATTAGTAAGCATTAGAAATACTGGTGTAATATGCGTAAGAGTGAATTTGTGTAATCTTCAAGGATCTCTTAAACAAGATACACCATGAAAATCAATAACTGCAAGGTTATATAAAATTAATAATTCATCATACTGTAAGTCAATTCCACCACAAAGTGAGAGTCTTCAGGACCAAACCCAAGGAAAGCATTGGCATATTTTTCCTCTGGTACATCTCTTTTCCTCAATAGCTTCATCCCAAAGCATTCTGTGTAAAATCTAACACGGGATTTCAAGGAAATAAAATAAGCAAGCTGCACTTCAGAAATTTCACAAGCAGTCATTTCTATGTAAGATAACACACTTGATTGTGCGGTCAAGGTCTCCCACTCTATACACAGCATGTAAGAATCTTCTTTTGTCCTTCTTAGGCCATTCCAATAGCTCATTGCTTGGCGCGGTTGCCTTTGCTGCCTCAGCCATTGATCTGCATTCAGTAAAGAACAACTTTTTTTTTTTTGTTAGAGGCTGAATTATGAAGTAAGTTAAAATACAATAACAATATTGCTTCTTGTGTATATTTCCTTGTATTGAATTGGGGAAAATGACTAAAAGAAATTATTACTCAACCCAAAGAATAAGCATCTAAAGAAAATAAATAGAGCACCACAATTATTGAAGAATTTTCCTCTATTCGGTTTCAAACAATAACTCCAATGCAAAAAGAGGAAAAATTTTCTCTTTGCTATTAAGCTATCTATGCTCTGAAATGTTGTGAGCAAATATTCTATTTAAATTGAATGTAGTGAGGAAATCAATTTATTTTATTATTATTATTTTCTTGTTTATCTATCATTTCCAGCCTACTTTCCTCTAAAAATCATCTCGACCAAATCAAACACACAAATCCATTTATCAAAATCTTAACAAAACGATTTTAAATCAATCTCCCTCACTGACTCAATTGCACAAATGAAACCGTACACCCGTGCTTTCTGAAAATTAAATAACCACTGGCGCCTACAGCTTAATCACCAATCTTCCCATATAATTAATTTCATACCGAAATAGATTAACACAAAAACACTGAATCAATATACTTATCTCCATCACTCGCACGATTTTATGAAAAATGAAAAGGTAAGACAACAAGAACCAAAAGTTAATCGATTGAACATTTCGTTGATTGATAAAATTTTAAAGTAGTTCAGGATACATCACGAGAATCAAATACCCTTCTTCAAAGTGAGATGGATCAAAGGAGAGAGAGCATTACCACTGTCGGCGATTCCTCTGCGAAGAGCAAGGGATTCTCCAGAGGACTCTTCAAGAATCTGGACTCTGGAGTAAGTGGGGAAATGCAAATCTGTATAAAACCCCTGTGATAACCGCCTACTAAGCTTACCCGCAATTCCAGATAGATTTCTGACAGACGATGACATCCGTCAAATTCAGAGAATGGATTCCCATCCCACGGCTATAAAATGTCCTTAAGGATTTAGAGCCAGGGCACCATGCTTTATACGTATCCACTCAAAATACTTGTTTCTATTAAAAAGTTGTATTTACATATCAAAATAATTTTATTCTTATTTTTAAATATTATTTTTTAAATAAAATATCAAAATTATCTTATACATTTGAGCCAAAGACAATTTGTTGTAAAAATTTAATTATGATAAATGCAGTCCAATAGCATGAACTATATTTCATACACTTTTTTTGTCATTTTGTTTCTACATCTTTTAGTTTAATATTTTGTAAAATAAACATAATTATTTAAGATTATATTTAAAAAAAAATGCAAGCAAAAGTTTTTTTTTTTTTTTTTTTTTTTTTTTTTTATTTGTTTAGCGACGTGGTGTATTCTATGCAAATTTTCGATTGAATCTAAAAGTTTGTAAATTAGATTTGAAAAAACAAATCATAATTATATATGATAGATAAGATCTTAAAACATAAAAAATTTGAACTCATGTATAAAAAATATATATATATATGTTGAACTCATGTGTGAAATAATAAATTTTAACAAAATTCTAATTACCCAAATTGTAGAATTTATATAAATTGTGCATAATTGACAAAAGTACTTGGTACTTAGGTACCATGGTGAGATTCTTCAAAACTAGTCTCGAGTTATTTTTGTATTTTGTGTTAGTGCTCAATAAGTAAAATTGTTAAGGACTTCACGTATATTAGACCCGCGTAAGGATGAATAATTCATTCCATAACAAGTAAACACATGAGCAATTATTTTTCAATACATGAATGAGATTAAATCAATTGTATATATTATTATAATATATTATTGGTTCATGGATTCGTATTATATTAACAAATTATTGAATTTTCACTGTATTTTAAATAATTGTGAAAAATATTATTATATATTGTTAATATATATTTCTATTATATTAGCAAACTATTGAGTTCACTATGTATTAAGCATGTATTTATTTTTTTTGATTTTTTATTTTTTTACACTATACATGAATTATTTATTTATATATATATTTAATAAAAAACTGTGAAATTGTATGACAAAAATATAAAATAGAATTTATATATATTTTTAATAAAATTAATTCATTAAATTAACAAGAACATGCTATTTACATGTGAAAAGCAATGCTTCTACTTTCAATAACTATTTCTTCTAACCTCGGCTTTGTTCGGACACTGCTCCAACTTTACGCACCAAGCCGCCGTCAGGATTCCGCTGTCGGTCAGCGCCGTGGGGGTATTATAGTAATTCCACATCTCACACTCGGATCCGAGTGACTTTCTCGAGACTAATTAATGCTCCTTCCTTTTCCCTCTCATCGTCTCCGAGTCCAAACTCGAACCCACCCGCTCCTCAAATTCCTGAAAATTTTTCAGGTCCCGAGCTGGATCGGCTCCCGCGGACGCCGACCCAGACAGAAGATGTTTCAAGAAACCCTTCAGCTTTTCTGTAATGGAGATTCGTAGCCTCATTCCCTTGTTTCTTCTCCTCTTCTTCTTCACTGTCTCTACTTCACTCTCTGCAGGTACGCTGCCTGAAAACCCTATCTATAATGGCGTGGCCGATTCTAATCCGTTGATTTCGCGGTGCAGATTTCAGGGCTCAGCAGGATAAAGACGAGCCGTTCGTGGGAGTTAACATCGGCACAGATGTGTCCAATCTGATTTCTCCATCAGATTTAGTCTCCTTCCTGCAGTTGCAGAAGATTACCCATGTCAGGCTCTACGACGCCGACCCCGAAATCCTCAAGGCCCTCGGTAAGACCAAGATTCGAGTCATTGTCAGCGTGCCCAACAACCAGCTCCTTGCAATTGGCTCCTCCAACGCCACCGCCGCCGCCTGGATTGGCCGGAATGTGGCCGCGTACTACCCGGCGACTCTCATCTCCGGCATTGCAGTTGGGGACGAAGTCCTGACCACAATCCCTAGCTCAGCCCCTTTGCTCATGCCTGCAATTGAGTCACTCTATAGTGCTCTTGTGGCCGCCAATTTGCACCAACAGATCAAGATTTCTACCCCCAATTCTGCCTCCATTATCCTCGACCCTTTCCCTCCTTCCCAAGCTTTCTTTAACCAGACATTTACTCCGATTATCATCCAATTGTTGCAGTTTCTGTCGCGGACACAGTCTCCATTGATGATGAATTTGTATCCGTATTATGTGTTCATGCAGAACAAAGGTGTAGTGCCATTGGAGAACTCACTTTTCAAGCCCCTGACGCCGTCGAAAGAGATGGTTGATCCCAACACTTTGCTGCACTACGACAACGTCATCGACGCGATGATCGATTCGGTGTATTTCTCGATGAAGAATCTTAACGTTACTGATGTGGTGGTGCTTGTTTCGGAGACGGGGTGGCCCTCGAAAGGGGATTCGAAGGAGCCTTACGCAACAATAGACAATGCGGATACGTATAATTCGAATTTGATTAAGCATATTTTTGATAGGGGTGGGACGCCGTTGCACCCGGAGATTTCTTCTAGTGTATACATATATGAGTTGTTCAATGAGGACTTGAGATCCCCACCTCTGTCCGAGGCTAATTGGGGGCTGTTCTACGCGAATACAACCCCCGTGTACTTGCTTCATGTGTCTGGGAGTGGCACGTTTTTGGCTAATGACACTACTAATCAGACGTATTGTATAGCCGTGGATGGCATTGATGCAAAGACGTTGCAGACTGCTTTGGATTGGGCTTGTGGACCGGGGAAGTCGAATTGTTCGGAGATTCAACCAGGGGAGAGTTGCTACTTGCCTAATAATGTGAAAAATCACGCTTCGTATGCATTTGATAGCTATTATCAAAAGGAAGGAAAGTTTTCCGGTTCTTGCGACTTCAAAGGAGCTGCCATGATCACCACAACTGATCCTAGTGAGTGATTCTGCCTTATTACATATGCAGGTTTTGTTCGATAAATTATGTTTGACTAGTTCTGTGCTTTATAGTGATTCGAACAATTTGGTGATTTAAGGGTAATGTTCTTGAGATGAGGATCTTCTTGAATCTTTTGTGGGACATAATTTGGCTATCTGTGCCTCCAGATTGAGCTAGGAAAGTTTAATTACAAAGATTTGTGAACTGTCCATAAATGACCTCTAATCCATCTTTCCTTAAACGTGGTTTTTGATTTGGTTGTGGGGTTGCATTGCAGGTCACGGGAGCTGCATATTTCCTGGAAGGTATGCTGCATTTTATGTTGTTTGATGAGTACGATTCACTTCTTCATAAATGGCTACACATCACCATATCTATGTAATGGAGAAACAGGGTCTGATCTTGTGCAATGTGACTTCATCTTGTAGCAAGCTTGTGAGCAATAAGACAAGGGAAGTGGTGAACTCAACACAAGCGAGTGGTGGTGCTGATGCAATGAGGTTTGTGGGACTCCATTTATGTTGTCCTGGAATGGCTTTGCACCTGTGGCTGGGAATCCTGTCGTGTCTGTTTTATTGCATAATTCTTGTTGTATGATTGCCAGTAATGGACAGACTTTTGGGTAATAATTAGGTGGTGGGGTTGGTTCTATGGTCAGCAGGGAGCCACCGTTTTTGATTTCTTCTTTTTATTGTTTTTGTTGTTGTAAAAACTGTTGTATTTTATTATGAGTCATTCTTGAAATGTAATAAGATTGATTCGAATCGGAGGCCCGATAGGATGCTTTTGGCATTGCTCTGTTCTTTGGCCCATTAACGGGAATCTTGATTTGTGAAAATCGATCGCTGCAGTGAAAACTGAAAAGCGGCAAATCTTTAAAAAGATGGGTTTGTTTTCGAAATGGTAAAAATATCTCCGGCGGCATTGATCGCAGCGCGATCGACTCTCTCACCCTTTCGTCTTCTTCCCTTCAAAAGTATCTCAAAGGCTCCGGAGAGTTTTGTTTCGATCAAGAAAATGGCTTCTTGGGCTTGCTCTAGGTGTACGTACATCAATCCGCCCACAGAAACATTGAACTGCGAAATCTGCCGCTTCCCGCCGCCGCAGTGGGTTGAAACGTCGGCGGCTCCGCCGGCGTGGTCTGAATCGAAGTGGACTTGCGGGGCGTGCACTTTTCTGAACCGTTATTGCCGGAAAACCTGCGAAATCTGCGGCACTAGGGCTTCCTTTTCTTTGCTTTCTGCTCTTGAAGTCGACTTCGACGACCCCGAAGAAGCGCGGTTGGGCTCCAGCGTCGGCAACGTTTTCCTTCCCTTGCAGAGGTGTAGAAACAACAATAACATCGACGATGAGAAACCCGATGTTGCTAGTACCGACGCAGAAAGTTCTGGAAAGTCGAAAGGGGTTTTTGGTGGGGGTAACATTGATTCCTCTCCATTGCGGAATTGCAGTAATAAAAGGAAATTTAGGGGGGACAGTACTTCGATTGAAGCTCTGAATGATGCAAATAAGGCTGTCGATGATCAAGCAATGGGTAATTTTCTCAAACTCTGTTGATCTTGAATTGGAGGTTATATCTGCCATTGTTGGTAATTTCATCTTGGATGATGGATTGTGGTGGATCATATCATTCGATGTTTTAACTTTTTAACTTTGTACATTTGATCTTTTGATGTCAATGTGAGTAATCTGGGTGTAGATGAAGCTAGTATGAGTTCGAAAACTTGGAAAGTTATGAGCTACAATATCTGGTTTCGCGAAGATGTGGAAATGCACAATAGAATGAAGGCATTAGGCAACCTTATTCGACTGCATTCACCAGATGTTATATGTTTACAGGTTGTGTTTTACCTTTCGATACTCCTAAGTTCATTTTCTAGCCATATTTTCTCAAGAAACTCGTTTTTTTGCAGGAAGTGACGCCTAAATTCTATGACATTTTCCAGAAAACCAATTGGTGGAAGGATTATCAATGCACGGTAGCAGATAAGAAGGCCATCCAGGGAGCATACTTCTGCATGCAGGTGAGATTGTTCGGCTTCTATAGCGAATCCTCTTTTAGCGTCCGCAGATCATCATAAAGAATTTTGATACTTTTGCAGTTGATCAAACTTCCGGTTAAGATGTATGGCTGCCGGCCCTTTTACAATTCAATCATGGGACGGGGAATTCATATGGCCGAGGTTAATGTGCACCGAGATGTTTCGATCATTGTTGCCACAAGCCATTTAGAAAGTCCTTGCCCGTCTCCTCCAACCTGGGATCAAATGTTCAGCAAGGAGCGTGTGGAGCAGGCCAACGAAGCTGTGAAGTTTCTTGACAAGCATCAGAATGTGATATGGGGCGGGGATATGAATTGGGATGATAAATCAGACGGTCCTTTCCCCTTATCTGAAGGATGGGTCGACGCTTGGGCAGAGCTAAGGCCCGGGGAAGACGGGTGGACATACGACACGAAATCAAACAAGATGCTGACCGGCAACAGAACTCTGCAAAAACGACTGGATAGATTTGTATGCAAGTTGAAGGATTTCAAGCTGGTGGAAGTTGAAATGATTGGTAAGGACCCAATCCCGGGCCTCTCGTATTTGAAGGAAAAGAAAGTTAAGGGGCAGGTCAAGGAATTCGAGCTTCCAGTATTTCCGAGCGACCACTACGGGCTACTGCTGACGATCGCTCCTGCTTAAGGGCAAGGCACCGTTTTGAATCATTATCTTCTCATTAAGGCAGGTTTGCTTCTTACTTTTGTATCGGCAATGGACCAGAAAATGAAAATTTGCGTCGAACTTTAGAAACTTCTAATCTTTGTTGTTCTCCAAATGCAAGCCATTTTGAAACATTGCCTGTATATTGAGAAGAAATTTGAGATCACTGTGTTCTAACTAGATGTTATAATTGTTCATATCCATACATATACTCTATTTTATTACATAGGAATAGGATAAACCCCCCACGCCACCCCACCCCACCCCCATTCTTGTGCCTCAATTCTTGGATTCACAGCCTGAATTCTGCATTCATGTCACGGGTGATGGTTTGGGGATTATATGATATTCTTGTTATGTTGGGACAAGGAAAGCACAGAGAGAGAGAGTCAGACAGGTAGCTTTTACACAGCTAGCTGGCAAATGGCATCGTACTTGGCATCTTTGTCCCTATTCATTCAGGTCTGCAATCAAGGCGCCTCTACCGTTTATTGAAGAAGGGATTGGTATTCAAGATTTCCAGTGGCTTCTCTATATTATAATCACCGTCTGTAAGTATTTTAAATCTTGACTCATGTCCATGTTCTTGCACTTTGGTTTTAAATTGGCATCACTGGATGCATGTGCCTGCAATCAATGGCGTAATTTGTTGTAATTAGTGAACACATAATTGATGTCTGCCAAAGTCAATGTTATGATCCCAGTTGGCATACAAAAGCTTTTACGCTCTCAGATGTGTTGCAGGGATGAACAGGACGACCAGCACGTGACCTTGCGGGGGACAAATGCGTCATTTCATACACCATCGACTTCACTGGTAAACAGCCTGTTTCTGTTTCTTTATTATATACGCGGCAATGAGTGATGGAATTCCATTTCCATTCCCATTCCCACCATTTTTTCAGGTTCTCCATTTTTAATATGTAAAGAGGGAAAAGTCTAGCAGCTTTTGCTATATATTTTCCATCAAGATCCCTTCAACAAGGCGGTTAAAAAACCAACCTTTGAAGGCTGCCCGCCATGGCAGAGCACCCCAACTACCGCACCTCCTTCCTCGGCATCTGGGCGCTGCTGCTTCTCCTACATGGCGTCAATGGAGAAAACCCTTACAGGTTTTACACTTGGAGAATCACTTATGGCGATATTTATCCTCTGGGAGTCAAGCAACAGGTAAGTTCTGCAAATGTAATGTGTTTTCTTGTTTCTTGTGCTCTTCTTGAGGCGTGTTCTTTGTTTTTTGCAGGGAATTTTGATAAATGGGCAGTTTCCAGGGCCGACGATTGACTGTGTCACAAATGATAACTTAGTTATCAGTGTCTACAACTACCTGAACGAGCCATTTCTCCTCACCTGGTAACCAAAATCTTTACTCTCTGTCTGCAATCTTGCAAGAAATTTCACCCCTTTTGTCGCTAGATCTGTAATCTCTAACAGTGCCATTAATGTGCCTTGGAGATCCACCTTAAACCATTTAGATTAACAGTACATTGTGTTTTGGGAAAATGGTTCCTATCATTTTGAATGTTAGCACTGATTATTCAATAGATTCCTTTGCATTGATTGCTTACTACTGTTCATTGCCATATTCAATTAGGGTTTGTCAGTTGTCTCCACTTTGCACATGCTAGATCTGTTGATCTGACATCTATATTTATATCTTGCTTTTCTATAAAGAAAATCACAAGATTGGTTAATGAGGCATGTTCGTATGTGTAAAACCTAGTTTACTTCCATTCTTGGAAAATCAATGGCTGCTGCTGCTGCAACTTTATGTATTAAATCCTTACAACAAAGCTTAGATGCTTATGTATGAAATCCAGGAATGGGCTGCAGCAACGAAGGAATTCATGGCAAGATGGAACTTATGGAACCAACTGTCCAATCCCACCAAGAAGAAACTTCACATATGTCCTTCAAGCTAAAGATCAGATCGGAACTTACGTCTACTATCCGTCGTTGTCGCTCCATAAAGCTGCCGGAGGATACGGCAGCATCAAAGTCTACAGCCGTCCTCAAATCCCGGTGCCTTACCCCCCTCCAGCCGGGGATCATGTTGTTCTCGCCGGGGACTGGTTCAAGAGAAGCCAAAGAGTGAGAATCGACAGATTCGATCCTTCGATGATATGTCATTGCTGTTTTCATTCTGTAATTGCTGATGATCGATTTTCTTGTTGTCGTCGTTGCAGCAACTTAAGTATTTCTTGGATGGCGGTCACAATCTTCCCTTCCCCGACGGCCTGATCATCAATGGCCGCGGCTGGAATGGATACACATTCACAGTCGAGCAAGGTGACTCCCGTTGCTTAATCAGTTTTAGGCGATGATCCTTCGTTGTTTTTATCGATCCATCGTCTCGTTTTTGCAGGGAAAACGTATCGGTTCAGGATATCCAACGTCGGGCTCACGACTTCGTTCAACTTCAGAATCCAGGGGCACCTCATGAAACTGGTTGAAGTTGAAGGATCGCATACGGTCCAGAATATCTACGACTCTCTCGACGTCCATTTAGGTCAATCTTACTCGGTATTGGTCACGGCAAACCAGCCGCCGAAAGACTACTACGTCGTTGCATCCTCGCGCTTCACCTCGAAAGTTCTTACCACCACTGCCGTTCTCCATTACCGGAACTCCTTCTCAAAGGTCTCCGGCTACCCCCCAGGCGGTCCTACGACAGAAATCAATTGGTCTTTGGGCCAGGCTCGATCCATACGGTAACACTCTCGACGACGTTCTTACTAGAACTGCTTCCCTGGTTCAAAACTCTTAACTTTGTTTCGTCGAAACAGTCGTAATCTCACAGCCAGCGGACCGAGACCTAACCCTCAGGGCTCCTACCACTACGGACTGATCAAGCCGGCCCGGACGATCGTTCTTGCGAACTCTGCGCCGTACATCAACGGGAAACAGAGATACGCCGTCAACAGCGTGTCTTACATATCCCCCGACACTCCATTGAAGCTCGCCGACTACTTCAAGATCGGAGGAGTCTTCAGCGTCGGAAGCATCCCCGACCGGCCCACCGGAGGGAACGCCTATCTCGCCACTTCCGTTATGCACGGAGACTACCGATCTTTTCTCGAGATAGTTTTCCAGAACTGGGAGAACACGGTCCAGTCATGGCACATCAACGGATATTCCTTCTTCGTCGTCGGGTGAGTTTTGAATCCTCTTTACGTCCGCCCGACTTCTCGATCGCCTGCAGTTTACGATAACTTCGTTAAATGTAACAGGATGGAGGGCGGACAATGGACGCAAGCGAGCAGATCGCGATACAATTTGAGGGATGCCGTCGCACGTTACACGACTCAGGTATGCAGCTGCGTTTTCTCGAGTTCATGCGCTCCCTACGGATTTTAACCGTTCTGTCGATCCGCGTCGCAGGTGTACCCGAGGTCGTGGACGGCGATTTACATTGCTCTCGATAACGTCGGGATGTGGAATGTACGATCGGAAAACTGGGCGAGGCAGTATTTGGGACAGCAATTTTATCTACGGGTTTACACCTCGTCGGCGAGCTGGAGAGATGAGCTCCCGATTCCGAGGAATGCTCTCCTCTGCGGCCGAGCAAGAGGTCACCGGACCAGACCTCTTTAGAGCGGTGTTGTTGTCATCGTCGTTTTCGACCGTCACGAAAGGGTGACTGGCCGGCCATTAAACGTATGTTGTGAGCTACAATAATAGTCGAAGTAGCAGCTCAGCTTGAGCTGTGATTTGCATTTTAGCATTCATTATCTTCTTCACCATTCTTGAAAATTTGTAGTGCCGTTATAACTGATTCCCACGGGCATTTCTTGATATTCTGAAGATGTCGGAATTTCTGATACTCTTGGGTAAACAAAATCTCACCAAATTTAAGGATTGGATAAATTACATGAATCCAAGATTAGGTACAACTGTGTTGGCTTTCTTGTTCGAGCACTGATCTTGAATGATCGATCGTGTAATAATTTGGGAAATTCTATATAAATCAATTGAACTCAGCCCCCAATTGTCAAATTAATCGATACTCAAGAAATTCGATGGCGGCGGCGTTGGCAAGCAAGATCTTCTTTCTAGTGGCTATTATTGCATTTTCCGGCGCCGTCGACGGCAGGTTCTTACCGGCGGTGAAGAATGCCGACAGAATCCGGCCCACATTCTTCCTCCACCACTTCCCTCTCCATGGCCGACACGGCGGCGGCGCTACTCCGGCGGGAACCGTCGGCGTAGGCTCAGGGTTTTTTGGAAGGCCCGGCAGAAGATTCGCCGGCGGCGGTTCAACCGGACGTCTTGGAAATGGTAGAAGATTCCACAGCGACATCGCCGATGACGTCGAAGGTGGACTGAAGCCTTGAAGAAAGTTAAAATGATGTAGTAAAACGTTAAACATTAAAGTCGTCGAATTAAATTCGGAAGTTTGGAAGATGTGTAAGAACAAGATTACAAGGAGTAATTAATAAATATGGAATTTTGCATTTTGATTCTGAATTTTGGCTGTGGGCGATGGTGTAGTTATTGGAAAATAAGGGGGTCAATGTGTAAATGTAGAGAAGTTTAGGTACTGATTTTTAATTTAAGTTTCGAGTCCCATACATGGGGGAGACGGTGGTGCAGTCTCCCATGTGTAGAGCTGCTCGGATCCGAAGTCGTATGGTTTCAAATATCAATAATCTTCTCCCGTTCTCCGGTTAGTGATCGGCCGCCGGCGCCGCGCCGCCTCCTTGCGGTTTCTTTAGCTGCTGAAGTCCTACCGGTTGGAATCGATTTGAGTGCCAGCGGAAAGAAGGAATCGAAGGATGATCCAATTATTGTTCATCGTTGTGTTCGTGGAGATGGCTCTGATCGTGGTGTTCGTTTTCAAAACTCCGTTGAGAAAACTGGTGATTATGGGTCTAGACCGAGTCAAGCGTGGCCGCGGCACAATTGTGGCGAAGACGGTGGCGGCGATAGTGTTTGTCGTCATGGCGGCCACCGTGTACAATGCGGTGTCGATCCAGAGGCGTTGGATCCAGGAAGGCGAAGTCAACCCGACGGATCAGATTCTGTTTGCTAGGCATCTTCTCGAAGCTTCTCTCATGGGTAATCATTCGAAAATTCTCCGATTCGAACGAACTATATTTTTCTATCTAAATTCCGAGGTGATTATTTGTATGCGATTATAATCGTTTGATTCAATTCAGTCTCTATCATTGATCGGCTCCGTAGAACTGTGCCTTCGTTCGTTCATTTGATCAGAGATGCAATTTCAATTGTTGAACAGTCTTAGCATGAATTAGATCATTAGCTAAACTTTTTCTCAGATTTAATCGCATCGTCGAGTACATATTTGTTAGTGTGGTGAAATTTGGGGTTTTTTTTCCTACAATTGATGCTGGAAAAGTATTTCCTTAGAGGTGAGACAGATAAGAATTCTCTATTGGTGTGTGTAAACAAGGATGAACAAAATTTTGCTTCTCTATGTGATCTGTGTTTGTATGAATATTACATCCTTGATTGATTTTATAGTTTTGTAACCACAATTTTAGATTATCACCTGCAGAAGTCTAAAAATTTTCCATTGGAGAAGTGTTGTATAATCTAATCTGTGGAACATATGGTTGCCAAAACAAAACAAATCTTCATTCGCCATTCTTGTATCTTCGAGACAGATTTTTGCTAAGCTACTGTCCTGAGTAATAAGGAATTTGTATCAGTGAAGTTACTTCGATACTTATGAAGTAATTATTACGGGGTGGACGATATCTGTTTCTCTCGAATTAGATTATCTTCTTCGACCATAGTAATCGTAATATGCTTAACATTGCAGAAGAGATTTCTGAAATGTATATCTGCCTAGTCCATGGCTAGATTCATCACAGTTCCTACAATTTGGATCATTCTTTGCAATAATTCCCATCAACATTATTTTCTTGCAGCGACAAAGTGGCCACTTTGTTACACAGAACTAACTTGAACGTTACGAAACTTGAAGCACTGGATTGTGCAAAAACTACCTGATCTTCAATCTTGAAGTACTGTAGTTTTTATAAATATCTCTTACATATCGTCTGTTCAAACATCATTTACAACCATTTTGGCCTTATTGCCATTAAGTACCATAATTTACATCATATCTTGTTCTATTACTTAGTTCTTTAGGCATGTTATCACTTCATTCATGCTCTAAAATCTAATAAAAATCCATCTTCTGTGACTTTCGACTTAATTGTACAAATCTTTGTGTAGGATTCTCTCTATTCCTTGCACTGATGGTAGACAGGCTGCATCATTATATCCGCGAACTCCGTATAAGGAGGAAGAGCATGGAAGCAGTGAAGAAACAAAACCGGGTTTTTGACGACAGTAAGGCTCCAGAAGAAATGAAATCGGTGGAAGAGAAGAATGCATTGCGTGGGAAAGTGAAACAGCTGGAAGAGGAGAAGAATGAGTTATGGGAGAGAGTGAAACATCTGGAGGCACAGCTCGAAGAAAAGAGTAAAGAGGCAGGCAGCGCCGAAGCGAATGCAGTGGCATTGAAGAAACAATCGGAAGGGTTCCTTCTCGAGTACGACCGATTGCTTGAAGAAAACCAGAATCTTAGAAGCCAATTGCAATCTCTTGATAGGAAATTATCACTATCAGATAGCAAGAAAAGATCGTAAGGTAACATAGACATTGATTTTGATTTTTGGTTTTTTTTTTGGGTTTTAGGGGATGATACTGATAAATAGATTGGTTTGCTGGTGTGGTGACTGCTTGCTAGATCAAATATAAGCCTGTGTTGTTATGTTATCATTTGTTTTCTACAATGCGCTAATGATTGGGTTTTTTTTTTTTTTTTTTTTTTTTTAATTATGTGAAATACTCTACTAAATTGTAGTGATATAGGGGAATGTGTGGTTTGGAGTTCGTGTGTTTTGACTATGCATTTAATTTTTTAAATAATTGTTAGACGTGGGGTTTAAACATTATATACCTTTTAACAAAAATATATATAATTTTTTTTTTCAAAAATATCATATTAAATATACTTTTAACGAAATATTACATTAATTATTCATTTTTCAATAAAAATTTTCAAAGTTGAGAACAATGAAAATAAATTATAAAAAGATTTGGGCTAATTATACTAAAAGAATTTGACATAATCATAACAAAAGAAGAGAATAATATTTTATTATTGAAAATTTATTAAACTACATATAGAAGAATAATAAAATGAATAAAGAATAATAGTACTTTAGTTACTTATTAAAATATAACTAATACAATTAGAAACGAATAAAATTATAAATAAATTATTCATAAATTTAATAATATCATTGCTATAGTAAAGTAAAACCATGATTCCATTATAATAATATCCATTCCATATTTAAAGAGAAATTAAAGGCAACAGTCAGAATCCAAAGCAGAGTTGGCCTTCTCTACCAACATAAAAAGCTTACCTCTATATACACATGTGCTGCTATAATAAATATCAAGCAACTTGCATAATCCAAGTCCAAGTATTTTCAGCATATCATATAATACATAAATCAAGCAACGACCTTGACCTTGACCTTGCAAGCATTTAAGCAGCTTCAGCAAACCCAACCCTCTGTTTGCCAAAATCAAACACCGTGTGATATCGCCCCATGAAGATATCTCCCAATATCCTGTGTATCGAATTTTCCAAGGTCAGATTTCAGAATATTTAGTAAATGTGTATTTGGAGCTTAGAAACAGGAATTTACCAAAGAGGGCCTCGGGGAGGAGGGACGTCGAGACCAGTGAACCCGCTAATGCACTGTGCAGCCGCTCCCTCTCCTACTTTCAGTATGTACTGTTTGTCATGTCATATACACAACACAACATGCATTATCATATCATTAGCAAGTGAATGGACACATATATATATATATATATTGTGCATTGGATAAAATGTATTGTTCTGTTCTGTTCTATCTAAATGGCCAACCTCGTGGGGGAAGAGATCCAATGTTTTATCACCAATTGTGAAGGATATGGTAGGCAAAGAGGAGATGCTTGCGCAATCAACAGCTGATTCTCCCATGGGACTCGGAAGCCGCTCGCAAAGCTGCCATTTGCCACATGCCCATCTTTAGATGTGTAAAACAAGAAAACATGGTCCGACTGCAAGCAAACCAAGTGATGGAAAAACCATACCTCATTGGCATAGTTCAAGATCCGTTCTTGGGTCTGGTTCTGGCTAAGTTGGTTTTGCATCCACACAACAGCCATTTCACAAGCCGAGCACATAGCATCGTGCACACCCGATGATTTGCCTTCTCTATCCACCACGCTCGCGATACCAGCACTGCGTAAAGACACCAAGAACAAAGAACAAAGATAAAAGTACTAATCAGCATTGAGGACTTAAGAGGACCCAAAGATTTACTTCTCGTAAAAGGCACATGGAGTAAGGGAACTAACCTAACACCGCGTTGCCCGTTAAATGTGCATAACCCAACTTGGGAGCATATTTTCTTTGGTGAAGTCTGTGACAATAAAAGTTCGGCATAGGGCATGATGACTAGATGTAAGAAAGAAATTTGTAGCATGAATACTGGCAAGGGCGAATTTTACCTGAGATAAAAGAAGTTCGAGGATAGTTGAGCCATATTGTTGGACGACAGCTTTGCATTCTTGACTAACGACTCCAGTGGCTCCAATAGCATGGTTGATCATTGCAACCACAGTCTAGCATGGAAGACGGATGATCAGTTAGTAAATAGCCATCAAAAGTTGACCAACATATTAATCAATAAAGGATCTATTGTCGAGTCATTTATTGTGGTTATGATTCTTAAAGAAGGATTAGAAATGGCACAAAATAAACAACTGGATTGGCTCAAGTCTTGATATACTTGATGCAATATTTGAATCAAGCCCAAGCTAGTGCTTCAAACCTTGATGATCTTGAACATTATTGCCGAAAGAGGAACCAGCTGAAAAGTAAAAAGTTCTAACATGATTCCAGACATACCATTGGCCCAGCCAAGAGAGAAGTTCCAGAATCGGCAATGGCTGAACATCCACCGGTACAGTAACCTACAGATAACAATAACGTCAGATTGGATGTTGTGAGAAGGAGCAGAATTACACATCCAGCCTGTTAGCGAAAACAGTTTGAAAGATTTATGGGGGCACATACCACTTTCTTTGCCATCAATAAGCACATCACCCATGTCAAACTACATTAAAAAATACACGCAGAGAGTTAGAATAGCACATGGCATTTTCTATATTTGCTCTTGCTGCTATAAAGATCTGGATAACAAACCTGCCAATATCCTTTCTTTGTCACAGGAACATATGTATGTTTTCCCTTATAATGATCCGGATCAACCCCGCCAAATACTAGTTCACCACCAGATTCTTCCTCTTGATTACGGTTGAGCCAAAATGAAAACACAGGCTCCTTAACAAGACCTTGCTCGACCATGTTGTACCTAAAAGAACTCAAGGTATCAAGACTCGCACAGTATTCCTCAAAACCAATTCTGATTGTTTAAAAATACTAGCAGTATATCCAAACCAAAATGCAAAGGCAAGCAGTATATGCAATTTTGAAATAAAAGATTATATCCTCAGATAGTAACTCCACCTCCAACTCATGACCAGAATCATATAATAACACAAAAGGTAGCTCATAGTCCAACATAAGGAAACCAAAAAGCCACAAGCTCATACCATACTGGTGTTGAATTTCCAACTGAAATCTCTTGAAAGCCAAGTCCCAGAATGCCATCAAATTTAGCCATCAAAAATGTTAGACTAGGTTCTTTTGTAGCCTCAATAAATTCCTGGCCATTATAACAATTCTACTATTAGTGTTCAGCACATACTAATCATAGGAACCAGAATATAAACGTGAAAGTTAACAACCTGGCTCTTTACTACTAGGTCGCCAACTGTGACACTATCTTCACTAAAAAATCCAGATATGGCCCCAGTTCCATAGTGGATTGCTGCTGATTTTCCTGTTAAGAAAATTTTAGACAAAATTGTAGAATCAATTCATTGCATACCATGTACCAATGCAGTGACTTCAAGAAATGATCAAATAGGAAAAGCTGCAAGCCCATAAATGTTACATAGCTATCAACTCCTTTCTTAAGTTGCAAGCGTAGGGAAGTGGAGAAGCAAAGGGGCAGACGTTTATGTCTAAAAAATCACAAATTGCCTGTCTAATTCAATGTTCAGTGAGGTACGCGAACAAAACATCAGACACAAGAGTAGGTAATGTAGACAAGGTACTCTTGAGACAAGGAGTCAGGGAGTGAAACAAACCATTCGCTTTGTAAGTGCTTGACTTGCTCGACTTGTACCTGGAATGGAAGTAACAGGGGACCTGCATCAAGATGCAAGTTCTCATAGTCACATGCATATCCATTTTTACCTTACGATTAACAAAGAATTTATAAATACCCAAACAAATATCTTGTGACTTACAGAAAAATGGCATTTGGAAGACGGCACCCATAGGTTGGAGCTACCAGTATCAAAAATCACAGTGAATTTCTGTGGGGGGGTGCCAATACCAATCTCTCCAAAATACTGTGCATCCATGTAGTTTTTCAATACAACTATATCAGTGTCTGCAGCATTGCTCAATATTCCCTTAAGATTGAAATGTCTAATTGAATCCCTCAATGTCTCCCCATTTTTGGACTCAACTCGAGAAGCAAACTCATTGCTTTTGGCAAATTTCATCTTCTTCAATCCTAATCTGACCAATCCATCATTTGATGCAGAAAATGCAAGAGAAGATAATAAGCTCGAAAGGATAAGTGTTACAGCGAAAGCTCTGAACCAAATTGCCATTATTTTCCTGAAAAGAAAAACATAGTACATGTCAGCTTATTTCCTAAACAATCATTACTACAACCTCTACGCCACAAATATACCATAAACGAAACAAATTGCAAAATCTGTTGGTCATTGCTAACAATTAGACAACCAACAAATTCCTTTCAGCTTTAATGAATTTAACAATTACTAAGAAACTATGAAACTGAAATAATTCAACACACATTGCAACAAAAATCATATCAACATATGAAACTCGAATCGCACCAAGCGTTAAACAAGTCTTTCCCAAAGAAATACCGTCCTAGATGGAATAGTTTTCATACAATCGGAAAAGGAAGAATACCTTGCTTGTTACTTACGCATATGTTCAACAGCGAAAGAAAGTTCAATAGTCGCTCGTCTATGCAACTAAAAGTAACACCTACCATCCTCTCCTTCCAACCACAATTTCACATATTTCACTTTACCAACATTAATACTACGTCCTCATCAGAACTAATTGAGTTTCCAATCAAACAAAAAAAATAATAATAAAGTACTAAAATCACGCAGCCAAAAGGAAAAAAACCTAATCGCTGGCCAAAAAATTAACAAATAACTCAAATCACAGCAAATGCATCCAAATTCATCCTTCCTACCGAGCAATTGGATTTCACTAAAAACCATTGCACCATGAAAAAACGTAAATCCGAAAAACCATACAAGCACACAGATATAACAGTAATACACTCACCAAAACGTCGATCATAAACACATAAGACAGTTTCACCACTTACCAAAACGATCAACAGTGATGCCTGCAGGAGAACAATGTTTACGGAAACCGAATAGGCGGTGATGGTGTGCGAGAATATATATAACAAATGAAAAAGAAAACAACCAACACTTGTTCCGAATATCTCGGCCGTCGATAGAGTCCAGTAGTCGTTATCACAGCCGTCGGATTTCTCGGGATATAGCTTTCTGATGATTCTCAGTTGCTGCCGTGGGCAATGAAATAGAAGAAGTGGCGAGTGTCGTGGCCTAGGCTAAAATGCGCCGCTCGATCTGCAGCGTTGGTTGCAAGATCGGACGGTGGAAAAGGGTCCAGATTAAGAGAATAAATTGGAGGCGGTGATAAGGATGGAATAACGTGATCGAAAACGACGTCGTAGTGAACCCAGCACAAATGCTGACGTGTCAAGAAAGCAAGTGAGGCTGCGTGACACGCGACGTCTGCTGTGTGGGCCCTATTTTGAAACGGCCCAAAAAAGGATAAAATATAATTATTACTAATTTATTGTTGCTTAAGAACTAAGCATCGAAATTCTATAAATAGTAGTTGAAATTTGTGGGCGAATTTTCGATAATTTGTCGAACCAATAACAATCTTTTGTTTATTTATTTTTTGTTAGTAAAAACAAAAATTAATATATACTGCTCAAAATTAGTGGATTTTAAAACCCCCTAAACCCTAACGCATCAAGAGCTTTATATAACATGAAATAGTAAAAAAAGTAAATACAACGATAATTCACAAACAATACAATTTATTTATTTTTTTTAAAAAAAAGGGGTTAAAATTCATGCAACCAAAAAAAATATTATAAGAATAAAAAAATAAAGGAGGTAATTACGTTCATTAAGGATTGAACAATACATAAGTTCATGTTAAAATTTTACAAGTCTATTTCAAATTGAACTAACCCGACTTGATCCGATCGAAACAAAATTAGGTCGATTTTTAGTCAATCAATTAACATACAAATACATTAAGCTACATTAGTATCTAAATTCTTCGTGTAAATTATATCTTTCCATGTTTGAACTTATATATATATTTTTCACATAGCGAGATGAAACAAACGTGACCAACAATCAAACGGCCAGCTCGAAAGAAAATAATACGGTGTGACAAATTAAACAAATGAAATATTAAATTGAATGCTCAATTTGCTGAACAACGCAACGCCGATCAAAGCATGCACTAGCCTAATGGTGATGAAACATTGTCGATCAAATTACCGACATGAAGGGAGGCCATAAGAACCTCGAGCACGAGAATTGGTCTTGAAAGAAGTAGAAGCCCTCATGCGTGATGTAGATTTTTATTTTATGTAAAGTCAATATAGAGAGAAACCAGAAAACGCATGGTTGGCGCACGACTTGATTGAAAAATTGCGAAAGGGGTAATCTGAAAATTTTCAGAACTAAATCCATATTGGATCCTAAAAAATTAATATAATAAAATCTAAAGACATCATATTTTTTACATGACAACAAATAGAGAAAAAATAAACAGCACAAATTAAGTTAGTCCCGTGACTGGACCTCTTTATCATTTTAGTCCCGTAAGTGGAGCATGTCGCAAATTAGTCCCATAAGTGAAAAATTTTCGTTGTTTTAGTCCTCCGGCGCCGGAGACGCCCGCGTGGCTCGCCGGAGGTGATGTGTTCGCCAGGTGCGGACAAGTGGATTTTTTTTTTTCATTTTTTTAAAAACTTTTTTTTAATTTATTTTTAATTTTATTTGTATTATTTTTATTTGGTCCAAATAAAAAAAAATTAAAAAAATGAAAAAAATAAATAAATCCATGTGTCCGCCAGGTATCGCTGACTTGGCGGGACACCTGGCGGACACGTCACCTCCGGCGAGTCACGTGGGCATCTCCGGCGCTGGAGGACTAAACCAGCGAAATTTTTTCACTTATGGAACTAGTTTGCGACAGGCTCCACTTACGGGACTAAAATGATAAAATGGTCAGTTACGAAACTAAAAAAAAGCAGTGTAGTGTGAAAGGAAAATGATCTATAAATTGATTAAAATTGTTGGGTGAGATAGAGGCATTAGTGTGAAAGGGAAATGATCTACAAGCAATGAATCATGTGGGTAAAATATTACTGAATTGGGATCTTTTGCTAATAAAGATTATAAGAAACCAACAAGAAATGCTAATTTTGAGAGAGTTTATTGTTGTCTAGGCACGATGCATCAACTAGAAAAGATAATAGAGATGAAATGAATGAAATATTGAATTATTATGATGTCGAATTGTGCTGATTAATTTAACCATCAATGAAAGATGATGTTGTCGAACCATGCCGATCAAACCTACGGCCTCAAGGAAGGTCCGATGGTGTGAGGTATCAAAAAAGTGAGACATTGAATTTAATGCTTTTGAATCGCGCCGATCAAACCTACAACCCAAAGGAAGGTCTGATGGCCCAAAGGAATATTTATGGTGTGCGAGATGAAACAAATGAAACATTGAATTTGATGTTGTTGAATCTCGCGGACCAAACTTACGACCAGATGGGAGATCTGATGGCCCAAATGAAGGTCTGATGGTGTGAAGGATGAAACGAACTAGGGATTGAATTTGCTATTATTGAACTGTGCTGGTCAAACCTAAGACCCAAAGGAAAGTCTGATGATGTGAAATTGATGAAACAAATGAGACATTGGAAAACGTATTATTAGCGCAAGGTTTGATTGAAAAATAAAATGCCAATTAATGATATTCATCACTTGCGAACTAAATAATTTGAAAATTTTCACAACTCAATCCACACTAGATTCTAAAAAAACTAATATAATGAAATCTAAAGGCATCATAACTTGTACATTACATCAAATAGAGAATAAGTAAATAGCACAAATTAAGTGATTGTTGTCTTCTCAACCATTCACATACAATAAATCCCAAAAATCAATTCATATAACAAAACATACAACTCAACATAGGCCTAACAAAAGATTAAAAAAAAAGATATAAAAATAAATAAATAAAGGATGCAAAAGACATTATTAAGAATTGAACAATTTAAGGAGTATATCTCAAACTGAATCAAGCCAATCCTAAAGTAAATAAATTAATGAAGATTGATTAAAATTGTTGTATGTCTAATGGTGTGAGATAAAACAAATTATGAAACATTGAATTTAATTTCGATATTTACGAATGGCGCTAATCAAATGATTGACCTGAAGGAAGACCGTCGAAAGGGCTTTAAAGTTCAACGATAATATGAAACTCTCAATGCTAATATAATTCCCGAACAAAAGTACAAAAAAAAAAAGGAAAAGCTTTCGAGCAAAATCTAATGTTTTCAACATTCTAATAGAGCATAAACGATGAAGGATTCTTACATTAAGGTTGATTGGAATAAATGGTGCGACGAGGATGATGAAGATTCGGAATCAAATGTAGCTTCAGATGATGACATTGTGTATACTGAGAGAACAAAGAGAGCAGCTGAGGATGAAGGTGTGCTTTATCTTCCTGATCTTGAGAACACCATAGGTAATTAGCGAAGATCGAATGCTGCTCTTTCAGAAGTCATTTTGAGATCAATTTCGACGAAAAAGTTTAGCTTATCTTGTACCTTAATTAGGATGCTTCGCCATCGCCAGCTCACAGTTTGATTGGAAAATGCAATTCCAATTGATAATGATACCACTGGAAAAATGCATCACCTGTGAACGATGCAATTTGAACATTTTTCACAAGTCAAATGAAACCACAGTTAGATCATAAAACAAACTAATATTATAATAGGGATTAAATTCATATAGCAAAACACACAAGTCGACATAGGCCTAACAAAATAAATTATACTATGTTATAACATCTTCAAATTAATCGTGACGATTTTATAATAGTTGTGTGGGGGTGAGGCATTAGTGACGAGGAGATGGGGATCTACCACTAATGATGATAATGAATATGTGGCTAAAATATTACTCAATTTGATTTTTCTATTATAAACGGTAAAAAACAACAAAAAATACTAATTCTGAGCGAAACGGTTATCATTGATTGTTCCCCTGCATCAACTAGTGAACATAGAGAAGTAGATAAATAAGAAGGTAATGGCATTTAAAAACACTGGTTCAGATTAAAATTTTATGAGCTATCTCAAATAAATCAAATAAACCCGAAACAAAAATTAGGCCAAATTTTGAATCAATTAACGTAACACTATACCAGTGAGCAAGTAGGTTGAATTTCAAATCAACTATAATATATATATTACTTAACATAACATTATACTACATTAAAATATCTTCAAATTAATCGTGCATATTACGGACAATTTTTAATAGCTCTGCGGGGTGAGCCATTGGTGAGGGGGAAGGGGATCCACCAGTCATGAGGAAAATGACTCTGTGGCCAAAAAAATTATTTGATTTGTATTTATTTTTTATTAAAAACCTAGAAATAAATGCTAATTCCGAGCGAAACGACTATCGATTGCGCTCGTGCATCAACTAGTGAAGATAGGTAGAGGAAACAAATGTGACGTTAAATTACGGCATTGCTGAACGGCACCAATCAAACCGCCAGCTCATGGAAAGTCGCACGGTGTGACAGATGAAACAAATGAAATATTAAATTTAAATTCTCAATTTGTTGAATCGCGCCGATCAAACCATGCACTAGCCCGAAGGTGATGAAACAAATGAAACATTATCGATCAATTAATATAAGATTATACTTGTACAACTAAGCAAGTGGAATTTCAAACCAACTAACATATATATATATATATATATTGTCAATTAACATTACATAATAGTATATCAAAATATCTTTAAACAAATTGTGCATTTTGGGTGGAAGTGATGTATTTTCATGTTTAAAATTAATTTCTATGTATGTAGAATTTTGTAGTCCAACAATTAAAGTAAATAAATTAATGAAGATTGATTAAAATTGTTGCGATGAGGCATTAGTGCGAGGGGGAAAGGATCTACAAGCAATGGTAAGAATGAAATCGTTACTAAATTGGGATCTTTTGCTAATAAAAATTGTAAGAAAGTAGCAAGATGAAGGATAGAAGTAAATTTTGATGTTGTTGATCTTCGCTAATTAAACCTCGGGTCTTACGGAAGGTCTGATGATGTGAGAGATTTAAAAAAAAATAAAAATGGAACATTAAATTAAATTTGATGTTTATGAACGGTGTAAATCAAATTATTGACATGGAAAAAATCGTTATAAAAGAACTCTAAGTTCAACGGTAATTCAAAATTCCCTAATTCAGTACAATTCCCGCCAACTGACCAAAATAAAAAACTAAAATTTATTTTCGGTAAAATCTGACATTTTCAACATTCGAAAATTTGGTTAAAATGAAGATATGCAACTCCAATCCAAAATACGACCGGAAAACGCATTGCAAACGCACGATTTTGACTGAAAAATGCAATGCAAAGTAATGATGCCACCGGAAAACGCATCACCTGTGAACAATGCAATTTGAAAATGTTCACGACTCATACCACGTCTAGATCCTAAAAGAAACTATTACAATAAGATCTAAAGGAACTCATGGATAGAATCCACCGGATTCATTAGTGTGTCGAGATGTATAGAACTCATGGTAGAGAATTTGTGCAAAATAAATTTCATCAAAGAAACATTAGACAAGGTAAAAGCAGTCGCAAGGTTCTTGCTTGCACATCTGGTCGAGCATCAGATCGAACATACAGTCCACAGTAATAATGCCCTTCTTGGTTCATTGGATGAATTCTATAACAAGGGAACACATTGGATACATGCAATTTCGGCAGGTTATCGACCAAGTTTGGGATGGTTTCCTACCGCCTATTTTCTCAACTCGCATCTATACTATTTGGGAAATGCATACATCGATAGTGAAGTTGACCTCGAAGGCCTTTCCTGCACTACAACATACACTTGCACAATTTCTCATCGGGTAAGACTGACTACGTTGTGGCTGATAATTTGGATAAACAATAGATATCTTGAAATAGCTGAAAGATTACATGGTAATAGTTGGTGGAAAGAACTAAGAAGAGATGATGCTTGAAGAAGACATGCATGGCTTCAGGTGTATGGTAATTTAAGATAGGTTCGAATAATCTCATCGATCCGCGATATATTAGTAACTTAAATGTTTTATAGAAAAAATAAATAAGATGACGTGGAATTGAGCGGTAAACGTAGTTGTACGGCGGGAGGAGATCAAGAACAGTCAAAATTGTAGTCTGTCTGTAGACAGCACTTAGTCGATGATTATGGTCTATAATTCATTAATTGATCGATCATTTCCATAACTCATGCATGCATTTTTCAGCTGATCAAGTCAAAGTCAATGCCCTATCTCATCGGGATATGTTACGATCAATTTCTGACATTGAATTGGGATCGGTGAAAGTAATAAATTTGAACAAATTGAGAAGTTGCCTGGAAGTAACAGAACGCTCAATCATCGTCGTGATCGATCGATCATGCCTTCTGGCCGGAGATTTTGACTTTGACTTTGACTTCTTGATCAATCCAATTCGAATTTTCACATGTATTTTCTTGGTCTTTTCGCACAACTGACGAATTTGTCGAAAACCCACCTGGATTCAACGTAATTAATGCGGCGTGGCCCTCTTTTGTCGTATTTGGGAATTGGAGAACGAAACAAAAAGATGGATTTTTGTGTGTATTATTCTAATACAGCAATCGAGATTTATAAATAATTAATGTACGTGTATTTATTTTGTTTGTATTATAAACATACATGGAAAGTTATTACAGTGATTAAATTTTTAATTTTGTTTGTTGGTGTCATCACTCGTGTGGAGATTTCCGCCCGTAGATTGGTTGCTGTTTCTTGCGCTGATGATGGAAGATATCGCCGCCGTAAGGGCCGCCGTGAAATTCGGGTCGGCGGCGATCGCCGCCGTCAGTGTGTCGGTTGTCAACGGCGGCGGTTTCTCGGCGTCGTTAGACATGTGCAGCCCCGAAAACCTGGATTGAGTGTAGACCGGCTGCCCGAATAATTGAGGAATCAGCGATTGTTGATTGGCGGCGGCGGAAGCCGCCGGAATTAGGTTTTGCGGCTGAGTTGGGGTCTGCGTTAGGTCGATCGTGATCGTCGGAAACGGCGCGGAGGCTGATATTGTGGCCATGTTCGTGGAGCCGGGGAAGATGGATCTCGCCGGAAAATTGGGGTTGTTAAACAAGGCGTCGGCGGTCGGCGTCGAGCCTGATAGAAGCATGTCTGCGGCGGAGGTGGTGGCGGACGCCATGGCCACGGCGGCCGGCGGCAAAGGGTGGCTGTGGGTACCTTCGTAGGTGGTGATCAGCACCGTTCGATCCTGCGCACATCTTTGCACCTGAAATTGAACCGCCGGAGCACAAAATCATCAGAAATCTGAATCAATTTTCCGGCGACCGGAATTAAAAAAAAAAAAGTTTTCCGACGTACCTGTTTGCGCACCGGACAGCCGGGCGCCATTGTACACCTGTAATAAGCACGTGGGCATGGATTCCCTTTCGCAATTTTTTGTCCGTACTTCCTCCATTGGCATCCATCGGAGATCTGAAGACGTAAGAAATATTAATCAAAATACATAAAATAAAATAATTCCAGAAACAGCAATTAATATTTACCATGGGAGCTTCCGAGCGAGCTCTGACGGAGACACGTGCCTTGCGCATGGTGGCGGCCTCCGCCGCCGATTGGTCGGGAATCAATTTGGGGGGTTTGTTGGATGCAGATTCAGGGGAATCTTCTCGGCTAAGATTCTTCATTTTCCTCGTCTTCTTGTTTCTGGATAATTCCGACTCAGATAGGGTTCTTTCTTCGGACGACGAGTTCGATTGTACGACGTCGTTTATTAGGATTTTCTTGTCCGTACCAGATGGTGGTCGCATGATCGCCGCCAAATGCATCTGCAGTGTGGAGTAATTGTGGCTCACTTGCATCACCATTTTCTTCAACCTCTGATTCTCCGAATTCATTCTTTCCACCTCAAATTGCAGCTGCGCCACCTGTCACACTCAATTTAATTTATATATACACAGACAATACTTACGTACAATACAATCTTAATTATAAATTATATATATATATATCTATATGTTTTATACACACCTCTTGTTTGACCCTTTCATCTTCGATTTCAGAAGCCACCATTGATTGATAGCTTCGTCGTCCACTGGTTGCTGCAGTCACAAGCTGCAAACCAGTCTGCAATTAACCAAATAAATAAATAAAATTGGAGGAAGAAGATGAATAAGATTAGATACAAAAGCGTTGTCTGAAGAGTGATTTTATTTTTATTAATTATATATTACAAATTAAAATAAACTCATTACTAACATTAACGTCGTCGAAATAAGCGGCTTCTTCTGCGAGTGAGTTTTCCTTCTTGACAATACTGCCGCCTATCGGCGGCGGCGGCGGCTTTTTCTCGGCAAAAAAGTCGACCACCCGCCGCGGCGGCGAGGAAGCGGCGCCGTCGTTGGAGGTCACCGGAAACATGCTGAAGCCCCCGTTATTCCTAGGAAGGCCGAACATTAAATAGTCGATGTGGTTAGAATTGGAATTGTCAAGGGCAACAGCACCCCATCCTCTCTCCATAAATCAAGAAATCAATTTTAGAGAAAAAAAAAAAAATGGTGAATTTCAATTTAATGAAAATGGAATTGCAAATTGCCAATTGCTATGGGGAAGGAAATTTATAAATTGGGTACAAACTACAAACAAATTATTTAGGCTGGATGACAGACAGACGACGTGGCCCACATGGTTGAGTTGGGAGCCTTCGTCCCAATACGAAGGCGACTTCGTTTGACGGCTTACTAATAATAACTATAATAATTAATTATCGATTATTAAAGAAAATAATAAATATTGTTATTTTTTTTTTCTTTTTTACTATTTAGAGATCGTCATTTTTTTCTATATGAAAATTTATTTAAATTAAAATTTCAAACTTCCAAATTCAATTAACAGCTAGTGAACGGCCAGAAGCGTGAGGCACCTTCCTGCGAGTTTTAAGAGGTAAGACGAAATATCACACGAAGTCAACTTTTACGGCCCGACCCGGCCCGGATTAATGTGGGTGAGTGACGGCTAGCTGAGGTATTGAACAGGTAGGTGGCAGTGGGGAATGGGGATTGGCCTATAAGGGTGTGTTTGTTTCAGTACTTGGATTTGGAGTTAGAATTTGAAAAATTTTAAATTTAGATAAATGTAAGATGTGATATAAATAGGTATTGATGTCATATTCAAAAATAATTTTTAGTATAATATAAAAAATATAAAATAAATGTTTAATTTGATATTTTTAAAAGAAAAAAAGTTGGATGAATAGTGTATTTAAGGGAGAATCCCCAAACAAACACACCCTTAAATGTATTTATTTATTTATTTTTAATAAATTACAAATTAAAGTTAATAAATATGTAAGATTATTTTGATATTAAATGTAAATTAAAAATCATAGGCATTTTTTATATTTATATATAACTATTTTTACTATAATTGAAATTGAATATTTTTAATGGAATAAATAAAATTAATAAATAAAATAGATTGAATTGAAACAAAAATAATATTTACTTTTAGATAGAATATAGGAGTTTTTTTTTTTAATATAAAATTTATATCTTATTATTTAGTTTTTTACATAATCCTTTAATAAAATAAAAAATTGCACAAAAATTGTGTATGGTATAAATATTTATTATATGCATGTTCTTTCATTCTTTTTTTTTTTTAATAAAAATTTTATATAAAATTATTGATCAGTATAATACTTGTACCTATGAAAAAAAAACAGAAAAAGAACAACCTAAATTTATTTAATTTCTTTTTATACATTTATATATTACCCTCATAATAATAATAATAATAATAATAATAATAATAATAATAATAATATAATTCCTTCAATTTTATTTCAGCATATGTGTGTGTGTATTTATTAATTCCAACGACTAAAGAAGAAACTGGAAGGATTATGAGTCAATAATGTATATTCACAAATTCCACATGCAATTAATTGCTACATATTAATGATATTAGTGAGAGTTGTCCCTTGCTAAGAAATACTCCCTCAGTCCCAAACAAGGTGCAATATTTATTTTTGGCACAAGTTTTTAAATAGGTAGTACTAAGTAGGATAATTTAGAAATTAGGTGATGTGATAGAGATAGAAATATATATTTTATTTTTTTATTTGGATGATGTGATGGGATAAAATGCGGGTATAAAATGCGGGTAGAGATTAAGTATAATTAATTATTTTCTATTTTGGAAATGTTGCATGGTGTTTGAGACATACCAAAAAGGAAATGTTGCAGGTTGTTTGGGACGGAGGGAGTAGATTTTTCATTTTAATTATAGATTTTTTTAGTAGTCCTCCCGATTTTTGTCCGTCCAGTCGACGTGGTCTTCCCGATATGTATTCGTCCAGTCGGTGTGGTCCTCCCGACCATGGTCCGTCCAGTCGGTGTGGTCTTCCCGACCATGGTCCGTCCAGGCGTCGTGATCCTGCCGACCTGTCTCCATCCATTCGGTCGTCCCTGGTCGGGCCTGTCCTCCTGTTTGGTCCTGTTTCCAGTCTGTCTGACTGGGTATATGCTCAGGAATGGCGTTGTCCGTTTGGGGGCATGACATTTCTGGCGGTGCAGGAACCGAATTCAACATGAATTTTGATTGCTCCATCAAGTTTTGCATTGCGTCATGTATTGCCTGCAGATTTGCTATCTGCTGGTCGTACATTTGCCGAAAACATGCTGTAAAACCTGCTGTCAATTCGGCCCGTAGTTGGGAAGCTTCTTCTGCCGTGATAAAGCCAACGGCTGTACTGTAGAATTGAAAACTTGCCATATGGATCAGCAATTTTCTCCCACTGTGGTCGCCAATTTGTTGATGTAATTTTTCAACAAAAATAAAGTAAAATTCAAAGATATAGAAAATATCCTTAAACTTGATTAATTAGTGCCTGAGATTAGGAATCTCTAAACACTGTAACGTACAGAAAATAAACTGGAAAATAAAAGACTGAAATTTAAAGTGGTGATCCCCAAATCTGACTTTGCTTTGTTGAAGTTGATTGAAGATGCCTTGCCAAATGATGATCCAAATCCTTAAATATTCTTTGAAGAAAACGTTCAGAACCGTCGCACTGTTTCACCAACCGTTCCCACCAGTTACAGAACTCAGAACTGCCTCTTTCATTGACACATGTCTTTAACCGCCTCGCCAACCGCATAACCCAACGACCGACCAACCGACCAATCTAGATACATAATTGGTCGCCAGATCAAAAAACTCACTGGTCGCCCCATCAAACGACCACTATTTGGTCTCTTCAATCGTCTGACCTATCAACAGACCTTTCTTCGTCCGACTTCCTTTTTCGACCGACCCCCATAGCAGCCAACCTTTGTATCAACCGACCCATTTATCTGACGGATAATCCGACCTGCTTGCCCGACCGCGGACCATCTGACTTGCTTATCTGATTGAGAACCAACCGACTGAGAACCCACCTACTGACTCTGATACCTTATTATTATTATTATTATTATTATTATTATTATTATTATTATTATTTTTTGTGCTTAACAGATGTAAAATAAAAAAAATATTGATGTTAAAAAGCAAATGTAATTATATATATATATATACATCAATATCGAGTTGTGTGTTTCTTTTTGATGGGATTTTAAAAAATCTTGTTTGAAATAGTATTAAAATAATGTATAATAAGATATTTTGTAAAATATATATATATATATTAAAAAAATACTAAATTCAAATAATATAAAATCTAAATTTGAATCGTCGAGAAACACACTTGTAACTTTGGACCACGGTACCAAATTTCAATGTAACCAGTCAAACCTCAGCTTGCCAAATTGAAAAATAAATAAACATTTCAGAATATTCAGAAGTGTTTTTCAATTTTTTTTTTTTTATTATTATTCGTTATATATATGTTTTAATTACTTATATTTTCAATTATTTAAACAAAATAATCATTCAAATGAACATGTTGCTGAAAAATAAGGTGTAGAAATATTTAGAGATTGAAAATGAATTTAGAGAAATGAATAATGCAATGAAATATTTGTAGATAGAGTCAATGAATGGTTCTTCAAGACGACTTCATTATTAATTTTTTGCTGACAATTCGGTACATATATGCCTATGGGATAGAGTGTTTATATGTATATTATTATTTATTTAAAAATATCATTTTCAAATACTCCCTCTCCTCCGTTCCACCTAATTTGTCCTTATTTTTTATTTTCGTCTGTACCACATAACTTGTCCGTTTTATTTTTTGAAATATAATTATGCACTTTAATCGCATTTTAAATTTTAAATTTTATAATTTTCTTAATTTTAATTAAACTCTTTACTTATCTTAATCTTAATTTATAATTATTTTTACTAAATAATAATTATTTTTACTAATACATTTTTTTTAATTACTTACTAATTATATTTTATCTAAATTTTTGTGTCTACAGTAATACACTCATATTACTAATATGGGACGAAGGGAGTATATATATATATATATATATATATAGCTAAATACTACATCTTTTATAGTCGACTTAATTAATTAATGTAGGGTCACAGGAGTGTGTTTGGTTTTGTATTTTGATTTTTTCTTTTTTCTTTTTTTAATTTTATTTTATGGATTATTTAAATAGTTATAAAATACTTATAATACTATGTTTTAAGAAAATATATTACTTTTTTGTCAAGCCAAATTTATATTTATTTTATTTTATTCTATAAAATAAAATATAAAAAACCAATACATTTTCTCACGCCAAAGTTTAAACTACACAGTCACGAGTCTACGTTCACGCCGGACCATATATTACTGGACATTATTATTCTTATTATTATTATTATTTATTTTATTTTATTTTTAATTATGGGATGGGGGGCCACAAATTGAAAAGAAGAAATAGAGGGGAGCGTCAACACAGAAGTGACGATAAGAAGAGAGAGACAAAAACGTCAACCAAAAGTAAGTAAAATCGCGTTTGGAGGACTTGACTGAAACCACGCTTTCTTTCTGTATAAGCAAGCTAATTAGCAGCAACACGGGCTTGTCATTTAATTTCTATTTTCTACACTTGCATGAATACGACGACGTGGAAATTTGACGCACAGCACAGGGTAGGTCATTAATTGCTTGATGCTAAAGTTCCAACCCCGTTCAAATATATACAGCCCCGGATTTCACTAGTGTTATAATATGTAAATTTAAAAATAAAATAAATTAAAAAACTCGATTTATTAGAATAATAATAATATATTATTTTTTATAATTATATTTTTAAAATATAAATTAATTATTTTAATTAAATTAAATTAAAATAATTATTTTGGTATTACTGTATGGACTTCACCATAAATATCAATATATTTATACTTATTTATACCGAGACTCTCGTAACGAAAGCAAAATATAAAAAAAAATTCTATTCTGAAACTAAAATTACAATTCCCATAAAATTTAAAATAAATTGATTTTGAAAAATTAAAAGCTCAACTCAGTTCGACTCGTAAATATTTCTAATGTAGCCATTTAAGCACTTCAAGAGCAAGTGTACTCAAACCAAGAACTCCCAAAACACAGCCATAAATCCATTGCCATTTGCTGCCTGAGGTCATCTGAATGCTGTGTATCCCTTCGAAAATATTCGCGACGATAACGACGATCAGCGCATACCCGGCGACGTAATGATAAATCACCCAGCAACGGTTCAACCCGTGTTCTTCATCCAGCTGCAAACACACAGCCAACACCTAAAAAATATCGAGCGAATTAATCGATCAGCAAAACTTACTACAACGGAGTAAATTAAATCAACAACTATCAAAATTACTCGGAAAAAAAAAAACCATAAAGTACCTGAATCGCGGCGAATGCGAAAATTATAGTCCCGACGACCCCATGCGCGCTCATTGCGTGCTCTCCCGCCGCGTTCTTGATCGAAATCCCGAGGCCCCATCCTAGCGCGCCCAAAAGGAAACCAGAGAAATGCGAGACGACGTGAACGGAATACCACTCGTCAGAAACCTTCCTCAAGTATCTTGCGGAAAGGATCCCGACAGGCGTGAGAACGCCCCAACCGACGATGTTTAGAGTCCCGTGGACCTATTACGAGGCCACAACGAAATTTCCCGATCAAACGACGAGTGCGCGATCGTTATGAAACGAAAAGCGTAGAGCTTACTAGGACAAGTCTCACGGTTCGTAAATGGCGATGTTGCGATAAGCGCGCTCCCGTCCACGGCCTCGGGCTCGGGCTGGGATCGGCGGTCCGATTATTGTCAGTGTTCTTGTGGTGTTCTTGTAGATTTGGGTGTGGAATTTGGTCATTTAGGCAATGACCTGTTGAATGGAACAGAGAAATTAGAGTGCAGATTGTGAAATAGAGGATGAAATTAGGGAAATTCATCAACATTATTGCAATGTGTGGGAACTGTTTCAGAGTGTAAATATTAATTATAAAAAGTAAAAAAATAAATAAATTAAATAAATAAAATAAAATAAAATAGGTACATTCCTCAGAAAGGCTATCTATGTATATATATGTGTGTAAAATGAAGAATATATTCTTTGCTTAGTAGATTAGGGCAATGTTTTGAGACCCAATCATTGGGTCATTATAATGTCGTAAGATTTTATTCCAAACTTGGGAGGTTACTGTCCTTTTCATCACTTTCTAAATCCGTCTATTTTTATTATTTTTTTTCAATTTTTTTTTTTTTTTTTTTTTTTTTTTTTTTTTTTTTAAGTTACCAAAAAACATGAAGATGTGAGAAATTGCTAGTTTGATACAATGGATGTAAATCGTGAAGGTTGAAAAGAGTTGTTAGTTGAGCCGATTCCAATATCTCAGATTTCGATTTATGTTTGAGTTCACTTAATTGAATAAATGAGTGTCGTTGGAATTTTATTTATCTTAATTGAAAAATTTGGATTTTCAATGGCAAGTGTATTTTAGGCCAATTAGAATGCTGCAATTTTGAATTTTTCAATTGGCTCAAAAAAGCCATAGAGATGATTTTACGATGGAATTCATGGTAGGCAGGTATGACTGGTCCTAACTATAGTTATATATATTTTTGTGTATATTTCACCGATGAATTTAAAAAATTCTGAAGGATTTACTTTGTTTATGGGTGTAACTTTGACAAGTTTATAATATATATATATATATATTTGTCTCTGAACTAAATTGGTTATTGGAAAGTGAAAATTGCAACACGTGTATTTGTTACTATTCCTTAAATAAGAATACTTATGATAGAATTATTGCTAGAACCCTACTTTGGGACAATTCAGCATGAATAGTTTTTATAATTAGGGTCCGTTTGTTTGTAGGATTTAATCAAAATTTTATTTTTCATTAAATTTTATTTTAAAAATAAAAATCAAATCAAATAAATTTTTTTTATATTATATTAAAATCAATTTTATATTAAAAATATAACATTAACACCTATTTATATCATTATAACTATTTCAATACAAAAATTTTATCATTCAAATCTCAAACCTAAAATTCAAACACCCTAACAAACACACCTTTATAAACTTTTGTATTGCAAATTATATAAATAAAATGCATGAATTTAAAAGGTACTTGAAATAATAATAATAATTGATTTTTATGTTATGCTTCGTGTAAGGTCACATCCAATCTTCCTCTCCTTATCTCTCATTAACTATTATTCATAAATCATCTTGTAACTCTCACAACGAAGTCTTCTTTATTTAATTTTTTCATAAATCCAACTCCCTCAATAAATCATTCAATTCAGTCCTCTCATGTTAAGTCTACATCTTCAAATAAAATTTATACTTTCTAATATTATATATTTATAAATATACAATAACAATTTCTACATCCAATTTATAAATATTTATAATCTCATTTTATTAATTCATTCATGTATATAATATTATATTTAAAAAAAATTGCAGAGAGGAATATAAAATAAACACATGGTACAAATAGCAAACCATAATTTTGTATGCACTTTTGTTTTATTATTATTATTATTATATTCAAATCATTATTTATTTGAATAAAAACACCAATAAAAAATATTGTAACAATGCAACAATATTTTCTAATATATTTTTTTTTATAAATGTATAAAGGATAAATTCAAAAGTAACTGGCTGCAAATTCACACTTATAAATTAAAAAAAAAAAAAAGTAAATATTACACACTATATAGTATATACACACCTTTGTCTCTCTCTCTCTCTCTCTATATATGTGCATATTTGCGAGTAAATATCAAAAGAGCATCTAACACACTTACTACATATATATATATTTGTACACAGAGCAGACTGTGAAACTCAAAACTTTTGGCTGGTGAATAAAGAAGACTCCATAACTGAAATGCAGAGAGAGTAGATCAGAGATCAGAGATCAAGAAATACCAATTGTCTTGTTGAATATCCAAAGTGTGAGGGAAAGCTGAATGGCGAATATGGTATGCAGCCATGTCCGGTCCAGCATGAATCCGAACACCGTGATCCCTGCTTTGTTGTTCTCAAAATATGTCACTGCACCACCACATCAAAATTATCAATCACCCACACACATACATATTCATCAATGATCGATTGCGTCGTGAAATATAGTTCAATTACACTCACCAAGGGCTTGCCTCTTCTGGTAGGATACAGTGTTGGCATAAATAGGCACCAGGTTCGTGTTGTCCAATGCATCGTCTCCATCTCCTTCTTCATTGTCGGAATCCCAATGCGAGGGGACAGAATATGCTCTGTGAGATGAAGTTATCTGAGATGTTGGAGTTTCTTCATCTAATTCGTCGAATGAGTTGATTGTGGCGCAGGCGTGCCATTTTGATGCCAGTGATGTTACGGATTGCGCCTTGTGAGTTATCTTTGCCGCACTTCGCAAGCAGATGAAAAGTCCGGTCACCAGAGTCATGGAGCACAGCTGCAGAAGAAGCATCAATTAGCTGTTACAGAAATGAAAAATGGTGAGATTGAGAAGAGAAAAGTTTATTTCCATTACCGCAAGCTCCCCAGACGTGGCGAGGTTTGTGTTGGAGCTTGGTTCAGTGATGACAAGTAACGAAACAAATTGGCTTATTGTTACTAGGATCAAAGTAGACAAGATGAAGAGCCTAAAACGGTGGCTTATGATCCTGAGATTTCTTCTGATCCTGAGATGTTCTATAAGGATCGAAGCAACATCCGATTCTTTCTCAAAGACCTGAGCAAAGTCCTCCAATCTCAGAATTTGCAGATAACATGTAAGCCGGAAGAGGACGCAGACTAGGAAGCTGATTGAGATTCGATATAGCCAGGAGCACATCAATAGAATGCAAACAATAACTTTGCTGAGAAGCATGTTGTATAGGTATGGAATTTGGTTTCCTCCTGAGCTGAACCACCATATCTTGTATGCACTGTCCGCGATGAAACAGGGGAGGATAAATGCAGATAGGAGCTTCATTGATCTCTGAAAATGTAAAATTTGTAGATCATCATCAACATCATCATCAACATCAGTCAGAGGTGTGAATCCAAATTAGAAATTGTGAGAAATATACTAATATATATGAAATCATAGGAACATCAAGTCAAATTTCCAAACGAGAAATACTTCTTCAACTGTCCAACCATTCAAATTAAGATCAGATTACCACTGCTCAGGAAGGAATCACCTGAATTGTTCAATAAAATATATATATCACGAAAGCATGATCGATAAAAACCTTCAAACAAACACAGAAGATTATAAAAACTTACATGAAGCTGCAGAGTGTACCCCTGCCGAACCATCTCACTCTCATCACACAATTTATCGAGAAAAAGGAATTTACGCAGGCCATATTTACGCGCAAACGACGAGAGACTAACAAACGAAAGCGTTGCGAACAACGACAGCGACAGCTGAACAATCGCGTCAAAAGGCCTCTGGTGATCAGAATCGCAATCAGAGCAGGAATACACAAAGTGCGACACGAGCGGAACACCGATGTTCAGGAGGAAGAAAATTGACCATGAAAGTCCAGCTCTCCACAGACTAGAATAGTCCAGAAAAATCCATTTCAAACCTGAACTGTAGCTTTTCATCGCGATTTCATCCCCCGAACTTGCGGCAGAACTTGATTTGGTCTTCGCCAGTAAAATCTCAGTCACCTCCGCCTCCATCACCGCTTTCAGATCCTCCAGTAGCCACTCCGAATCAGAATCACTGCAATAATTGATTAATAGTATAACCCTAAAGGGGCAACCTCTCGTTGCCTTCCGCGGGTCGAAGACGAAAAGATTCCTCCCTGTCGTCCACTGCCCTTTTAAATGATTCTGCATATCCTCAAACCCTCAATTTATATACGAAAATTTTAAAGCAGTATTTAAATACATATTATTAAATAATTAATACAAATGTATAGTACTATAAAAATCACACAGTCGTTTCCCATGCACAAATTACAGTTGAAAATGGAAAAACGGTCAGTTGAAATTTTTATTCGGACATGCATATGCCTTAATATAAATAAATATAAATATATATATACTCCGTATTAATCTTACTATTATATTATTTCTATCATTTAAATTTATATTTTTTGAATTGTCACTAAATATATTTTTATTTTTTATTTTAATAAAAAATATGCAATAATATTTTTTATTATAACAATTTTTATTAAAATTTGCATCAAGAGTATTAGTCAACTATATATGAATATTTATTTATATAAATTTTTTTATATTGGATAAAATATATGAAGGAAATTAGGGGCAGAGCAGTCGTCAGTTGTCACAAACACTGAAAAGCAGAGTGGGACGGACGCCTCACGGAATGCACGGGAAAGGCGGGTGCTTAAAGGAACCGGAATCCACGTGGCGCGTCGCGAGTGGCGAACACCTTGCAACGTGTGAGGCTCAGATTCTTAAATACAAATGACTCATCATAATAATAATAACTCATGACTCAATTATGAAAATTACTATTATTGTTGATATTGAATGTATTAAATTGGTAATAATAAGTATCAATTAATATTGAAGTAGATACTTTGAAGAAATAATAATTTTGATATAATATTTTTAATTCAAATTAAATACTTTGTATTAAATTTTGCATAAAATGTTACCTTTTTTTTTTCTTGGTCTTCTTGTTAAATACTTTTAGCGAATAACGAGAAATTTCGTTGATGTTTTTAATTTTCTTGTCACTGTTCAAATAGTACGAAAATCAGACATACACTAGACTCAGTTTACTTGCAAAAGGCCAAATACATGTCAATATGAAAATCAGCCATACTTGTGAAAACCGTGTATTTTATTTGCATGCTTAAATTTTTTTCACAAAAATCATATTAATACCTATGTCGTCTAATTATATTCTCGTATGTAATATAATACAAATATAGATGTCATAATTTAATGTGACACATACTACAATTGATTTAATATAGACTGTGTTAAACCTATGTTGTTAATGTTTTTCTTTTTTCAACTATGATTTAAAACAGTTTAGGAGTTCACTTGGTGGCCCTGTTTACTAATTTAATTAAGCTTCAATAAGGCCCATAAACTGTGGGTTTAAGGCCCAATAAGAGAGCCCAGGGGTGGCCCTCAAATCCCGCGAAGCAATACGCGCCTCAAAAGTCAAAATCAAGCGATATATCCATATTATCCAAATATTTGGATATATCCATTTTGCAGATAAGGACAGATTTCTGGACTATTTGGAGATTCATACACAGATGTCAAATTATTTGTGGAAGCAACCCCCCTGAATTGGTATATCTTGCACCAGGGACAAAAACCGTAAAGGAATATCATTCACCTTAATATTTTTAATTTAAAAATAATAATTATTTTTTTTATTTCTTTTATCCAAAAACAAAAAAATTATTATTATTTAATATTTTATTATTATTATGAGTAAGGATACAAATCGGAAGCCGACGAAAAGAGAAGTCAAAGTAGCTCGCTGCTGCAAGTGCTTATATTGAACATTGCGCAGAGCTCGAGAAGCGAACAATGGCGATTTCTGCTGCCTCATCGATGGTGTCTGGTATTTCGATTCCATCCTCTTTTCTCCTGAAACCGAAGGAATTTCCATTTTCGCCGCTTGCATCTGTGAAGGCTTTTCATCGGTGTTACCATGCTTCGCTTTGTAGTTATCGCTCTGCTTCGCGGCAGCGCTTCTCCAGGTATAACCCTATGTTGACAGTTCTGTAGTTCTGCTTTTCTATTTGGTGATTTGATTGATTTGTTTCGTGTTTTTGGAGCACATGGCTGCATTTTGGTTTGCTGTCTGTGGATTTCTGAGTTGTATGAATTTTGTTGAAGAGTGCGAAACATGAGCTCTCATATTGGAATTGAGGCTGTGTATAACTTGTAGGTTGAGGAGGATACTGCTTCTGATCTGTTTACATCGTTTTTGTTGGAGTGCGCGTTAATTCTCTTGTTTTCTTATTGGTATTTGTATGTTAACTCTACGACTGGTGATTTTAAGTAGAGGATCGTTTCGGGTTCAAGCAACAACGTTACAAGAAGATGAAGAGAAAGTAGCAGTGGAAAAGTCGTTTGATCCTAAAAGTTTTCCGGAGAAGGAAGGAACCTCTGCTCAATCACCTGATGGTTCGCCGCCTTCCAGTGATTTGGAGAAGTCTATTATTAAACTTGAGCAATCCATAAATATTTTCCTTACGGTATGTGTACTGTTGCTTAGTTCCTTCTCCCTGCAGTTTTACATTAAAAATGACAAAAACACATGCTGTGTATAGGATTTTTTCATAATTGAATAACTAAGGGTGTGTATACTTGTGTTGGAGATGATGTTTTGAATGAAAATAGATGTCGGATGCAATGCTTATCCGAGGGAAAAGTAAACTTACTATAGATTAGGAAAATTGAAGCGCACACAAGTAAAACAGTCTAATCTATTATGGTTGTGCATATCTAGGGTGATGAACAGTGCATTACCAATGGCATTGATAGGAATTTGTTGAGGCATAATGATCTTTTGTTTGGCAAAACACCCATAAATATGTTTTCTAGGTGCATTTATACTCAACTATTGTGCTTATGTAAATGCTTATTGTGTAATGCTATGCCAATTTGTGTGTGTTTTCCTTTTTTCCTGTTGAGCTGGATGGCTAGATCAGAACCAATTCATACACCAGTCAAGATTTAAATTGAATATAACCAAATTTTACTTCTAGTGCCAGCTTTCATCAAAGTGATTGTAAACTTGGGCTCAGGGTAGAACTCATCCAGTGTGCTGTAACAGAAATATTAGATTATAAGATATCTTTCCCATAGTCATTCTGTCATGATTTTGGCATCATGATTTCAGAGTTTAAGGTTCACTCTGGATACCTATGGGTATGTTAGCTTGGCCAAGCTTAGTAATGCTTAATTACCCATTTATCTAAAAACCTGCAGTTTATATATATATATATATATATTATTAATTAATTTCTTCTCCAATTAGATCATGTGTTTTTTTGATAAGTGCCATTATCTATAATCACATTTCATTGACCATTTCAGGATTCTGTAATAAAAATCCTTGACTCCTTTTACCAAGATCGCAATTATGCAAGGTTTTTTGTTCTGGAAACAATTGCAAGGGTTCCTTATTTTGGTAATTTCTTGACTTCTACATCATATGAGAAATGATTTTTTTTGCTTTATAACTTACAGATGTGCTTAGGATTCAAGACTGTATCATGTTTTTGAAATTTTAGTAACACCACAATTGGTTTTTGTCACGTTTCTCCTGGTTTTTCACTGTTTATCCCTTACATATGAAATATTCCTGGATACAGAAAGTCTTGTATGAAGATCAATTATCTCTGTTGAATTTAATAGCAAGCCCGAAAAGTCTCTTTCTGTATAAGTAGCTAAATGCAAATACAGAGTTATGCGCTAATTGGATGACATTTTTATTAAGAATGGTTAGCTTTGCTTCATCAGGAAAATAGGATATTTATTGTGTTAAGTTTTCTAATGCAGTGTTTATAAGAAACTTTTGCTGTCTTTGGTGTTATACAGCTTTCATGTCTGTTCTGCACTTGTATGAGACATTTGGATTGTGGAGAAGAGCTGACTATTTGAAAGTACATTTTGCTGAGAGCTGGAATGAGATGCATCATTTGCTTATTATGGAAGTAATGATCCTCCACCCTTGTTCTCGAATTCTTACCTATGTTTGTTACTTGATCATTTTATGTATTTCCTTTATATGAAATATTCAGTAGTTTCATCGCACCAAAAGCTGAACACATTGTGGTTGCTGGCTTCTTAATATTCAGGGAGTGTGTTTAGTCTCTTGGGACATATAGCTGACTAGTTTAATGCTCTTTTCCAGGAATTAGGGGGAGATGATTGGTGGCTTGACCGGTGGCTTGCTCAGGGTGTTGCATTTGTTTATTATTTCGTGACTGTTTTTATGTATTTCTTGAGCCCGAGAATGGCATGTAAGTACAAAATTCATTTTTTTTCTTAAATACCTGATCATGAGGTCATTAATAAATATAGTTACAGATTCCAACTTAGATTTATGCTTACTCTCTGATGATTCCTCATAAGTTGTCTACACACACCCCTCCCTCATACACAAGCAGTCTGTAATTCCTGTTTAAGTGCAATATCTAGGTTGTAATGGTTCGAAGTCCTTTCCTTGCCATCCTCCCTCCATTTGCATAGGATTGACTGTAGGATACTGAATTTTCAATTAACATTTGTTGGTCTATTCTGCAGATCACTTCTCTGAATGTGTGGAAAGTCATGCCTTTGAAACTTATGACAAGTTCATCAAGGCTCAAAAAGGTATTCTCGATCGTTTCGATCTTTTCAATGCCTTTAGGTCTGTATGTATGCTTGTGTGTCTCAGGACTAGTTAACAATGCTAGGTCATTCTCCCATGTGTTTTCGTGATCAAACAGTTGCCGCCCACTAATTAGTGGTATGAATGGACAACAAAAAAGAAAATACCTAAACTTCTGGCGAAAGATTTGATGCCTACTGCCTTTATTTCTCTTCATGTTATCTTTTGTCTCATCCACAGACGAGCTGAAGAGATTGCCAGCACCTGAAGTTGCTGTCAAATATTACACTGGAGGTGACTTGTACTTGTTCGGTGAGTTCTTTTCCACCTCCCCCCTGTTTCCCTCTCCAAATTTACTCATTAAGGTAACAATTTGCGGACATCTTGCTCATTTATCAGATGAGTTCCAGACTTCAAGACCTCCCAACACTCGACGACCAAAAATAGGTGCGTATACTAATAAGTAATGTTTTACTCTGTTTTCCATTGTCATTAATTAGACCTGTTTTCAGCTAGAAATCCCATTTCCTTCATGCATCAAATTTAGATCTTTTACCAACCTCTTTTTCCATTCCACCTGTTTTATTGAACAATTTATAGCTAGCTATATGTGTGCGTCATCTAGGGGTGGGCAAAAAAAACAAACCGAAGCACCGAATTGTTGAACCGAATTGAACCGAACAGAATTTTCGGTTAACCAAAGCAAGTTTTGTTCGAATATAAATACTACATATTTGATATTTGTTCGATTCGGTTCAATTTCGGATTTTGATATTTTTTCAGTTTGGTTAACCGAACTAAATATATTTATATTATTATTGTTTAAAATTTGTATTAATAATTATATTAAGTTCCGTTTCGGTTCGAATATTTGGAATATTTACAAATATTTTTTATTTAATTAGAATTTTAATTATATTTTTCTTTAATTTTGGTTCGGTACTAGTTATTTGCAAATATTGCAAATATTTTTGGTCAACAGTAAATTTGGTTAATCCAAATTTTCTGTTCGAGTTCATAATTTCAAGTATTTGTTCGGTTCGGATATCAAATACCTGCATATTTACAAATATTCGAACGGTGCACACCCCTAAGCCTCATCCATAAAACAATATAACACATACTCTTGGTTGATGATTGCAGAGAATCTGTACGACGTGTTCTTAAACATTAGAGACGACGAAGCTGAACACTGCAAGACAATGAAGGCGTGCCAAGTCGTCGGCGGCATCCGGTCGCCGCACTCTCTAGAAGAGGATTCCGAGTATGCCGGTGAAGGCAGTGCTGCTGATCCCCTGGACAAATCCTCCAACTAATAAAATAAGACTAACTGATTGAGTGAAAATGCAAAGTTACAATATTATACAGGATCAGATGGTGTAGTTTTGTACATAATATATCTATATATATATATATTAAAACTTTCCTAAAATAGTTCACTGTTTCTAACTTTGTATTTTCTAATTTTCATTATTAATATGATTATATATGTATCGAGTCCATTAGGTTTGCGGAGGTTATGGTGGCTCAGCTCTGTACGGCATTTAGGCGCAATGAACCAATGGGGAGTTGAAGAATCCGCGTCAAGTTCGGGCTGTCTTTGAATATTCTCAAGATTCAGGCTCCTTTCGCAATCACTGCTCCAAATCATCCAGGATTCGCGTGTCGTCTAATAATCTTTTTTTATAATCTCAGCATTGTTGTTTTCCTCCTCGTCGGATCACGTGTGGATATTTTGGCGCCAAGATTCTTGGTTTCTGCGATATCCGCCGCCCCTCCATGTGCCTCGCGACCTCCGGAGCGCCTCCCGTCGACATGTCGTCGGAGAATTCGCCTGCGGACGCCGCTGATGGCGAAGAGAGCAACCTATTGCCGCCTCTGAATTTTGATGTGGTCGCTGATGGAATTTACCGGTCTGGATTCCCTGATGCTTCGAATTTTCAGTTGCTGAAAACCCTAGGGCTCCGATCAATCATGTTCGTTTCTATTCGGGAACTTCCTTTATTGTATCTGTCTTCCTTCTTTTTATTTTTTGACTCTTTTATGCTTCGAGGTTTGAAATCACTGACTTTGTTGTTGTGGTGTAGATACTTGTGTCCGGAGCCCTATCCTGAAGCAAATGTGCAGTTTCTGAATGAAAATGGCATTCGTCTCTTCCAATTCGGCGTTGAAGGATCGAAGGTACTTTTATGTTTTGATTTTGCTTGCGACGAAATTGAAAACATGTTCTGGTTTTAGAAAATACTTTGTGTGCATTATCTGTTTTGTGGAATTTTGTAATTTTGTATTCGCATATGTTTTCCTTTTCCTGATATTGTGTACAGTATCTTGATACTGAATATGTTTTCCTTTTTCTTCGTTAGTAGTTGCGTAAGAGAGTTTTCCACCTAGTGGAAGAAGAGTTTTTTTTGGGTTCTATATTTCAGTATTCTTCCTGGTTTCACTTGTTTTGCGGGTAATTTAATATAATTTACTGTGTCCACCTGCCATGTGGATGAAATATCCATTGTAAAGGTGTAGAATTATACACTATACTTTCAATTGTGAAATTCTTCTTTTTTTTTTTTTTTTTTTTTTTTTAATGACTGATGTAAAAGTTGTAGGATGAATGAAATCTAAATCAATTAGCGTTAATTTTGTATGTTGAGAATTATCTCTATTTAACTAGAGGTTTTTTAAGCTTTAAAGTTTTGAAAATAATTAATAGTTGAGTATTGCACTAAGTCCGACAAGGCAAACCATGTATGGCAGGTAGACCTGAAAGCGTCGGGGTTTGAACCCATGACCTCACAGGACAATAATCGAGCTATTTTGTTCATATATTTTGTTGCTCCTTAATGGGGAATGTATTCAGATAATTAACTCTCCTTGAAAATCACAAATTTCTGCTACTGAATTGATAAGAAATTAGCTTCTTGAATTCCTTATACTTGGGATATCTAATTTCCAGAAGATTATAGTAATAATATGGCTGCTAATCAATGGTAGTTAATGTTCAACATTTTTTGGGTTTGAGTTTTTGTATCTGAAACTTCATATGCTATGCAGGAACCATTTGTAAATATTCCCGAGGAAACCATTCGCCATGCGTTAGAAATATTATTAGGTATTTCACCTTTTTAAACCTTCTCATCTACGTAATCTTCCCTTTGAGATGTTTCCAATCACATAGTTGCCTACAGACAAGAAGAACCATCCGCTCCTAATTCACTGCAAACGGGGAAAGGTGCGCTATAATTGTATCCTTATTATTCATCCTCATTGCGCCGACATGTTAAGATTACTTGGTCTAACATATTATCAATTTTTCCTTTTTTTGGCGATAAACAGCATCGCACTGGTTGTCTAGTGGGGTGCTTTAGAAAATACCATAACTGGTCTCTGGCTTCAATTTTAGACGAATACCAGAGGTATGCAGGCGACAAAGCCAGAGTTTCAGACATGAGGTTTTTAGAGCTGTTCGACGTCTCCCAAGTAAATCTGCCCTTTCATGTCGTGGATTGAAGATCATAGTGTTACCTACTGCTCAAATCCCTGGTATCTTTTCTTCTTCTTCTTCTCATAACGCAATTCTAAATACAAAAATTCAGAGACATCAAGTTTAAAAAGAGATTATTCTTACAATCCAAATTCAAGTCAGTCATTCGCTGAATCTCATTGTTTCACCAATTTCTTCTTTACACCTTCATGGAAGCTATATGCTTTTTATACACTGCTGCACATGATTGAGATTGCGGAGATCACTTCATTCTCACACACACACACACATATATATATGTGTATATATATATAATGTGTGTATGTGTGTGTGAATTAATGTATAGATAGAGATAGATAATGTAGATATGAATGTAGTGGATGATTCTAGTCCAGTCAAGGTATTAGATCCCTGTCCATATCACTAAACAATATGACATCCAGCTAAGTCCTCAGAATTGGATTAGATTTTTGGGCCATCTTTAGTCATATCATCCTCATCTAAAACCCCTTTTTTGACTACAGCCTTCCTCTGGGATATGTCTTATTCTGCTTTACTCAAGAATTATAATCTAAAATCGGAACCATACAAAGTTGAGGTCAACCAACAATCTCCCTTTTAATTATTCTCAAATCTCAAAGATAAGACACTAATTCAACCACCACAAGACTTTATTCCAATCACACTCCTAAGAACACAAAGAAGAAAACTGACTACAAGCAATTTTCATTTTTCACTGCACCTCACTTAAGCAGTTGCAATTGGCCCCAATTCAGCACTGCTCTCCATCTTCTTGAAGGCCTCGAATCTTGGCTCCTTTGCCTGGAATTTCACCCCTGCATACAGCTTCATGTAGTCTTCGAACACGAATTTCGGGTACCGGCAATTTTCCCCTTCCTTCTCCACCAGCGCCGGCGCCGGGTATATCACAGCGTCGCTCCCTGGATTGTAGAACGACGCTATCGACATCCTTGCCCCCTCCGCCTGCGCTATCACCCGATGCATCACGCTCTTGTACTTCCCGTTTGTGATCACCTTCAAAGCCATGCAAAGATTGCTCGTCTTACTTAAAAATTTAAAAAGGAAATAGCGTAAAAATGTGAAGTTTATACCTCGAGCTGATCGCCGATGTTGATGACGATGGAGTAGCGCAAGGGCGGGACGTCGAGCCAGCGGCCGTCCTTGAGGAGCTGGAGGCCCGGGACTTTGTGATCCTGGAAGAGGAGGATGATGCCGCCGGCGTCGGTGTGCTCGCGGAGGCCCTTGATGAGCTCCGGCCGGGGGCACGGCGGGTAGTTGCTGACTTTGGTGCCGAAGGTGGGCCCGTTGGACCCGTGGAAGGCCTTCTTCAGATAGCCGTGCTCCAGGCCCAGATTCTCGCAGAGCAGGTCCAGGAGCAGCTCCGCCAGCTTCTCCAGCTGGGCCGCGAAGTCCTTCATCACCTGCCTGTATTGGTCGTCGAGGTCCGGGACTTCGGAGATGTTGGAGACGGGGAGGTGGCGGAGGAAGAAGGTGCTTTCCCAGTCGAGATTCTGGATCTCGGAGTCCAGACCCGCCATGGCGGCGACCTGGTCCCGGAACTTGTGCTCCATGCATTTGGTGTAGTGGTCCTTTGTGAGGCGCTCCACTGTGTCCAAGAACTCCGGCGCAATTCCATGGTTCATCACCTGCAATTGATTATTAATTTTACAAGTAATTAATTAATTCCATATATAAATTAAGTTTTTAAATTAAATGAATGAAAGCTAGGCTAGGCTAGGTGGTATAGATATACCTGGAAGAATCCCCAGTGCTGACAGGCTTGGCTGATGAGTTCCATTGTTGAAGACCTTTCTTCTTCCCTGCGGAGGTTGTCCATGTTCACCACTGGGAAATCCATTCTCACTTCTCACTGCACTTAGTTAATCTAATAGTTATATAATAAGGATGAATTGATAATAAATATGAGTTGGTTGGTCCCATGGAGTTGGAGGGGTATTTATAGATACATGGGTGTCCTCAAACAACAAATAATATATTTGTAACAGAATTTCGTCTCAGCTAACATAATTCTATTATTAATTTCGTCTATAATATCATAAGTAATGAAAAAAATAAATTTAAAGACGAAAAAATCTCATTACAAAAATAATATTTTCTTGTAGTATCCCAATTGTACCATAGATAATCAGCAGCAGCTATTGATTTGATTTGGTGTTTTGCAATTTCTTAAAAATGAAATAAAACAATTATCTACATATGACATGAATAAATGAGAATATATATTGTGAAGACACGACGAAACAAAACCCAATATTGACACGTATAATTTGAGTGTAGAAGGCTGCAACATGTCAGAATCTGGACGACTTCAATCCAAAAGGACAGTAAGAAATTCACTTGGCATTATTTATTACAGTAGTAACTGTGAAAAACTCGACATGAATATGAACAAGCTAGGGCATACAATAATTGGTGTCTTGCTCAACACGATGACGACACAGAGATAAGTCAAGAAAATGACTACCAAAAAAAAAAAAAAAAAAAAAAAAAAAAAAAAAAAGATCAACCAAATACATACATATATATATATTGCGTTTTGTTGTTTTTTTTTTTTTTTTTTCTAAACTAGTGAATTATTTAATTACTGCCTAACTTTATGCGGTGCCATGCCACTAATCATTATCCCTTGCAAAATATAAATGTTGCAACATGCATCATTAAAACCAGACATTGCTCTCTAAGAATGGTATAAGGGATTTGATCTATCAATTATATTTAGGAAATTAAATAATACATACATACATATATATATATCATATATATATATATATGTAATTTTAGTCTTTCTTTTCATTATTATTATTTTTTTTAATAACATGGGACTTCGCAGCCACTATCCGTGCATTGATAAACCTTCCGCTGACAAGGCAAGTCATGCTAAGCGAACCATGTGTGACAAGTGGAGCTAAAGTCGCCGCGTCTGAAGTTATTATTTTATGAAAAGGATGTAGAACTGTGGGGCCCACCACAAACCCTAATTAATTAATGAACCTCCAATCATGCATGGAAATAAGCTCTTGTACTTTTACATTCATTTCTACGCATGTGCATGTACCGCACTTTTCTATTTGGATTGTGTTGGAAATATATATTGATACGTTTGTTAATCCTCTCTTTTCTCCGTCCCATAAATAAGTATCTATTTGTTTTTTGCACGTAGTTTTATAAATATTAGTATTTTATTGGGATATAGTAGGAATAAAGTAGAAATGACTAAAATAACCTTATTAGTATGTGTGATATAAAGGTAATAATGACATTTGTGTAATATATTGTAAATTGTAGGGGTATTTGTAATGTTAGGTAGATAATACAGTTACTAAAAAAATGAAATGGATACTTTGTCATGAGACGGACTAAAATGGAAAAATAGATACTTTGTTATGGGACAGGGGAGTATTAATTTAAATTAATTAAGTAATTATTGTGGATGCTTATTTCATAATATAGTTATAATAAATTTAAATTTTCATTATTGATATACAATTTTATTTTTCTAAAATCCAACAAATTGAGCATCACAAAATAATTTAACTACATTGTTTTGGTCATATATATATTTAACTTTAAAATATTATAATAAAATAAAATTTTGATAGTTATTACTTAAATATATATAAGTTATTTTTCCACCATTTTGTTTGAATTCGTTATATATTTCAAAACACAATTATTTATCTTTATCCTGTATCTCTAACAAACATATACGTACAATCACATGTATTGTCTTAATTTTCCCATCAACGTATGTGTGTATATACATATGTATATATATTTATATATATATATATCAATACATAATTCAAAATCTTACAGATTGTTCAGATATAGCAGGAAGATATTAAAATTTAAATTAAAATAAAATTTTAATTAATATATATTAGTATATATTTGATTCAATGTGTTGAATATAATAATTTAAATAATAAAAAACATATATCCAACTAAATTATTAATGTTTTAAAAATATATATTAATAATAAATAGTATCATTCAGATTCAAAGCACCAAAAAAAAAAGACCATACATACAACACATAAATTTTGTAGATAGATTTAATTTATATATTTTATTAAAATATAAATTTTAATAAAAAAATCCATCATAAATACTACTCCATCCGTCCCACATACCATATCCACGTTGCCGTTTCTGTCTGTTTCACATTCCATGTCACTTTTCTTTTTTTGGAAAATAATTACACACTTTAATTTCATATTAAATTTTTTAAATTTTTTTAATTTTAATTAAACTAATTAGTTATCTTAATCTTAATTTATAATTATTTATATTATAGGATAATTATTTTCACCAATATATTCTTAATTATCTACTAATTATACAACTTCTAAAATACCGTGTCTACAGTGTAGCAGACACGGTGTATTGGAACTGAGGGAGTATTTTATAGATAATAAAACTTTATATACTACAAAAATAAATAATATTTATTTATTTATATTATAAAATTAGAAGTAAGTTCCATTTAAAATTTTTTAAAAAAATAAAAATGAAATGAAAACAAATAATAATAATAATAATAATTAAAAAGATAGTATCACCTTAAAGTCCAATTTGTAACCGAACAGACCTATATATATATATATATATATATATATAAGTTAGGTAATTTTAGGTAGTAATAGTGAAATAATTGATGCAATTAGAGTGTACATTTGAACAATAATGAATGTTGTTTTGAGTGTTTATAGTTAGCTAATAATTAGACAATTAATTCGATCGGACATGCATGCATGCAGCTAGCTGGAATATGATTGGCTGCATGAATCTCGCCAACTACATATATAATTTATTATTCCAGTTTTACCATGTCCATGTTACCATTTCTGTCTGTCTCGTATCTCATGTCATTTTCATTTTTTAAAAAATGACTACTCATCTTAATCTTATTTTAAAATTTTTAATTTAATTTTTTTTAATTTTAATTAAACTAATTAATTATCTTAATCTTAATCTATAATGATTTATATTATAGATTAATTATTTTCATTATATCTACTAATTATATTTATTCTAAATTCTCGTGCAAGACACCCAATATGGGCCAGAGGTAGTATATAGTAATTGATTTTCAATGCAAAATATTATAATTACATATACATTCAACTCTACAGCTGCTAAATATCTGTCTAAAAAATAATTTTATTTATTTTTTTAAAAAAAAAAAGTCAACTAATTGATTGAGTTTTTGTTGGAAATTATAATGTAAATGTTAGAGACTGATAATTTCCAAAGAGTTGACGAAAATGAAGTGATTGATGTGTCCCAAAATCGATCATATTATGGGTTGTGTTTGCCTGTAGTTTCTTTTTTTTTAAAAAAAAAAGATATCATATTTCCTATTTATAATTCTTTTAAAAAAATATTAGATCGACTTTATATTTTACTGTATTACTTAAAAACTTAATTTTATATTAAAATTGCATCAATTGAGTATTTATATTCTGTTAAATAATTATTTCAATTGAAAATTTTATTATTCAAATTATAAATTCAACTCTAAAACCTATAAACAAATTACGTCAATTGTAAGAACTATATCTGCCTCAATTTCTAGAATGTTTAATAATTATAATTTATAAGTAGAGTTGTAAGAAATTGATATTGGGCCTTAAATAAGAATTTATGACTGGGCTAAAGTGGAATTTGGACCGAAATGTATGTTTCAAAATAGACCTATATTGACTAGTGAATTCCATTATAAAAATATTAAACTAAACTACAAATTAGTTGAATTTCCATATTATTTTGTTTGTCAAACTTTTCAAAAATTTTATTATTTATTAAATTTTTTTTCCCTAAAAAACATTAAATCAAATAATTATTTTTTAATTTTTATATTATATTAAAAATTAATCATATTATACAACTATTTCAATTCAAAATTTTTACTATTTAAATTCTAATTCAAAATCCAAATAAACATATATTGAACTACAAGAAAGTATCCAACTGCACACAAAAACTGTTAGGAAACTTTATGTAAAACTAGTGGGAGAGTTTTATTTTTATTATTATTAATTTTAAATTAGTTGTTTAATATGATCCTTTATAAAAAAATATATATATAATTTTTTTATAAATATTTTAGTAATATATTATATAGTAAAAAAAAATAAAAATTGAAATGCTCGGCTTCCTTCTACAAGAGCTGTCTTCCCAAACCGAAGAAGACCATTTGGGATGCAAAACATGAAAAAAAGGAGTTTGAGGATTGAGAAATTCACTACAAAGGTTGTTTGGTGTGAGCAAAGTCACCTGTAATAACTCCCACATCGGATTTGGACAAATTTAGCCTTCAAAAATGAAAAAGCCACCATTGCTTCACCAATATTTGCTTTCTTCATACACAAAATCCAACTTTATTCATGCTAATCCTGTGCTTAACCATCGTATCTTGTTCTGCAATACACAATATTTGTATCTATATATTCCGACATTCGTCGCCGTCGTCGTTGTCGTTACGTCTAATCTTTACGATGTTTATCTCCGATCGCCGCCTTCCCCTGCTTGTGATACTTATTTTTGCCGATCTTCTTTTTCCATGCATTGCCGAAGAAAGAGGCCTTTACGTCGTCCTGCTCGACGGCAAGCCCGTCGCATTTCGTCAAGAATCGACGACGAATGAAAAAGGAAGAAAGGCGTTTTTCGACAGGTAATTAATTGACCAATGCAAACTACATAGAGTTTGCTAAGATGTAATTAATGACCCTAATGTTTATAAAGATTAAGCTTTTAGGTGTGATGATCATTTATTTTTAATTTTTCAGCGAAGCTTCGAAGGCTCACGCGAAGCAATTGGCCGACTCTCATGATCGATTTCTTCAAACCACGTTGGATGCCGGGAGCTACAACAAGCTCTACAGCTTCAAACACGTCGCCAATGGATTCGCCGTTCATACGACTCATTCTCAGGTTACGTCAACGTCAATTCCGTTCAATACAAGTTATTTTAACTTTGGTTTATACTATGAGAAGCTCACGGTTTTGTCGAAAAACAAATAGGCGAAGAAATTTGAGAATGCTCGCGGAGTAAAGCTCGTCGAGAAAGATCGAGGCGCCAAATTAATGACGACTCACAGCCCTGACTTCCTCGGATTACCGGCGGTTTGGGCCCAACGAGGAGGCGAGAGGAATGCCGGTGAAGGGATCGTGATCGGGTTCGTCGATTCGGGAATAAATCCCGTGCACCCTAGCTTCACTAACGATATCTTACATCAATATACTTCGAATATATCTCATTTTTCCGGAGCTTGCGAGGGCGGCCCTTTGTTTCCCCCGACTTCATGCAACGGGAAGATCGTTTCGGCGCGGTTTTTCTCTGCGGGAGCTCAAGCCGCAGCTCGATTAAACACGTCTTACGACATCCTATCGCCTTACGACGCAGTTGGGCACGGCAGGTTCGTCGTAATCGTTCGTGACTCTTCGGAGTCTTTTTTGTTAAATGATCATCTCATCTAAAAACTTAAACCTGTGTTTACAGTCATGTGTCTTCGACAGCTGCCGGAAATTACGAAGTTCCGGTGGTTGTCGACGGGTACTTCTATGGCCGAGCCAGCGGGATGGCGCCTCGCGCAAGGTTTTTATACGTTATAATGATCTTTTTTTGTGAAAGATACGCCTTTCCGGCCGCCTAAACTTCGTTTTTTTCCTTTTGCTCGACAGAATCGCTATGTACAAAGCTATTTATCCGACCATCGGAACATTAACCGACGTCTTGGCCGCGATCGATCAGGTGAGTTTTTCGTGTTATATGTTCGAAAAATGATGGGGAGGTTCTTACATCTTCGAAGTATATGCAGGCTGTCGCGGATGGTGTCGATGTCCTAACGCTGTCGATTGGTCCCGATGGGCCGCCGGAGGAGGGGACACTCACATTCTTCGGAGCTTTCGAACTGTTCATGTTGTCCGCGAACAAAGCCGGAGTTCTTGTTGTCCAAGCAGCTGGAAATCACGGCCCCGGTCCTTACTCGGTCATCTCTTACAGCCCGTGGTCCGTCGCCGTCGCCTCCTCGAACACCGATCGAACCTACCCGGGCACCCTCGTCCTCGGCGACGGCCATGAAATCAGCGGCATCGGACTCACCGGTAACGAACCTTTCGATTTATTTTCGCGGGTTTACGATTCCAGTAATCGAGCGACACTGTTTTCGCCGTTGATCAGCTCCGAGTTTTGGCGGCGGATTGCTGCTGTATCGGCTGGTGCTGGCGAAAGATGCCGTTAGGACGACGGGAACATTTCCAAGGACTCCGCAGAACGTCGATGAATGCCAGTCGCCGGACGCGCTCGACTCCGCCGTTGTGCGAGGCAGCGTCGTTATCTGCGGATTCTCCGCCGGATTCGCCAACGGGACGTCGACCCTAGCGGCCATTTTAGCCACGGCAAGAGCTCTCGGATTTGCAGGATTTGTCCTCGCCGCAAACTCGAGTTACGGCGACTTTATAGCCGAACCGATCCCCTTCGCTTCCCCCGGGATTATGATCCCGAGAGTTAGCAGCGTGCAAGTATGAACTGCAGCACATCAATTGACAAAAAGATCTTGCGAAAGAGTCGAAATGATGGTCGATTTTTTTGCGCGCAGATCATGTTTCAGTACTACCAACAGCAGACTATCCGAGACACCGGAGGTCGAGTTATACGATACAACGCCAGAGCCAGCATTGGTGAAGGAAGGACCGCATCGTACACGGAACGAGCTCCGATCGTTAGTAGATTCTCGTCAAGAGGACCCGATTACATGGACGAGAAACGGACTCCCGCCGACGTTCTAAAACCCGACATTTTAGCCCCCGGCCACCAAATTTGGGCTTCTTGGAGTCCCATGAGCTTTCTCAACCCCATGCTCTCAGGCACGATGGTAAATTTAAGTTTTTAGGTAAGATAATTATTTAATAAATTATTTTTTTTTGATCGAATTTTTAGGTCACAACTTCGCATTGCTATCGGGTACGAGTATGGCGACTCCTCACGTTGCGGGGATAGCTGCGCTTCTCAAGCAAAACAACCCTTCGTGGACTCCGGCCATGATCGCGTCCGCGATGTCGACGACGGCGAGAAATCGGGACAACCTCGGCGAACCCATAATGGCGGAAGGCTTTGCAGCCTACTCGATCTACCCGGCCGCCCCATTCGGATACGGCGCCGGATTCGTCAACGCTGCCCGCGCCAACGACCCGGGCCTAGTCTTTCCGGCAGGTCATATTAATAAAATATTTTTTCATTTATATAAAAATATTTTCGTAAATATAATATTTTCGAGAATGTACGGTTTTAACAGGATACGAAGACTACGTCGGCTTCTTGTGCTCTCTCCCCAACACTGATCCTGAGAAAGTGAGGCGGGCGATCGGAGAGGCTTGCCCGGCCGGCGCAATTTCCGGCAGACCGTCGGACCTGAACCTGCCGTCGGTGACGATGACGGCGCTTTCGGGGACGCGGGTGACGCACAGAGTGGTGAAGAATGTCGGTGACAAGCCGGAGACGTATTTGTGCGCGGTGCTGCCGCCGGCGGGAGTGGCGGTGAGCGTCGCGCCGGAGTGGTTCGCGGTGGGCCCGCAAGAATCGGCGACGCTGGAATTGAAGTTTACGGTGACGGCGCCGGGGGAGGATTTCAGCTTCGGGTTGATTGTCCTGACGGGAAGCTCCGACCACATTGTCAGAATGCCTTTGTCGATATTGCCTGTTTCTGTTTGAAAGGGGATTTTGATTATATTTGTAATGAAATTTAGATATGGCTGCTGTGATGGCCCATGTATTTGTGTGTATTATTGGGCTTGGTGTTATTTATTTTTATTAATTAATATTGATATGAAACAAGAAATAGTGTCCAATTGATATTTATTTTTATTAATTAATATTGATATGAAACAAGAAATAGTGTCCAATTGATAGGCTTAATTAATTTGTGACTGTAAAATTATAAATTTAAATCTATAATATGGTCACAAGTATATCTTCCCACAACCAGACTTTTATATGTATGGACTATGCTGACTTTCTTGTTTGTTCAAATGTGTGTGTGTTTTTTTATTTAATTTTATTACTTGAATTTTGTATTTTGTAAAAAAATTATTTTTGCATAAATATTTTATTAAATATTATTTTAACATGAATTCAAATTAATTTTCTCTATAAAAAAAAAAAAAAAAAAAAAAAACTAGGGGAGTAGAAGTTATCCTATTAATATGATTTATAGGTTATTGCACGAAAATTTGTGGGTTTGATGACCAAATGTATCAGCAGTGAACCTTATCCAAAAGTGTGTGTGTGTGTGTTCATTAATGGGGTGACACACAGCACAGCAGCGCCAGCCATATATGTCCATGCCTTTCTTACGTCATCCAAGAATGAGATTGAAGATTAATATTGATAATAAGTAAGAATATGAATGAATATCTATTGCTGTTTGTGAACTACTGATATTTTAGATTCCCTCGTCGTGCAGGTGACGCTAAATGCATATTTTTATTTGAATTTTGAATATACTTTTTTTTTATTTTTTTTATTTTTTTTTTATTTTAGATTATTTTGAAGTTAGTAGTGTTTATTTGGTTTATGACATTGTTGATATTCATTCCCACCCCTTTCTAAATGCTATTCTTATCTTATCACTATTTAGTTAAGTTTTCATTTATTCCACGAGTTGTCTATTTTGTATCAAACGGAATTCAATTTACGAGGAAATTGAGATCAATACAAGGGCTTATTTGGAAGCAGGCGCGGATGTACGTGCATAACAAATAAGTGATGATCGTTTCAAAATTTTAAAAATTAGCCCCTTTTTTCATCTGATTTGGTTCCGCCTCTGGATAACTCCATTGATAAAATTATTGAATAACAAATAGATGATGATCGTTTCAAAATTTTAAAAATGAACTCCCATTTCATCCTGGTCTGGTTCCGCCTCTATTTGGAGGTAGATTGAGAATAATATATATATATATATTATCTTAAATATTTCTCAAAAAAAAAATTAATGCGATGCTAGCTTATAATATTATATTTCTTTATACCCATACCCTACATAAAAAAAACGATCAAAATAAATAAATAATATATATTTTTTTGGATGACGTGGGAATTCGCAGTCGCTACCCGAAAGTGCACACTGGGTAAACCTCCGACCGAACCTAATACCCTGTGAACCAGGCCCAACGGAAAAGTCACACTAGGCGAACCATACGTATCAGGTGACCTGAGGCGTCGGGGATTTGAACCCATGACCTCACCATTACGAGTCCAAATCATAGTTTGAAGGTTATACATGTTCTCACATCATTAAAAATTATATTATATTCCCTTTGTCAAGAGTTTCATTTTTTATATTCGTCTGTCCAAAATAATATTATTATTTTTTAATTTAGTAATTGTACTGCAGGTCTAATATAATAAATATTTTTTCAAATTATAATATATTATACAAATATCACCACTTTTATATTACACAATACGGGTATTTTTATTTTTTTATTACAACTCAATATAATATTAATATTAAAAAATTTACGTGAAAAAACAAATGTTATGGAGTATAAAATTTTATTTTTTAAAAAATAATATTTAAATTGAGTATACTTATTGAAAATAATTTTAATCACATATTACTCATGTATCAACCAAACAAGTCCCAACTATGAAATCGAACAAACAAGCAAACAGACGAAAATATCCAAACACCATATGATAGACATTTGGTTAAACTATATCTATATTTTATTTGTTAATAATACTTAATTTTAATGTTTAATGAAACAAAAAATATATTAGAAAAACTGTAGATTAAATAATTTTTTTTTATATAAAATATCTAAAAATACAAATAAACACACCATTTTTCATTGGCTGCCACTATACCTAATATCTATTGACTATTGGATTGTATTCCTTAATTATTTGCCAAACATGTATTAAATTACGTCAATTATATTGTTCAACAACTATTAACATACTCAAATATGTCACATTCAATTAATATATATATATATATATATTAAATCAAATATTTATATATACTTATATTTTTTAAAATTTTGCTTCACTTTAATTAATTATAGGTTTTCATATATACACAAATTATAGTAAAATAAATGTAAAATATGTATATAATGGTGTGTTTGTTTTGTAAGATTGTTGGAAAATAATTTTTTTTATTATTTATTTATTTTTATGTGAGTTATAGAGAATTGTGTAGATAATATTAAAATAATAAATATGTATAATGTATTAATTTTTTTGAAAAAAACGTATAGGAAAAAATTATAGAAAGAACAAACTCTAATTTTGTACAATAAATATTAATTATTAATATTAAAAATGCAAGGTATTTTATGATTATTGTATGTATAAGTATAAATACAAGAAAATGTAGAAAAAATACAACTAAAAATTAATGACTAGACAAGCCTTCTCCTAACAATACAATATTATAGATAGAGGTTTTAATCAAGTTATGAATTTGTTTTTGTTGTGATTTAAAATTAATTTAAATTTTTATTTAAATAATATTTTATAAGAAGGAATAATATATTTTTATTAAAAATATCTGAATAATATAAATTTATATTTGAAATCATAAACAAACAAATAAATGTATGACACAATATTTTGATTCCAATTTTTTTGTGTTTTATATATTTTTAATGATAATAATAGTTTGATTTAATATTTTTAAAATAAATAAATAATATCAAATACTTCCAAGTTGCTATGTAAGTAAGTGTTAATTGGTAGTTTTTAATGATAGATTTTATGTAATATTTTTGAGAAAATAATTGGCGGGTTTTATAAGAAAGTGTAAAAAATAAATTAAAAAAAAAATAAAAAAAAGTTCTACTTATGATTATTTTGTCCTTTTTCGTTCCTTGATTATTTTTGTACATTTAAATTTAATTAAATGAGGATACAATACAACTGCTCATTTTCTTACTAATTTAATTAATTAATAAATAAAATGAAACCGGAAAGAAAAGGAGAGGCAAAACGTAGGGCCGACAAAAGTTCAGTGGGTTTTGTATTATATTTGTTCAACTAATAAATGCCCTTTATTTTATACTTGATTTATTTTATTATTTTCAAATGTATGAATTATGGGGAATTGATGTTGAAATTGTTTAGGCTTGTATATATAATTAAAAATAACGATTTAACATAATATATTATATCAAGAAAATGTATATAATATTTTTAGATGAATAAAAAAATATTATATAGAAAAAAAAAGTTTGAATTATTATTATTATTATTATATAATGAACAAACTTAGGATTAGTAAGGATATGACTGATCGAAAAAAAAAAAACTATTATTGAAACTCTACTTGAAAATTAAACAGTAAGGATTTGTTTATTTTTGTTTTTGTTTTTATGTGAATTTGAATTTTTTGTTTAAGTTTTAGATTAAAAATCACTTAATTTAAGTACTTTTTATAAAAAAAATATAATATTTTAATTGAATAATTTTTAATTTATGTGAAATAAAAATAAATACACCTAAGTGATGTAAATATGATAATTATTTAATATATATATATATAATAAGTATGTACCGAGTTGATCCTATTGACATAAATAAATTTTATAGATTGAGAACGATATACATCCATCACCGAGTATGTATTTTGGGATATTTTAAATTTATTTTATTTCTGATAAAATGAAAAATAAAAAATAAAAAATAAATTACAAACTGCCATTAAATATATATATATAAATAATTTTAATAATATAAAATTTAGATGAAAAATTAAAATAAATACGCCCTGGAGCACGCGCGTACTTAGCGTGTCCGACACACTTGCCGTCCCATAGGTTAGAAAATTGTTACCGTTGTACTATTGCTCATCGCGTGGCACCTTGCCGACATTTCACTCGTCAACCTCAAATAACGACTGGTAGCTCCAGGGACGCCAGCTCCCGATTAAATCCAGACCATTCATTAAAACAAAATCCACGCTACGAACGGCTTAGATCCTATAAGCAGTCTCCGTGATAAGCTCCAGGGAATCATCCATGGGCGAAATGAACAGTCGAAAGTTTTTATTTAATTCGAATTCCCAGCAGGAATCTAATTCCAGAGTGAATTCAAGATCATGAATAAACTCCACTTGCCCATAAAAAATGCCTTTCTTTAACCCTAATTTTCCAAAACGGAAGAAATCGACACGTAATTATCCAACAGTCAAATTCAGCCATGAGATTTCGGGAAAAAAAACTATAGAATTTATCTCTTTCCGCAGCCAAAATGTACCCAATTTGGAGAGCAGTAAAAGCCGAAAAAGAAGAGTCATTGTTGCAGATATTTTCAATTCTTGTCCAAATCTGATCTGTAACGGACACGCACACCACACACATAATTGCATACACGATATAAATCAATCCTTCACTGCAATTATGGTGGTGTATGCATCGGTTATGTGTGTGTAGTGGGTGGGCTGAGCTGTAGGGTTCGCCTTTTTGAAGAACTTGTTGGGAATGTTCTTTGGCTTTTGTTCTACTCTGAAGTAATTCTCTTCAGTATTGGATCGACATACCCTCTCCATTCTATTTTGTGCTTTTCTTTACTCCATTATCGAAGATGATTTTGATTTGACGAAACCTTTCTTTAGCTTTCTTCAGAGCTTCACAGGTCTCTCTACACGGCTTCGTCGCCAAAGGTATGTGTCATTTTCGATTCTCTGTTCTTCCTCTGCTCATAGTGCATTTTATCTTCAGAGATGAGTAGAATAGTAAACCCTAGGTTTTTGTTTGTATAGATTTAACTCTTTCCTCATCAGGAAATTTGGTAATTTCGTGTGACTGCAAAACTTTGTGTTGATCACAAACCATATCAGATGTTAATTTTGATGTTCTTTGCGTAGATATGGTGGCGTTAGATTGCTGAGGATTTGCTTTTGAATTTCAGGAGGTTTGATTATCTTAAAAGAGGTTTGAGATGGCGACCTTCAAGGATATAGGGCTTGCAGCAGGAATTAATATTCTGACTGCTTTCATCTTCCTCATAGCATTCGCCATCCTAAGGCTTCAGCCATTTAACGACAGAGTATATTTCCCGAAATGGTACCTCAAAGGACTGAGAACAAGTCCACAATCGGGAGCATTCATGAGCAAATTTGTCAATATCGACTGGAGATCATATATTAGGTTCCTCAATTGGGTGCCAGAAGCCTTGAAGATGCCCGAGCCGGAGCTCATCGATCATGCCGGCCTGGATTCTGCCGTTTATCTGCGAATTTACTTGTTGGGGTAGCTTATGCAATCTTATTCGGATTATTTTTAGATGATCGAGCATTCGGTATCATGATTTTACTTGTTAAATATGTAACAAAAACTTGTGTTTTAATTGCTAAATTTGGATTCAACTTGTGTTTGTGCATTCATAAGATAGAGTTGCTATCGATTTTTCTGTCATCTTTGAACTTAGCGAACTAGTTTATGTCTTTCTGCCTTATTACATAGTGGTTTCTTGAATGATTCTACATAAATTTGCTCGTATTATACATTTGTCCTGATTGTGCTCCTTATGTCCGCAGGCTTAAGATTTTCGTTCCGGTGACATTGTTAGCGTGGGCAATCCTAGTGCCGATAAACTGGACGAACGATACATTGGCAAAGGCTGGAGTGCAAGATAAAGTCCTGTACAGTGATATAGACAAGCTTTCTATTTCGAATATCCCACTCGGATCCAAAAGGTACTTGCACCTCCATTTTTAAAATTTGAGATATTGTTTTGGTTGACGATTCAATTGGTTGATGCTTCAAAACTGTGCCGCCTATTTAGCAAGCTCAAATTTTGGATTGTTTTATGTAGACCAATTATGATAAGAGCTTGATGAAAGTGAATCCTTGCAATGTATTCCATGACATATTATTATCACGTTTAATGACGAATAGGTTCGTATCTCGACTTACAGGTTTTTGGCTCATATGGTTATGGCCTATGCCTTCACTTTTTGGGTATGCTACACTCTGCAGAAGGAATACGCAACGGTTGCTGCAATGCGCTTACACTTTCTTGCTTCAGAAAGACGTCGTCCTGATCAATTTACGGTAAGAAAAGTCTCCTTCTACTCTATATCCATAGTTATAACTATCGTTGCCATCAATCACTATAACCCGATCAAACAAGTGGGATGCTTGATCCATTAGTATTCAGTATGCAGAATCGTGAATTGGATGATATATTGTGTCGAAACAGGCAATGTGTTTGAAGTTGCTTATCTTTAGAGCACTCAATCTTGGTTCTTTGTAGGTTCTTGTTAGAAACGTACCGCCAGACCTAGACGAGTCAGTGTCGGAATCTGTGGAACATTTTTTCCTCGTCAACCATCCGAATCAGTATCTGACTCATCAGGTTCGAGGAAATCGAATCCATTGATCTTTACAATTTTTTGTTCGGTATGAGACATTCTTCTTACTTGAAACTATTTATTCGTGTAGGTTGTGGTTAATGCGAATAAACTTGCAAAACTGATAAAACAGAAAGAGAAGAAGGAAAATTGGCTGGACTATTATGAATTAAAGTATTCGAGGGATCCATCGAAACGGCCTATGACGAAGGTATATACGGATCGTGTATTTTATACATTCCGTCTCTTGCATCAGAATGCTTCTTACTAACTTACGAATTTGCAGACGGGTTTTCTTGGCTGTTGCGGTGATAAAGTAGATGCTATCGAATATCAAACAGCCGAAATCGAGAGGCTGAAAGGAGAAGTGCGTACATACAACTCAATCCTAAGTAGGATTCAAAATTCTTCTGTTCATAATCGAACAATCATATTTCTTTGCAGATAGCCGAGGAGCGCAAGAGGGTGAAAAACGATCCGAAGAACATAATACCGGCAGCTTTTGTCTCCATGAAATCGCGGTGGGGAGCTGCTGTTTGCGCGCAAACGCAGCAAACTAGAGATCCGACGATATGGCTAACCGAGTGGGCTCCTGAGCCCCGAGACATCTACTGGAACAACCTTGCGATTCCCTACATTTCGCTGAATGTTAGGAGGCTTATTATTGCCGTTGCTTTCTTCTTCCTTACGTTCTTCTTCATGATCCCCATCACCATCGTTCAATCGTTCGCAAATATTGAAGGTATCCAGAAGAGGCTACCGTTTTTAACCCCGATCATCGACATGTGAGTGTTAGTCCAGTTTCTTAAGTTATATGTTCGAGCATTTTCTTTTCTCTGTTGCTAATATGAATGTCGTCTTACAGAGGTTTCATCAAGTCTTTCGTGCAAGGCGTTCTGCCGGGGATCGTTTTGAAGATCTTTCTGATAGTCCTACCAACGATTCTGATGATGATGTCCAAATTCGAAGGCTTCATTTCGATTTCGTCACTGGAGAGACGAGCTGCCTTAAGATATTATCTCTTCAACTTCATAAACGTCTTCCTCGTGAGCGTAATCGCCGGCGCTGCATTCGAACAGCTCAATAGTTTCCTCCATCAGTCCCCAAAAGAGTACGCCGCTCCTCTCGTCTTGTTCGAATCTTCTTTGATTTTGAATTATCATCGAAACTGAAGCAATGGCGCGCATTAATTCGCAGTATCCCCGTGACAATTGGCGTCGCAATCCCTATGAAAGCGACTTTCTTCATCACCTACGTGATGGTTGACGGATGGGCCGGCGTCGCCGGCGAGATCTTGCGACTGAAGCCGTTGATCATCTATCACCTGAAGAATTTCTTCATTGTCAAAACCGAAAAGGATCGGGAGGAGGCCATGGATCCCGGCAGCATCGGATTCAACACTGGCGAACCCCAAATACAGCTCTACTTCCTTCTTGGCCTCATCTATTCGATCGTGACGCCCGTTTTTCTTCCTTTCATTTTGGTCTTCTTCGCCTTGGCATACGTCGTTTATCGCCATCAGGTAAATTAATGTTTCGTAAATCCCCGCGCGACTTCGAATAAGCTAACGATGCGCTCAACCTGTTTTTTCGAACGCAGATCATAAACGTGTACAACCAAGAATATGAAAGCGGCGCGGCGTTTTGGCCAGACGTACATGGGCGCATCGTCTTCGCCCTCATCTTCTCGCAGATCGTTCTGTTCGGATTAATGAGCACAAAACATGCTGTCGCGTCGGCGCCGCTCCTCATCGCGCTCCCGGTGTTGACGTTCTTCTTCCATCGCTTCTGCAAAGGCCGTTACGAATCTGCGTTCGTTAAATACCCTCTACAGGTACCCGTGATCGCAATCGATCCTCGTATATTTGTAACGAAAATTTAATACGGATGAAGTTAGCAACAACTTTGGATATCATTAGTAATGGAAAAAATGATTTATGAATGAAAAAATCTCGTTATAAAAATGTTATTTTCTTATTGTCGATGATCGGAAACGACGATTTTGTGTTCGTATCAGGAAGCGATGATGAAGGACACGCTGGAGCGCGCGCGGGAGCCGGGATTGAACTTGAAGGGATACTTGGAGTACACTTATGTCCACCCGGTTTTCAAAAACGACGACGATGAAGATGACAACGACGAGAGCTTCGACGGGAAGGTGGACGGCGCCGTGCTGGTCCCGACGAAGCGGCAGTCGCGGCGGAATACTCCGATCCCTAGCAAATTCAGTGAGACGTCGTCGCCGTCGTTGCCGGAAGTTGTAACTGAAAACGGTAATGAACCGTGAATGTAGTAATGTGTGTTTAATGTAAAATTAGTTATAGATTTTGGTTGTAGGAAGAAGTTAAGTTGAGAAACGCCTGTGGACTCTGAAAGAGTTTAATTTGGTTGCGGTAAAAGTGAGCTTGTAGATAACTTTTTAACCCTATCGAAATTCTAAACTTCCTCTCCCTGATAATTATGCTATTTTATTTTAATATAAAAATTTAAAAATAATTCTTTCACCTTCCTGTGTAACCTTATTGTTAAAATATATTTAAAATATATATATTATATTTATGATAGTTAGTGTATTTAAAAAGTTTATAGAATTCTTATATGATTTAGAGGATTTATACGTAAAATTTGTAGGATTCTTATCCTATAAATAAAAAATTCTAATTTTTATTATTGAAATAAAAAAGTTTAATTTTATATTCAAATATTTTTATTTTTGACTTTTGCTTATGTACTAAAGTACATTAGTATTTTATTAACACTTGATGTAACGATTATTTTGACTTTGACATTAATGTAAAAGTATTACATTAATATGAAAAATACTAAATATAAAATTTTGGTATTAAGTTATAGATTTTGATTTATACATACTAAAATACTTCATTGTTTACTATTTTTGTTCATCTTGAAAAAATAGTTTTATTTAAATAAATAATGATATTACTATAAAAATTAGTATTACTCTTTTATTATTATTACACAATTGCCACTACTTTTTATACTGATATAATTTACAACTGTATTTTTTACTCACTAACAATATAATATCAATATTCTTTAAATCTTGTGCTAAATACAACCTAACCCAAACTATAGTTTTGGGACGGAGGGAGTAGTAAAATGAAAATTTTAGTATTAGATAGATAAAAGTATTTCTTTAGTTACAATTGTCATTTTTTATTTTTTAAAAATATTCATCAAATTTATACGCAATTTTTTGTTAGATATAATAAACAATTTTTATTCATTTAAAATTTTATTATTCTTATTTTAATAAATAGATTAATTTGTTATTATTTTGTTTTACTGATTTCCTTACCTGTTCTTTTAAAAAAATATGAAATTTGTAATAAATTTTTATAGTATGATTATTTTAAATTTTCGTATTCAAACTAATTAAATGACATAATTAGATTTAATTAGTTTGGATATAGGGAGTAATATTTCCATATACAAGAGGAAAGATAAACAATTAAAATCAAATAAAGATAATTATAAGATATTTCTAAAATAATAATAATAAAAAAAATAATTATGTAAATAAAAAATAGTTGGGAAATGATTATTTTTTATTGAATTATTATTAAATTATGAATTAATATTTATTATTATTATTATAAATGTATTATAGATAAAATTACCGAACAAAAATTTAATATGTCTCACAGTAGAATGTTGGATAGTAATTTTTTTGATCAATTAAAAAACGAGCTTAAATAAATTTATTTTACAACAATGCATTTAATTAATTTAATAATCATTTTGTGAAAATATTGAAAAAAATATTTAAAGAACGAGGATAATTAATTAACTTCATGGCAATGTACTTAATTAATTTGTTACCATGGTTAGATACAACCAACAATAATCCTTTCATAAAAGTACTTTAAAAAAAAAAAAAAATGTTGCATGCGGACTTAATTAATTTGTTAATAATAACTATTTTGTGGTAATATTACAAAGATATTTTAAAAAAACAATAAACAATTAATTTAATTAATTTAGTTGGTGATCGAATTGTGTTAATAACAGATATCGGTGTGTAAAAAGCTCGAAATATTTTAAAGAATGCGAATAATTAATAAGTTCATGACAATAGATTTAATTAATTTGTTAGAATAATTGGATATGGCTAATAACAATCATTTGTTGAGAGATTTGAAAAAAGTGATTTAAATTTAGCATAATAATTTTGTAAAAATATTTGAAATGTCAATTTGACTTAAATTAATATGTTGCTGTGATTGATGTTGTCAACAATAATTGTTTTGTGGAGATGTTACAAAAATAGCTTAAAAAATAAAATAATTTATTAATTTTGACAATGAATTTAATTAACTTGTTTCGATGATCGGATTATGCAACTAATAATAATTAGATTTAGATTTTTAATATAAAAAATTTTCATTAATTTTTTTTTGTAATATAATATAAATAAGTATTAGTGGTAATCTTTTAAATTTTAAATTTTAAATATATTTAATTTAATATTTTTTGAAAAAAAAAACTTATGAAGAGTAATGAGCATAAAGTAATGATTTAAACAATTAAATACATTTAAAATATTTCTATATTATTTTCAAATACGAAAAGATTTTTAATACTAATATATATATATATTTTTTTTATCGATGACATACATAATTTTAATAAAATAAATTTGATTTCAATTATTATAACAATATTTTTTGAGTTATAAATGTAAACAATGATTAAATAATAATTTAAGTATATTTTATTTCCTTAATTATAAAACGCTAGTTTGGCAAATAAGACCTTCTCCTTCTCGGGGGACTCCGACTAGTAATATACATCTATATCTATGTGTGTGTATATATATATATATATGTATGCGTATATGTACACTCGCGCAATCGTTAACAAGAAATTAGATACATTATAGTAGATTTTATTACCAAATCCTAGAGAAAACGGAGGGTTTTGTAGTTATCTAGAATCCTCTATTTCCTTTCCCCCAAGTCTTTCCTTAATCTATCGAAATCTCTGGATCAATATCATTCGATTAGGGCTCGGAGTCAATTCATTTTCACTGTCGAAGGGATTTGCTTGCTAAGCATCAGGTCAGTGGGAGGGGGGCATTGATTCTATATGTTTTGCAGTTCAATGCTTTTGATTTTGATTTTAATTTTAATCGTTCCTCGTGAGAATCGTGATGCTATGGCGGTCTTGATTGAATTAACGTTGATTTCGGTTGCGGTGAATTAGGTTATCTGGCCGTTTTTTTTCGATTTTGATCGTAAGATTGTATTTTGGGTGGATTTCTCGATGGATTGGTGTGAATGTGGATTCACTTTTCCTTTTCGATTGTGATTGTAAAGTTGTATTTTGGGTGAATTTCTCGATGGATTGGGTGAATGTGGATTGATTTTTCCTTTCAGATTGCGATTGTAAAATTGTATTTTAGGTGAATATCTCGAGGGATTGGTAGGAATGTGGATTGATTTTTCCTTCGTTCACTCTTCGTAGCCTTCGCTTCGTCTCTATATGATTTCCAAGTTATGCATCTAGGGTTTCTGTTTAGGATTTGTTTAGCTGAAGTTTTTCTACGAAGTGTGTTTATTTTCTGTTTCTAGACAGTTTTTTTTAACTCATTGGACTTCGCATTTCCCCAAAAAACAATATACATGTTTGGAGATGAATCGGAAACCTTTGAATCTTGAATAGAGGATGAGTTTGCCTTAGTTTCTGAGATTAATGTTCTTATGATTTTGGAACTGTTGAATTGTAGCATTGTTGATCGATTGGTTTTTATATGATTTGTCAGATTTGGATCCTTAGCATTAGCTGGAAGCTTCAGGCATTGCAATGGCACCGAAAGTTGAATACAGAAAACCACCTATTGTAGGAAGCCAATCTGTGCCTGCTGAAAGGCCATGGAAGAAGCTCGTCATCCGACCTGAGCCAGAAAAAAGGAGGAGGAAGCTCATCATCGATCTGGATGATGAGGAAAGCATGGAAAATGCAAACCTGTTGCCTGAAGAATCTGGGAGTGACTCAGACCAGAGAGTTGATTGTGATTTGGGGAAGGAGAATGCATCTGAGGATTCCGAAGAAGAGAGCAGTCGATCAATGGAGAGATGTCGCCGCCATACTTCATCAGGTGGATTAGAACACAAAAATCTTCGCAAGGAAATTGGCGAATCTTCTAAACTGGAAAAGCCTTCTGATGTTAAAGCTGTAGCTGAGGAAGAACGTGAAGATGAGGAAGGGTGGATTAGAACACAACAATCAATGGAGAGATGTCACCGCCATACTTCATCAGGTGGATTAGAACACAAAAACCGTCGCAAGGAAATTGGTGAATCGTCCAAACTGAAAAAGCCTTCTGATGGTAAAGCTATAGCAGAGGATGAAAGTGAAGATGGGGAAGGGTGGCATAATCCCAAAAAGAAGAAGAAGAAGAAGAAGAGGACATTAGTGACTCGACCTCGAATTCAGAAGAGACCACCGGAGAGCAAGAGTAATCAAAGAGCATCGAAAAGACCTCGTGCTTCTCAAAACTGCTTTACGGATTCTAACTACATTTGGTGCGACTGGGTGGTGGAAGAAGGCAAAGATGCGAAAATGGGAGAAAACAATTCAATGGATGAATTAAGAATCCAGACCACTGATTCTGCAACCATGGCTGAGAAAAGAGCTCAAGAATCTGAAAAAATGAGTCCTGGCGCCAAACAGTCTTCGCATACCTTATCTCCAATGAGGCAAGAACAGGACAGGGAAGCAACTATAGCTGAGAAAAGTTCAGAATCCGAAAAAATGAGTCATGGCGCCAAGCAGTCTTCACTAAGCTTAACTCCATTGAAGCAGGAACAGGAAAAGGAAAAAAGGCAGCATACTGTTGATAAAAAAATGAAGGTATAATTTTTCGACTTTCTTAAATTGCAGTGTTGTTTTCTCTTACCATAGATAACTTAACACTGTTCACAGGAAATCCCAAAGAAGCCTCTTAAATGTCATCAATGTCAAAAGTCGAACCGCAAGATCGTCGTCCCTTGTACTAATTGCAAAGAGAAAGTCTACTGCATCCATTGTATCAAACAATGGTGATTGTTCTAACCGAACACTTTTTATATTCGGAAAGTGTTATGAATGCGAATAAATTGATCTTAATTTTGTCTGATTAGGTATCCTGAATACGACGAAGAGGAAGTCGCAGATACTTGCCCATATTGCCGGGGGAATTGCAACTGCAACGTATGCCTTCATGCACCATCCACATTGAAGGTTCGATCATTTTTTCCAGTTGAAGCCTCTCATTTATTATAGTTATTATTATGTATTCTAAAACCTCATAGCCATTTGTTTTTTTCGAATTTAGACAACTAAAAGAGAGATCACTGATCAAGAGAGGATTCGCCATCTGAGCTATCTTATCAACCAGCTCTATCCACACCTGGAACATATTGTTCGAGAACAAATGGATGAGATTGCCATTGATCTCGACACTAAAGGTTCGACTCTTAATTTAAAAGCTAATTCCCTTTATTATAGACAAGAAGATCTCACAAATAATCGAATTTCGATTGTCAGGGGAGCAAATTAAAGTACATCAGGCAGCTTACTTCAGTGAAGAGCGCGTTTACTGGTTAGGGATTTACGTCGTTTAGACCTTTACTTCATTTCCCTTTATCCCCTTGCGTTGTGTTATTAATTTTCTTGATTTGTCATCTGCTGCAGCGACCATTGTTCCACCTCGATTATTGATCTTCATCGGAGCTGTCGAAACTGCTCTTACGAACTGTGCCTTAGATGTTCCCAGGAGATTCGAGCAGGTCAGGTGCCAGGAAGCTCTCGGAAATCTATTCCTGTGTACACTGATAGAGGCATCGACTACATGCATGGCGGAGATCCACTCCCAAAGACTTGTCCTGCACAAACTCTGAACAGCATCGATGAAATTCCTCTCGAATCCTTCACCACAGGAGATGGGATCATCGTCTGCCCTCCCAAAGAACACGGTGGATGTGGTAACGGTAAGCTCGAGCTCAGTCATCTCCTTCCACTCGGCTGGATGAATACTCTGTGGAAACGAATCCACGCGGTGATCAGAAGCTGCAAAGCCATGGATATCATGGCTCACCCGATCGTGTCCAACGGCGCCAAGTCAAGGCCGTGTTGGGCAGAAGGCTCTAAAGACAGCATTCTGTATAGCCCAAACTCGAAGGAGACTCTGAACGAGGAAGAACTCATGCACTTCCGCAGGCACTGGGCTAACGGCGAGCCCATAATCGTAAGGGCCGCGCTCGAGCAGGGAACTGGTTTGAGTTGGGAACCGAAGGTGATGCTGCGGGCGTTGTTTGAACAGAAAGATTTGAAAATGTCTGATGTGAAAACCATCGACTGCCTGTCCGGTTGCGAGGTAATTTTCACTTCTTTCTAATGCTTGCTTACACATTCAAACAATTACCCGAAGAACTGCTTTAATTTCGCTAATATTTTCAGGTGGAGATCGATGCCCGCAAATTCTTCAAAGGCTATGTGGAAGGGAGACAGTACGAAAACTGCTGGCCGGAGATGCTTAAGCTCAAGGACTGGCCACCATCGGATCGATTCGAGGATCTGTTGCCTCGCCACTGCAATGAGTTCAACTGTGCCTTGCCATTTCAAGAATACACAGATCCTCGGGCGGGAATTCTTAACATTGCCACAAAGCTTCCGCCCACGATCATAAAACCTGACTTGGGCCCGAAGACATACATAGCGTACGGTACTGCTCAAGAACTTGGGAGAGGGGATTCTGTGACCAAGCTTCACTTGGACATGTCGGATGCGGTACAGCCTTAAGAACTTTGCCTAATATCACGTTTCTTTCGATTCCTTTTAATTCAAAAGATCTTATTGTCTGGCTGTTTAACTGCTTCTCAGGTGAACATTTTGACGCACACAGCCGAAGTAGCTCTAACCGACGAACAGACTCGAGCAATTGAACAGCTGAAGGAAAGGCATAGGGCTCAAGATGAAACAGAATCCATGTCCCAAACAGTTGAAGATCGCGGACTTGGAGTGTTCAGTGTGTCCGGAGGCAGAGACATCCCGCGCTTGGGGAAAAAGAGGGTTTTCACTGAATCCAAACAGGACGACCACGAGCACATGTCCTGCACGGCATCTGCAGGAAGCGAGGACGGCGGCGCACTGTGGGATATTTTCCGAAGAGAAGATGTTCCAAAATTGAACGAGTACCTGAGAAAGCATTCGCGTGAATTTCGCCACACCTTTTGCGCTCCAGTTGAAGAGGTAATCTCTAGATGATAAACTTAGGAACTTTCATACAGATTAAAACATACTTTCATTTCCGTTACCCTGTACAGGTCGTCCATCCGATTCTCGACCAGTGCTTCTACCTATCGAATGAACACAAGTTACGGCTGAAGGAAGAATACGGTGAGTAAAGCAAACCCTTCAAAACCATCTCTTTATCACGGAACTATATATACATTTACCGTGGTCATTTTCAGGCGTTGTACCTTGGACGTTCATGCAAAAGCTTGGGGAGGCCGTATTCATCCCAGCCGGTTGCCCCCATCAAGTCAGGAACCTCAAGGTAAAATCTAACCAGCACTTTTTACATTTTCTTCAATTTTTTCATCTGTATAGGCATTTCAACATCGAATTTCCTCATCAAACGTGCAGTCCTGCACCAAGGTAGCTGCCGATTTCGTCTCCCCTGAAAACCTGCATGAGTGCCTTAAATTGGCAGAGGAGTTCAGGAAGCTGCCGATAAACCACAGGGCCAGAGAAGATAAACTAGAGGTATCTTGTTGTGACAACCTTATGCATCCATCCATTAGTTTCTGAGAACTAAAATTGTCGATTATCAGGAAATGATATCGAGTTTGTATATTGAGCAGGTGAAGAAGATGATCCTCCATGCTGTCAACCAAACAGTCGAGGATCTGGAGAAATTCTTTGAGGATGACAAGGATCTCTTCTTGTTGAGATAGATGCACAAACAAGAGCTGCATCAATTTTTGTCGAAGATCATCTGGACAAAGGGATGCCTTGCAAGATACTATTATACATTTGAATTTCCGACTGCTCCGGATCCGTCATAGAAGTTAACTGTTCATAAGTTTGGGAAACACAACTGTTACCAGTCTTTAACATACAAGTAGACAGACAGAAATTTTGAGGATGGCAAGAAACAAGAAAAGAAAACCTGTGTTCCTTGTTTTAATGAGCAATTTTTGTGCAACTGATATTAAAACAATTTTTTGTAAGTACTGTGTTTAGAAGTAGTTTTAATATCTTAACTCCTATCCATTGTACGTTTTCTTGTAAAAAAATATCACATCGATTGTACCTACACTGATGTGCACAAACCGTAAGAGATCCACAACAGTCACAATTAACTAATTCAACAATAGAAATAAACCAAAACTCAAACACAATTTCAAAGAGAACACACAACACTAAAAAATACCCAAAACATAAACGAACGCAGTTCATTCTCTTCGAAATTACCTCTCATTGTTTTCCTTATAAAAATGCACTATTTTCTCGAACAAAACATCACACTGTAAACACACACACAAAAAAAGTTCATAGTCCTCCGCCCAAGATAATTATGTTGATTTTAAATCGTCGGCTAAACTTATATATAATACATTTCAGAATACCCCCTCCCCCTACCTTACTTTTTACTTAAATCTATGTGCCCAAACACAATAATATAAATATCCCGGACAAGGTGGGTACATTGTATTTCATTCAAAATATCAAAGTATGTTCTTATGGAATTTGATCATTAACATACTAAAAAACTGAAACCAAACTAAAAAAAGAGCCTCAATCTAACAACCAATTCACTTTAGAAACATCAAAACCAAAAATCTTGGCTATCCAACAACATTGGTAGTTCAAAATTTATGACACCCTTCCGTATTTTCAAAATCACATTCAAGAATGTAAGGGTGTACTTACTTTTCTATTACTTATTATTTATTATATTATACTAATTTTATATTCACATCAACACCTATTTATATCAAATCGTACAACTATTCTAATTTAAAATTTTTAGAATTCAAATTCCAATTTAAAATCCAAACCCCCAAACAAACACACCATTAATTTTCATGCCGAATAAATGTGTTTATATAAACAATCATAACATTAAATAACAAAACAAGACATCAAATTGCACAGTCGATTACCTCATACATTATGTTGAATTGCGACAAATTCTTGAATGACTCTTAAGCTCGGTTTACTTTGAGTTTTTCTCTTTTGAGTTTCTTCGCTATGCAAACCCATAATTTTCCTAAAAAAAAACATATGATTTTTCTATATCAAATATCATATCCAACAATTATTTCACTACAAACACATAGTATGAACACACACACAAAACCATGCAGAATAATAATATTAATTTAAGTTTGAAATCACAAAAGAACAACCCATAAACTCACACTTCAGTCATGAAGTATTAAAAGATTACAAACAATATTAAAAAACTACACAGAATAAATACTATTAATTTTAGTTTGAAATCACAAAAGAACAACCGATAAACTTACATTTTGGTCATGAAATATTAAAAGATTACAAACAACAAAAGAAGTTACACCACTTGTTAGGAATATAGACATTATGACAATGAAGTTAAATGAGGAGAAGAGAAGAGTTAAATCAAACCATATGTTCGAATGGAAAGAGGTAAATGATGTTCTTGGTTGAAAATTTTTATAGATTTCTACATTCATCAAAATTTTTCCTAAAAACAACATTAATAAATTTTACTTTCAAAATATCATATTAACATCTAATTATATCAGTATTATACAAATATTTGAATTTAATACTCCCTCTATCCCAGCTAATTTATTACTTAGGCACGGAGTTTTAAGTATTGCATAATTAGTAAGTAATTAAGAAGTATATTAGTAAAAATAATTATAAATTAAAATTAAAATGACTAAATAGTTTAATTATAATAAAAAAATTATAAATTATAAACTTTAAAATGTGATTGAAGTGTATAATTGTATTTCCAAAAAATGAAATGACAAATTACATGATTAAGTGGGATGGAGAAAATATATTTTATACTTTTAACACAATTCCCCATATCACACATAAAAAAATTAATTCATCTAAAAACCATTATATACCACAACTATTGCAATTAAAAACTAAAACACAAACAAAGAAAATCAACACAACAAACCCATAAATTTAGGCAATATACGAACACAACTTCCAAATAAGACAACAAAGAAGAAAAAAAGTCTATGTTGATTGCCCAAACTAAGAGAGCTCACAACATATTGCAATCGCAAAGTAGGTTATAAGTTTTTATCTCAACTAACACACTAATAATGATCAATCCACCCATTCATCAATGGTATCAAAACACAATCCACCAAACGTGTCCCGGCCACGTGTCCCAGCCACCCAACACCTTATATGTCCGATGTTTAGCATGCTTTGCAATCCAAGTTAAAAATACCCCCAATACCAAAGATAAGGACCAACAACGATATGATACTTAGCGCCTGGTGCTCGAACATTGGCTCAAGGCAAGTTATGGGAAAGAGTATACTACAACATTTCTAATTCGTGCATCTCTAATGCTCGCCCTTTTGGGAGGGTACGTCGAGTAGTGGGTACCTCGTAAGACCTCAACCATTGCCTCAATTAACTAAAGGTATGTTTGTTTGTGGGGTTTTGGTTATGATTTTACTATACCAAAATTTTCTCCATAGAAAAATCAAATCAAACATTTATTTTTAAGTTATTATATTACACTAAAATTTTAGTGTTAAAACATTACTATCAATACGTATTTATATCACATCAAATCAAGCAACTATTTCGATTCAAAATTTTACTATTCAGCACTCAAAACGAAAACCAAACAAACACACCTTCAAATTCAAGATACAAATAAAACATAAATATCCAATTCTTCCTAGCCAAAACTCCAATAATCCTATGGAAACATATCATAAAGTTGAATTCACTTAAAAAATAAAAAACAACCTAATCTTAGATTTAGAAGATTGTTTCATCACCCCTAGTAGACAAATATGATAACTCTATAAAGCAATATATAAATCTCTCAAACATGATTATAATGGATAAAACTAATTTATATTCACAATACATACCTTAGAACTACTTATATTCTCTCCTATTAAACCTAACACATGAATCAATCACATCTCACTCTACAAATCAACAAAACATGAACACATGAACATATAAGGTCTTTATGCTGGATAAATCAAATCTATCATCTCCTCCAATGAAAGATTCAACTAAAAACTTGCAAAAAATAAAAACATAAACAAATAATTTTATCAAACAACAAAACTTACCCAATCCCAAGGGCTAATTTGGATCCTATGATGATATACACACATCTTCAAATAGAGAGAGAGTCTTGGAGCACTTCTTCCCCAATTATTGTTCTTCCTTGAGCAACTTCTTTATTGAAGAATGGATGGTTGAAAATTTCACAACACACCTCATATCCTTATATAGGTGTGAAGTATGTACCCTTATCCTTAGGGTTTGAGATCTTGGGTGAAATCCCAATATTGCCCTTTCATTAATGTCAATTGAATGCGTTTGGAGATGTTAACGGATATGCATTAAATTCGGCACTTACCACGCTACTTTATTTGGTTAGATCGTATTTCAGATATGATATAGAGGCTGAGTTGTTTTTTAAGTATATTTTTATCATTAAAATAAATAAATATATTTTTAAATAAATAAATAAAACATGTCGCACAAATAAATTATTATACTAGCGCGTCCAACTACTTTTTTCTTTTGATAAAATTTATATGAAATATTAGATTTATTCGTTTAGTATTTTAATTGAATAAATTATCTATAAATATTATTAAAATTATATAATATACATATTAACATGGTTTTTGCTTGAAGATTTGGATTTTGATTTTGAATTTGAATAATTGTATTATTAGATATAAATATGTATTAATATAATGCTTTGAATATAAATTTGATTTTTAATATAATATAAAAAATAAATATTTGATTTTTTTTTAAGATAAATTTTTTAATGAATGATAAATTTTGGGTAAATTTAATAAAAGAACATCCTATATATATATATATATATATATTTTTTTTTTCCTTATTCACAAAAGTCAAATATCCAATGTATATTATTATTTTTTATATTATAAATATAATTTTCATGTGTGCAAAATATATTTTTCAAATGGACAATAAAAAAAATAATAATTTAATACAAAATTGAGTAAGTAAAAAATAAAATATAATTTTTTTAAAAAAATTATTAAACAATTAGATTAAAAAATGACAAAATAATAATTATTCATAAAATAAGAATAATAAATTGTGAATTGATAAACCTTATCATTATAAATAAATTATACATATACATTTAATAAATAATAAAAGTAATACTATAATTGTAACATCTTATTTAGTCTTTCAATTACGATTCCAAAAAATAATACTAAACAGTACAAATTGTTTTCACAAAAATCAAAAAATTAAAAAAACTTTAAATACTAGTTAAAAAAAAATTAAATATTTAATTTAAAATAGTACTCCGTTTATTGTACAATTGTGTGTTCATTTGATCGGACACAAATTCTTTTAAAAAATAAAAATAAAAATAAAAACTTACTCTTTTTGGTAAAAAAAATATATAAAAAGTGATTTTTCAACTAAAAAATGAAACGAAAATAAATTTGAATGAGAACTAAAAAAAATAAAAATAAAAATAAATTTGGATAAGATAGAGAGTATAATTTTATAATTTTAACAAAATTTTCTATGTGATACACAAAAAAATATCACAAAAAATTAATCCATTCAAACATGTTACTTGTAAACGGAGCCCTTACTCTTTTATTAGAAGATTATGGCCATTTTAGTTTATATAGTGAGAAAATTTTGGTATGGATTTGTGTTTATCCATATTTCAATTATTGGGTAGTATAATTAAATAGGGATAAAAAAGTAAATTTAATATAATCTTAGGTCTAAAGTATTTTAGTTTAGATTTTATTGGATTTGTTTTTTATTTTTTAAAAAAAGTTTGGTATTCAATTCAAATATTTAAAAATTTAGAAATATTTAATTCAAAGTTTTAAAATTTTCAAAAATTTATGAACTTTCAAAATTTGTACATTTTATTAGATTATCATCAAATTTGACTCAATCATCGAAATCGTAGTATTATTGGACAAAATTAACAACTAATTTAAAGTTATTACTATTTTATTACAAGACAAATACCATATAATCAAATTAGCATATTAGTTTGAAATAATTAATATTTTATCATAAGATATATAATATAAGATATGTTATATAAAAATATGTATTGTGTGATTTATATATTGGGTTAAAATCAACTATATAGAGTTATATAATATTGTATCAACATCTGTTATGTAGATTATATTTTAATATTGTACTGTATAATCTGTTTATTATGCTATTGTGCTAAAATTAGAATATACTCCCTCTTCCGTCTCACTTATTTTGTCAATTCTTTCTATTTTCGTCCATTCACGTAATTTGTCATTTTTTTTAAATATAATTATACATTTTAATCATATTTTAAATTTTATAATTATAATTATTTTTATTTTAATTAAACTATTTAGTCATCTTAATCTTAATATAAAATTATTTTTATTAAATCATAATTATTTTCACGAATACAATTCTTAATTACTTACTAGTTATATAATACCTAAACTCTGTGTCTAAGTTAAAAATGACAAATTAATTGGGTTTGAGGGAATATAATATATTGTACTAGATATAGTTATATAATATATTATTAAAATATATGTTATATAGTATATTACTATGTGCTGCATTATGTCGTTACTTTGGCCGTATTCATATTTTTTTTCATAAAAAATAATAACATTAAATTGCATGTTTAAATTGAAAACTGACGTTCACAGTTATATTTTACCAAAACGGTTCGAACAATCAGTTTTGATTTGTCAAAAGATCAATTTAAAACCGACTCTTCTAAGTCATTGTTTTGGTTTGTAGTTGTTGGTTTCAATTTTAGTTCTAACAGTTCCAATTTAAAAATCACCAATTCGAGTTTGAACCGTCATATTCAGTTATTGGTGAAATCTTATGTTACTATAAGTGTCGACCCAATTATTGGCAACAATCAAAATGGTGATTCCCTTTGCAGTTGTATTTATGTCTACTACAATAGCAATAAATCTGAATCGAAGACAGAGCGAAAGCTAAGCACGATGAAATTATGTTACGCAATCACATCAAAAAAAAAATTGTGTATGTCTTCAATGCCTGCCTGGTACAGTGTGATCGTAAGTGAATATATAAATAATCATAGTGACAAATATTTGATAGCAATGACATTTGAGAAATATAAATCGCAATGTAACACCGACTTCAATTGCCTAATGTGTAGAAAATTATAAAAGACGAATCAAAATTCTAACCACAAGAATTTTCTTACTCAAAGAATGCGAGAACATCATATTTGAATGCAAATCATAAATCATCAACAAAAGCATAATACTTTGAATTCGACCTAAAAGCCGATGAAGCTCGTCCAATCAACAATAAAAATGAAAAAAGAAAAACAAGAGACAAAGATAAATGAATGAAGAACACAATGGAAATATATTGAATTACTACAAAAAGTTTAATAAACACAATTAATTAAAATAAAATAATATTGAATTATAACAAAAAGGTAAAGCAAATGAGAAACTTCAAGAATATAACATTGTAACGAAGGATACTACAAACATGTTTGAATTATAATACAAGATGTATAGTATTCTCATAGGTTAAAATTATGACAAAGTAAAAAACTGAACAAAATAAGATAAAATGATTGTTTCTGTGTATGGATTATCAATAGTATATGACATGCATTACAATTTAAAAAACAAGATAAATTTTTTGTTCAAATAATGAATTATTACTCTAACTTTATTGAGTATAATTCATATCTTATTGTCAATGTTGTTGGATGGAATAGTCGTGGGTGTGTCTTTTTTTTGAAATATTTGAATTTTATAAATGGTTTGATTTGTCATTCAATTTATTGATTAAAAAATAATTAATTAACACACCTTATATAGAGTAATAATTTAATCAATTTAGTATCTTTCAAATATTTTCACATTATTTTCAAACACACAAAATTTTTTAATACTAATAATTTGTATTGATGCCATACATAATTTTAATAAAATAATTTTGATTTCAATTATTATAACAATATTCGAGTTATAAATGTAAATAATGATTAAATAAGTACTAACAAATAAAGTATAATTTATTTTTTAAAAAATAGAATGCTAGTTTAGCAAATTACAAAAAAAAAAATTTCTTCTCTTCATCGAAAACTCCAACGAATAACTGATGAAGAAGATATATATATATATGTATGTAGATTCTCACAATCGCATAGAAGAAAATAGATACATTATAGATTTTATTACCAAATCCTAAAGAAAAAATAGAGGAATTTGTAGTTATTTAGAATTTTCTATTTCTTTCCCTTCAATAGTTCTTTAATTCATCGAAATTTCGATCAATACCATTCAATTAGAGTTCAGAGGCAATTCAGTTTCACTTTCGAAGAGATTTGTGTACAAATTAAACATCATGTCAGTCGGAGGGCATCGATTTTGTATGTCTTCAAGAATAATATTGTGATGAAGGATACTGCGAACATATTCAAAGTGCAACACGAGATACATAGTATTCTATAGGTCAAATTATAGCAAAGTGGAAGTCTAAACAAAAATAATATAAAATGATTATCAATAATATATGTCATGTACTACAATTTTAAAAATAAGACAAATTGTTTTTCGAATAATGAATTATTACTTTTATCTTTATTTGAGTATATTTCATACCGTGTGTTGTTGTGTGGAATGATTGTTGGAGTGTCTTTCTTGTTGAAATGTTTTGATCTCACAAGTGGTTTGATTTGTCATTTAGGGTGTCTTTGTTTGAAGGCTTGGATTTTAAATTGAGATTTGAATAATAAAAATTTTAAATTGAAATAGTGGTATGATGTGATATAAATAGACGTTGATGTGATGTTATGAATGTAAAATTAATTTTTAATATAATATAAAAAATAAAAAATAAATATTTAATTTGATATTTTTGGGGAAACTTTTTTTTATGAATAATAATTTTGGGATAAAATCCCACAACCGAACACATTAAGTGATTTGAAAAATAAAAAAAATGGAAAATTGATTTTGTTTTTTGAACATTTTGTAGTTGAAAGGAATTTTATATAGAAGTAAATTTTCATACTTCGAATTAAAAATAAGTATAATGTTGCGTTGAGGTTATATTTGAGAATTGAGATTATCTTGGAATGGTTCTATTTTTTTCAAAAAAAAAAATAATTCTATTATTTTTTATTTGCAACAATATCAAAAAATTTAGCATAAAAAAAAAAAATTCTTATCAAGAAAATATTCATATTCTTACATTATCTATTGCAATCATGTTGTTATTGAAAATATATCGAGGTATTAAAAAAAATAAAAATTGTTTCTTCTTTTTAACAAAATCAAGGATGAATCAAGATAGATACAAAATCAAATTAGAAATATTTGACTATTGATAACAAATTCTCTAGCGTTAAGAATTCACTATAATATTTCACATACTTTTAAACAATGCTGCATTAAAAAATTGGCCGAAATCTCAATCAATACCATTCGATTGGTGCTCGGAGGCAATTCAGTTTTACTGTCAAAGAGATTTTCGTGCAAATTAAGCAGCAGGACAGTCGGAGGGCATCGATTCTATTTGTCTTCAAGAATTGGATACTGGGAACATATTCAAAGTGCAACACGAGATGCATAGTATTCTCATAGATCAAATTCCGGCAAAGTAGAAGGTTGAACAGAAATAAGATAAAATGATTGTTTTGTATATGAATTGTCAATAATATATGTCATGCATTACAATTTTAAAAATAAGAAAAATTTTTGTTCGAATAATATTCTAGCTTTATTTGAGTATACTTCATATCTTATGAATGTTGTTGGACAGAAATGGTTGTCGGAGTATCTTTCTTGTTAGAATGTTTGGATCTGATAAATAGTTTGATTTGTCATTTAGCTTATTAATTAAGTGGTTTAAAAAAAAATGATTTATTTTTTGAACATTGTGTAGTTCAAAGAGATTTCTATATAGAAGTAAAATTTTATGCTTCTAGTTAACAATAGGTATAATGTTTTAGTTGATGATATATTTGAGCATTGTGATGTTTTTGTGGTAGTTATATTTTTTTTGAAAAAAAGGTAATTTTATTGTTCGTACTTTGTTGCAATATCCATAGATTAGCACAATAATATTTTCAAAATCAAGAAAAAATTCATATTTTTTTCACATATCCACTTTTGTAATAATCTTAAAAAGATACATTGTTTATTACACATGTATCGTTATTGACTGATCATTTATCGATAAAATATAATGAGATATTAAAAAAAGAAACTTATTTTTTTGTATTTTACAAAATCAAAGATAAATTAAGATACATACAAAATCAAATTAGAAATATTTGACTATTAGATAACAAATTCTCTGTGTTAAGAGTTCACTGTAATATTCATCGTATTTTTATACATTGTTACATTAAAAATTTGTGATTGTATTTATAATTTCTTTATAGTTACTGTCATATTGATAATGTTCTTGAAATGATTTTTTTTAATTAAAATATTAATTAAAATTTACTCAAACAATGTTATGAATTTGTGATTTCATAAAATTTATTCAAACTAGTTGAAGCAATTAATACTCCCTCCGTTCTATATAATATGGGTGTATTAATGTAGACAATAAAGTATAATTAGCAAGTAATTAAGAAATGTATTAGTAAAAATAATTATTGATTAAGATTAAGATAACTAAATAGTTTAATTAAGATTAAAAAATTAAATTTTAAATTTTAAAATATGATTAAAGTGTATAATTAATTTTTCAAAAAAGTAAAGGACAAATTATGTAAACTGACGAAAATAGAAAATAAGGACAATTATACGAGACAGAGGGAGTAGTATTTGGATAAGTATTTGTAAACTAGGAGATTACCTCTTTCATCAAATGTCTTCTCAACTTTTGTGCAACTATTGTAAATTTTATAAAATTGTTTTTGTGAACGCTATTTAAGAAGGCTAAATTATATCTTAATTTTTTTTCTCTGTGTATGAATAAAAATTACTATGAATAAAAATTTATTAAGTAGAAAACATCAAATCAATACTATTTATTATTTTCTATTAATTGAAATATTAAATAAAAATATTTATATTGAATCAAGTAATTATTTAAATTTAAAAATATAAATATAAAATTCAAACTCAAACAAACACACCCAAGTTTATCATAAATTGGGCCATATAGTATCCAACTAATCATTTAATGAGCCCAGCCCAAATAAAGCTCTTATCTCTTCGTACATCCATCCTCACGCTCGCAATCCTCACTTCCAACGGTCTGGCTATCGGAGCAGGAGTTCCCTCTTCAATGTTCACCCAAATTCAACCTCCGGCGATATTTCAAGCGCCGCTTCCGCCATCGGTTTATCCAATTTGCTGCAGTTCAATTCTTATCCGCCACCGCCGTTCTCGTGTTTCTTTTCGTGGCCTCCGAGTAGTGAAGTGCTCAGGCAACACTAGCGATTATAAACGTTCAATTTCTGTAGAGGAGAATGAAGGACCAAGTCTAGGAGATGGAGTGAGGAGAGCGTACCCGTTTCACGAGATAGAGCCGAAATGGCAGCTACACTGGGAGGAGAAGAAGACTTTTCGTACTCCCGATGAGATTGATGCTTCCAAGCCAAAATTCTATGTGCTTGACATGTTTCCCTATCCCAGGTTACTTCTCATTCCGCAAACCCTAGATATTTTGAAATATTAGAGCTGTGATGTGCATATTGTTGGAATACATGCTCGGTTTCAAACCTATAGCCATTATACTGGACTTTGGTTAAAATCATTTGAATTTTTTCGATCAGAATTGTCCAATCGACTAGTGGAAGCCATTAGCCATTTATTATATACTCGTATATGATTTGAAATGATAAAACAAATAGGAGAATGAGTCATGTTTTCTTTTATCCCCATTTGCTTCGTAATGCATTCCATGTTAATGCTGGCATTTTATTTTTCTTGTTGATTTTCTTAGAAAATAAAGAATAGATGTGTTTTGTTTTGTTTTTGTTAAATTCACTCATACTATTTATAGGGGTTTATCACAATAATTTTAAAAAAGAAGGAACAAAATCAAATATGAACCTACTATAATCTATAACCATATGGTGTAAGATAATTTACAATAAAATAAAACAGGTATAATAAAAGTAAATTAATAAGATACTACAATTTTTTTATAAAGCCAATTTATGCTAATTATATTATTTATTTATTTATCTATTTATTTGTATTATAGTAGTATATGATTTTATTCTCTACAAAATGATATACATAATAAATATATTTTTTGAGGTACAGTTTTTAAAGCACATCAATATACAAATTTCATATTTATTTATAATATATATTACATCATAACTCCACCACCAATCACACAATATTTCATTCCAAACAGTACAACCAAATTTCCAACCACTAACTGACAACCAAACAGACCTTATATCTATATTCATTTTGGATTGTATTTTCCCCCTGTTATTGGCATAAATTTGTTGGTAGAAATCATCCTTACACAATCAATAGTTAAGGTTGAGTTTAAAATTCAATCCAAAATAGATAATAAGTTCGGTTTGGTTATAAAGTTTTAAGCTGCAGGGAGGGTTTAGTAATATACCCACCTATCCCAAATCTGCTCGATTCATATCCATATCTAGTTATTCAATTAGTTTGAAAGGAGGCAAAATAAGTAGTGTAGGGTACTGTTATGGAGATAACTTAGTTATTTAGTTTATGTCATGTTGTTGATGGTGACACTATTCATTTGCCACGTAGTGGCTCCCCAAAGTACTTATCTATATTAAAACAAGCACTTCTGCAAAATCAATTGTAGGGGCATAAATCAGCAAAACACAAGAATGATGTAACAACATTGAAAAGAAAATAGGAGAGAAGGCTAGAGTTCTCAGTGGTTTAAATCAAAGGCAAAACATAGGTTTGTAGTTGATGAGGTTGTGAATAAAGAACTGTGAGCACAACATCTTACATGTGAATCAAATATCAAGGTTTTATGTCGATCCTAACGTGTTAGACATCATTGGTTGAAAAAATTCTGGTTGAGTTAGGGAAACATTAGTAGTAAATAATAAATATTCCATCAGTTTTAAAGTTCATTTGTTTTGGTTGAACGTCAGAAAGCTAAATTATTTTTGATGTAGTTTAAGTTTCCTTTGCTTTTGAGCTTATTTATTTAACATGTCCATTAGCTTTATTTGTAACCTTTTCTATGCAGTGGTGCTGGTTTACATGTAGGGCACCCTCTTGGATATACTGCCACTGATATCCTTGCTAGACTGAAAAGGATGCAAGGTTTCAATGTGTTACATCCAATGGGTTGGGATGCATTTGGTTTACCTGCAGAGCAGTATGCGATTGATGTACTATTGTTCTCCTCAATATCATAATTAGTTATCTGCCATTATTTCTTTTTCTTCTGCTCCTTAGTGTTTTATACTCTTTTTGATAGACAGGGACACACCCCAAGATCACCACTGAAAAGAACATAAACAGATTTCGTTCACAGGTTAAACCTTTTTGGCGCTGTTATAGTTGATATTTGAATTTTTGCAAGAACATCTTATACTGCTGAATTTTCCCAAGTTTATGAAACCTGGTGAATATTGACTTCAAATAATCTGCTAGAGTTAGTGGTAGTTTGCTCTGAGAATATGGTTCAGATTAATTGATATAATTAATTGAACAGATTTCCTAGATACAAGTAATCCGTCAATCTCAAAGTTCAAGCAATCTTTCTTCTAAGATGCAAGTCATCCATGAATCTCTATCTTCAAGCAATCTTTCTTCTAATCCACATCATTAAATCTGGTGTCGTTGTGAAGAATATTTATGTCTTTATAGGATACTGGATGTATGAAATAAGACAGTGATCCAATATCTACACTTCATATGACAACTTTGAATTTAAATTTTACTTGGTATGTTTATTTTTCCACCGCATAGGCAACACTGCAATAAGATTATGTCATTATGTTTGGCATGAAGAATTTTAAAAAAAAAAATAAAAAATATGGTATTTAATCAGCTGGTCTGTCACATCTTTGAATCTTCTTTAAGATAAACTGTTTGATCAGTTCTTATTATGTTGATTCCTATACTGCTTTCCAGCTTAAATTATTAGGTTTTTCATATGATTGGGACCGTGAAATTTCTACAACAGAGCCTGAATATTATAAGTGGACTCAGTGGATATTTCTGCAGCTATTAAAAAGAGGATTGGCTTATCAGGTATTAAGATTTCTGCAGAACAATGATTTTGATTCATCAATTTTGTTCTTCAGATAGCACTTTTGAAGTTTACATATAATATAGGCTGAAGTACCTGTCAACTGGTGTCCTGCACTTGGCACTGTCTTGGCAAATGAAGAAGTGGTGGATGGTGTGAGTGAGCGTGGCGGACACCCAGTAATACGAAAAGTATGTTATACCTTGTATATTTTCCTTGGGCTTCCACTGTGTTTTTTGTGCAGTGCTTTATTCATTGTGTTTTAAGTTTTGGATGGTTTATGATTTTACAGTTCGTTGTTTATTACCGAGCAGCCTATGCGGCAGTGGATGCTGAAGATTACTGCATATGCTCAGCGCCTCCTTGAAGATTTAGATGATCTTGACTGGCCAGAAAGTGTCAAGGAAATGCAAAGAAACTGGATAGGAAGATCTGAAGGAGCAGAGCTGCAGTTCACTGTAGTTGCTGCTGATGGTCTTGAAAAAGAGATTACTGTTTACACAACAAGGCCTGATACTATATTTGGTGCAACGTATATGCTGTGTATATGCTTTTCGTTTTACAATGATTAATGCCATTTCTTAGTCTTCTTTTTTATCACTGTGGTGTCTCATGGCATGCTTACTTTTCAGTTATTTAGTCCTGGCTCCTGAACACGGCCTATTGTCAGACATTGTATCTGACGATCAAAGAAAAGAGGTGAGTTGATTTTATATTAAAATTATTTCTTCTGTGAAGTGTTATAAGGTTGTGTGATTGTATTTTTTACAAAGCAGGTAGAGGAATACATAGAACTTGCCTCCAGAAAGAGTGATCTTGAGAGAACTGAGCTTCAGAAGGAAAAAACTGGGGTTTTCAGTGGCTGCTATGCAAGGAATCCAGCCAATGGAGCAGCTATTCCAATTTGGGTGGCAGACTATGTATTGGGAAGGTGTGCTGTTTCTTTCTTTCCTTTAACTTGTTTTTCTCTACAATCTTTTTCCTGCCAAAGATGCATACAATCTGTTGGTGACCAATTTATCCTATCTCTTTTTACTTATGAAATTATATTGATATGTTAGTTATGGAACTGGAGCAATAATGGCTGTACCTGCACATGACACGAGAGACCATGAATTTGCTTTGATGTACAATATCCCAATCCTTGGGGTTGTGACCCCGGAAAATGGAAATTTTAGTTACTTTGAGAAGGCATACACTGGTGATGGTATTATGATAAATTCTTCAAGTTCAATATCAGGACTTCATATTAATGGTCTTCCCAGCAAGGATGCTGCTTTTAAAGTCACTGAATGGCTCAAGAAAACTGGAAATGGAATGAAAAAGGTACATGCTTTGAATTGCATCGTCTGAAACTGATTAACCACGTTACATCTTCATAGATTCTGCTTTTGTTTTCCATTTTATTTTGCGCTTAGTAATGTTTACAACTTTTGAATATATATTTACTTTTAGGTGAACTATAAGTTAAGGGACTGGCTATTTGCCCGACAACGCTATTGGGGAGAGCCTATTCCTGTGATTTTTATGGAAGACACAGGCGAATGCAAACCAATTTCTGAAGCTGAACTTCCTCTAACCCTTCCGGAGCTGGACGAATTTACTCCCACTGGAACAGGCGAGCCACCACTTGCTAAGGCTTTATCTTGGGTATGTTGAATTTTTTGTAGAGTTTATTTAAATCAAGCATATGGCATTATTGCATTACATGTTCGTCATGCCATGAGTCCCTACATTTGTTACTTGTATGTATATTGTCTTTTTAATGGTGAAATGCTTTTCTTGTCTGATTTTCTGTTCCTCATTAATCATCTAATGGATTAGGTAAACACAATTGACCCTACTACTGGCTCATCTGCTCGTCGTGAAACAAACACTATGCCGCAATGGGCTGGCTCATGCTGGTATATCTTATTCCATGGTCAAGCATCTAAAAACGTTTAGTTGATATTATATCAATCCTTTTAACGTCCATTTAAGTTGGACATGATAAGATAAATTATCAATGCTATAACAACTTGTCTTTGATCCAGAATATATATATTTTTGTTGTGGGTTCCCAAAAATCAATTGGACCTCACGCATGATTTCTTTTTGCGCATCATAGATGGCCTTGAACGCTTTTGCTTTTGTATCAATATCCAGGTACTATCTGAGGTTTATGGATCCTAGAAATTCCGAGGCACTGGTTGACAAAGAAAAAGAAATGTCAGTTTAGTATCTACTTTGGCACAATGTTTACATCATGTTTAGTTTTTCTTTATAGCAGTTTATGAAATTTGCCTCCCATGGAATCTGTTTTTCTGCAGGTACTGGGGCCCTGTGGATGTGTATGTTGGTGGTGCTGAGCATGCAGTTCTTCATCTGCTCTATGCTAGATTCTGGCACAAGGTGTGTAATACCTGTTAGGTTCGTTCTAGATGCCAAAGGAATTATCATAGATACATATCCTTTCCAGCTACTTCTAATGTACTTTTTCCCAATATTACTGAGATTATTGGAAACTAAGAATCTGTCCAACTGAATAAATGACAAGCATAATCTATATAGGCCCTTTGAACTTCAAATATCTTTTATTATTTTTTTTTTACTGAAAAATTATTTGCTTGATTTGCTTCAGGTTCTATATGATATTGGTGTTGTTTCAACCAAAGAACCTTTTCAATGTGTCATTAACCAAGGAATTATTCTTGGAGAAGTAAGTATAAATTGCTTACTCTAGCATCACTAGACTCGAATCATTCGATTGTCTAATGGATTAAATGGCAGGTTCAATACACTGCATTCAGAGATTCTGATGGAAATTTGGTCTCTGCTGATTTGGTGGATGTAATGAGTGAATTTAGTCAAGAAAACATACCCGAGGAAAATGTATGCCATTTAATTTTTCCTCCATATTTAATTATAGATCTTTTTTCCACTAGTTGGTTTTTTCATTGATCGTGTTGATAATAATCTTACTATCCATATCAAGTAGGTCAGTAAATCTGGTGATTCTTTTCTGCTTAAAGACAATCCCCATATCCGTTTGATTGCCCGGGCACACAAGATGAGTAAGAGTAGGGGAAATGTCGTTAACCCAGATGATATCGTTTCACAATATGGGGCAGATTCTCTCCGTTTGTATGAGATGTTCATGGGTCCATTCAGGTACCGTCTTTTTACCTGTTCAATGTCATCTAAAAACTATCCTCTCTGTTTCTTTGGCAAAAACACTTTCATATTTGTACTTATAGGGACTCGAAAACGTGGAGCGCAAGTGGAATTGATGGTGTCCATCGATTTTTAGCTAGAGTATGGAGGCTAATTGTTGGTTCACCATCAGTTGACGGCAAATTTAATGATGGAACAGTTGATCTCAGTGGGGAGCCTTCAATGGAACAGCTTCGATGCCTTCATAGATGCATTTATAAGGTAATTAAGCTATTTTCAACAGAATATTTACCCCGTGAAATTCTTTCTAAACCTGTGGAACAATATATAGTAACTCTACTTAATAGATAATTATGCGAATTATAAGTTCCATATGAACTTGAACAAGGAGAATCTTTGCTGTAACAGGTAACAGAAGAAGTTGAAGCTACCCGATTTAACACTGGAATATCTGCAATGATGGAGTTCATTAATGCAGCATATAAGGTATGTTTGGCATCTTGGCCCTGCATTGTTGTAGTTAAGCTTGCATCTTATGCCTGTTCAAAAGCATCGGTATAATCTTCAATTTCCTGCTTTTTAGTGGGACAATCTCCCAATACAAATTGTCGAGCCGTTTGTCTTGTTGCTCGCACCCTACGCTCCTCACATGGCCGAGGAACTATGGTTCCGTCTTGGACACTCCAACTCCCTAGCTTACGAGCCTTTCCCCAAAGTATGGCTTTTCATCTTTTTAACTTGCAACTTGTGCTTGTATCTGCAATGCAATGACCTATTTGTGATCACTTCGATCGACAGGCAAATCCTACTTACCTCAAGGAATCAACGGTAACTTTACCCGTCCAAATCAATGGGAAGACAAGGGGCACGATTCAGGTCGAGAAAACATGCACAGAAGAAGATGCATTTGAGCTAGCTTCACAGGACTCGAAACTTTCCAAGTTTCTATCTGGAATGTCCATCAAGAAGAAGATCTTCGTCCCCGGAAAGATTTTGAATATTATTCTGGAAGCGCGGAGCGTCAGCGCAGGCCGATAAGTCGATAACCGAGACAGCGTTGAGTTCTCCTTGTTTATCAATTGCAGAAGAAACGCAGATGTTCACAAGCTTTGCCTTCTCCTTCGGATGGCTTGCTGCAGTAAGTACACAACAGGCTTCCTGGATTATTCTGTGGCTTCCTGTATTATTTTTATTTTGGGTAAAATCCTGTGTTTTTTGTATTTATAATTTTATTACAAATATTCCTCTATATTTTAATTCAAAACTTTTATAGGTAGTTCAGACTTCAAAATGAATTTATACATATGTTGTGTGGGGAATTATGGATAGGATATTGTGGTAATTTGGGCAAATCAACGACATGTTCATTTGTACTGGTTATTGTAAACATATGTTCCCCAAGGGATGGCTGGTGGTGGTACGAGGAGTGAACTTGTGACAATCAGATTATGAGTTTAAATTTTCGGCCTTCAGGTTCCCATATCATGTATGGTTTCACTAATGTGATTTGTCTTATTAGGATATTAGGTTCGATCGTCGGAAATTTATTTAATGATGTAGAGATGAATTGATGACCATAAAGTTATGGATTTAAATTTTGATGTTGTGTGACTGCTGTCATTATATTAATATAAAGTATGTATTGTTAATTGTTATATGATATGCTTTTATTTGTTTGAATTATAAAATTTAGAACAATAAGAAATTGTTTAAAGGTGACATAGCATGAAGGACATGGCAATGGGGTAGAGAAAAATTAGGTTAAGAACATGCACCGTATACCTTACAAGGTACAACGTGCGTATGATCTAATCAATATTTTATTTCTATTTTATGTTCTATGCCTGCCACGTGGATAAATCGAATTCGATCGTCTATGAACAAAGCTGAAAATTCGCAATTCGACCAAATCAAAATTGGTGGGTGTGCTTACTGATTGACTTCCCAAAACAGGTTAAATTCATTTTGACTATTAATTTCAAGTCAAATCTATATGTGGTACATATTAATTGTTGTTAACAGTACTGATCTATCTTTCTTAATTTAATTAAACTTGATTTAAATTCATGGGAGTTACTAAAACGACGTCGTTAGGGGGTTGTTTCTTGAATGCTCAGCTGAGCTCAAGCAAGAAACAGCATTAAGCGTTAAGCTAGCAGCAACGCCGCCAGAAAAAAAACCTCTGTACTTTTATTACAAAAAAAGAAATTAATAATAATATTCCTTGTAATCATTGGCGATCGATCTTCATTTACAAAGCACATGTATTCCCATCTTCTCCTCCCAAATTCGCCTTCTGTATGTATAACTACTGTTGAATCGTTTGCTTTCGAAGTAATTTTGCGGTTGAATTACAGGAAGAGGAAGAAGAGGAGGGAGCTGGATTGAGGCAGGAGAAGTGCCGATTTTGCTCGCGCGTATGTGATCGGAGATGCGGAAGAAGGCATCGGCGTCTGCGAAGCCGGGGCTGTCGATGCGCCGCGCGTTGGGGTTAGGGTGGAAGTCGGTGATTCTAGTGTCCGTCCTTCTCGGTGGTTTGGCACTTCTCAGAGTTCAGCAGTACTCGCAGGCGACGGTGTATCCTTATACGGTTCCGTTACCGAGGAAATCTTGGGTTCTGAGCCATCAGTTCAGTGGTAATCCGAAGATCGCGTTTCTGTTTCTAGTGCGCCGGAATCTGCCTCTCGATTTCGTCTGGGAGAGCTTCTTCGAGGTGAGGCAATTTTTGAGGAAAATTGATTGTGATTTTTGCGGTTAGGTGATCCTTCCATGTTTGTGCAGAATGTGGACAAGGCAAATTATTCTGTATACGTACATTCTGAGCCTGGGTTTTTGTTCGATGAATCGACTACAAAATCAGCTCTATTTGTTAATCGCCAATTGAAAAACAGCATCAAGGTAACTACAGCACATTGTAACTTATTTGGTTTTGGATAAGTACATAGATTTGGAAACTAGTTATGGAAAGTAGAACACATTATAGATTTGGAAACTAGTTGTGGAAAATAGAATAGACTATGAGTTCTTTATTGATTTAGTAAATTATGTTACCAATTTATACATAGAAATAATATTAGGACGATGATGTAGGTAGCCTGGGGAGAAGCAAGCATGATACAAGCTGAGAGGTTGCTGTTTGATGAGGCTCTTCGGGATCCTGCTAATCAAAGATTTGTTCTCTTGTCAGATAGGTTATATTCTTACTCCTATTGATATGTTCGGAAAAGGAAGTCGTAGTTTTGATGCTCTTGCGTGTATCTATACACGTCATAGTCTCTTTGATCTGTTATGGTAGTGTCTGGAATTTCAGAACTATCAGGGAGTTAGTTAGTATTGAGTTTCTTGATGAGTAAAGTTGTTTAGGGACAGTAAAAAAGATAAAAAGTAAGCCGGAGTCAATACTTGTTTGGCAGCCCGTAGCTAATTACAGTGTATTTGTTTGTTTTGCTTTAGCTGTAGTTGATTTTAATTTCCTGTATATCGTTGCCTGTGGTCTAGAATTGTTATATGTGGTTATATCATGAGATATTTTCTTCATTGTTATCTGTCTGTTCGGTATTTTCTTCATTGTTATCTGTTTGTTCGGTGTTTTCTTCTATAAATTTTTACATTGCAGCTTGAGCTTGAGCATTGACAGTGATCTGACATTAGATTGTCAACTTAAACAGCTGTGTCCCGTTGTACAACTTCAGCTATATTTACAATTATCTAATGGTTTCTCCTAGAAGTTTCGTAGACAGGTAATCAGTTAAATTGAATAAAGTGCATTAGACTTATTTTGTGCTGGCTATGTATTTTTATGCCATGACACTTGGGTCATTTTGACAACAATATGAAAATGATGATTTCTTTGTTCCAGTTTTCTCGATAAAAAAGATGTTCGGTACAATCCTAAGATGTCGCCAACCATACCACAGAAGAAATGGCGTAAGGGATCACAGGTAACTGTTTCGAATGATGAAATTTTCTTATTGTGATAGAAATGAGCTTGACTCAAAATCAAAATACTCCTTTTTATATGCAGTCCCACTTTAACAGAAATTAGTTAGTCAATATTTATTTTTCTTTGAAAAGTCTTTATTACCAATATGCTTTAATTTTTTCCCCTATAAAATAAAGCCCCGATATCTGGTTGTTGCAATACTGATGGTGACCTTGTTTTTGTACTTGCTTTTGAAATTTATACTTCTTATGGACTGCTTAATTTATAACTTCAGTGGGTCGCTTTAATTCGAAGACATGCAGAAGTTGTCGTGGATGATGAAATCGTTTTTCCAATCTTCCAAAATTTCTGTAAGGTACACTGTTGTGATTATGGTCTACTTTGATAGTATTATTTTGGAATGTTATATTCCCCAATTAAAGATGTAAAAACATGGGAAGATTGCAAGGCTTAACAAAATGTACTATTGTAAGGATATGTTATTTTCGATCAGTCCCTTGTTCATTTACTTAGACTCAAGGTTTTGTTTTCTGCAGAGACGTCCGCCTGCCGATCCCAGTAAGGGCAGAAAAAATCTTGTAGGTTTCCTTTTCTGCATTTAAAAATCACTACTAAGTTTCTGTGCCACCAAATCCAATGTTATACTGATATTAGCAGCTAATGTCATCTGATTTTGACACAGAAACTTCAGAAACAGCACAATTGTATACCGGACGAACACTATGTGCAGACATTACTAGCAGTATGCAGCCATAGTATCCTTGCAATTTCACTTCAGTTTCTTTCTTGTGACAAATTTGGTACACTTAGCTGACCATTGTCTTCAATTTTTCGATTTTCAGATGAGTGACCTCGAATCTGAGCTTGAAAGAAGAACACTCACCTACACGTTATGGAACCAATCCACAGGAAATCCAGAGAACGATGCTTGGCATCCTTTCACCTTTAGCTATGCCAGTTCAGGGCCTCAAGACATTAAAAAAATAAGGGTTCTGTCTTCTTTCTTCTTCCCCATCCGTATTAGAGTCGCGGTAACTTGTCTACTCATTAATGCCGATCCATTTTTGCAGGGTATCAACCATGTATACTACGATACAGAGTTCAGAACTGAGTGGTGCAGCAACAACAATCAATCCGTCCCCTGTTTTTTATTTGCGAGGAAATTTTCTCAAGGAGCCGGGATGCGACTATTAAGCCTAGGCATCGTAGGTAACTCCGAAATTTCGACATTAATGGATACACAAACCTAATTTTTCCATGGATGCATATATACATATATATAGTTAGCTAGCACACTCACCCACGGTTAATGTGATAGTTAACTTTGCAGTAGAATGCAGCATCTTAGGCTCTACACATAAATAACAAAGCTGTTTGCATTTGTTACATGAAGCATTCTGATATGATGTTTTGAATTAGGTCAAACATTGATTGGTGGATATAATTTGAAAATATTTATGCTCTCTATGTTGTTTATTTCATACATATGATACAGAAAGAAGGCTGGACAAAGTTACATTGATTTCACTTAGGAAGGCATGTAGATTGTTAAGGCCTTAGGACAACTGGACAACTTTCTGTACAATGATGACATAAATAAAATCTGATCAACAGCAGCAGAACATTGCTTATGGGGGCATCCTTTTCCCCATTCGGCAATGTACCTCGGAGATCGATTCAATCGATCGCGATCATGTTCTTCATTAGAAGAGTTTGGAGTGGATTGGGCTGGATAATTCTTCCACCTCATATATTCCACTCCCTACTCTGTCTTGGAAATCGACGATAAGAACAAGGTTGCTGCGACGTTATCTACACAGGAATTGCGTCACCATTTTGACCTTCGTCGCTTGTCAAAACAACACCTTCGATGTATGTTGGAAGAAGACAACAGGGCCAGCGGCAACCTGTTGAGATGGGCTGGCTTGGCGGAACAATCATCAGGACATTATCGTGGCGCTGAACCATCCCCATTACACTCACAGTGGTTCCTTCTTTGATATAACTGTAATGGAAAAAGAAATGTCAGACATGTGATATACATTAGTGCCAACATTTTCAGAGATGCCGGGGGGTGGGATAAGTGTAACTTACCCCTCTTTGAGGCGCATGACCCGATCATCGCTTGACAAACTGCGGTCAGAAAGCCAGTGTAGGAAATTGGGAGACAGCTCTTTGTTATCCTTGGTGACATCGACCACTACAGTAGGTTTAACAAAAGGTGAAACTTTGGCACCGTATCCTGCTTTTACTAGAGCTCTCAAACCGGACTGGAAATCTGAGATATAAAAGTCCGCTACATACTTCTGTCGACGTAAAGAGAAAATACAAGTGAACTTTTGATTGAAACTATTCATTTTGAGAAAGAATCAGCAGAGACGGACCTCTGAATGTCTACATCCCCAAGAGAAGATCCGATGCTTGGCGTTTGCGGGTTTTCCGCCACAGCCTCTGTATTCGTATAATTCAGATGAGACATACACGCATCGCGGTACCCTTTGGAAAGAGGTTTCGAGAGCTATGCTGCCACAGGTGACAACCTACACAAACAGTGCATACTTAAACTTGAGGTAACCAGTTTACGAAAGTAGCCACATTACTGGAATATAGATCATTACTGACATCTGCATATCGAACAAATTTGAGAAATGAATGTTGTGATTTTACAAGATCAGATTTGATTAAGTAATTTATCACGGAGAACCCTCGTGTTCACTTTGAATTATTCAGGCTCTCGAACAAAATGGGAGCTCGGGTAATCTAATTTAACTAGTTCTCATAAAGTTTATCGGTCGTAAGAGAAAATCTAGAACAATCTCTAAGGAAATGCGCACAAGAAGCTTAAATGTAACTTGCTGCAAAAATTCTCACGCATTCAAAAGATAGAATGTAATAAACCAATTGAAAACTAAATCGAAGAGATGACTAACACTATAACACAGGAGACGACTGTTTTGATTGTTTAGGCCTTGTGCAATTTAACTACTTAGGATCGATCACCTTTACTGATCATATGCATCCCTAAACCCGCCACTATCATGCGCCACAAGTGTCTAACGAACCTGAATACGTCCCTCATAAAAATATTGTAGTGACGACAAAATCATGATCATATGCATCCCAAATAGCTAACTCCAAATAGAAACTATGCAACACAATCCACGACTAAATGTACTCGGCCAACACTCAATAACAGGCCATTTAGAATTATCCCAAGATTCTTGGCTTATGTCCCATATGGATACTCCCAATAATACGACTTCCAATCTCAAAATGTCCTCTCCAAAGCATACCTAAAGAAACTGGTCCCCAACAAACTAGCAAGGAAAAAAACAACAACAAGGGTTTTGACAAAATAGATAAAAAGCCACCATTAATGGCATCCACACAAAGCCAAGCTGCTAAACCAAACAATCAATCTCTATTCACAATTGCATCACAAAAGAACTTGAAATAATTCCAATTTAACAAACTAAAACTCATATAATACCAAATAGTGCTCATAATTTTTACAAGTATAAACAAGGCGTGCGAAATTACCCCTGTAACCTTGACATACTGTCCATCAACGGCGCCCCTGAGCTCGGCGTCGGGATAGCTCTTGAGAAATCCGATCACTCCGCGCGTTTTGTAAGCGCAATTCCATATCACGATCACGGCGGCGGGGAAAAGCACCGCCGCCACCGCCACCAGAACAACCGGCTTCTTCACGGCGGCCATGAGAAACGCCCCCACAACCAGCCCCATCACCACCACTATCAGAAACACCCACATTGCAACTCGAGAAACCCTAAAACCTAACTTCACATCCTCCCCTAGGCTCGTGACGGCGGAGCCGTACGCAGACTTGTTGAACGAGCTCGGCGCTAACGGCGCGTCCAGCTGCCCCGACCGCCGGTTCGAGTTCGACGACCCCAGCGGACCGGAGGTGATCAGTCCGGTCGGCTGAATCGGCGTCATCGGCCCGGAGAATGACGACGACGACGATTTTTTGCTCATTGAACCAGAGTTGACGTTCTTCGTGCCTATCGAGCCGGAATTGGGGCCGGATCTGGCGGATCCGCTATTGAGCTGAGAAGCCGACGGCGGCCGGGACGGCGGCTTGGGAGTAACGACTGGAGGTTGGTGGTGGTGCTCTCCGGCGGAAATTTCGATTCCGTACATCTTCCCTAGCTCGCCGGAGTCCTTAACATCGCCTCCGGTGTACGGAATGGCGCGAGAACCTATCGTAGGCTGCCGCTCCTTCTGCTGCTGCTCCGGCCGACCTGACACGATCAGGCCGTTGCTCAGCTGGTGCGAACCGGTTCGCGCACTCATTATGCGTCGATCCTGCCACAACCGGAAGAAACTCTCTCTATAATTTACAGGCAACGAGGAAGGTTTTAAGTGGTTTTTAGTGGGAGAGTGAGAGCTTGGCAATGGAGGTCGAGGTGAAATGACGGAAAAGGACATATGCGTGAAATTAATCTACTGCCCTTTCTGCCTTTATTCGGGATACAGTTGTGCTTTGGGATTCGCGGCCGATGACAGGTGTCTTAACAGTGGATAAAGCGTTATTCAATCGGATGATTATACGGTACGTCCTTTTTCGTAATTTCTCTCGTTTATTCATTTGCTTCTCTCTATACGACCTTTTAATTCTGTTACATTTTCATTCATTTTATTATAATTTTTATTTTTTTAAGATTTATATTTGTGATTTGATTGCAATAAATTCTTGGGTCTTCTTTGGATATATTCTAGAAGTCTTTTCAAAATTTTAAAAATATTTAAAATGAACATTTTAATTGTATAATATAAATAAATATTCCATCTAATATTTTAAAAAATGTTTCTTAATGAATAATAACAAAAATAATCATATGCATACATATATTTTATGTCTGCAGTTTATTTTGTTTTTAGCGACACATATTGTCGGTGCTCACTGTCATAAATACATAGAGGGCCATAATAATTAATTAACAATGATAATAATAAATAATGCCCCAATTCATTTTTGTGTGTTATTTATTCCAACGGTTTATGAAAAATTAAATTTATCACTGCAATTGAAATAATCTCTTATAGAAAATAAATAGGAATTTCGAATTCTAAATGTGACGTGACTACATAAATTGGGCCCAAGTTCGGGAACCACATGGTCGAAAATTGACTAAATACTAATTTATTTAGATAATATATATTCGTTTGATTTCTATACATATATGAATATATTAAATTGAGTTTCTAAAGATATACTCCCTCACTCTCAAAAAAAAATATTCATTTACTTTTTACATATAGTTTTAGAAATATTAATATTATATTGTGATATAAATAGGAATAAAGTAAAAATGACTAAATTACCTTGTTAGTAAGTGTGATATAAAGGTAATGAAATTAGTATAATATACTGTAAGTTGTAAGGGTATTTGTAATGTTAGGTAGATAGTACAGTTACTTAAAAAAAAAAAAAAAAAAAAAAAAAAAAAAAAAGAAATTGATACTTTGTTATGGGACGAACTAAAATAAAAAAATGGATACTTTGTCACGAGAGAGGGATGGAGTAGTACAATTATAGTAATTTGATATGGATGGGTTTTCGAAATTAATCCATTATTGTTTTAATTGGTAACATGGCTATGCTTTATTGGGTATTAAATTATTACTTATCTCATTAGGAGTTTGGACTTTGGTCAGTTGATATTTACGTTTTCAGGTGAAGTAGGATCTGTTTACTTATATATTTATGGGTGATACAAATTTTTTATAAATATTAAAAATATAATATATATATATATATACTAATACAATATGTATATGATATATATTTAATTTATTTACAATTTTTTTATAAATATTAAAAATTATATTACATACGAATATATTAAACATATAAAAACAAATTGTTCAATAAACTAATCTAAATATTCCTTGAGTAGAAATCTTAATTATAATTCTAAAAGTGAGTTTTGTACTATTAATTATGGTAACATGGTATTGGTATGTAACTACGCAATACTTACATTAAAATAGTATTGATGAAATAATAAGACATAATTTTAATTGATTATTTAAAAAATTATACATAAGTGCATTTTATAAGCAAATTATTTAATCAACTTTGAGATGTTAAGCAAAGGGTTCAATTCTTTTGAATATTGTTTTATACTCCCTCCGTCCACAAACGTTCTACTTTTTTATTTGGGACGTCCAACAACTATTATTCTATTTTTTTTTAAACACAAATTTTATATTTTTACCCTTCATTCATTTATTATTTTTAATCCATATTATACAATTAAGAGCAAAATTGTCCATTCATAACAAAAAGACAATCACATATAAATTGGAAGGAGGAAGTAGTATTTTTTAATATATGATCATTGTAAATTTTGGAAATAAACATTGTATATAAATGATCATATTCAAAATATTTATATAAAAAAAAATTAAATTAAACTTCAAAAAGAATAATCTCACATTAAGAGTTCTTGAGAGGGATTTATACATACACTTTTGATACCATTCATAATAATAATAATAATAAATAAATAAACAAAATAAAAAAAAAATAAAATAAAACATTCAAAATGTTATATTAAATATTTAATTATTTACTATTTCTAAATTTTCTAAATATGAAGATGTCCAAAATCCTGTGAGTAAATGGAGCCTAAATTGTTGGTTAGGCTTTTGCTTTCAGAAGTACAGAGCCATATTCTCCTTACATTAATTTCGATTTGTCCTGACATACCAAACGTCACTTTTCTGACCATCCTACGTTAAATATTTGACCAATCATTGTTAATTTTCTGTATTATTATTCAAATTAAATATAATTATGTTACATTAATTAATTAAATAGATTATGTAGTAGTAATGATGAGGGGAACCTAGCAAGCTATTTTCTACATTAGGGCAGAATCAAAGTTAGAAAATTTTGTCTTTATTTTAATCACCCTGTCACACATCTTTTTTGTTGCTATAATTGTTATTATTAATTTGGATAAAAAAGAATATTTAGTAGGTCGTATCATAAATACAAACAACAATTTGACACGTGGAATTATTAATGCAACTATTATTATATAATAATAATTATTATTATAGTTTGCATTATTTGTCATGTTTAGCTTTTATGTTAATTTGTGGAAGTATTTGGGCCAATTGATATTTAGAATGGGCTGTAATAAGAAAGCCCATAATTTAAATTGGGCTTTAATCCGGCCCAGCATGATGACAAAGACGGCTCGAAATCAACTTGAGTGATATCCATACTGTTTGGATAGCGTCATATTTTCAACGACGAGGACAGCCCATTTGTTCGAGATCTTTAACATTATTTACGCCAGCTGCCAAATGGAAAGCATGATTTGAGCTATGTTAATATGCCTTCAAACTTGTTTTCGTATTGTTCGTTAAAAATATGTGTATATTTTCTCTAAAAAATATCATTACTTTCATTATTATTAATTTCCAACATTTTATTTTATATTAATATATAGCATGCCATGTCTGTTTGTTTGTAATTTTGTTTTCGAGGGCTTCCGGGATTTGAATCCATGATTTCACGGTAACAAGTTCAATCCCTACACTATCAGGTCATCTTTACGGGATGGGTAAAAATAGATATTGATCGAAGGAAGTATGGTTGTAATAGATATTTCATATGTAATGGATAATGTTTAAAAATACTAATATATCCTTAAAAATATTGTTCATAGAAGACAATATTATTGCAATTTTAGATAAAAATATAAGAATATTTTATTATTTTAAGAGAATATATTTACAAATTACTAATAATAAATATATATACACATAGGAAGTATTTGATAGAATAGGATAGTTAAAAAGTAAAGTATTTTTCAAAGGATAAATACTACCTTTAATATATAGGGTTTTAGTTTTTAGTTAGTTCCTGTTACAAGCAATAAATTGCAAAAAGTGTATTTTGAAAATTAATTAAATTGTGAAATATATATATGTATATAAGGGATGAAGGGTTGAAGGTGTGGCGCGAAAGAAAGCATTAAAATAGTGCGTAGGGAAACAGGAGAGACGGTTCCTTTGGATTGGAAAGGTACTTTTCTTTCTGGAAACAATAATTCACGAGAAGTAGCTGAATTCTCTGCTGCATGCTACTTTGAATTCACTTTCTTCTTCTGCCGAGCAAGCTCTACTTTAATTTACTTACTAGTTCGATCACCTGATGAATGGATGGATGGATGGATGGATGATATGAGCAAAGGTAACTCATGAACTACTGTAATCCTCTCCATCTGCACCATTTGCGTTTTTAATTACTTTCAGTTTTGTGTTGTTGTTTTGGATCTGAACGGTTTTTAATTCTAGAGATCAGAATGAGAATTTTTATGATGCGTATTTTACCAGGGTTATGTATGGGTGGAGGAGACTAGAGATCAGTTGTACGTTCTCAAGGTTTTCGTAAACGTTCCTTGTGGTGTGTGATTGGATTCATGAAACTCGGTAACAGTTTTTTGGTATTCTTCTCGCGATCTGATGCATCTGAAACAGTTTATGTTGCTCCTCGAGTCAATTCACACCTTCGGAAGGGAAGTGCCTTGCGATTGTGTGTTTTGACATATATTGATTAATCGACGATAGGAAAGCATGGCTGCATTATGTTTCAATCCATTTCGGCTTCGTAAAGCCAAGAGCAAGTCATTATCTATTTCTTCGTCTTCAAGAAGCCAATGGAATAGTAACAGCAATACTATGGAGAAGAAGAGGTTTGACAGCATAGAATCGTGGTCGATGATTTTGGACTCAGAAAATATTGAGAATTGGGAAACGTCTAACGAAGATCGAGAAGATTGGACAGCTGATCTTTCTCAGTTGTTCATCGGCAATAAATTCGCTTCTGGAGCACACAGCAGAATTTACCGCGGGATCTACAAACAGAGGGCGGTGGCAGTAAAAATGGTTAGGATTCCAACTCACAAGGAAGAGACTAGAGCTTTGCTGGAGCAGCAATTCAAATCCGAAGTTGCTCTCCTTTCTCGCCTGTATCATCCCAATATTGTGCAGGTCAGATTTCCTCTCCCCTCCGCATGTACATCATACTGTAATTCTGTAGCATATTATGCTTAACTAAGTCTCAAATCACATTGATCAATTAAAATTTAAGAAAAAATGAAGAAGTCATGAAGCAATCAGGCGTTTGAGAATTTACCTAGCATAAGCCTTCAATATTGCGAGTTTCATTCCTGATTCATTTGCTCCAAATTTGGCTACTAATTAATCAACTGATGCATGATTTTGCTCACATCAAATTCCTTACAGTCAATTTATCTATCTCTGCAGTTCATTGCTGCTTGTAAAAAACCTCCAGTTTACTGCATCATCACAGAATACATGTCACAAGGAAATCTAAGGATGTACCTGAACAAGAAAGAGCCATATTCCCTGTCCATCGAAACTGTTCTGAGATTAGCCTTAGACATATCAAGTGGAATGGAGTATCTCCACTCACAAGGCGTGATACACAGAGACCTCAAATCAAACAACTTGCTATTAAACGACGAGATGCGCGTTAAGGTTGCAGACTTCGGCACCTCCTGCTTGGAAACACAGTGCAGGGAAGCCAAAGGCAACATGGGGACATATCGATGGATGGCCCCAGAGATGATCAAGGAGAAACCTTACACTCGTAAAGTCGATGTTTACAGCTTCGGAATTGTGCTATGGGAACTCACCACAGCTTTGCTCCCTTTCCAGGGAATGACTCCTGTCCAAGCTGCTTTTGCAGTTGCCGAAAAGGTCATTTTCTGTTAAATTTTCGTGCCATTTAGTTATATTACACTATTCGTTCTGAAACAATCTTTCTTGCAGAATGAGCGGCCGCCATTGCCGGCAAGCTGCCAGCCGGCATTAGCCCACCTCATAAAACGGTGCTGGGCCGCGAACCCCTCAAAGCGCCCCGACTTTGGCGAAATAGTGTCGGCGCTGGAGAAGTACGATCAGTGCGTGAAGGAGGGGCTTCCTCTAACACTGCACTCAGGTATAGTTAGCCGAAACGCTATAATCGAACGCTTGAAAGGGTGTGTATCCATGAGTTCATCCATACCTGTCCATGCCTGAGTCTGTCTGTCTGTCTGTCTTACTGACTGCTAGCCTTCTCTACATTCCACTTTTTTTTTTTTTTTTCTTTAAATTTTTATGTAGTGATATGTGTATATGAATTTGCTGCCCTTATTGTTGCTTACTTAAGTTGTGATAGACAGACATGTTTGTATGATCTGACTGAACTCATACAATGGTGTATAACTGTAAGTTGTGACTCATAAGCAGTTAGTTTATCTTGGACAACTGAGATCATTGCAGGGCCAAGAACTTGCTCATGGACATGGCGGTTACTGATCAATGATGGTCTCTTACAGTTGGAGAAAGAATTGTGTAATCAAACCACTTCCAGGTAGGTATCTACAGCTTCTGTCTTTTGGGCATGTTTTATTTGATTTTCACATTGATATTGATCATTGTTATTTTATTTTATTTTATTTTATTTTATTTTGCTGTTGAGTTCTTCATAATTACTATAATTTATAGACATTATTGGTTAACTCCACTGGTGACCTTTCTAAAATGCAAAACTTAGGTCATAAGCTTTGTGTTCGATTGAGTTTTGTTCCTTCTATGGTTATTGGAGTTTAAATGTGTGTTCAGCTGTGTTTTACGGCCCATTTATTAGTGGGCCGGACTCTATCCTTTTATATTATCAAATTCAATTTTTCACTTTACAATTGTAGTGATAAAAGTATAGTATGATTCTTTTATAAAATGTTACATTTAAATTATTATTAGAAAAATCAAATTAGTATTTACATTTATTAAGATGATATATTTTAAATTCTATTTAATAGTAAATACTTTAAAAGTTACATAATAGTTGAAATTTCCTAATCTATAAAATACCTATTCTTTTATACAAAATTAAATTTAATAATATTATATTTAATATATATATATATACACACTAAACAAACCTGATTTTCGTGATGAGATTAATATATATATATATATATTCTTTAAGAACGAAACAACATGATTCGCTGGCAACCAGCTAACCACATATAATTAGTATAAATTGTGCTATCGTTTAAGTATTAAACTCACTTTTTCTTTTCTTTTTTTCATAAAAATATATTATATATATAATGAGAATAATTGAGAGAAAAAAAGAACATCGGGAAGAAAGAAGATGGATGGGATAAAATGAAACACTTCTTGAGTTATGAAAGCGTCTACTCTACTGGGTCTCTGGTGCATTACCATTAGAATCAGAAATAGATCAGTTGTAAAATTTAGAAACAATTAGAAAGGAGTAATATATAATACTAGTATAATATTTTATAGAAAATATTTAAAATATTCCTATATCTGCTTAATCTACCATAGTCCATATAAAACAAAAAAAATGTTTTACTATGGACTGGGGGAGTCTATATATATATATATATACTAAATGGTGAGTGAAATAGAGGATAGAGGTTTTGTCAGCAAAGCCTCATATCATCTCACATCACATGTCCCAATTCCCAAATGTTGGTTGAAAACTTCAAATTTAACACACAATTTCAAATTTCAACTCATCTATCTATCTATCTCACACTTAGTCTTGTCTTGTTTGACTTCTTCTTCCCACCAATTTCTACTAACCAAAGTCAAAATTTCAGCACTGAAACCCATCCTTCAAACCCGCACAAACCTGCTACGAAAATCACTCGCCAAGTATTCTCACATATTTTCCTTGTCGTATTTGTCCAAAATTTCAGTAGGATATCAATTTTTAATTTAGTAATATTTTTTAATTTAGGAATGGTAATACATACCTAATATAATAAATACTTTGATAATTTATTATTATACAAATGTTATCATTTTTCATAATAACTATACTACTATGGGTATTTTTGTCTTTTATTTTACAAATTAATATAATACTAATATTAAAAAATCTATGTAAAAAAAACAAAAGGTGCTCTTCTTACGGAGGAGTGTACTAAATATTTTTTAATCTTATGCTCCTTATTTTTTCCTCTAAAAATCAGATTTACTTTGCGTTATTATACTTACTATTAAAAAAATTATTATAGTCGTATAATTTTTTATACAAATATCATTTTATTAGTATTATAAGATACCATTGAAAATATTTTTATAATTTCTTCTTAATTTATATTATTTTTTATATAATAATTAATATTAAAAAATCAACTTAAAAATAAGATTATTAGAGCCGAAGAGGTAGTATTTTTTAATCTTATACTTATTTATAGAAATATTCTAACTACTTGTACATTTAATATTTGTTCACTTGATAGATAAAATAATTTTTTTAAATATTATTAAAAAAATACAATATACACTCATTTAACATAATAAATATATATTTCATTTACTCACAACATTTAACACTAAATATTACTAATTTTTTATAATATCAATACAATTTTTCATATTTAACATAAAAAATTGCGTCAAAAATCCAAAAACACAAATTGAACAAACCCTCAATCTTATATAACAAAAAAAAAAACTATATCAAATCCAAATAAATATACATTTAATTTACGGATAAGTAATAAAAAATAAATATACTCCATATATATATATATCTGTGAATTGAAAGGTTATTTCCGTCCGTCCAAAAACAAGAATATCATTTCCTAATTTAGTAATTATACTACTATCTACTTAATATAATAAATATCTTTTCAACTTATTTTAGTTATTACTTTTATATTACACAATTTTTTTTTATTACAATTCAATATAATATTAATATTAAAAAATTTAATTTAAAAAAGCCTTCAAATGCCAGCCCTTCCAATGCCAAGGAGAATTAATAATACTTATATAGGATTTGCATACTAACAACAAATTATTTTAAAAATTAACTTAAAGAGTACAACCATGACATTATTGCATCAGGCAAAACAAGGCGTTGAGGGAGAGAGTCCCAATGAAGCGTGGAAAGAATAAATGCCCACTTTAATTGAATGGACTAAAATACATTAAACAAGAAAGAGGCAATAAATAATTCATAAATAAAAACAGTAAATAATTAATTAAATAAAAATAGTTGTACACAACTCACCAGCAAGTCTTGTCGTCGCTTTGATCGAAGCCCCCTTCTCCCCACTTTTGCCGACCTCACTATTTCCCCTCCACATTCATTACACTACATATATTCTGTGCGACAATGGCAGAGGGAATCCGGGCAGCATCTGCCCGAACTTCCCGGCCCTAAAATTTGACAAAACTTTAACCACTTCGGAAACTGAGAAAACTTTTAGGTATGTTTGCCTGTGCTTAATAATTTCTATTTGCAAAAAACCATCTGGCAAAGTTTTGATTCAAAAAATCTATTTTAAACACTGCCAACAAAAGAAAAACAAACAGTAGTGTCTTTGTCCTAAGCAGTAAATGCAGCTTCACCAAGAAATGAGAATCCCCACGTCTAGAAAAAAGATTAGGAAATACAGGTGTTGAGAATATGTTGTCTATGGCGGAAAACAGGGGCCCTTTTGCTTTGTTTTTCAAAAGCTGTTAGTGTTCTAGACTTTAATAGACACAGTAGACTAAGAGATCTTCCCCCAACATCATCATGAAATTAGTGAAATAAGAAATGGAGTTATGGAATGGAACACAGAACAAACAATCACAACAAAGAAGAATCAATCAATCAATCAAGAAATACCAATTGGGAATGATGTAATTTGGAAGCAAGAACTTCTAGTGATGGATAATCAAACAATGGATTGATTCAAGTAAGAGGAGATTGGAAATTAGGATTTAGGGTTCATAATTTACATGGATCGATCAATCAATCATATCACAGATGCAAAATTGCAAAGCGTCTTAAGATTGTATAAGCAAAATAGAGAAACTAAACCACGAACCTGTTCTTAATTTGGTGTTATTTTCACTCCCAAAGCTTTAGAATCCTTTCCCCTAAAAAATTGATAACTCTCCGCACGGTTCCCTTCTCTGTTTCTCCATCAACAATGTCCTCCTCCTCCTCAGCTCCGCCGTCGTCGCCGCCGGATTTCGCCGTGCTCGTCTCTCCGAAGTGAAAATCATCCTTCCTCGAACACAGGTCGGACTTCTGCAACGAATCTACTCCGAGTCCAGTTTTGCCTCTCACGCTTTTACCCTTACGCCTTTCCTTCTTGCTCTTCTCCTTTTTGCTCTCCTTCAACAGACTATCCTCAAAAGCATCTATTATCTCGTCAATTAGCTGTCTGTTAGGCGATGAATCCCACTTTTTCCAGTAGCTCTTGTAGCATCGGAAGCAATTGCAGCTGAAACTCGCCGTATGGTCTCCGCCGCCGGCCGCCGCGGTTTTCTGATCAGCCTTTCGCTGAATATCCAAACAACTACCGGAGCAAGATATTAGGTATGCCAAAACCTCCCTGTCCTCCGGCGAAAGAGCAACCGTCAAAGACAAAATCGCCGCCGGCAGAAACGAGAGCAGCTGGTCCTTAACCACCGCCGGTGTCGGATGCACCGTACCCTTCCTGTATAGCTTCTTCATATAGCCGGTTTGAAATCGAAGAGAGAATTGGATTAGGTTTCCGAGGAGGACGAAACGGAGAGTTCCGAGTCGAGTGTGGATTCTGGAGCTTCTCGCAAATGGTGAAGTAGTATTTTCTGAGGAGGAGTTATTGCGTGCGACGCAAGAGTTTCCGTAGGCTGTACTGGAAATGATGGAATTTGATTGGTCAGGAAACGCGAGGTAAGTTAGTGGGCCCCACTCCGAATCTTTCGGTGTTCAATCTTCTTTGGATAAAATCATTTTAGAACATTGCTTTAATATTTCAAGTTTTACTTATTAACCATTAAAATTACAAAAATATTACTTTTTTTATTGTCTCGATCATGTTGGATTTTTGATCGTGAAATCATAAGTTCAAATTTTGACATTTCAGATCATCAAATCACACATCACATATTTTTGGACAGTAACTTAAGATTTTTACATCATAAAAAAAATGAAAATAATTAATATTTTACTATAAAATAAATATCATATATTGTACTCCTCCATTTACTTAAATGTATTATTTAAAATATCTATTAATAAATTAAAAATAATAATATTTTATTAATGAATCAAAATGAGTTAAATTCTATTCAAATTATAATAAGTATGAGATTTTTACTTTTTTTTAGTAAGAGTTAACTTAAAAAAATTTAAAAAGAAAAGAAAAGTGAATGATCCTTTTATAGATGCAGTGCATAATTGGAATGGGTCGAACAATCAAAGGCAAGCCCAATTACTAAAAAGTAAAACCCAGCCCTAATCCTCATATTCGTCTTCTTCGTTTCGCTCATTTCAGCGGGCTCCCGGCACCAGAGCGAATCGTGTCCATCGTCAATTTGATTCCGACAGCCGCCGGAGGTGTTAGAAATTGCTAGTATAGTCCTCCCATTCTTTCATTCCGAGAGAGAGAGAGAGAGAGAGAGACAGGCAAGCGTAGGATCTTTCTAGCATTTGCCGCAACTTCCTCCGGCAGCCCGCCGCCGGTTGTATGTTCTCCTATTTTAATCACAGACCGGCTTCGATTACCGGCCAGCCTGATCGTTAATTGGTTCTTAATAAATAGCTACAACTGCGACTCAGTGTAGTATATACCTCCTGAGAGCTTCGTTTCCAATGGAGGCACAAAACGCAATTATTCAGGCCTTGTTTCGCCCGGCCGCTTCGTCTTCTGAAGTCCGAATTACGCATTCATTGGCCTTACCCTCACGGCTTCCAGCCCGGACGCGGATTACTTTGGGAAATCATTCGTTTTGTTCAAATTCCTTGCTCGTCAAGAGGCCCTTTCGTTGTGAAATTGGTGCTCAGAAGGATGAGCATAAAACGGTTTCTGATGTTGGAGAAGGTAATGCTAAAGCAAAAATTAGAAGGAAGAAATTAGCGGTGTTTGTGTCCGGTGGAGGGTCGAATTTTAGGTCGATTCATGAGGCAACAGTTAGTGGATCTGTCCATGGTGAGGTAGTCGTTCTGGTGGCTAGTAAACATGGTAAGTTTGTCTGGCCATTAACCTATTACTTTCCTGCTACTTTGTTGATTCTTTAGTTCGGTATAGTGATGTGAATTTTCGTAGAGGAGGCTCCTGGGTTGGTAAAAGTTCTCAGAATAGGTTATTGTTCTCCATTAAAGGTTCTGTTATTACTGGTTTTCTGGATCAAGTTTTACTATCTTATGCTCAAGATTTATGCAGATTGTGGAGGTGCAGAGTATGCTAGAGGCAATGGAATTCCTGTTATTGTTTTTCCTACAAAGAAAGACACACAAAAGGGGTTCTCAGCTGAAGATCTTGTATCAGCGTTGAGGTTTGATCTTTACTTGTTTAGTTACTTTTGAAAGAAATAACCTTATTTATATTGATAATTGAAATTTATTAGCAACATTATATTGAAGCTCAAGTTTGGTTCTAATTCTTCTGCTACACCAAAGAAAGAGTAGAATGTTAATGGAAGCATAAACACTAATGTTTGCACATGCTTTTCCTTAATTCTATCTTGTAATTTTTCTTAGTGTTCATCCAGCACTTTAATGTATCGATGTAGTTTTGAGAACCTCTGTTCATCATTGTGTTTTTTTTGCTTTAATGGTGTCTTGGTAGATGATAGAAATTTATATGTCCTTAGTGTATACTATATTGTTTCATATGGTTCATTCTTTCTGCCTTATGATCGCTTTTTATTCGACTCTATGCTGGTATGTGCAGATCACTTGAAGTTGATTTCATCCTTTTAGCTGGTTATCTCAAGCTTATTCCCACTGAATTGGTCCAAGCTTATCCAAGGGCCATACTAAATATTCATCCATCCCTTCTTCCCTCATTCGGTGGCAAAGGATTTTATGGTTTGAAAGTGCATAAAGCAGTCATTGCTTGCGGCGCTAGGTATACAGGACTGTTGCCATTATTACTGTTATTCCAATTTCTCGTTTCTTTTGTCCTCTTTTCCATCTTTTGATGAACGTGATGCAATCCCATCAAAATGAAATTCCTTGTTCTATATTAGTAAGGTTGCAGTATCAATTTGTTCTACATTGAACATTTCTTTTTGTGTTAAGTAGCAATTAGTTATCCTTGACTGTTTGAAATTATGTTGGCCGTGAATTAGTTGGGACAAAAGCATTATGCTAGAATCTAAGATGTTGCCTATTCTCATTTCTTTTTTTTCACCGTCGTGCAAAGTTTCCGCAGCTGCATTGAAATAAAATAAATACAGGATCAAAATCTGTTGTTGCAAATGCCTATGTTGAGTCTTTTAAGCATGGCCTCGTCTTGTTCATGGTGTTCTAGTTCATTAAGACACGAACAATTAAATTCAAAGTTCTCATACTTAGTTTGCATGTTTCAGGTTATTGTGGTTAACATCCAAGCTTAAATGCTTCACTATCTTGATTACCCAATGAATTCGGAGAAAACTCTACCATTTAACACTCTCGTTTTATTTTATTTTTTATATATAGGTACTCTGGTCCTACAATTCACTACGTTGACGAGCACTACGACACAGGCCGTATCCTAGCGCAAAGGGTAGTCCCTGTGCTAGCCAATGACACTGCTGAAGAGCTCGCTGCAAGGGTTCTCCACGAGGTTCTCAAAATCCATTCTCGACAAGTTTTATATTGCACTCGTCATTTTCGCAATGTTGTAGTTCTATTCTCAAAAGCTATTGAGCAGTTCTATTTTCGTAAATCTATTTTCACGACGTCTTGGTTTTACATGGATCAGGAGCACCAATTATATGTAGAAGTATTGCAAGCGTTGTGTGAAGATCGAATCACCTGGCGTGAAGATGGTGTTCCGCTCATCCGAAGCAAAGAAAATCCCGACGAATACTGGTAACAGCTTCACACACAAATTTTAAGAGTGCACAGGTGCTGAATTGAAATGACTCGAATTCAAGAATTTGGTATCTCTAACATTTATGTTCTTAATTCTCTGCACCTACTTGTGTTATCCTGTTGCGAACTTCATGTAAAATTGTTTTTGGAACGAATGAACATCCTTAATTCTATGATTCTTTGTGGAAATTGCTTATGTACTGATATAAATAATTTCGATATCAATATATATTTTGAATTATTGCCAAATAATTTTATAATTTAGTATACACTATAGACTGAAAATGTCACTCTATATACACGGGGTGTGTTTGTTTGTAAGATTTTCGCAAAAATTTTACTATTCATTCTATTATTTTTCCTAAAAATATCAAATCAAATACCTATTTTTTATTTTTTTTATATTATACTAAAAATTAATTTTACATTCAAAACATCACATCAACACTTAATTTAAAATTTTGATATATCTAAATTCAATTTCAATTTTTTTGGTAACTTTTTTTTTTTAGTACTCGTGATATTTTAGCATTCAAGCAATAATTTTTTTTTCTCCCTTATTTTGTATTGATGTAGGAAAAAGGTAAAAAATTAATAAAAAAATAAAACTGTAATATAAGAAATGACTGTTGGGCCAAGCCCAATTACGTTATATGAAGTCCAGCCCAATAAACATTGTGGCTATATATGTATTGCTGTAGAAGTGGAAGTGGGATTAGGGTTTCTCAGGTGCGCAGTTTTCGTCTATTTATGGTGGATGGAGGAGCTCATTCCTCGCCATTGCCTGCTCGTCTAGTGAGATCTATGAGGTTTTCATTCTATTGAATTAGTGCTTGTGTTCTTCGTTGTAATTAATTGAAATGAGTAATGCTACATGTACTCCAAGGGAGGGTGGATGAAATACCCTTCTTTGATTCGCCGAAATCGGCTGTAGCAATAGTGAACGGAGAAGTTATCTGGCCGGTTGTTGTGCTTTGAGATCTTCGGATCTCAATCGTCGACGTATCTGCTTACCGAACTTCTCATATTCTTATATGTATATATATATACATACGGAGTATACGTTGTTATTTGACTGGCGTATGCGGCGTGGATTTGCCTCCTTTCTATACTGTTTATCGTGCTTTTACTGAAACACAATCTCCGATTCGCTAGTACCAAATTTCCGCAGATCTGGATGCTTCGCCAAAGTGTTTGCGAAGTTTCGTTGATTGAATTAGGGTTAATTTTAAAACGGCCAGGCCATACTGCCCTATCACTGTAAACCCCCCAACTCTTTCTCAAGATTTTTTTGAGAAAATAAAAAAAAATTGAAAGTTAGCAACTTTCTTCCATTTTTGGGCGATTTTTTATTAAGACATTTTGACCTAAATATATATATAACATTGGAAAGTGGCCCGGCCCAGCTGAGACCGACTTAGGTCCGCTTTACCTAAGCCTGAGCTTGGACTTGAGTTAAAGTGAAATGGTCCTGGGCCTGTTTAACGATGAATAAACTAGTTCAACTTGGTCCATGACTAAACTATTTTATTTTTTATTTGCAAGATGAAAAAAATAAAAATAACAGAATGAAATAACGAAAAATGAATTAGAAAATAAAATGTACAAATTAATAATTTAAATGTTCATTAGTGATAATAGTAATAATAATCATAATAATACTTACTTTATTATATCACGAATAAATTTAATAAAATTTAAAATACAAAGTTTAATTTAAAATATTATGTTAATGTATATTTATTTCGCATCAAATAATTATATTAATTTAAAATTTTATTATTTAAAATAAAAACTTAAAACTGAACGACACGAGTAACAGTATGTGTGTACAACTTTCAATTAGAAAAAATTCTCGTGAGGTGTGTTTGGGTTGTGTGTGTTCATCCGATTTTTTTTTTTTTTTCAACACAACCAGATAGAAAACCAAAAATTTCTTGCTTTCTCCGCCTTACTGGCCTGCAATGCTTTGCCTCTGTAAACAGATCCATACCATCAATCGATCTTTCTACAAAGGTTCAACTGTGTCCTAGAGTTCTTCTCATACACCGGGTAAACTAGGTAAAGATTCAATTTTCGCCATAACTTTCTGATTGTGATGACATGAGTAGCAATATTTATTGTTTCGGTGCAGAAATGGAGCCGCAATTGGGTACAACTCTTGTGCTTGCAGGAAAATCCGCTGCAGAAAATGGCATGGCCTGTTGTTTGAAGAAGAACGACGCAGTAAAACTCCCTGACGGTTCTCCAGTAAATGTTTGCTTGCATTCGGAAATTGAAAATCGACAGATCGTTGGTAACGACGATGCTTTCCGATTGAATTTGTACATGAATTCTCTCTCAACTGATCGCTTCGGAAAGCTGCTCATTTACTCCCCCAAATTATCCTCCACGCACGACGTTGTTTCAAAGTAAGTATTCCCCATCCTGTTGGGTTACTGTGAACACCATTGAAGATGTATTGATTCCGCACGAGTGTTTTCCCATTTGACAGTAATTTCAGTGAGTTGCCTGTTGGAGCTGTGTGTGTTGCAGATATCCAGCTTAAAGGCAGAGGTATTGTTGATTAATGTCTCTTCTTGCTTCACCATGAATATTGAGTTTATTGGAGAGTGTTTGTTTGTAAATTGTCTATGTTATTGCTATATTTACAATGGTTTTTCAAGGCCGTTCCAAGAACATTTGGGAATCACCCAAGGGATGCCTTCTGTTTTCATTCACTTTACAAATGGAGGATGGTAGAATTGTCCCACACGTGCAGTATGTTGTTTGTTTAGCTATGACGGAGGCAATCAACGACATCTGTTGGAAAAATGTGAGTCTTATTGAATTCATACACCATTTAGTTTCTCCTAGTGATTATTCTCAAGAATTTATCTATTATTCCTTTGAATAACTGGCTGCTATGATTTCTGAAAAAGAAGATCCTTAAAGGCATTGGTGGTTTCTTCCTATGGTACATCTTCATTTGTTGTTAATCTTAATATTCTATCATCTATTTGACTATTCATATTCCAATACGGTATGTTTCAGGGCATGCCTGCTCTTGATGTTAGAATAAAGTGGCCAAATGATCTATACTTACATGGTCTTAAAGTGGGAGGCATTTTGTGCACATCTACGTATAAATCTAAGAAGTTTAATGTCAGTGTTGGTAAACATTCTTTTCTTTTGACAATATAGTTTGTAAAATTTATGTATCTCAAATAACCTTTACTTTAGGGGACTCAAACCTATATTAGATTTTGTTAGATACACAAATTTACCAGAGTTATCTTTTCTTTTTCTCCATTTTGTTTTATTTTATAGGAATTGGCTTGAATGTGAGTAATCAGCAACCAAGTACATGCTTGAACACCATTTTACATAGTTTGGGTTGTGTTGACCGGCAATTACAACGTGAAGATATCATGGCTGCTTTCTTCAATAAATTTGAGAGTCTTTATGATATCTTCATCATTCAAGGTGATCCCTTCCCCTTTGGTATTCACTGCATGTTTGGTTACCCTGATTAGTTCAGTATGGTTTATCTTTGCTCAATTGATATTAAAATTTACCACTTCTTATTTGTATGTAAAACTAATTCGCTGAAGGAGATTTGTAATTAAACCAGTATATCACCTAGTTTCCACTCGGACTTGGTTCTTGCATCACTGAAACAGCTATATTTCGAATTTGAATGTATGAGCTGTAGTTTAACACTCACTTCTATTTTCCATGAGTTCTCGCTGAAGTATTTGTTGTTCATTATTATTAATCAGGTTTTCAAGCATTAGAAAAGCAGTACTACAAGACATGGTTGCACAGGTGAAACAATTAACTAGAACAATTAACTAAGTGTTCCCTACAAGCATGATTTTATCTTGTCGAACCCTTTCGCAATTCGTTTGTATTGGATGCAGTGGACAGCGGGTTATCGTACAGGAGAAGGATGATAATATGAACCAAGTCTCGGAATATGTGGTGACAATCCAGGTGAACTTCTTCTTCTGAAATTGAAATTAAAATTAGCTTTTCGCATTCTGAAGGAAGATATTAGGCTTTTTTGAAATGACATGAGTGGTTTCTTTCAAATAATCGAAATTTAATCTGTAAGCAACATCCGTTTGGCGCACAGGGTCTAACCTCTTCCGGGTACTTATTGGCAATCACTGATGACGGTCAAACATGCGAGCTTCATCCTGATGGAAACAGGTGATTTCATTACCATAGTAAAAGAGAACCATATAACTCAAGTAATCCGAGCTTTTTTAACTGTGAATATTGTGGCGATGTTAATTGTCTTCCTTCTTACATTCCTGTTGTCCAATCCCTGGCCGGTGACGCCTTTATTGTTCATCTCCAACAAGTATTATTACTACATTCCAAAATTAATCTGACATATGGTTACAGTTTTGATTTCTTTAAAGGGCTGGTGAGCAGAAAGGTAGCATGAAAAGAGCTTTGATGGCAACCTCGGCTGCAGCTATAAAGTATACACCATGTAGGAGGGAGAGCAGTCCTGGGCTGTAAGATTACATTTTCTTAAACCTCAGTTACTAAGAATGCTTGAGATACTTGTACATGTAACTTGTGCTCCTGAATAGAATCGGTAAAGCATGTCAGCATGAGAACAAGATAGAATCCATGTAAACGAGCATCATGAAAATAGAAATGCTCATGGTTTATGCTGACTGGAAACTGAATTTTAGCAACTAAGAATATCTCAGAAATGCCTTTTGTTCATGCCTCTGTTGAATCCTTCATGATCTAGCATGTCTTGTTACTACTATTTGCATTTTTATGGGTTTTTTTAATTACTTTTTTCAAGAAATGATCGATCGATCTCCGCTGCATATTCTTGCAGGTCTACAAGCAAATCCTTTTGTGCGTTTTGTGAAGAGGATCATTGATTTTGTGATGGACCATAACTTGAGTTTAAATATGTTTCGGAATCTTGAATTGGTTTGGAAATAATATAAACGAATATTATTATAAAAAAAAAAAAAAGAAAGGAAATTGAAAAGATGCAAATGATAAAGTTGTTGGGTAATGCGGTCTAAAGTAAAAGTAATATTTTCAGTGTGGAAAGCATACCCAGATAATGAATTTTGTTGTGGTATCTGTTTAAATTTATAAGGCTTGTTAACTATCAATTAATTCTACCATTCTTTTACACTTAATTAATAGATCATGGTTCGGACTGAGTTTTTTATTTTTATCTTTTGACGGGTTGGTTAATTATTCATTTATTTCGGCTTCCATTGAGATCGACAATTTGGCTTGTATTGAACCTTCCTTATCGATATCCTCGGGCGGGGTTGTTCAGCCGTTCATTTGAAATCCTATGTTTGTCTAATCAAGAAAAATAGACCATTGTATTCTAGGAATAATATGATGGTGTGGGAGGGTTCAAATAATTTTTTTCCTAAATTTTCTTGTTCTAAGCTAAATTATTTTCCTAAATTTTCTTGTTCTAAGCTGTAGAGATGTTTAAGTTGCGCCAAAATTAGAGGACACGTACGTGTCATTTGGGGTCGCTTTATTTTGCACGGACAAGATTGGGACAATTCATTTTTATTAAATGCATTCTTATAGTAACAATAGAAATAATAATGTCATCATAGCTTATGATGTACATAGATTGGGACAATTCATTTTTATTCATTAGAAATACCTTTAAATTTATATATATTAATATCAAATTTAAATATAAAAACAAAAAAATTTTACACATAAAGAATACTAGTAACTATTATTTAAATATTATATATATTTTTTATTGCCCACAAAAAAAGCAAATCCATGGAGTATTTATTCAACAGATTGAGATAGTATTAATTTTAATGAAATACTAGTAGGATTTTAAAATATTGTATTCAATATGCAGGACAAAAGAAGACAGCGTACAAAATAATAAAAACACCTGTCTGCCTCATTTTCGTTTACGTGTGATACTTTTTTACAGATTTGAGTATGCTTTTTAACTTTTTATTAAATGGAAATGTTACAATATTCACTTTAAAAAGTAAAATAAAATATGTGTCATTCAATAAAAAATTTTGATGCAATTTTTAATAGATATTATAAAGAATACAGTATATAATACCCCACCTCTCGGCCAAATTATACAGACCATTATTTAAACGTGCCAATTTTCATTATCAAATATATAATACGTCCAAGTACGTCAGAATTTATCTTTATACGTACAAAAGTTATCTATTAACCGATAAAGTTATATAGATATTTTAGAAATATAAAATACTGGTCCATGTTTAAAATTGAAAAACATTCCAGATTTATAAAATAACTCTTATTTATGTAATAACCATCTTTCTTGTACCTATCAACATATAGTAGTAATTAATTTAAAATACAATTATTATAAAATAATTTAAGACAAACCACCCTAATCTTCTCGGTATAAATGCACGTATAAATTATTTCTACATTATAACAATAAAATAATAATAATAATACACTGCGCAATTTCCTTCGCAGTCAAAAAGATAGCAGTAGGGATAAAGCATTAAAAACAATGAAAACTTAGAGGGGCAAAATTGTCCAAATAAAAGTGGTAGGTGTAACGAGCGAGTGCGATTGCAGAGAGAGGTGTGGACACGTGGCGAAATTCTACCGCACAGTACTCGTCCTGTGCAGTGCGTGCAGTTCGTGAAGACTGACCTCGCGTAAAAGCACCGCCTCCTGCAACAACCAACTGCTTCCCTCCCTTTATTTAATGGAAGCTCAGCCTCCTCTTCCCCATTTCCATTCCCCCGTTCCTGTTGAAATGGGAGCATTTCTCAGGCTGATCGCCGCCGTGCTCGCGGCGGCGCTGGTGGCTGAAGCAGCTGCAGTCGAGACGCACCACGTCGTCGGCGGTTGGGGTCCCGATTTGGACGTCGGTGCTTGGCTTTCCGGTCGGATTTTCAGAGTCGGCGACAAACTCTGTAAGCTTTTCGTCTGATTCTCTCAGCTGTGTGTTTCTGAATTTTAATTCAACGTCGAGTGGTTATGGCGGACCCATGGCGAATATTCTGTGTGGGGTTAGGGTTAGGGTTAGGGTTTTGGGGGTGAATAATTTAATGATTTTGTTGGAGAGGTGAATGAATTTTCGTTCCAGGGTTTGGACATTCGAGTGGAGACGAAATCGTCGTGGAGGTTAACAGCGCGGAGGAATTCGAAAAGTGCGATACGGCGAACCCTATCAGGATGTACACCGACGACCACGTGTCCCTCGAGAAGGAAGGCCTCAGGTTCTTCACCAGCGCCGACGCCGACCGTTGCAGAAACGGCCTGAAGCTGCCGGTGACGGTATCCCGCCGCGATGAATTTGAGCCGCCGTACGAGCCGTCTGATGTTCCTCCGCCGCACCATCCATTTGATCCTCCTGAGCCATTTCACCCTCCCCCCCAATCGCCGCCGCCGTACGAGCCGTCTGATGTTCCTCCGCCGCACCATCCATTTGATCCTCCTGAGCCATTTCACCCTCCTCCCCAATCGCCGCCGCCGGAGCCTGTTCACCCTACTCACAAGTCGCCGCCGCCGCCGCCGCCGCATGAACCACCGAAGCCTGTTCACCCTCCGCCACCGCCATATGAACCGCCCAAGCCTGTCCACCCTCCTCCACCGCCACCGCCATATGAACCGCCCAAGCCTGTTCACCCTCCTCCACCGCCACCGCCACCGCCGCAACCCTCCTCGGCAAATATGAACCTGCCATTTCTGGTGATTTTAACGTTTTACCTCTGCTTTGTTTTTGCTGTGTAGACATGGGGAGGAGGAGATGCCACAGTCGTTGTTTTAAGGTTTAGTAACAGCAGATGATGTGGGTCTGAGATCAAATTTGTTTTTCCTGTTTGATTTCTACACCGTCTGATTTCAATAAAATTTCTATGCTAATGAAAACCCTGTGATCATCGTCATCATCACCCATAAACTTTGGTTTCAATCTTTCTTGTCTCCTTCCCCTTTTCTCTGCAGTGAAATTTGGCATTCTTGCCACGTGTTAACAGGTTCAAATATCAAGGGATTGAACGTGGGGACAAACCTTTTGTTGTTATAAAATAATCTCACGTCGGGATGGGACAAATTTTTTGTCATCGTTCTTGCGGATTATTTCCACCTGCATCGTCATTTTTGCTGAATGATTTTTACCTGCTCTCATTTACGCATCGGGAGAGGGATAAAAGAAATGTATAATTTAACTATATATCTTGTGAGTTGGAAAAGTAAAGAACACACGATAATAGCGGTGGAGAATTTGAAGGTATGGCGTAAGCTTCCAGAAGGAAACCATATTCTACCTTTGAATATAATAATCAATTACAGTAGTAAAAAAAATTTCAGATTTCTTCTCCTGTGGGTTTTTGTACTTGCTGAGAATTGTGATTTAGAGTAAAAATGATGCATCTCATACTAGTTATCAAATTATATTATTACTATTATTATTTTTTTTTATGTGAACGAGATTATCGATAATTTTAAAATAAAAATGATTTATTCCGTCCATTTTAAGAATATATATTTATTTTTATTTTATATTTATGTGAAAATATTTGATGTAATATGAACACACGAAGATATCTAATTGGGGCTTGGACTTCGCGCTTTAATGGCGGCAGCCCAATAAGAGGCAACACAGCCCAATCCGCAATTTGGTTCAAATCGAAACACGATCTGGTTCTGATGATGACGAGACAACTCAGCCACGTGTGCATACGACAGCCACCGCATTGATTGCCGCACAGCCGCACCGGCGGCGCTGCACCACACCGTCGGGGATGGCACCTAACTTTTCACGACTAATACTGCCACATATAAAGAAAGTGATTTGGTATTAGCCCATGCCATATCTCTCCAACTACAAATAACCCTTCGCCCTTTTTGCACCCAACAAACACTCTCGGTCCCCTTCCAACTCTCCACTGTCCACTCTTTTGAGTTGGATTGTTTAGCCTTTTCTTTTGCTATGGCGCTGAAATCGTTCGTTGAAGTCCATCCGGACTCGCACTTCCCGATTCAGAACCTTCCGTACGGTGTGTTCAAGGCAGGATCGGATTCGGAGCCGAGGCCAGGCGTCGCCATTGGAGACTATGTGCTCGACCTTTCGGCTGTTGCCTCTGCTGGTCTTTTCGACGGACCGTATCTTAAAAGTTCCGATTGCTTCGATCAGGTGCGTCGCTGTTCCTACCTTTGTTTTTGGTGTTTTGAAATTAGGTTGAAGTTTTTGTTGAATGTTGATGGAAACTGAAAGCACGAGGGTTGGTGGTCTTGAGTGGACAGATGACTGTTCTTCTAGGTTGATTTGTCAGTGTCGTGTTACCATACGATCTAGTATTTGAAGTTATGGAGATAGTGAGGAAATCAAAATGACAAAAAACTGCAACTTAGAGTGACGAAAATGGCTTAGCAAGTAGATTTAGGAACAGCATCAATCGTTGAAGGTGTAATGGCAAGGGATTAAGTTCCTATAAAGTTGATTGAATTACAATAGATGAACAAGATCAAGCGAACCAGTTTTTAATGATAAGTAAATGGCAATGTTGCAGCCTAATCTTAACAAGTTATTGGCATTGGGACGACCAGCGTGGAAGGAAGCTCGTGCAACTTTGCAGAAGATATTATCAGGTTTTCTACTTCAATTTTTCCTGTTACTGTTGGTTCTGGTGTGTCAATGTGCTAAAGTGAACTTAGGATATCTAATCTCATGGTTTCTCAAGGAATCATGCAACCTTCGTTTTGGACTGAATTTTTTTAATTTATGATAATGCAGCTGCAGAACCAGTATTGCGTGATAATGCAAGTCTAAGGGAGAAAGCCCTTCTGCCTATGGTATGTAGTGAATCCATTTTTATGTTTCCATAACTGAATTAGGTGTTCTGTTTTGTTGTTACAATCTGTGATGATTTTTACAGAGCAAGGTGCAAATGCTTCTCCCTATAATGATAGGGGATTACACAGACTTCTTTGCATCAAAGCATCATGCTAAGAATTGTGGCCTGATATTCCGAGGCCCCGAAACCCCTATCAACCCAAATTGGTATAGCTATAGTTTTAAAAGATAAACAATCCTCCCCCCCCCCCCCCCCTAATATTTTTCTGCTCAACCTTGTGGGGTTTCATATTTTTCAGGTTTCACATTCCGATTGCTTACCATGGGCGTGCATCATCTATTGTCGTCTCGGGCACAGATATCATCAGGCCAAGGTTACAGAACAAAATCCTTGATATAATCTTTGTTCGCTTACTATTTATTTGCTCTTCATAAAAAAGGTTTGTGCATTTTTCAATGGTGATCACACAAAGTTGCTACTGGGGAGTGTTTTAGATGGTGTGCCTATAGCTCTTTACCATCAAAGAAACTACTTGTCAGAATCCTGAAAATTAGACATTGGAATCCATACTATTGTTCTTAGTGTGATCATCTTAAAGTATTACATTTTAGTTTAATGCATATATTTATGAAGAATTAATATTAAAACATTCACTCTACATGTTCTGGTTGGAGGTAGGGCTGTTATGCAAGCCAAGCTGCTCGAAAGCTTGGCTTGTTGATCATACTAACAAGCTGAGCTCGAGCTACAAAAAGTACTTAAAAATTATCTAGTCGAGAGGTAATAAATTTATATATTCCTTATTATATTAAAATATAATAGAACTTGAGCTCAGTAAAAAAATTACTAATGGGCTTGAGCTCGACACAATAAAAGCTCGGGTTGAGTTCGAGCATGAGATATTTGGCTCAAATAAAAGCCTTAGTTGGATGCAATGGCCAGTACTTGTGGGTTCCTTAATTCAAGATCTTCTACTTCTTCTTCTCTCGCTCTTTCATGGATATAACATTGCATGACTTATTGATTTCTGTTTATTCTATAGAGGACAAGGCCATCCAGCTGCCAACTCTCTGCCCTATTTTGGATCTTCCCGTAAGTTGGACTTTGAACTGGAAATGGTAAGTATTTTTTCAAAGAGGAATATGTATCTACATTTTGGTAGAGTTTATAGCTTGATCCATGCCTTAGACTTCCTGTAATATGAGATCATGTACTTCTTTCTATTTAGCTGTTTAATATGGTTAATTATGGAGTATCATTCCATTATGTATTGAACAAACAGTTAAATGCATTAGGCTGCTGTTGTTGGTTCTGGAAATGAATTGGGGAAACCTGTGGATGTGAACGAGGCAGCTGATCACATCTTTGGACTAGTTTTGATGAATGATTGGAGTGGTATGTGTACTCGTCTACATAAATTATTTGGATTGTATGGAGTGTGTCTGATTGAGTTCGATGGATTTTAATGTTGGTTTTGGCAGCAAGAGATATCCAGGCATGGGAGTATGTTCCTCTCGGCCCTTTTCTTGGAAAAAGTTTTGGTAATGAAATCTTTTCTCATTTGGAGAATTCTACCTCGAAGCAATTTCTGAATCACTAAATCCATTGATACTTTGTTTAAAACATTACTAGCTGACAAAATCGTAATCTTAATGTTCATTTTGGATCCATTCTAGGCACGACTATATCCCCTTGGATTGTCACCTTAGATGCTTTGGAGCCATTTGCCTCTGATGCACCAGAGCAGGTAACTATGCCCAAGTGATTTTTTAATGTAGCCTACAGTTTTCCTCTTCTTCCATTAATGTAATTGCTTGTAATAATGTCGAACACAGATCCCTCCTCCACTGCCTTATCTGGCAGAAAAGGAACACAAAAACTATGACATCTCCTTAGAGGTTGGTCCCTCTAACTACTATCTCATTATCTTTTCTTATTTCTTGCCCCCTCGAATTGATACACTAATTCGGTAAGTTCTTAATGGCCTGTGCTGTTTTCATACTCCTTTTCTTTTTAACAAGTTATATACTTCAACCACCTGGCCAATTGTTTTTTACTGAAGAGAAATGACTTTCTTCGACCAGGTTTCCATTGTTCCTGCAGGTAAAAAAGATGCATCCATTGTATCAAGAAGCAACTACAAAAACCTGTATGAGTCTACCTAGTAGCCACTATTGTGTTAGGTGATATCCTCAACTCGATCGATATGACATCGCTATTTGTGATACAGATACTGGACGATAACCCAGCAACTCGCGCACCACACCATCAACGGATGCAACCTGAGGCCTGGTGACCTCCTCGGAACTGGAACTATCAGTGGCCCTGTAAGATTTTACTGCCTGCTTTGAATGCAGTTTGTGACGTTTTCCCTTTTCGCCCATTTAATAATAGCCAACATCATTGTATTCACAGGAACCCGAGTCGTATGGATGCTTGCTCGAGCTAACCTGGAACGGACAGAACCCGCTGTCTTTAGGTGGAACACCTCGTGCATTTCTGGAGGATGGAGATGAAGTCATCTTCACGGGGTGTTGCAAGGTTCTTATCTCATTATGCCTCTTAATATTTCTGTGTTTGCGCATTTCATCGAATAACTCGTCGACCTTGCATTGCAGGGGAATGGTTACACCGTCGGCTTCGGCCAGTGCTCCGGGAAGATCCTTCCGACGCCTCATTGAAAACCTGATCTGCTTATATTGAAGAGCACTGATATCCTCGTTGTTCTCTGGCTTGAAAGAAATCCTTCATCCTTGTATGCTGTAATAGCATAGGATTGTCTCTGTAACAATCCAACACCTGAATAAGGAAACTCTGCTGATTCTGTTAGGGAATTTTCAGTGGAAACTTACTGCCCTGCTTGAAATAATATTCTGCGGTTGACGTAGCTGAATTGCTCTCGGGCAGTGGGGCCCGCAAATCAACGGGCAGTGACACGTGTATAATATTTATATATATATAAATATATGTATCGTGTATTATATTGTAACGTCTGCATTTCGCATTCTAGCTTACCCTTTATTGCCATACCTTTTCACTCTCTAAACTGGTGAAGATGAAGTCCCACCACCGCAGGCCCCGGTACGCCGCTTCCGCTGCCTCCGCCGCTACTGCTGTAGTATACGCCGTTCAGAGCGACCAACCCGTGGATGAACACGGCTCCAAATTTACTGAAATTCCAATTAATTCCACCACTGACTGGCAACCACCGCCGGAGCCCGTACCGGTAACTGTTCGCATTTCTGCTAATTCGCATCCCCGAGAATCCTCTGCCGCTGTTAAGATACAGTCAGCCTACAGATCTCACGTGGTTCGCATCCTTGTCGGGAAGATCTCTGCTGTCAATCGCGAAGCGAATTACTGGCAGAGGCTCATCCAACGCCAGGCATCATTTCTAATTTCTTCCCTATTGACAATTCTCTCCGTTTTTCGATCACTATTCGTTGCTGTTCTAGATAATTAAGATGAATTCATTGTTTAGAAAAGTAGCCTTTATTTTTTTATGATTGTTTTATATTGGTGGTTTAATCGGCGGCTGCCACAGTTCTTTAACTTCCTCCTCGCTGATCTGATCAGATTTGGGTGTAAATAATCTCGAGAAAATCAAAGTCTAATTTAGGGTTAAATATTCATAGTTGCAATCCTGCAAACCTCGCTAGTGTATGTGCTTCAGTTTCAGGGGATTTCTTCGTGCTACTTTTTGTGCGAGGCTTCTGAAATCTGATTATCCTTCAATTCAACGCTACCTTTTGTATTCTACACACTAGGGCAGAACCATAAGGCTTGAATTTCTACAACTTTCTGCTTTTTTAATTCACTGTTAACGTTTGTATGTAAGTTAATTTTGTCTCGAGCAGCAATTATTGAGTTCATATTACGTGCACAGGTGATGGTGATCTATTTCTACCAGATTTTCTCTTTATATGAACGAATGTATCTTAATTGTGTGCGGCAGGAGACGGTTGATGCTGTACGTACCAGCCAGAGGGAACGAATTAAGATCAATGAGGCATTGATGGGATTGTTATTCAGGCTTGACTCTGTTCCTGGGATTGATCCCAATGTCAGGGAAATAAGAAGGCATGTTAGCCGCAAGATTGTTGGGCTGCAGGAAATACTGGATGCAGTTTCGGATGCTAGACTTGATCATTGGGAAGGGTTTCTGAGGGATTGGGATGATGTTGTTGAAGGGATCGAGAGAGACGTTTGCAACGAAAGAGGTGGGGGATATGAAATGGAGAAGTTTTGTGCAGAACATTTGGGTTTTCAGTGTCTGCAAAGGTTCCTTCGCGACCAGTGATCTTAGGTACTTACACGTATGATATGTCTTCCTGGTTTTGTACGTTCATGAATAAACTATATATATGCTGTAAGTAATCCTTTTCCTGCCTGTACAATATTGTGCACTAAGTTGTTGCTTCCTTATCATTGAACTTGTATTTAACTGCTGAATGGTTATTGTTGGTGTAAGAAAAGATCTATAGTTTCACATTCTTTTGAAGTTCGGGAGGATATTTACTACTGTATTGAGGACTGTATATTTGAATGAAATATAGATACTTTTATCATAGAAAATCATTCCAAGATCATTAACTTATGTGATAATTTTTTTGAGATGATTTATAGGTTCCTCTTTGCACAATGAAACTTGAGACTAGCATCACAGTTTTTATGAGATCTACTACTGCTGCAATAGTTTAGATCTATTATTCCACATTATTCTTAATGCTATCTTGTCTCGTCTAACAGATGCAACTAACACTAGTAGTACTATAGTAGATTGTTCTGGTTTCATACTTGTTTTAGGATGCTGGGCTGCACTAACAAGTCATAGCTCATTTTGCTCCAAGTCAACACCAGATTCTTAAGAATTTCACACACATCTGCATACTCTTGAAGCACCCTGTCATCTAGCTTGTACTCCAGCAATTCTGACAAAACCAGCCACATAAATGTGCATATCTGAAACCCAAAAATCAATGGCCCTGCATATACTTGTGGCACTTCCCACCTTCCCTTGACTCTCCTCTTTAACATGTTCTCAATTACAACACAAACCACCTGAACCAGGAAGAACAGTGGGGTGCCCCATCTGAACCTCACTCGGCCCACATAGGAGAACACGATCTCATGCATCAACTCAGACACCAGAAAGGTAGCCAGCAACGCAAGTAAGGCAGCCCATTTTCTGCCCAGGACGGGTAATGTGTGATGCAGGATGGGATCAAATATGGTGGATTGTAGAATACTTGAGCCTACACGGTTCCATCTGTAGCTCCAGAAGTCCTGCAGTGAGGTGGACAGGTAAGGTTTGTTGAAAGGTAGCTCAACCTTGGCCTCATTACCTAGTAGGATTTGCCCGACGATGGCGACTGCAGTGAGTATTACTTCCATGCTCAAGTAAAGGTAGATGCATATAATGATTAAGAACACATCTCGAGGAAAGATGTGCTTGTGAAAACCCAAGGCCACGAGCATAATCATGATCAAGCTCCTTCTCACAAAGTATGGAAAGCATGTTAGAACAACCTCATTTATATTATGAATTCCAAAATGATTGATCTCTAGACCCTTTATGTTGTTGACAGAAGTTTTTGTTGTTGCAGAGGGTTGCCGCAAGCCGAGAGGTAAACAAGAAATCAGCACAAAATGGAACAAAGAAAGAGATGGGTTTGACAGTGGGCCTGTGTGGAAAACCAGAAGGAGAAGCTTGAATGTGGCCAGCCATGTCATGGAGAAGCCAGTGATGACAACCAGATTGATGGATTTAATGGTGAGAGGAAGGAGAAAGAAAAGATACAGTACAGGTAAGAACATCAATAATCTGATTGCAGCTTGAGAAACCAATTTAGATACTGCATAGCAATAACATGTTGATGCAATAAATGATGACCATACCATGATGAACTTGTTGATTTCTTCCTCCATAACAACCATCTCTCTAGATTTGCTAGCTCTTTATTTGTTAGGTGTGGATTTATTCTGTGCTATTGGTATATTTATATTTGTTGTTCAGATCATGCAATCTTTGAGAGGGCTGAATCTCAGATGATTGATTGGCTTAATTTCTGATCAATTGTTGCTACATATTTGTTACTGAACAAAGCATGCTTATTGCACCTCAATCTAATCTTTTATTGTACATCTGAGTTGTCTAAGATATTTGACCCTTGATTGATAATGTATAATGGGAATTCTTTGCATTGATATTTAATTTCAGAGATTAGACAGGTTGTACACACACACATATATATATATATTATACATTCTTTAATCCTGGAATTTTTTATGTGAATTCCTCTGAGTTGACTTTGAATCCCAACGCAGAAACGACGTCGTTCACAAACTCTCCGACCGCGGCAATCTCGGCCTGCCCTCGCTCGTCAGCTTTACACCGCAGGAACGGTGGAAAGAACAGCCAGAAGGCAGTGATTGCCACGAATCCAACGGTCAGGATCGCTCCGGCAACCCGTGGCAACCGGAGCCTGCCGTTCACCGCCCTCTTGATAATGATCTCAAGCGCCAGACAAGAGCCATGCAGCAGGAAGAAACCGGTGACCTCCCACGTGGGCTGCACGTGACCAAAGTAGTAGAATATGAGCTCGTGCATCAGCCCTGATACTGCAAAAGTCGCCATCACAGCCGGCAGCGACGCCCATTTTCGTCCCATGACCACCGCTGACCAGCGGAGCACCGGAAAGTAAACCGTGGGGCGCAGTATTCCCGTTACCATGAGATTCCACCGCCGGCCCCAGAAATCCTGCAATGAAGCCGACAGGTACGGCTCGTCGAAGTGCGGCTCCAGCTCCACACCGAGCAGGAGGCGAGCCGCTGCCGCCGCAACGGCTAGTTGAATCTCCAACAACAGGTATATATGCAGACCATACATAAATAGAACAATCTTAGAATGCATATGATCAACATAACCATAACCAATTATCACAAAGGCCAATAAAATGAGCTTTATAGCATAATTCAAGATCGACTTAGAACCCTTTTTATGAGGAATCGTTTCTTGACTTTCTTGTGTTCTAAGCTTGATTGGAAGGCAGGCAACGGCTATAAATTCCGGTAGGGAGATTGAGTCGGCGGCCAACGGGCCAATGCCGTAGGTGAACATGAGGAGTTTGAACACGGCGAGCCAGGCGAGGAAGAAGGCGGTGAAGCCGCAGAGGTGCATCGAGCGGAGCTGCAGCGGGAGGACGAGCAAAAGTCCGATCACCGGGAGGAAGGCGGCAAGTCGAGGCGGGCCTTTCCGGAGCATCGCGGCGGCGTAATAACAGTAAGTTATAGATAATATAGCAGATAGCCACACCTTGATGAAATTATTGATTTCACCTTCCATCCAGTGTGTGATCACAGCTACAATCTTTACCTCCATTTTTATGATCACAATTCAAAAGCTGTGGTCTTTCAGGCAATGCAGGTTTATGTTTCTGAAAGATGATCTGAATTGGAGAAATGTTCAACGAACAGCGCTGGGGATGACGATTCGGATGATGAAATGTGCAGATTATTTTAGGGAGTGTTGAATATTGAATAGGATGGTGAAGCAGTCATGGATTTAAAAATTATGGGAAGATGCAATTGAATGTGCATTATTTGGATTTAGAAATGGAATTATATGTGTACTTCATTTGAAGAATGAGTGAATTACAATAGTGGGTCAACGAAATATGAAATTACTTAACTGAAAATCTGGCATATTTTTCTTGTGAATTGTTTTAACAGGAGAGTGCATAACATTGCTCTGTCCCACAAAATCTGGCGTATTCTTGTGTGCTTTTTAACGTTTTAATTTTATTATCAAAAGTATTTTTTTTTTTTAAATAACATATTAGATATATATATATATATATTTTACAAAATACATCATCAAAATATCCAAATTTTTACTTCTCTACAAACACGAAATTATGTTTTTTTTTTCCCCTGATCTTTTCTAGCATGGCTTGTACGAAGCACTATTGACCATCCAGCATGTACACGGATTGATTGTGCTAAGAAACACTTCTGTCAATGTTCACTTTCTTTTTAATGTTGTTATAAAAAAAATGTTTTCATATTTTTAAATAAAAAATTATACTATTATTTTTGGTATTCTTTTATTACAAAATACATAAAGTAACAAAAAATTAATATTAAAATTTGTGTTAAAAAATTTGAACACATATTCAAACATGGAAAGTACTCCTGTATGGACGACGGTACGGATGGATGCAGGTTCAAAAGTATATCCGACATTGATGCCTGTTAATTTTACAATGGCCAAGGTTTGTCAAGCCACTGATTCTCCAGGGAGAGATGAAGAACACAACACTATCGTGAAGAAGAAGACAACACAGACAACACTCTCAAGCTAATGTTAATTTCTTTTGGGCCTTTATCTTGTGGGCTCTTCTTGTATATTCTCTTCAAATATGTTAGTATTAGAAGCCCATAATGTAGTTAATTTGTTTAGAGAGGCTTAGATTCCTCTCTCTGTTCAGCGTGTAAGTACCTCTCCGTATCGTCTTCTTCATTGTGAAAGATAGCCCATGATACACTTTTTAGTTTTTACTCTCTTCAAGGTTTACACCAACTAGCCTGTTTACATTTCGTCTAATTACAGTATGAATTGCTATTGGTAGAATTTACCAGAATACAATCTTCACATTGGCTAACAGAAAGAATATTGTCATGACAGATTGACACTGGTTTTATTGTTTTCTTTTTTTGTTTTTGTTTTTTCATGAAGAAACTATTGATTGCAGGCATGTGTGTTACGAGGCTATATCAATCTGTTGGATCGCTTTTTCGTCTAACATTGTTGTGTTTTTTCTTTGTTTCAGGTTTGCGGGTTCATAACTGAATACTTCAGTCTGTGGTAACTGTATTCTGATTTGTGGTTTGTTTCTTTATGGCTAATAGAACCTCTACTGCTTCAGTGTCTAATACTGTTGGTGTGTTATCTTCCGTTCCTTCTCAGAAATATTACGCTGATCCTTTATACCTGCACCACTCGGATTCTTCTAATATTGTTTTGGTGTCATGTGTTTTGACTGGCTCTGAGAACTATGAAATCTGGTCTAGAGCTATGAGTTTCGCCTTATCTGGTAAAAACAAATTGGATTTTGTTGAAGGCCTTGTGCCATTACCTAATGATCCTGATTTAGCTGGTGAGTGGCATAGATGCGATGCTGTTGTTATGTGCTGGATTCTGAACTGTGTGGATAAGAATATTTTTTCTCACCTTGTATTTTGTACTAAAGCTTCTGATGCCTGGTCCAATCTTAGGCTCATGTTCCGTAAACCATATGGGATTAGACTCTATAGCATTCTTCATGAATTGTCGAATACCACTCAGGGTAATGACACTGTTGCTGAGTACTATATGAAATTGAAAAGTTTATGGGTGCAATATGCATCTGTTAGTCCGAGTAGTCGGTGTGTTTGTGCAGCCTCTCATGATCTCTTGCGTTATGAAAGTAATCTTCGTCTAATGCAATTTCTGATGGGGTTAAATGAGAAGTATTATACTTTAAGTTTTATTATCTTGAGATCTGATCCTTTACCTGATGTGATGGATGCTTTTGCCATGGTTTCCAGAGAAGAGTCTGCTAGAGTTATTGATGCTGGAAATACTTCTGATAAAACCCTATCCGCCGTTGTGTCGGAAAAGAAGTTTGTTAAGTCCCGTGTTAAGAATCCTAATCTTAAATGTTCTCATTGTGGTGGCTCTGGTCACTTAGTAGAGCGCTGTTATAAACTCATAGGATACCCTGAAAAACGTTGTTTTCCAAAGAATGAAAATGCTGGTGAATCTGCTAATATTGTAAGGGAAACTAGCAGCTCTAATGTGGTTGAACCTTCTAATAATACACCTGATTCTTCTGAGCTGATTGAGCAGCTTCTTAGAATGGCCAATGTATGCAAGGATGATCACAGCCACAAAGTTAATATGGCAGGTATGCATTTCAACGTATCCTGTAATTCTTTCCATAACTCTAGGTGGATTGGTGACTCTTGAGGATTGATCATCATATGGTTTCATGCTTAGATTGGGTGTTGCCAAATTAACTTCATTTTTTAACAACACTTGCATATTCAAGATTCACAGAGTGGAGCCACTCTGGGAACCAGTGATCTTAGAGATGGTCTCTATTGCTTTTCTTTTGGGTTCTGAACCTATCTGCTATTTACAAATTGATTCTTTGAATCATGCTGCTTTGCATCGTGATATTAAGGCTGCTGCTCTTCGAATTGCTGCTTAACCTGTGTTTCATGAGCATACTAAACATATTGAAATACTTTGCCATGTCCCTGATTTGTTAACTTATAAAGACACAACTCATTTCTTCTTCTTTGCGCCGTGCTAACCAAGCTTCTGGATAGTGTATCTCCACACTCTTTATCCACTGACCTTTGTCTTTGTGATCTTTTACAGGAATCTGATCTGCCCATCCGATCGAGGGGGACATTACGACGGCTATATCAATCTGTTGGGTCCCTTTCTTGTCTAACACTGTGTTTGTTACTTGAGCAGGGCTGTGACACTTTGGAGGTTGGGATCAGATTATACTATGCTGGCACCGCTGTCTTAACAGCGTTTCATGCCGCTGAATGTATTAAGAGTTGATAGTGGCAGTAGCAGAGTCGCGATATTATACCTGTATTCCTTTATGTTTCTACAATCTATGTTTCCTTGTGGTGTTTTGTCCAACTTTCTGTTGGATTGGTGTGTTGCAGTGAAGGTAGAACCAATTCCTTTGTAATCTGTTCTGTTTCAGATTGACAGCATGCGGAGTGCTTGAATCCACGCGAAGTCCCAGGACCTGCCTGTCGCCCGAAGTCCACGTGAAGTAACCACTAATAACAACCCTGTACCGTGTACCCCTCAATGAACTCTGGTCCAGGTCCTGGACCAGGACCAAAAAACGGCGCTCCTGTTACATGTTAGTTATGTTTCTTTAATATTTGTAATGCTAAATAAATTGTTAAGATAAATGAAGCACAAAATAATTATATTTGAGAGTCGCACTCCTGATTTTCACATAAAAATATAAAAATAATGTTTGTTCTATTTGTTGATAATTACAGTTGTATAAGAATATGTTATGTATTAAAATAAATTATTGTATATATTTTGTGAGACTATATTATGTACTGTTAATTTATTTATTGTATTTATATTATATTAATTATTATTCGTGGTAATACATTCAGCAAAGTGCCCCCTGTTTATAATTATAAAAGTCATTGGATAAATTATGTCACCATTGATTAACCTATATTCTATGTGATGTTTAGTCATTATTTTCCATTAACCAACCTACTACTCCATACACATCTGTAGTCCAGATATATTGTTCTAAAAGTCATCGGGATAACTCAACATTAATTAACCGGCACAATACAACAATAGCCAATAGGCATTCTTTTCTAAATGCAAAAAACAAAAACATACCTTTAATCACATCTCATTTTTATTACCAAAAATTGAAGGGAGAAGACAACATGTCTTCAATCACACCTTGGTGGGCACCAGGCGAATTCAACACCTTCATCAAGATATATCTTTACACCCTCCTGTCTCTATCTTATTCCTATTTTGCAGCCAAGTTGATCCCGAAAGGCGGGACCCGTCTCGCCGCATTCCTTCCTGTCGCGGGACTCTTCGCCGTCGTTCCGCTGCACTTCAACTCCTTATTCCTCTGCTCCATCACCATATTATTCATCACCTGGCTTTCCACTTTTAAAGTCCTCATGCTCGCCTTCGATAACGGCCCGTTATATTATCCGTCGCAGCATTCGCTATTCAAATTTCTAGCCGTTGGCTGTCTTCCCGTCGAGTTTAAATCTCGGGATGGCAATGAACGGTGCCGTACAAAAGGGACTAACTCGTTCGCGAAAAATGGCTTTAAGGTTGCTTTGTTAGCTATGTTACTCGCAGGTTGTGGTTATGGCGATCGTATGGATCCTAAGGTTGTTCTGACTATGTACTTTTTGGTAATATACTTCTCATTGGAGATTCTACTAGCCGTTGGCGCCGCCACGTGGCGCGGCTTGGTCGGCGTGGAGCTGGAGCCGGTGCTGAATGAGCCGTATCTGTCGGCTTCTTTGCAGGAGTTTTGGGGGCGCCGGTGGAACCTTATTATGGCTCGGATGTTTCACTCGGCGGTGTACGTTCCGACGCGGGACTTCTCGGCGGCGATCGTCGGGCGGAGGTGGGCGGCGCAGCCGGCGGCGGTGGTGACTTTTGGGGTGTCGGGGCTGATGCATGAATTGTCGTTCTTTTACTTTGGATGCGTGGAGCCGAGGTGGGAGGTGACTCGGTTTTTTCTATTGCACGGCGTTTGTGTGGCGGTTGAGATCGGTGTGAAGAAGGAATTAAAACTCCGGCGGCGGTTTCCGGCGGTCGCCGGCGTCGTCCTGACCCATGGGTTCTTGCTAGCCACGGCGTTTTGGCTGTTCTTCCCGCAGTTCTTGTGGTGCATATGCAAACATAGAGGGGTTGGCAGTGACTGCTTAGAGCGGAGTGTATTTGTAAGATTTTTTTAATTTTAAATTTTTTGTTTTTGAAACCAATTTTATACTATTGGGTCGAATCAAAGCCAAACACACCCTACAAATTCCAAACGTTATAAAGAACATGAAAGTGATGGGCCGTGTTGACATTAGCCCAACCCAACCAAATAAGTGGGCTTATCTGTTGGGCCAGCATAGTTTGGACGCACACAATTGGGCTAAACTAGTCAATACTTAGGGCCCATCTTTGGTCTAGCAATATGTGATTAACGTACTTCAAATTAATCGATCACAAAACTTAATCACATGTCCATAATTACATTTCACCCCTTTCAACGTTTGTCCAATTACTGCAACATTTTTCTTCATTTTTTTTTTTTTTTTTAATTGAGAACCACAATCACTATTCAACAAGTGTGATGGAGGTAAATTTTTAATGGAATTTAATAATTTACAAATTATACTAATCATATGTTAAACAAAATTGAAACGTAGCCGATTTTTTTTAGGAGATGTAATTCATTAACAAAACTTGAAGTCTTTTCCCGGCACTGAATGTTCTATGCTCCTTGCACCACAAGAACTGTGGGTGCATAAACCGCAACGACGTGGCTAACATAAACCCATGTGTCAACACGACGCCGGCAACTCTCGTCAGCCGCCACCCCCGCACAAACTTCACTTCCTTTTTAACAGCTGTCACAATTTATATAAAATCAAACTTATATAAATCCATAGTAAAATAATAAAAAAAAATCAATTTAAACTAAATATCTAACTTTTGGACCTTGATAGCCATAGTCGAGATTTTTAATATCTAACTTCTTGCATAACTTTAGACCCTGAGTTGATGCAAGAAGTTAGATATTAGGGTCCTAACTTCTTGCAACTTTAGGACCTGATGCAAGAAGTTAGGACCCTAAAGTTGATGCAAGAAGTTAGATATTAAAAGATTTCGACTGTGGCTATTAAAATGAAGTCTGTTAATGCATTTATTAAAAATCTTGACTGTGGCTATAAGGGTCCAAAAGTTGATGCAAGAAGTTTGAACTGAATATCTAAAATATTATTACCTATCTCAATCGCCACAGATGCACCATGCAATAGAAAGAACCAAGTGACCTCCCTCGTCGGCATCGCGCACCCAAAGTGAAAGAACGTGAGCTCGTGCATCAACCCCGACACTGCAAACGTCACCATCACCGCCGGCTGCGCCGCCCATCTCCGCCCAATTACCGCCGCCGACAAGTCCCGCATTGGAACATAAACCGCCGAATGAAATATCCGGCTCACCGTGAGGTTCCACCGCCGCCCCCAAAAGTCCTGCATCGAAGTCGACAAATAAGGCTCGTCGAACTGCGGCTCCATCTCCATCCCCGCCATGCTTCGAGTGGCGGCTGCGGCAACGGCAGCCAGTATAATCTCCAAGGACAGGTAAATACAGAGACCGTACATATTTAGAACAACCTCAGGATACATACGACGATGATCGGCATAATAACGACAGGTCACGACCACCATTGCCAACACGACAACCTTAACGGCATAGTTGGATAATGACTTAGGCCTCTTTTCGCAGTGGCGCGTGTCGCCTTCTTGAGATTTAAGCTTGATCGGAAGGCAAGCAACGGCTAGAAATTTTGGTAGGGAAAGCGAGGGATCGGACAAAGGGCCATTGTCGAAGGCTAACATGAAGAGTCTGAAAGTGGCGAGCCAGGAAAGAAGGAAGCTGAGGTTGAGCAGCAAGAAGATGGATTGGAGCTGTAATGGCGCGAGGAGGAAGAATCCGGCGACCGGAAGGAATGCAGACAGGCGGGCGCCGCCTCTGGGGAGAATTTTGGCGGCAAAATAGCAGTAAGATAGAGACATAAGGGCTAATATCCAGACCTTGATGAAGGTGGTGAATTCGCCATGAATATGATCTCTCATTACAGCCAACATATCCTCTTTGGCAAGATTAATTGATAGATGCTTCTATTTGTCTCTTTAATTTGGCGATGCTTTTATTTCACAGATTAGGACATGGCAGAATCAAACCAGACAGCTAATTTTGTGAAGGTTTATTTAATAAATATTGAGGGAGTTGACATTTGGAATTTGACATGGAGGAAACGTGCATATCGATACCATATCTTGAGCACCATGATGCTCCACATAGTGCGTGTGTATATATATATATATATATTATGTGTGTGTTGTGGGGATAGAAGAATAGAATTTATTTTTGAAACAGATGAACTCTTACATGGACATACCTCAGTATATATTGAGACAAAGAGGACACCCACTCGAAGCGAAGCTCTATTTATTTATTTATATATATAATTTTAATTTTTAACTATATAGTTACTACAACTTTTATAAAAATAAATATTATTAAAAGGTATAGGCCTAATGTGCGGATCACATTGGAGTAGAATATTGTTTAGTATTGAAGTTTTTGCCACAAGTGTTATAGCTGTCGTTTGAAGTAAAATATTGTTGAATAAACAGCACAATATCCTTTGCAATGTAAAAATATTGTTATTGCATCTTAAAGATGAATGACCAAACCTTAAAAAAAACAAATTTGACTATGTTGAAAAGGACACATTAATTCTTGTTTATGATAACGTGCTAATTGAATCACAACCACTCATTCAATTATATAATTAGACGGTCAAGATTTATTGTGACAGTTAAATATAATTGTAAATAGTTTAATAGTTATCACAATCATTAATTTATGAATTTTTCATTGTGTAGTTTTAGTATTATGTAATAGAGATGGATTAGGGCTAATCAATCTCAATGATAGGCAGAGATGTCCGAGCAATAGTGAATTGAAAATTACAATACTGTTGAAAATTGTAAAAGAAAAATGAAAAATGTAAAACAAAAGAAATAGTAAAATTATAAATTTAGACAAATTCGGGACAGGACTATTCAGAAAGAACTTTTTATCAATTGGCCACAACTTTGAAAGAGAAACCTGCTATTTATCGACTATTTATATAAAAATTGCTCAGGTTCCCCATATATTCAAAATTGTTTTTATATTATCCAAAATATCAGATTTAAAAATTTATCTTTACTTAAAACATTACGTATATACATATATAAATTTCAATTTATACAAAAACACCACACTGATACTTACATTACATCAAACACACCTTCTTTATTCAACTTTTTACTATTATCATATAAAAACAAATAGCCAATAAGATAAACAAGCTGTCCACCTATTTTTGCATACATTCTGATTCGGAGTTGGAGTTGCAGGTAAATTACCCATAATTACATGTATAATGCAACAAACCTTTTTTTTTAAAAAAAAAATAACGTGTGAACTGCAGTAGTAGCCTTAATCTTGTAACCGAAATTAATAGCATACAAATTAAACCCGATAAGACAAATCATACTAGGTGACCTGGAAGCATCGGATTTGAATAGATGGGTTACGATCACAACTCCATTTTTTACCATTAGACCCTCCTTTACGGAATGTGTTTGAACTCTGCATTAGCCACGGCGTGAAGTTTGCCCGGAGCTGCTTACACCACAAGATCTGCGGTAGGATTAGCCACAACGCCGTGGCGATAATAAACCCATCGGTCAAGACAATGCTGGCAACCCTCGGAAACCTCCGTTCGAGCTTCACTCTCTTCTTAACACCTATCTCGATCGCCAAACACGCACCGTGCAGTAGGAAGAACCAAGTGATCGCCCTCGTCGGCATCGGGCATCCCAACTGAAAAAACGAGAGCTCGTGCATCAACCCCGACACCCAAAAGGTCGCCATCACTGCCGGTAGCGCTGCCCATCTCGGCCCGATTATCGCAGCCGAGAATTTCCTCACGGGAACGTACACTGCCGAGTAAAACATTCGACTCGCCACGAGGTTCCACCGCTTCCCCCAGAAGTCCTGCAATGACGTCGACAGATAAGGCTCGTCGAACTGGGGCTCCATCTCCACGCCGAGAAGGCTGCGAGTCATGGCTGCAACAACAGCAAGTAGAATCTCCAAGGGCAGGTATATACACATACCGTAAATAATTAGAGCAATCTTGGGATGGATATGATCAGCATAAGTACAAGCAACAAACACCATAGCCAACAACAGAACAACCTTAATGGCATAGTTCAAGAATAACTTAGGCCTCTTTTCGCCGTGCCGCGAATCGCCATTTTGAAATTTAATCTTGATGGGAAGGCAACCAATAGAGAGAAACTTTGGTAGCGAAAGTGAGGGGTCGGATAAAGGGCCATTGTCGAAGGCAAACATGCAGACTTTGACAGTGGCGACCCAGGAAAGAAGGAGACTGACGATGATTTGGAGGTAAATAAAACGGACCTGAAATGGCGTGAGGAGGAAGAACCCGGCCACTGGAAGGAATGCAACCAGACGTGCAGCGCCTTTCGGGAGAATCTTTGCTGCAAAATAGCAGTAAGATAGACAGAAAAGGGCTAATAGCCACACCTTGATGAAGCTAGTGAATTCGGCTTGCACCCATCCTGTGATCATAGCCAACATATCCGGCTCCAATTTTCGCAATATTGATGCTTCCATTGTCTCTTTGGTGATGCTTCCAATTTTCGGACTCGATGCGCAGCTTAGCACACGGCAGAATCAAATCAGACAGCTAATTTCAGTTGACATTTGGAATTGAGTGTATAGTTGAATAAACAGCACACTATGTCTTGCAATATAAGAATATTGTTCTTGCATCTTGAAGATAAATGACCAAAATTTAAGAAATAACGAACTTAGACTTTATTGAAAAGCAACACATTACAAAATATCCTTTGTCTAAATCCGTGATGTCAACAATAATCCATGATGAGAACTTATAGTCACAAGTAAAATCCAGTTTGAATAAACTACTTCAAACAAACTCATGTATGTCTTTTTTTAAATACAATACTACACGAAAGCAGATAGTGAGATAATAAAGCATGCCATTCTGGAGAACCAAGACAAGCTGATACGTATAAAGCATCAAATATCAAATATCACTCTGCAATCTTTACTGGCCCAAAAATCATAATTCAGAACACAAAATCAGTGTTGTTATAACAACAATTCAAAGTAAATTCCTCTAAGGTCTTCTTGGCACGCATGAGCGTTAGCTCATCCACTGAATGCTTTTGGTCATTAAGTGAAATTTACAACATCTTGAACAGTCTATGATGATAATATTGATACCTCCCATCGGGCATGTCTGGTCAAAGTACGAAACCTCAGCTTTCGGTAAAGTATACAACGGCAATCAATGCTGCTGCTCATATACCTGCATGTATGCCTCGGAAAGGGCAACCATCTGTGGTAAAGTTTCTGATACATGAAGGTCTTGCATTTCATACCTACAAGTTCAGCATATAGGTTAAACACCACAAAATGCTTGGAATAGATTATTGAAGCAAAATGACGCTAAATATTACCATAGCTCTTCTGACTTCCGCTGCACAAAGACTCTATAGGATCCTTCACCCGGCTTACCATCATGAACTATATTAGCAATTAAATCATACTTAGATCGCAACTTTTCATTCTCATTGGGCACAGGGAGTGGGATGTAATCCTTCAGCTCAAGATTCTTCACAGGGAAATTAACTAAGAAAATCCGAAACCAAAAGCATATCAAAGGCAATGATAAGAAAAATTAGAGTACCCAACAGCTAACTAAAGGTCCAAGGCAAAAGACACAACACAAGGACACACATAAAATAAAATAACATAACAATCCAAGTTGGAAGATTAATCTCAGGTCAAGATGCAGGCACTGTGGAACTAAACATTAAAACATTCCGGCAACCAATCTCAGATCCGAAGTGACAACATTACTTCATGCTCAATATAATTACTCACCTAGGGTAGGATTTTTCTCCACAAAAAAGTTGTTCTTTGTAAATCGGCGCATATGGAGAATAAGATACTGGGGCAATTTTGTGACACGGTATCTCATCCTTGCTATACAAGGACGCACAACTTCAGTCACCATCTCTCCGTCAAACTTCTTCAGTATGTTGAAAAGTGGAACCTGATATATATCAACTTGATTAACTAACCAACCTTTTTCGAGCTTGTAAATTTACAATCCATATAGTAACTTGCAGCTAAGTAAATAAATACACCAACTAATGAGCATTTGTAAGTTGAGCATCATATATGTTTCTCTGAACTTTAATGCAAGTCCATTTACACAAACCAGAACTTTGGTTGTGCAGCATGACTCAAAAATAGAAATAATTTCCAACATATCCCCCATATGCAAACCAGAGAATCACATTGGGGCAGACATTTTATCTTTTTAGCATGCCAACAGAAGAAAACTTGGCTATTGATCAAGATGAAACAGCAATAACTTTGTTTCTCTGAGCTTGTTCTTTAAGATACAAGCAAATCCACTTATGCAAGTTAGAACACTGTTGAGCAGCATGTGACTCTAAAACACAAACAATACCCAAAAGATCTCCTATATTCAACAAGTAATCAAACCATGTAGTGCAGAAATCCCATCCATGAATGATATTGTACTATGCAGACAAATTAATTTTAATGAACAAGATAATAAGAATGAAAGATAGCATTTTATAACTTTCATAATGATCTCTATTATTGACGTTTCATAAGGGTAATAGTAAGAAGATTAAAATGCAGAGGGAAAACTAAAATAGTCCTGAATGAACTTAGACATTCATTTCAAACATGAACACACACCAAAATCTTATACAAAGAATAACTAACAAATCAAACATTATGTGGGAAGCAACAATGTGAATTTATTTCAAGTGTACATATATAATATATAAACCTGTGGAATGATATTTTTCTCCATGATATCCTTAAATAAAGGAGGAGGAGGCAAGTCCAGCCCAAGCATTAAGAAAGGCATTTTACTGGTTTCCATGAGTACATTGTCCACTAGAGTAACATTATTATCATCACCATTATCCTGGTTTTGGTTGTCTCCATTTTGCTTTCTCTTGGCAATTGACTTGCCATGGATCTCTTTCACCACTTCCAATTCACCCTGTGGAAAGCACATCATGTAAACATTTAGCAAAAGAAAGGCAGTAACATATATATATATATATATATATTGCACTCAAAAGCGGGAGGCTTAGAGAGAGCAGAGCCTGGTGGTTAACAGAGAAAACCTGAAAGCATTGGTGAATGATGCTGCAGCCCTTTTTTGAAGTTTTAAGATCTCCATGCAGTGTATTAAGAAGCCATGACATAAATTCAACTGGATCTGATTGTGCACCTATTCGAAAACGTTTTTTGCTAGCTTTCATAACTGCCTGCAGGAATTCATGTGGACTCACCTGCCAAATCCTGACTATCAACATGTGAATAGCCATATTAAAAGAATGAGAATTGTAATTTACAAACAGAAAAAGGATTCAACCTGTCCTTTGAAGTTCCTAGCATGCCAAATTTTACGTGTGAGCTCTCCAAACCTAAGAACAAGTTGGGATTTGCTGTGGATGTAGTTCTCAGGGATAAGAAAGAAGTTCCGCAAGGGAGTAACTCGCATCAAAGACTGAATGGTGACATTAACAAAGTCAGTCTCTTTGATGTTATTAAGTCCAACCTGCAAAAATTTCAAACAGAAGAAACAAAAGAAAACATTAAGACTTCGGCTGTTTTACTATGGACACAATCTCACAACCTGCTGCAGCACCTTAACACAAATAATTAAAAACTCAATTATTTCTTCAGTGTACAAACAACATCAAAAGCTACAAATGAATATGCTTGCATATTTATATTAAACACTCATAAGCATATCCTAAACTTACAATTAACATTCACTGCATAATAGATATCAATCATTAAATTATATAAAAATACTTTATTCTGTCCATATCTTTCGTCCGCAAAAGTATATATTTCACACGCTTAAAACTTCAGTGAATGTTTCCTCCCACATGCTTTTGATTAAATTAATCAAACAAAATAAGACTTGTGTGAATACCATTCCAGGAAGATAATCCGAGCCATCAAGTGCTCTGGACCATTGCCTATTTCGATCTACCTGATCAACTTGCTCTCGTGTAAACCTGTCAGTTTACAATAAGATCAAATGACAAAATTAAGAAACATAACATAATGAAGTAGAAGACACTAAAATAGAAAGATTGAACAAAGCTATGCACAAATCAACCAGTCCAAAAAAAAGAAAGGAAAAGAAAAAAGGTTTCCCTTGCCATGTAAATACAATTAAGCGTGCTAGCACAATGGGAAATTTAAATTTCTATATCAAACATGCCTTGGATTGAGCACATGCCGAATGTCCTCTAGTGATGGGTCAATAATCTCATATCCATCAGGAAGGCAGTAAACTTTCTCAGTTCGAAGATTAATGTAGACGTGATGTCCTGCTTCAAGACTATGTGTATATGCATGAGATTTAGGTCCTCTTCCTTGATAATACTTCCCACAAACCAAACAGGCATACACATTTAAGTTTGAAAGAGATACTGAGCAAAACTTCTCAAAGTCAAAATCCAAAACCTGCGAAGGTACAAAATATCAACTGAGACATAGAACTTGGACAGTAATACTCTGTCATCAAAATTATCACTGTCAACTGTGAACATTATAAAACATATTATCGAAAGGAGGGAAGGGGGTTGGGTTGGAGAACTTGAATTTTCAGATACAATATAGCAGTTACGGTACTGAATAACTAATCTGCAGAGGATCACAGGCTACTTTGTCAGTGATAGATATTTCACAGGCTGCTTAATTTTCCTTCTATAATCTCCATATGTTCAATTCTAAGAAAGGAAAGAGATAGAAACACCATTTCAAATACTTATATCAAGTTAACACATTAGACATGAAAATATGTCTTGAAATGTTGGACACAAAAGCTGAGAATCTCTATCTGGAAGAACATAGCGCTAAGAAACCTACTGAAAGAAGGTGATTTTAAGGTAATTGTAGTCGTATATTACCAGCCCTTAGAAATGAACATCTAGCATTCTTTGCATTACACAAAAAAATTTAAAGCCTTATTAATTAACTGGTGGAAATTGAACAAGTGAACGCAATAGCAGAAAACGAATGAAAAAAAACCAGACTACTGAAAAGAGAAGGATTTTAAAATTCATTCCCAGGTAGATACAGCAAGAAAGCATACACTGAAAAAATCTAAGAGCAGAAATGGATAGTAAAGTATAAGGTTGAGGAGTAGAATACCTGTCTGTTGACAGTATCAAGATACGGACAGTCCCTTCTTACTTCATTAGTGCGACTACGCCTCCCTTGCCCTTCTCTATTCTCTTCCTCGGATTCATCGTCGTCCTCGTAGTAATCACGGCCGTTTTGCCCCGTGCTTCCGCCGCTGTTAACAAGTCCATTTCCACCTCTGTTTCTCCTACTTTCCTCTTCTTCTCCATCATCGTCATCGTAGGCCAGTGGAAGCGGATTTTCAAACGCGCGTTTAGGAGAGGACTCTTCCTCCAGTCTTCGCCTCTTCGCAGTCCCCTCTTCGTCCATCGCATTTTCTGATTCCTCGCGCTTTGTTTTCATGGCTTCCGATCCGACGACACTGCGATTTCCCCAAATCGCGACTTTTTTTTTTCAGACAAATCTAATTTGCATCTGTGCTGACTTCATTTATTATTTTTAACTGGGCTCAAGCTTTTATTATTGATCCTAAAAGGCAGAGTTCAGCCCGGCCCATTTCAAATTTGGGCTTTTCAGAGGGCTGTCCGCATTATATACTAAGCAATTATTTTAAATTAAATAAAAATTCAAAAATAACACTAATATTGTTATTTTTTAGTACATACCACACATATGAATAAATAAATAAATATTTAATTAATAGTACTAAATTCTAAAAGAAGAAAAAAGGAAAAAATAGTTTTTAAGTTGTTGAACGAACCTCCTGTCTCGCATCTAACTCCGAAAGCTTCATCAGGAATATAGTTCTAAGGGCACAATCGTCATTTCAATAAAATCCGTCGTCCCGGCAGGATTTACCTCCAGTAGAAATTCCAATTATACCCTCTTCCCTACCGTACACTCTGGGTTATAATTGTCGTTCACTTCGGTAGAAGAAAGGACATTTTCGTGATTGAAGGTTTTGGTGGGTCTTTAGAGTAAGGGAAGAAAGACGGAGGGTACGGACGTTAGAGCGGTCTGTATGAAAGCAGCAGCGCAGGCGTAGCCATGGCGTCGGACGAGGAGATCGCGAAAGGCGTGGAGAGTGCACTCCGTGAGACGGACCCTGAAGCCGTTATTTCTCTGAGCAACGTGGTTCAGCAGGTGGAGGCCAAGCTAGGGCTGGAGCTCTCCGACAAGGTGGATTTCATTAGGGACCAAATTACCTTCCTCCTCCGCGCGCAGCCGGTGCCTAAATACCCATTACACACCCAGCCTCCCCCCCAGTGCTCAAATGCGCCGCTAAATCAGCCGTTTCAGCAGCCCAATTTCGCCTTCCAGCAACAGCAGCAGACGCAGGTGTACTTCTCCCAACCGGCGACGGCGAAGGATCAGAATGCTGCGTCTAATGCTTCTGAAACGTCGAAGGGAAGGTTTGTGCGCCTCGATATTATTATATTTATTTATTTTTGCTTTATATTTATTGTATGGCGTTGCTGGTTGAGGTTCACCGGCTTTCTTCTCTTAGTAAATTAATCATCTTTTGTGGTGCGTAACTTGATGTAGTCAAAAAGCTTAACCCTGGTACTGAGCAGGAGGTTTTACTTGCGTGGCATTGGTTTTCATGGTCGATTTTGGGGTGGCATAAATTAGGGTTTGGAATTAGAGGTTCATTTGGAAATAGCTAGATGCAACTCTACCGTACGTTTTCCTTTTCGCCATTTTACCGTTGTATGATTATGGACTTTTCTTGGTCTTACAACTTGAGGTGTTGTTTTAGAGTAGATAAGCTTATAATGTTTTAAAGAAACCTATATTAATATCCACCATTACTGTACCATTATGAGTTGGAACTAGTCAAATTATATATAATTTAAATATCACTTCTTAAATCTTATCTCAGAGCCCCAGCTGGAGCCAAGAGAAGAGGTGGCCCGGGAGGTTTGAACAAAGTATGCGGTGTTTCACCGAAACTGCAAGCCATCGTCGGAGAGCCGGCTTTACCGAGGACAGAGGTCTGACCTACCCATAGATCAAGTAGCTTAACTAGTAGTATGGGGATGATGAACTTTTGTATAATTGCCTTTGATGATAAAATTGCCTAGTTTTAAATGCAGATAGTGAAGCAGCTATGGGCATACATCAGAAAACACAAACTTCAGGACCCCGGGAATAAGAGAAAGATTATCTGTGATGATGCACTTCGTTTGGTCTTTGAAACTGACAGTACTGATATGTTCAAGATGAACAAGTTGCTGGCCAAACACATTTTGCCTCTTGATCCAAGTAGGCAACACAGCCATGAGACCAAGACACTATAGTATCTTTGGCTAATAGTATATCTCACATGATGTTTCAAATGCTTGTAAATTTATCAGGCAAAGCAAAGAAATTGAAGGATGAAAATGAATCTGCAAAGCAATCCCCTGATTCTGGACCTCTTCCTGTGATGTTGTCGGATGCCCTTGTAAAATTTTTTGGGACAGGAGAAAGGGAGATGCTTCAGTCTAAGGCTCTGGAACGTGTCTGGGATTACATAAAGGTTAACCAGCTGGAGGTTAGTCATCTGTAGTATACAACTTTGGTTTTATTTTGTGGGTGTGTAAACTTTAAAGTACTGGATTTATGTTCCATTGTGGATCTTCATTTTAAACCTAGCAATGCCATATTATCGTTTGGAAGTTGTTTTGATGATTTTGTGCACAAACTTTTGCTTCTCTATATGGGTTAATTTTAATTTTTTTATATATATCTCTCAAAAGTTGTATCGGTTTATTTCTTACCTTATATTGATTTTGTAGGATCCACTGAGTTCTATGTTTATTCATTGTGATGAAAAGCTTCACGAGCTTCTGGGATGTGATAGCATTTCTGCACTGGGAATTCAGGAGATGCTCATGCGCCATCATTTGCTAAAGCATGAGATGCCTTTGTTTGTGAAGAGTGAGTGTTGGATGTTCAAATACCAGTACCAGCATGTTACATTATTTATGGATAATCCTCCAAGCACATATTTTTGTTTTATAATCATATTTGGTAATGCATCACTATTATTTTTGCTTAAATTTTCCAAATTGTTGAATAATTGTTGAGTAAAATACATATGCATTTCTTAGCTAGAAAAAGAATCCATTTTTAGTCCTTGCTCACAAAAATATACAAATTTATCTTGATTTAATTACCCTCAACCAGAAAAAGTCCTTGATCCATTTTTGTTCTTTTGCAGGTAATCTGAAGCTGTAATTTGTGTAGATGTTATTGATGATTGACATATGCTGAATCAAGATGTAAGTTTAGTTTATATTCAGACGACTTCACTGCTATCAACTACAATCAGTATGAAATTTTACCTGTAGTTGTTAGCTAGTAGTAATGCTGTAATTATGCCACTGCCTTAGTTTAGGTTCGCTGACTCCTTCGCCTAATTTCACCTGACTGAGGTGCTTTTAATCGACATGAAGAACTGTATGCTGGTAGACTGTTGTAAACAGAAGCTTGTAATCGTTTTGCATATATGTTAATGGATTTCCTTCCTATGTGGCAGAAATGATGTTCTTACTGCAACAGGCTTTTAGAACTCGATTATTTCCGATCCCCCAATCACATGCCGTCTACCCTGCTTTCCTGAATTTAAAGACTAACAAAATTGCAGCCAAGATGAGAAGACTGAACAAAAGTATCCTTTCCGGCCTTTGTGCATCGTCATTCTTGAATAAAGCCCGAGCATCGATCTTCTCCATGGCTGCCATCAACAAGGTGATCATCTTCTGTCCAGAGATAACACAGTCGTGAGGTATGGTTTGGTTTGGTTTATTCTTTCACCATTAATGGAGAGGTGAAGCTCACCAATCTTAGGGGTTCCATTTGAAGAAGTGGCTCCATGAAAATCTCCACATTCCTACATCAAGAATTCGATTCATTAGTACTAATTTGATCGATATGCCCGTCATTTTTTTTTCAGGTAGGAGTTACTCTATCATTGCATGTCCCCTGTAAATGTGGTAAGTGTGCACACTGAAACCCTTCCCAAGAGACAAATGAACCTGCTTCCATTCTGTAAATAGAAAAAACAGAAGAAAGCCCATCATTCTTGCAACAAAAACAAGTACATATTAGACGACAAATTCAATCAAAAATTAAGGATCACAGACAACCTAGTTTCCAGGACACACCCACAGCAATCCCATCATCTAAAGTAGGTTGCACAACAAACACAATGTCGTCCCCCAGCTTCTTCATCAGACAAGAAAAGAAATCCAACACTTGCTGCAATGCAACACCATACAAACACAACGCACGAATTCAATCGACAGAGTATCCGGTCATTTATCGAATGGTGTAATAATGTACCTTCTTGCCGCGAAAAATTTGGAAAGCGGAGAAAATATTCGAGCTGCATGTGCACTCGTCTGCTATGATATCAGAAAGCTTGTTCACGTTCTTGTTCTTGATCGCTTCGTAGAGCTTAAGAACCACTTCCGTGGCTGTGCGCTGTTTTTCTTCTTCCGGGTCCGAGTTTTTAGCGCCACAAGACACAGCTACGCCCCCGATCTTTTTAAAAACTTGCGAACCCTTTTCAAAATGAACTGCGTTCCCAAATTTGGCGCTGTAGAGATTTGGCGCGGGCGCGAAATTGTGGACACTATTTGGGGTAGAGAACAATGTAAGGGAGTTTATGGACATGTTAATTTGGAGAGAAAGCAAAGGGAAGAAATTGCAGTGAAGTAGTAGTTGATCATCCTCAGAAAGTGTTTAAAATCCATGGGAGAAGACAAGAATGTTTGGAATTGCTTTAATGTAAGGAACAAAGCTTCCATCTCATCCTCTGTTGCAAGCATGGAATCTCCTCAGTATGTCTGAACCTGCATGTAAAATGGAACGTATCACCCTCTTTTATAAAAAAGAGAGAGGAATATATATATATATATATATATTTTATAATATAATTTATTATTAAAAATTATTTTATTCCACGATTATTTGAAAAATAGTTGGCTGGTTATGGTGTTAAACATAACGAGGGGCATGGATGTGTAAAAACTTATTTTATTCCCCATATATTTATAATTCACTATATATTATGTTATGATTTGACATATATTATTTTATACCACAGCTATGCTATATATATAAACTGTAAATATATGTTGGTATAAATTTATATTTTTTTTATATATTAGATCAACATAAATTTTTATTTTTATTTTTTATCTATTTATATTATGTATTCTGCATTAGTAGGTGTATTACTTAGCACTTTAATGGCCTACTAAAAAAAAAAAGAAATTAGAGACAATTGAAAAAAAAAAAAAACACAGCAAATATGGAGTTTTATTTAGGCCCAGAATATTAATAAGGCTTAGAGAATGTGGTTCTATATTTGGGCCTGAGTACCTAAAACTACAATTGGTTGATTGCCTTGAATAGTTGGTTCGAAAGTTGACTGATGTGATGGCGAACGTAAGAAGTTGAGAACTCCACGTGGCGGATTTTTAGTGGATGGAGGCTGGACCAGATTGGAAACAGTTGCAAGAAAATTCCATGTGGACACATCGTGATCGTGGGATGACTGGTCTTTGTAGGCAGTGGGGTCCGCTAATTGATTTAGATATTAATAATCAAATTAATGGACTTATTAATAATCCATTGAAATTTGTGGCCAATACCTTTGGAATTTGAGCCAGCAATTTCGCATATTATAGAGTTTGTTTGGCGGTTGTTCGTAAAATACTATTCCCTCTCCGTGCAGATACCATCTCCACGTTGTCGTTTGTATCCGTCCCACATATCATATTACACACTTTAATTTCATTTTAAATTTTTTAATTTTAATTAAACTAATTAGTTATCTTAATCGTAATTTATAATTATTTATATTATAGAATAATTATTTTTACTAATACATTTCTTAATTATCTACTAATTACACCCCTCCTAAAATACCGTGTCTATAGTGCAGCAGACACGATATCTGAGATGGAGAAAATATTTTATTGTATATTTAAAGAACGAAGTTAAGAATGGATTTGATCATTCAACTTAAAATTAAATAAGTGGAGTAGGTTTCACCCTTATATAAAGTGACAGTGGCAGAACTATAATACATTTTGAGGGGTTGAGGGGGCAAATTATTTTAAATTAAAAATATTTTTTATTTAAAAAATAATTTATTTTATTACATAACAACAAATTAAAAAAACATCAATAACTATATATTATGACTATATATATTATATATATTGTAAATATTTTTTTTTATATTTTTAAATAAAAAATAATACATATATAGTTGGAGAATTTTCGGGACAATATTCAACACTCCCTCTCGATATATGATTAGTGGATGCGTTTCTCTAACCGTTTAAGCTTTTAGGTAAGACAGTCGTTAGCATCCGATATCGTATCAGAGTCTGACGAGGTCTCGAATTGGAGTTCAAAATAATTTAAAATCAAGGTTATATTTATATCAATATTTTGGAATTTTTAATTACTATTTACTAATAGAATATTTTTTTAAAACAAAAAATTGTCGTATTAATAACTTTTTAAAACAAAATATCAAATTATTTTATTTTTATTTAAAAATAAAATAAAATTTCAAACAATCCCGCTTGCATGAAGTATATACAAATATAATGGTCAAATTGCTACTTGTCTACTGTCAAATTTTACAAAGTTTGCATTAATTTATTCATCATTGGCCAATAGCTGAGTGATCAAAAGTTTCCCATGCATGAAAACGATTTTTTATTTTATTACTGCTATTTTGTATGACAAATAGTAGTAAATGTGATCTTTTTAGGAGAAAAAAAAATTAAAAAATATCACATGCAATCTTTAATAAATATATATAGTTAATTTTTTTGATAAAATATCGTATCAAAATAAAAATTTAAACTAAAATTTAAAATTTTTAAAAAAAAAAAAAACTCTGAAACTCTCGAGCCAACACCAAACAAACTTTTGTTTATATTTTTTTAATGTAATATTTTTTAAAAATCTTGAGAAAGAAAATATTCAAAGGAAGGAACCCATGGTTCCCCACAATTATTTTCTTGAATTATTATTATTATTATTATTATTATTATTATTGTAAATGCATGTATATCCCCTTCCCCTTCCCCTTCCCCTATAAAATGCCCCACTCACTCACTAATCCATTCATCCCTCACAACTTGCATTGTAACTAAGTGTTCATATTTCTCTCTTCTTCAATTTTCAGGCTCAACCATATCTAATGGCCACATATGATGAGGTATCCTTTTTGTTCTTAAGATCTCCATATATCAATTGGGTTCTAATTTCTAATATAATTGCCTGCTAAAAATCGAATCTTCAATCTTGAAACATAGTGTGTTGATTTGATTATGGATATCTTGTGTTGAATTGTATATATTTTTCTGGCTAGCTTGAATCATCAGCTCCGGCGACAGAAGCCGAGGGGGATCTGTACAACGATCCGCAGCCTGAAAAGTTTGCAGCCGCTGAAGAGGCCGAGGAGAAGCCATATGGCGAGAACGACGACAACAAGTATACCAAAGAAGAATCAACCGAAGAAACTGCGGGGAAGTCTTATAATGAACCTGAACCTGGACCAGAGGAAGCCGAGGAAAAGCCATATGTCGAAACTGAGGCCGAGAAGTTTGCTGCAGAAGAAACAACTGAAGAAACCGAGGGGGAGACATATAATGAACCTGAGCTCAACAAGTACGCTGCGGAAGAAGTAGAGGGCGAGCATGCCAGGGAAGAAGAACCATCCAGCGGCATGACAGACGAACAAATGGAAGAAGCAGAGGAGGAAGAGGCAGCCGGCGAGAAATCCGGGGAAGAGGCTTTTGTGGAGGAGGCGGAATACGGCCGCGCCAAGGTGGCGGCGGCGGTGGCGGAGGAGGCTGAAGGGGATCTTGGGGAGGAAACATACAAGTACAAGCCTCCATCTGAAGAACCTGATCAGTATTGAAATTATTTATTTATTTCTTTCTATAATGAATGCTTTATGATTTGAGATTAATTGAGATATATATATATATATATATATATTATGTTGTGTTTTTGTGTGGTACTGGAATTTTTTAAGACATTGTACAATGTGAGTGAGTGATTGGATTGGCTGTGTGATATATATATATATGTATTAGGGTGGATTTGAACAATTCATTTCGATTGTTTTGGTTTGTGGATTTTGTCGATCATTTCATCAAATCAAATATTCTATTGAAATAAAGATAATGAAAATTGAGAGGAACCTATATATATTTCAAGATTGGTCAAATTAAATTTCCTCTAGTATGTGTCAATAAGAATTTTGATGGAGTCCAATGAGTATTTATAGACATTAATGTAAAAAAAATTTATATGACCATGCCAAAAGTTTATATAGACAAGTACAAAAAAGCAGTCTAATAATTATCAGGTTTGAATGTCCAATATTTAGGGTCATAAGATAATATTTTAGCACTTGGAAGTTGATTTTTTTTCTCTTTATTTTCGGTCTTCAATGAGTGATTATACGGATTGAAGTTATAATGAACTTCAATTTGTTAATAATCTTAACCACACCATCAAAATTATGGACAAAATTTCAGAAAAATTGCATAAATAGGTAAACCTCCAACCAAACATTCATTTCTTTCATAAAACATCATATTTAACCCACAATCCCATTTCATTCAGCTTCCCAGTAATGTTTGACCATAGTTCTAAGGGGAAATTTGAGTCTTCTCATTGGAGGAATAAGTTAGTTTAAGTATAAACGGTTTGTTTGAGGGTAGCATAGCAGAGGAGGCCTATGAATCATCCAAAAACCAATTAAAATCCTTACAACTCTAACATAAACCCAGCTAGAAAATTATGTCTATCTATAACAACAGGATATACACTCCTCACTGTACCAGCAGCTGTCTCCGTCGCCGTCCGCCCGCATCCGCAGCCTTTCACCAGCTACCGAAACTGTAACCCACATGGTCCAAAGTAACATACCGAAGGCGGTCTTGCATCACAGATAAGGAAGGGTAAGCCGGGAAACACAGCCGAAGAAAGCAAGTGTGCGATGTCGGCAGGTGGTCGCAAGATCCGTTAGATTTATGAATAAGCAATCGTGAATCCAAACCAGCAAAACCTTCAATCGGTAAGTATTTGATTGAAGTCCAGAAGTAGAGAAGAGCGGTTTTCTGCTCCATTGTCATTTCCCCGACTACCTGCAATGTTCAAGATAAGAACATAATGAGTGTAGATCAATGCATCGTGGAACAGACAAGCAATAGATACCATGAATTTACAACCGAATAATGTCCCCGCAAACGTACTTTCCAGAACCAAGATATCTGATCATCAGTTTCTGTGAAGCCGGAATACTTGGTGTGAGCTTTCCAATCATCTACGTCGATATCCACTCCGCTGCCGTGCAGCAACCAGTCGAGGTCTTGTAGCTCCAATACTTGGAAGAACACTTGCCGGAGATTTCCGGATAACATAACATCCGCAAAACCCTGAGCGAAATGCTTTACCTGGTCAGCAATAGACTTGACGAAGCGTTGTTCGATAAGACAATCGACATATGCCTCCCTATTATTGCTGTTTACAACCATGTTTTCCCCATTCTCGCAAAGCTGAACTATCTTCCTTTTACCTAACTCCTCAATTTCGTCGATAAAAGTAAGGCCTAAGACATCTTGATCGACAACCGTAGGGTCCATTTCCAGAATTTGCTTACAGCTCCGGTATAGGTAGGGATCTGCGTCTTTTATATCTTCTAAAGTGATTTTACGCCCAGCTAATTGTGTATAGAGCACGCGGTCGAGTTCAATCCCAACTTGTACTCTATGCAACAGGGCTAAGGCAACCATCCTGCCAGAGAATTCAAAATAGTCGAGGTGCAATGGATGCACCTTTGATGCTGTAAAGCGAAAACAATTCACAAAAAAGAAATGATTGGCTATGTCATATGATGATAATAGAAAACAAGACTTATTAGTAGTCAATAAGATGCTATGCTTGAAGTGGAATATGAATTCTACTACAGCTGTCAATTGGGAAAAAGTTGCAGATATTCAGCAAAAGAAAATTCACCAGAAATAATACTTGAAAATTCAGATAAATTAGATAATAAAACATGGGTTCCCGACTAATTATTCACTTCCTTCACATAATTTCTTCCACTACCGACAGCGTGGCAGCGTAAAAACAAAATTATGTACATGAGGGCAGTGTTCTGTAAATTGTGATTACTTCAATAAGGAATATAAATCGCATTTTCATCACAAGCATGCCATCTATAAAAAGTTAGAAAACATGAATATTTCACAAGTTCGATTCAAGTGGCCAATACAATGAAGAACAATTGTTGTTCTATGTCATAGATGAAGTACAAATTTGAGACAAAAAGATACAACACAGATAAATCGAGCCACTGATGAGATCATCGTTGTCAACAAACCACTCTTAATATATCACTACTGCAACAACTCTTGCAAGGGAGCAAAGTAAGTAAAGCCAAACCCCTAAGGAGGAGGAAATATGAAGTTGAATTTTTTACGTGTGTTTCATGTGTAAGATGGGGCACGTTGGGGGTGTATTTAGCAATGTTTTGCTGTTTTGAGTAAATTAAAACTTTTGGAATAGCTTGAATGTATTGGGAACACAACCAAACACACCCTAAATGATTGCCCAAATTATAATCTATCATCACAAGGAGCGGAGAATACAATTCAGACAAAGGGTAAAGTACCTAGATTGAATTCATTGCAGCTTATTTTTCCCTAGTACGCTAATGTCATCAACAAAGGACAAAGAGAGGATATGTATTGAGGGAAAACAATTAGGTAGGTCAACTAAAGAGTCTTACGAAATAGAAAATATCTATAATTATATGCCCAAAGAGGAAGATAAAAGAAAGGCCTTAAGGTGATAAAACTGTGGACATGCATCACCGTAACAATTTTATAGAGCATGTTGAGGGAACATGAGAAATAGAGGTGGTGTTTAAGCACTTTGACCAAACTTGCATATTATCCACATCCATGTCTTAAAAAAAATAAAAAATAAAAAGGGAAAGGATATAGCTGTTAATTCTTCCTCTAAATCTAGTTTGATTAAACAGAGCAATCAGGGACAGGGACTGAACATTATCAAAGAGCTATAAGAGCTTGATGGCAAAGACTCTCTCCACTCCTTTAGCTAGATTTTCCTCCATAATCATAAAATGGGAATTGGGGTGGGATTGAAGTAGAAGTTCTAGACAATAGATGCATATGTATGGATATAAAGAAAATGTGGAAATACAATTTGACAAAAGCAAACACAACCCAAAATAGGATACCATTAGCCTTGAGAAAAGCAAGTACTCATGAGGTTCATTTGTATCAAAATTTTATAGAATTTGAAGCTTCGAACTAGGACTGATAACAGAAATTGTCAACACTTCCTGGATCCCAGTGAATCCATAGGTGAAACCAACAAATCAGTGAAGAGAAATTGTACTCAATTCAAGTGACAACGAAAACTTAACACCTTCCTGATAACACACATTTAAAGGTAAGAACCTATATAAAACTGTGATTTGGCCACCCAATCCAAATGCAAAAGATAAATTTATAAATTAATCTCATAATTATCGATGGAACCAATTAACCATAGTTCATAAATAGTTATATAAGAAAAATAAATTCAATTACTACTACTTTGATAAATAGATAAATCAAAGTTAGTCGGATTCAAAATCTGATGAATAAAAAAAATTTCTTGTATAAATATTCATCTTGCTCTTCTTAACATATAAACCAAATGGCTACAAAAAAATTTTCTTGTAAGACTCTTGCATGTAAAAAGAGAAGCACCAATGCTAAACTGTGATATGGCCGCTATTGTGGAAATGCGGCATTGCGGGGGGCAGTAGTGGCGGACTACCGCTCTGCTCCGCAACACCGCTATTAGCACTCTATCGACAACTATGGTCATATGCACTTTAAAGTATATGGAAAACAAAGGAATGCTAAATATTATTCACTGCTACATAATTGGCCAGATTTCAGCCTAAATACACAATCCAGTGATGAGATTGGCATGCATTATCCAAATGTAATACACAGAATAATTCCACCAACTGTGTACATGTCAATACTTCAACAGCTGGAATAAATTTGAAATGTGAAGAAAATAACATAAGATACATACAATATAAATTTTCAAAGAAAAATATATTGGAAATTTTCAAGCTTGTACCTGGATTTGGAAAGAACCTTTTACGATCATCAGGGCAGGCCACAAAGAGTGCATTTTTAGGATTAAAGATTGCCTGGCATACCACGAAAAACCATTCCCGCAAAACACCAGGACCAGTGGCCTCCTCGTCCTTGAACTCCATAAATATAGCCCCATGTAGAAATGAAGCATCTACATTTGAAATATAATTGAATGATTCTTCCAACAAGTGTGAACGATCGATGATCATCTCTTGCAGCTCCTCACAATCATCGTTCACTTCAGGAAGCAGTGACATAGCTAAAAACCTCCTTACCTCGAAATTGGTTACTCCCATATCATGGGTAATCCACCAACAACTTTCTTTCTTTCCATAGTTGACAACAAGATAGCATAAAGCTTGCTTAGTCTGCTTCACAGCCGTCCAAAACATCGTATTGCAACCACAAAAAAGTTTTGAAAGCTCATGAAGTTCTTTCAAAATAGCAGGAAACTGGACCGATCCGCCTGGAAGGATCACCTTACCTTGCCTCGTTTTTGAGGCGACCTGCTCCTCAATTTTCATCATACACTTCTTTAAGTTGCTCAATAAATCAACAAAAAGACAATGCAAAGTAGTAATCTCTTTTGCATTGCGAGATGGTTTTCTATCAAGCCCTGGCAGAGAAACTTCCACTGGGAGATGAACGCCACTGTAGTTAATTTCTCTTTTAACATATGACAAAAATTTAGAAAAATCCTTCACTTCATTCTCTAACGGACCATGTAAGGACGGTGACTCCGCATTTGACCGAAAATCTTTGCTAAACTTGACAGCTAAATCACTGACAAATGGAATTATATCCTCAAGACCAATTGAAGCCTTCGTTCTTTCGGGCTCATAATATACCAGAACCGATGCCAAAGTGCTTCGACAGCATCCATACAGTCGATCATAGATTCCCGCTGTCTTACTCAACAACCTACAAAATTCCAATATTATCGGTACAAAATGAATATACGCTGCCTTAGGAAACTCAGCAATACCTTCTTCGACAAAGATTTTAATGGCCTCTTGAGCTGCTTCCTTGTTAGGAAGATAAGAAGACATGTAAAGCATTACTAGAGCTTCGGGGGCAGCCAGGGCAATGAAGACTTGCAGGTAATCAAAGTGGTCCTGCTCTGATTGCTGCTCTGATTCTTCATGGGAACATTCTTCTGGATTTCTTAATTTCATTGCCAAAAATTCCCACATAATTGATGTAAGAGAAGGTCGTGCCCCCACAGAATAGTTCCTGCTAAAATGCAATGTCAGACAAACGAGCTCATTTACAAGTTTCCATGCCTTGGGGTACAATATGCTCCGCATTCTGCCAACGAAGTGTAAGCTAGCATCCTTCTGGATTTGACACTCCGCTATCGTTTGATCCAACTGCAACTGCTTCCTCCCATAAATCAATCTCTGTTGCATCAGGGGAATACCTGTCATTTCTGTAATTCTCTCGTGAATAGACTGAATTGTGTCCCCCGGAGATGCTTGGAGAACAATAGTATGGCCGGAGAGCATCCGGACGAAGAATTGAATCCGGCCGACGCTGAAATGGGAATATTTGTGGGCGGCAAATAACGAAAAGACGGAATTCGACGAAGAGGAAGAAGACGGTGTATCATCCTTCCACATTTTGAAGGGAAATCCGCCGTCGGCGTCTGAGCCTCCTTCGTCGGAGTGTTTTCTTTTTGAAGAAGTAGACGGCGGCGACGACATGGGAGTGGGTATCTGTCCACCTACACTGAACCTGAAACCATCGGAATCAAGTGTAAACCACCGCCGGCGATGAAAAAACGCCTCTCTGGAGTTCAGGAAGTTGCGTAGATTGGAAGCCGATTGAGAAATCGATGCAAACCGAACGGCGGCACTTCTGAGGCAGCTTACGTATGAATGAAAGTATGAGTGAGAAGGAGAAGAAGAAGGTGAGAGTGATGACGAGGGTTCGGGTTCGGCGCCGCTTGGACAGTCGCTCTGATGAATAAGCTTTGGTTGTTAGTGACGCTGAGGTGAAATGACGAATGTGCCCCTGCATAACTTCTGTCACGAATCCCGGCGGGATAGTTCCAAAAGTTGGAAGGGGAATAAATACGGTATTATTAGTGTTTTTTATTATTTAAAAAAATAATAAAAAAGAAAAGCAGTTTACTCTGCCTGTAATAAGGTAATTGTGATAAGGTAAATTCTATTATAGCATATGGAATTTAATTAAAATCTTCACTTCCCCTTTTTTGATTAAATATTGAGATTTGGTATTTATTTGAAAATTTGAAAGGAAAAAGTCTGTCTTAATTGAAATATCGGAAAAATATGTCGATTTTAATTACTCTCTTAGTCTATTTTTAATGTATTTTTGAATTTTTAATAACATCTAAAAAATGAATAGTATTTTAATGATCAGTGTAAATATATAAGAGATTTTGAATTTTTATCTTTTTATTATATATATAATTGTAAGTATAATTGTATATTTGAAATCTAATTTAAAATTAAATCTATTTTGATATTAATGTATAAATATTTTTACTGAAATAAAAATGATATATATTTTTGTTGGACAAATAAATAAAAAATGTCACCTTTCAATTGAGATATAGTAACTATAATAAAATATATTATAGTAAATTATATAATACTCACATATATTTTATTATAAATATATAAAATATATTGTGTTCTATTTATTGTGATAAAATAATTGTATTATATTAAAGTAAATACAAAACAAAATATTGGCATTATTTGTACATACATGTTTAAGTTCTGCAAATAAATAAAAATATATATATCTTAAATATTATTTTTGGAAATAAATAAATAGTCAATCCATCATTTTATAGTTTGTAAAACAAAAATGAACTATAATTCAATTTTATGGACTGTAAAATAAAAATTAATTATTTTTTTCTTTACTTATTTTATTGAAGAATGATATTTTTGTAGGGAGAGTATTTTGTATATCCTTAACATAATAATGTAATAATTAAAATATAAGAAATATTTATATATATACATATATATATATAATAAAAATATATAATTTAATCAAAATATTACTCCTATGAACTCGATCCAAATTCAAGAACGGCAGGAACTTTTGGTTGAAAGTTGAAACCAAAATAATTTCCAACTAAGACTTTTGGAGAGTTTGGAAGTTAGAATTTTAATAATAATAATAATATTAGAGACTTATAAATAGATGTAATATAAATCAAATAGACTCGATTAATAACAATAATTGAAATCTAATTTAGATGACAAATTAAATATTTTAAATATTTCAATGTATAAATAGCAATTTAAGTTTGCCAAGAAAAAAATAAAGATTTGAAGTTTTATAGAAATTGGAGTTTTTTTGAATAATTCTGAAATTTATTTTTATAATTTTAAATTAAAATCAAAGCTATTGATTATTAGGCATTTCAAATAAATCTCAAATCAATATTTGAAAATATAGCAATTCAAGGGTTTGTTGGGATAGGAATTTTTGGAAATTTGAAAGTTTGAAAAAAATAAATAAATAAATAGTATTTAATTTAATATTTTGTGAAAAAAAATATATCCTTGATATATGATACTTTTTTAAAATATAAATAGTTCTAAAAAAGTGAAAGTGTGTTATGTGAATGTCTCACGTGTCTGTCACGTGGAAGATGAGAAAAGGGTCAATAGAACGATTCTTGTGTTTGTTTATGTTATTTAACTTTAATATTTGGAGTTTTTAAATAATAAAAATTTAATTATTGAGACAGGTATACATTTGATAAAAAAGTTTAAAAAATTGAACCTATTAAAATTATTGTTGTGTAAATAAAACCTAAAATTCATCCAAACAAAAATTCATTCGAGAACAATCCAAGCACACCCGCAGCCACACTATAATTAGATCCGAACCAAAAATCAAATAAAAAATGGCTCAGAAATCCGTTTCTTACTTGATGCTTTTCGCTCTCCTGCTGGCTGCGTCTCTCCCCAGGCTCTCATCCTCCGCCGCAGCAGGCGGCAGAAAAGCGCTGGAGGTGGAATATAGCGGCGGATCACCGGTACCGCCAGGCACGAATTTCGGCGGTTATAATTTCCTGAGCAGCAAGGATGCGAAGGCGATCGAACTTGCGAAGTTCTCGATCGAGGAGAATAACAAAAAGAGCAATCAGAAGCTGAAATACGATGCGGTGCTGGAGGCGCTTTGGAAGAAGGTCGCGCAAGGAGCGGAATACCGGCTGGTGGTTTTGGCGGTGGTCGGCGACGAGCCGGACGCGTACGATGCTGAAGTGGCGGTGGACGAGAAAAACGACAAGAGACTCGTCAGATTCGAGAAACTGCATTGAGAGTGTGATTGACGGTTAGGCATCGGGAGAAGAGAAGGTATAGCTATAGCAGGCGCGTGGTTGTACTGCGCACTGAAATGTGCAATGCCAATGTATGTACGCTGGTTTTAAGAACAAAAATCATTTTTTGTTCCATTTTAGACTCGTGTTCTCAACACTTATATATTATATTTATTATTATTTTTTTACTTTTTGGTTATGATATATATATTATAATTCAATAACAATATTTTTTACAATTATTTTATAATATAAAAATAATTAATTTTTAATATTTTAAAAAAATAATTGCAAAAAAAATATAAAATATATATAATGATAATTATTAAAGATATATATTAAAATATTAAAAATTTATTATATCAAATAATTATTTAATTTTATATTATATTATAAATTTATTTTATATTGAAAAATTCGTCTCAATCTCCATTCAAATTCAATTTTTTACTATTTAAAAATTCAAACTTCAAAACTAAAATTCACAAACAAACACACCTTATATACTTTTCTTCAATTCAAAGTAATTTTTTTTTATTGTCTCAAAAAATAATTATACACTAATATTAAATAAAAATATCAAAATTTTTTACGTATTTTCTTAAAAATATTATTTATTAAACTACTATAAAATTTTAAAAGATCCTTTAAAACCAAAAAAAAAATATTATTTCTTAATTACTATAAAATTCCAAAAAGCCACTTTAAAATGGACACATGAGGAGTATACTTCGTCCCAAAAATAATAATTTCATTATGTTATTTTCGTTAAAAAAAAAAAATAATAGTCTCAATTTTTTAAAAAACTAATTCTCTATTTTTTTCACAATAATTATATAAAATACATTTATTATCAATATAATACTATTATTATTTAAGTATTGTGCCTATTTCAAATATTCATATTATTTTGGGAATGAGGGAGTACATGGTTAATGAAATTGTTGTCGTTGAAATTTTCGCCTTTGACAGCTGATGCTATTTAATCTATCGAAAAATTGTCATAGTAAATTCTTTAACTGGAGAAGATCCTCGGCGGGGAGAGTTTGTGGCTGAGAATCTCACCCCCCGTCTCTTAACCTAAGAAACCTATTCAAAAAAATGTTTGAGCTCAATATTCTTGCAATTTTGATAAATATATACTTCATCTGTCTCACATAATTTGTTTCTATTTTTTATTTTCGTTCGTTCCAATCGTAATTTTTTTTCTTTTTTGGAAATATAGTTATCCACTTTAATCAAATTTTAAAATTTAAATTTTATAATTTTTTTAATATTAATTAAGCTATTTACTTATCTTAATCTATAATTATTTTTACTAAATAATAATAATTTCTACTAATACATTTCTTAATTACCTGTTAATTATACTTTACCTAAATTCTTTTATCTAACCTATGAAATTATATTTATAATTTATATTAAAATTAAAAATATTTTAGTATTAACATATAAAAAATAATTACTATTTTATCTCATTATTAAATTAATTTTTACATATATATATTCATTGGTTTTAAAATATGTACGTATATCATGTGTTGAAAATAATAATAATAAAATTCAGCATCATGCTAAATACTCTAAAATTGTCTGTATTAATTTATATTTTTAATTATATTATAAATATAATTAAGATAATTAGTATCTTAGTTAGTCGCCAATGTTCCGAAAAAAAATAATAATAATAATAATAATAATAAAAATCAGCACATGATTTGTGCCGATAAAATTTTGAATAAAGAAATAAGCTAAATTTTTTGGTATATTATAATGTTACTCTAAAATTTTAGTAATCCAATTAATCACATTCCTTTAGAATAAATAAATAATAATTCAACGCTTACTCTAATTAAAAATCACATTTCTATTTCAAAATTAATAACCAAAATCACAAAATTGCCAAAATAAACATACCTGATGCCACAAGTAATCATTCGTATATATTTTCACATTTCGCCCCCTCAAATTTAGGATATTTCAATAAGTAGCCATGGTTCCGAAAACCGTTCCTCTTTTAATCTTCGTAACCGCCGCCGTCGCTCTTCCCGCCGCCGCCGCCGCTGCCTTGGGCGAGAAGCGCGTCGGCCGATGGGAAGAGATTCGAGATCTGGAACTTCCGACTCTGATGGAGAAGGCGAATTTCGCCGTGAATACGTACAACAAGAAGAAAAAAGCTCACCTGAAGTTCGAGCGAATATTACGAGCGAGATTCATGATAATGGCGGAAGAGCTGCTCCTGTTGGACATCGCTGCTCGAGACGACGGCGAAGTGTCGAGAAAATACAAGGCGTTGGTGCATAATATGCCTTCTAGCTGTTGGCTTGAATTCTTCAGAAAAATAAATGAATGATTCCAAGCTTAGATCTGCAGGTTTGATGCATATAAGTTCGAATAAGATATGGATTTTGAGATAAGTTTTTATTTCTCGCGGATTTCTTCGCTCTTGGGAATAATTGAGATCGTGTTCATAGGAACGAGGTGTTTGTTTGTTTGTTTTTTTTTTTTTTTTTGTTTAAGGTAGATTCTTCGGTCGTTTGATTTGGTGTGTTTTGTTTTGATTTTAGATTAAATAATTATATTCTATTAAAAAATAATTATATTTTTATAAAAATATTAAAATTACATTATAAGCAAATATATAACTTAAAAAGAACGTCGGTTTGCCATAATGTAAGACATGTTGAAGTCATTTGATTTATTTATTATTATTCTTATTTTTTGTTCCTATAAAAAAAAAATGTTTTTTTTGGTGATTTTTATATTTTTACTCATTTTATATTATTCAATTTTTAAAAAAAATTACATCAAATACTATTTTTCTCTCACGAAATATCAAGTCAAATGATAATTTTTTACTTTTTTTCAAACTTCCAAATTTTAAAAAACCACAGTCAAAACAAACCCATAGAGTTGCAGAATTGTACCACGTCCGGCTTGAATTAACAGCCGTTGAAAAAACCGTTTCCCCACCACGCACCGCATTTTCAGTACCCTCTATCTTCTCCTCCTCGCCTGCGTATAATAGTAATCCACCATATCTTCAACCACCATTATTTCATCCAACAATGGCGACGGCGACGTCCTCCTGCCTTCTGCTAACCGCGCTGTTCTTCTTCTTCTTCAACCTCTGCGACTGCACCGAGTTCCAGGTCGGCGAGACAACCGGCTGGACCGTCCCGCCGCGCAACGACACCGAATTCTACAACAATTGGGCCTCCGCCAAGCGATTCACGATCGGAGACACCATACGTAATTACCTTCTAATCAATCCTCATACAAATTACAATCAATTTTAATTTAATTTTAATTTTTTTGGATCGAATTAGGGTTTAGTTACGGGAAAAAGGACTCTGTAATGGAAGTGAGCAAAAGAGACTACGAAGACTGCAACTCAACGCGCCCAAATTACTTCTCCAACACCGGCGACACCATCTTCGCCCTCAACCGCTCCGGCCGCTCCTATTTCATCAGCGGCACGGCGGGGCACTGCCGGAACGGCCAGCGGATGGTCGTTTGGGTCATCACGCAGCAGGATCATTCGCATGCCGCCCGTTCCTCCGCCGCCTCCGGGGGCGGTTTAGCTCCGATAACTGCCGCCGTCATCACGATAATCGGTTCGGTTTGCTGCCTGCCCTTTTTTTAAAAAAAATTCAGTGGGCTGACTTAGGTAGTTATTAGATTAATTATACTATATTATTCAAACTGTGAGATATATATATATATATATATAATTATTTAATAGTAATATTGTAGTATTTCATTAATATATTCCATCAGTTGTGTTATTAGTTAAATTAGTACTAATATTTACGTGTGCTGTTCTAATTTATGGAAAAATAGAATGGAAATTGAATCATTAATTTTATGCTTATTCCAAGTAAACTGGAGCTGGCTATGATAAAAATTGATTATTTGATGACATTTTTTTTGAAAAAAATTAACCAAATTCTTTTAAAAATATCTATATGAATAGATCGGTAGTTTTTTAAGTATGGTAAGAATAAACATTGATATATAAAATGAAAAATAAGGTTAAATATTGATCTAATGCTATTTAATAAAAATAAAATGTACTTTAAATTGCATTATTGAAAAAAGTTAACGAAAATATATAGTATGAAAATAAACTATATTTGTATGAAATAGTATTATGATTTTAAGAGGGAGCAATTATCCTGCTAATTAGTCAGTCTTAATGAAAAGGGTACTCTGAATAGTATTTCCGCATCTATTTGTAACATTAATTTAACATACACATTAGTAAACTGACTTAAGAGAAATGTATTGCAATATATAAGCAATACACCATTAACATTGAATCCGCAACATATATATATATATATAATTATTTTTTTAAAAAAATAAAAAAATGACATAATAAGTGGAATTGACGTAAAATAATGTAATATTTGAAATATAAAATTAATTTTGAATATAATATAAAAAATAAAAAATATATGTTTAATTTAATTTTAAAAATTAAAAAAAATAAAAGAATAGTAAAATTTTTTAAAAACCCTTCAAACAAACTTTTATATTTAATTAGGAAATTTTTTTTCTACCTTTTTTTTTTCAATTAAAAAAAAGTATATATATAAAGCTTTTAGAATCGAGTCTAAAGTCAACGGATGGTGACCTCCTCCCTGGCCAGTTGCCTCCACTTCGTTCCTCCTCAAACCCTTGGTACCGGAGCGCGCGAGAATGGATGAAACCGTTGCACTCTCCTATTGGGATTACGCTAATTTTCTCCTCCTTCGTCCCTTTGCCGCTCTTCTCTTCACCCTCTCCCTACTCTTCTTCGGTCAGATTCTCCCCCTCTCTCTGTATTTAAGATTTTTTTGTCTATGTGGTTGCGCAAATTATAGCCCTGTTTGTTGATATATGTATGTTGGATAGCCTTTTCTCCGTCGATTTTTCCATGGGCAATGCAAATTGGTTGTTTGTTTCTCACGCTGTTCATGTAATTTTGGGGAATTTTGATTTCTCCCAATTAGAGCAATCTCTTTTGCCCTAAATCGTTGATGCTGGAATTTGCCTGATAATTAGGGTTTTTATTTTATTCCTTATTAATTGATGGGTTTACTCTACATCGGCCAAATCTTTGGGGTAGTGATCCTTAATAAGTCCTGTAAACGTTAATTTGATTGTTTTGAACTTTTTCCTGCTTTTGTGATCTGTTCAGGATGGTTTTTGGCATGGAAGCTGGTGCTGGTTCATGTGCCTCTGGTGCAGGAGATCTTTGGCCTCAGGAAGAAGCCTGTCAAGCCAAAGCCTGCTAGCAGAAGAAGAATTACTCAATTTTACAATAGAATGAATCCCCAACATCTCTCCTAGGTAATGCCCAATTTCCTGGTTAGCTTTGAAGTCAAGTTTAATCTCCATTATAATGATTATTTGTTACTGAATTCGGAACCTTTCGAAGCAGTTTTTTAAGTATGCCAACACAATTAGAAGCTAAGAAACGATTGGAAAACTTTCCGGTAGTGGTTAAAGTTATAGTTGCATCAAGGCATTGGTTATGGAATTCTTTTTGATTGGATTGTAGGGGATATTTCTGTTAGAATTTGCTTAGTTTAAATGCACAAGATCTTGTTGGGCTTCTGTCATGCCGCCGTGGTTTTACGATAATTAATGTTTTATGATCCTCAGAATGTTTCAAGAAATTGATGACGATGTTGGGTTTTGATGGTAGTGCTCTGAAGAGAACTATTGGGTGTGGCTACATTGGGGAAGCTATGGAGTATTATATAAATCAATTCATTCTGTAAATAGTATTGAACGAAAACCCTGTATCAATATACATAGGATTATGATAATCTATATGTGCAAAAAGAAGAAGAAGATATCCTTGATGAAGCCATCGTTAAGTTAAACAGTTCTGTAATTCATTTGGATATTTGAAGAATTTGGGTTTGTTGGTATTACTATTATCATATTCAATTTGATTGATGAAAATATATATCTGGATATTTAATATTTATTTGTATATTATTTGAAATTTTTTGTACCGTTTTAAATTTCCCTTCTCACGTGACAGTGGCCTTGCTGTTACTAGAGATTTTATGCTACATCATCTACGTCACGCGTTGGGCGTTACCAAGCCTTCTCACATGGTTTGATACGTCTGTTTTTATTATTATTATTATATATATATATATGACTGTGAGAATCTGCCGCTATCTAAATCTCAGTCGAATGATAAGGCAAGTCACACTAGTTTTGTGTTTGTGTTTATTTTTATTTTTTATTTATTATTATTTTCTTATAATTTCAAACTAGTTTTGATTCTAATTTTATTCCAATAAATATTTGTTTTATTATAAAAATTATATGAATAATAATTCTAATTATAAATTATGGGTATGTTCTATTTAAAAATATACATACGGCCTTATCCAAAAATATCAATATATTATACATTCATTATTTTGTATATTTTTTAGACAATTATTTATATCTCACATAAAAAATATCTATTCAAATTATCTTAAAAAACATACTTTTAATTCAGAAATAAATTTTAAATTAATTTATTTAAATATGTAAAAATAAGTTAATTTATAATTTAGACTTTTTTTTTTTTTCTTAGTGTATCCTTTAAAAAAAATTAATATATTAGACATTTATTATTTTTATATTCAAAAGACAATTTCATATATTTTACATAAAAAAATTTATCTTTTCATTAATCTCACAAAACAAATACATCCTTCTACATTGATCTTTTTATAGTTTCCATGCATTTTTTAATGTTCTTTAAAAAGAATTCTTTAAAATATTATTATTACATCAAACAATTGTTGGATGTGCTTTGTTATAATTTGAAATTGATGTGATTTAAAATTAATTTAAAGTAAATGCTAATTCGATTTTTTTTTTTGAAAATAGGGTAATATTTTGTGGAAGGAAATATTTATATTTTTATTGAGTGTGGGTTGAATAATTATATAGTTTTATTTAAAATAAAAAATAAAAAATTTGTTTGATTGTAAATTAAAATTAATTTTTAAATTGTACAAATTGAATATATATTTTTTTATTTAAAATAAAAACACTAACACAAGCGGACACACCTGTTATACTTCCAAATTTAAACTATTTCTAAACACATAAAACAGACCAAAAAATAAAAATATGGTACAATATAATAAAATGGGAGGAAGAAAATATTCTTTGTTTATATTAATATAAAATTAAATTAAATTTATAAATATAATCATTTTAATTAAAAACACATAACAGCCGGTTCGAACCGGAAATCTATGGTTCATCGAAAATAGAAACTGAAACTGAACCGCGTGAAAAACCGGCTTCGGCTTCGGTGGTTCGGGTTTGAAACATTCGAACCGGCAGGTGGAACCGCCCGTTTGAAACCCGTGGGGCAAGTTTTGTTGGAGTTGGTGGTGGTTGTGGAGCGAAGACGTTGGCCTGTTTTTAATGCTTTCAATTAATACTTTTTCACTGATTTCACTGTTTGTTTTGATTCCATTAAAATTTTTCGTTGGATTTTGAGAAGTTGTTTTGCAAAATTATGACAGATGAGAGAGAGAGAGAGTTTCACTCCAAACGAGAAACTCACCGCCGCATTTGCCCTACCAACTTTCTTCTTCGTATCAGTGCCTTTTTCATCAATAATTTTGTCCAATTCTCTCTTCTGTCCTCCAATGAACCCCAGAATGGTCTTCAAGTCCCGCCCCACAAATGTGTATATATATATATATATTACATATTAATTTAATAATAATTGAAAAATGAAGACCGGGGACTTCAACATGGGCATGACCTTACCTCCTCATGCAAACTCCGGCGACGACTCCGAATGCGTGGTCCGGGAGCAGGACCGTTTCATGCCCATCGCCAACGTCATCAGGATCATGCGCAAGATCCTGCCGCCGCATGCCAAGATCTCCGACGACGCCAAGGAGACCATTCAGGAGTGCGTGTCGGAGTACATCAGCTTCATCACCGGCGAAGCCAACGACCGCTGCCAGCGCGAGCAGCGCAAGACCATCACTGCCGAGGACATCCTCTGGGCCATGAGCAAGCTCGGCTTCGACGACTACGTCGAGCCCCTCACTCTCTACCTCCACCGCTACCGTGAGTTCGACGGCGGTGATCGCGGCTCGCTCCGGGGGGACCCGCTCGTCAAGCGGGTCGCCGCCACTGCCGCCTCCTCCGACCATGCTTTCTCGGCCTTTCCGCAGGCCACTGCATTTCTTCATCACATGGCGCCGCCGCCGCCGCCGCACCACCCCGGGTTCTATGCCCCGCCGCCGCCACCGCAAATGAATCTGTTCAAGGATCCCGCCGCTGCGGGGCCGTCGTGCATTGAGCCGTTTCCGCCGCGTAAGGAGCATATATGAGCGGCGCCACTGTGGGTTTTTTTTTAATGCTTATTTGGTGTTGGTTTTAATTTCAGTTTCAGTTTAACAGACAATGAGGATGATGATGATGACTCTTGCCCATTTCACATTTAATTATTCCATCTGTTGTATCTGCGATGTTTCTCAGTATTTAAGTTTAGCATTATCAGTATTTAATTAATATATATATATATATATATTAATTTCAAGAACACACAATTAAAAATTAAAAATCTTCTAAGTTATTGCCGTCTGTAAGTTATCTGTGTTTTGGCCCTTTGATCTTTTCGACTTCTTGGTAACTTCTCATCTCCTCCCTGTTTGGTCTCTTTTGTTTCACCCTCTTGGTTGTCCTTTGAACTCAAATTTGCCCACAATATATAGCAGAAATTTTCCAGATTGAGTTGGAATAGAGTGCTAAATCAGACTCAACCAATTACAAAATCAAACTTAACATAGAGTGAATATCAACCTTTTCAATCCTACATAAATTACTACTCTGTATTGACCTGATAATCAGTTGAGGCACATTGTTGAAGGCATATAGCGCAAATTGGAACGCTTTCAATTACATCAACATTTTCTACAGACTACTGATAAGAAGATACTCTGACGTTAAGAAGAATATCCCAACTGAACCGCCGGTTCGAAGCGCTAACGGATGGTTCACGGTTTGAAACGGTTCTGGTTTAATGGCGGTCCGGTCGGTTCGGAACCGGCTGAGCAAGTTAATACGGTATAGTATATAAATGGTCCGAGGAGTCGCAGAGCGCTATCAACAACTATTCTATCACTACTGTTACCAATCCCCAAGCATCCAGAAATGGCGGAAAAAGGTGTCGAGGCCTCGAATTTTATTTTTTTCTCATGGGGATTTACTGAGCAAAACTCGAGCACTACAGAGATTAATTCAGCTGTGAACATTGCGTGTGGTGTTTTTTTTTTGATTTTTTGTGCAATTGCAGTTGACTGTTGTTTTGGATTTCAGGTTTGTTGGAGGACTATGCCGCGGATGCGGAAGTTGCGAAGGAGACGATCTTCTCTGAATCTCTAGATACAAGCATAGCCGAAGAAGGCACGGCGGTCTCGAAATTTTTTTCTTATTGGCATTCACTGAGCAAACTCGAGCAGTACAGAGATTAGTTCAGCCGTGAACATTGTGCGTGTTGTTTTTTTGTGCGATTGTAGTTGACTTTTGTTTTGGATTTCAGGTTCGATGGAGGACTTCTTAGCCGCGGCGGTGGAAGCTGCGCGTAAAGCCGGAGAGGTGGAGCTCTTGCCTGAATCTCCAAATTCCTTATCATTGAGCACTCTTGTATTGGCGCTTTCGCGCCGCACTGGAACTATCTCCATTTTCCCGCTTAATATGTGGTTTTAGTTTTTATTAATTTATTTCAGAATTTTGTTTTGGTTTGCAGATAATCCGTGCTGGTTTTTACGGGAAGAAAGGTGTGGAGCACAAAGGCCTGGTAAGATGCTGGCTATGTTACAGTTCTATTGATTCTGGAAATTTTGAGATAAGTGTGTTTGATCCTATTATTAGTCTGGCCTTTGTTGTATTTATTTATTTATATATTTTGTATCCGGAATACATCTCTAACGGAACAGTATGTTAATGAATCACTTTTAAGTGGATATTCTTTTGATGTAGATTTTGTGTGTGATTTAGTGGCTGGATTTTCGAGAGTTTCTGAGTTTCATCCTTCACTCTGGAATGTGTTGATTGTTTAGTCTAAGTTCACGTTTGTTATTTATCCTTATAGGAACGTATGTACTATTGAATAGCCTTACAAGCAGTGATGCTCTGCATTCTTTTTTTTGCATCTACATATGCTATTTTATTATGCATGTTGATCATCCATTTGTTTTAATGGCGTAGGTGGATTTAGTGACTGAAACTGATAAAGGCTGTGAAGAGCTAATATTCACTTTTCTGAAGCAGAAATTCCCTGACCATAAGGTTAGCCCTATATTTACTCATGCTTCCCGTTTCGGATTGCTATTCTGTATCTTTGCTCTACGTGATTGAGTTAAATGCTTCTATTTCATCTGTTTTTTTTTATTTTATTTTATTTTATTTTTATAGTTCATTGGAGAAGAAACAACTGCAGCTCTTGGTCCTGAAGAATTGACTAATGAGCCAACCTGGATTGTTGATCCTTTGGATGGAACAACCAACTTTGTGCATTCGTAAGTTTCTTATATTTATTTCATTTGTTTTCACATTGAAGTCATGGCTATAACTGAATGCCATTGCAGGTTTCCATTTGTATGTGTGTCCATTGGATTAACAATTCAAAAAGTTCCAACAGTTGGAGTTGTCTACAATCCAATAATGGATGAGGTAAAATTGTTCAGCTTCTCAATGATATATTCTTAAAGCTTAACCTCTGCAACATATTGCATCATTTGTTTTATGTAGATAAGATCACCAAATTCATCACTTAGAAGTTCCTTTCTTAACTTAACATGAAATCAAGTGTTGTACAGCCTGGAACTTAAAAACTTGCAATCCTAGTTCTATTGTATTCACAGTCAGACTATCCTATATCCCACTTGTTGTTACTAATAAAGTTACTTCTGTAGAGGAGTATATTCCCTTGGATCAAGTATATAAAATATATGCTTATCCATTGAGGTGTCCACTAGCACCATCTTCCTTCTCTTGAGTCTTGATTCTCTTCTGCTATCCATCAGTGGCTACTGGCATAGGAATGCAAATACTATTACATTGCTTAACAGTTCTGCACATGCAATACATTACAAATATTGTGTTTGTCTGTGAAGCTTTTTACTGCTATTCGTGGAAAAGGTTCTTTCCTAAATGGGAATCCTATCAAAGGTTAGTTTCTTCTTCATTTAGAGATTTTGAGTACTGGCCACTATTATAAATTTTAGTGAGAACTGTGAACAATTCAGTTATATCTTGAATCCTACAGCCAGTAGTCAAACCGAGCTTGTGAAGTCCCTTCTTGCCACAGAGGTACTCAGCTACACATATTAATGCAAAAGTGATTGATCTGTATGCATTCAGTTATTATGAATAAGGTTCTTGTGAGAGACTAGGATGATGCCTAGTTTCAAGTTTTAACAAAGCCTTTTTTATTTAATTCTTGTGTTCTACTTTACGTATGAGTGGCAGTGTGTAAACTGAAATTGGCAGGTCGGAACAAAACGTGACAAACCTACTATGGATGATGTTACCAATAGGATCAAGAGTCTACTCTTCAAGGTAACCTAGTGATGATAGAATATCAGCGATCTTCCAAATTTCTTTATCCTCAATTTTTCGTAAACTAGCTGAAAGGATAACTCTCATTGGATCAGGTTAGGTCTGTCAGAATGGGTGGATCCTGTGCATTAAACCTCTGTGGAATTGCATGTGGAAGGCTTGATTTAACCTATGAAATCGGTTTTGGAGGCGCTTGGTATGATTTCATAACCTTATAGTTGGCAGTGATGTAGTATATGGTACTAAGCATTTGGTTCTCTTTTCAGGGACGTAGCAGCCGGTGCAGTTATTGTAACTGAAGCTGGAGGTCTTGTATTTGATCCGTGAGTTCATGCTCTTGAACTTGATAAAAACCATGCTCAGTTTTAAACATGCAACTAATGTTCTGTTTCCTTTTTGTATTTTAACAGTTCTGGTAAGGATTTTGATCTCACTTCTCAGCGAGTAGCTGCTTCAAATGCTTTCCTCAAGGATGCATTTGTTGACACATTGCAGCAATCGGAATAGAGATCACTTTGATACCAGATAAGCTTGGTTTACTATCCAGAGGAACTATAGTATGAGCATTGCTAGTACATGCACATCATGTATTAGATGATTTTTCCTCTTGGCTGATGCCTAGAGACATACCCTCTTCACAATTAAAACAAATAAATAAAAGCATTGATTCTATCTTTTCACAAGTTTTATCAATTTTGATTCACACAATGTAATCCATCTTATCTGTGGCTTTGCTAGTATCACATTTAGGTCTTAATGTGGCTGGCATTAGGAAATGAGTACAATTTTCTAGAGGCATAAAGATCCCCTATGCTCTGCTCACCTAGAATTGAAGGATATATCAACACAGTTAGAACACCAAAAACATACTAGAGACGGAATCGTAACATAAACATGAAGGGTTTGGACAAAAACACAAGCCAAATAGAAGAACTCCATTCATCAAACGGTATGTCTGCTTCATATTATGTCTTGAGGCCGTGATGTGTAGCCGTTGTAACCGTTTTTCCCATTGATCCCATTAGACATGTTCTGACTTTGGCTTGATTTTTTCCTCCTCAGAACCATGCACCATGTGTAAACTTCCAGTGTTGCTGCAACACAAGCCAGACCTATTAGGACCCCAATGTAAGCTCTCTTCCATTTCTTCTCTGGATTTAGAATGTCAAAGCCCTTGAAAATGTTGATAATGCTTAGAACTATAACAGAGTATCCGATGAAGTGGTGGTATATGTTCCAATAGAATCTGTGTTTGTGCTCCCTTTTAGGCCTTAGAAGCATAGCAGAAACCTATACAACAAGAAAGCCTCCATTATAATCAATATCTAAGTTTTCGAACATTTACGAATTTGAGCACTATCCCCTTGGATTGTCATAAAGTAAATTTCACGGAAAGTCTACAGTTACTTTTTCTTACTGCTTAAAGCTGATACCTGGAGGGTTGCAAGGCAAAATATTACAATGCCAATAACTCTATGTGCTGTGTACTGAATTCCGGGAGACTGGCTTCCTAGTTGGATTCCGATTGCCCAACCTGTAACCCCGGTGATGTAGGCTGAGACTTGGCAAGTAGCGTGTAGATAGAACCATGCTGGATCTGCAGATGGGAACACTTTTAGGTACCTTGCCAATACAGCACCAGTTGGCAACAGGATCCCCCAACTCACTGAATTTAGTAGTCCATGAATCTGTATGTTCCCTTAACATGATTAGATATAGTGCAGACACAAGAATGTTGTTTACTTACCATGCTTAGAATGTATTAGGTACAAGAACTGACCATAAGAAATGATAAGAAAGAAAAGCAGCAGATATTATAACATGGTTTGATCAACATGTTAAAAAACTTACATTCCTTTTCCTAGTTCTGGAGTTGACTGCTCCTCCAGACGATGCTCCTGTCTCTCCAGAAAGAAAATTTAGTGTCCCCGTAGACTGAACATTAGAACCGGAAGTAGGATGTATTCCTGGAGTGTCTCCAGTAATGGGACCCTCTTGCCAAACTTGATTCACTGTGGAGCTTAAATTGTTGAACTTTAAACTAGCGAAAATAGTGATTTCACTCCTTGCATATGTTGCCTTTAAGTCCGAAACCTCGAAACTTAGATTTCCTTGCTGTAATTGAGTCTGGTACCCTGCAATGGGTGCTGTGTATGCTCTCATTGTGCCATCGGATTTCTGGAAAGCCACTAGTGCTTGTGCCCCGACCATGCCTTGCCCTGTAGGATTAATTCCCCATGCTGTCCATCTAGAAGATGAGACTCCCGTGTGACGATACGCAATCTTAACTGTTTTAGCTGATTGATCATAGTCCCAGTGCAGAAATGAGTTGAGGTGTGGGAGGTCATTGCATGACTTGAATTTCTGGTTGCTGGCAAAGCTGTAGTGTGCACATGATTGGCCATGGGATGGTGTGTACAGAGAAGATAAAACAGTACAGATGATCAAAACGGGTCCGAACATTCTGAGCATGACTTTCTGGATTTCTCAGAAAAAAAGGTTTGCAGTTTTTGGAAAGAATAATTTTCTTGATGAGGATGTGGCAAATAAAAGTTGGGACAGAAAGGGTCTATATAAATAGACAATGTATTGGTTGGAAGGGATGTGAGTGGTTGCAGTTTGGTTAAGAAGGGTTAACTAATGCTATTGCCTTGAAGTTTAGGTTTGAACATTCTTGACTTCCTACAAGGCTCTTGTCTAACCTCAAACCATATGTGGACCACAATCTTAGAATTTGCAATCATTAATAGAGTCCTTTGTTTGTTTTTACTGATTCTATTGATACTTTTTGTTTACTTTTTGTTGAATATTAGCATGCGTGGTCTGGATTCATGACCTAGGATGCAAGAGAAAGATAAAAGATAGCTAGCATTCATTAGTTTGTTGCTTCTTCGTTGGTCCCTTGTTTTGTATTGACAATTATTGCTGGCATGTGAAGTTTCTAACTTTTGAGATACAGTGGTTGTTTTTATTAGATACTTTTGGTGGGAGTGGATATAATATATGTATATGTAAACCAGGAGTTTCTGGATCAAACATTGAATGAATCTATGAATATTATTTTGTTGTTCCAGCGAAGTGTCTTAACTCTTAACCGGGGAGACTTCTTACACAGTAAAATTAACAAATCCCTTTTGGTATTTTAATTAAAGTAGCCAAAGGATCTGATGATGCAATGAATAGGTTGGATTAGGTGTCTGTCTAATGCAGCAGGTGGACTGGAAAGCCCTGCACAGGTCAAACCAACTCTCCTGTTTTCTTGATCAGTTCTTCTCCATTCATCTTTGATATTTATATTTATATTTATATTTATATTTATATATTGTATATTTTGTCTGGATGCTTACTTGCCTCATATGAATAATCATATTTAATTCAAGAATTTAGGGCAATCATTGCAGGCATGTTGCCTCCAATTCAGGCTTGTGTGCATTTCAAGAAGAGCTTTTTCACCCGATTCTAACTGCATGTCCTCTTCTGCAGTTGGGTGCTTTACCTCGGTAAGATTTCAATGCGTGTATATATATATATATATATTTGTGTGTATATGAATGATGATTCTGTGTTAGAAATTTTGTGATGGAATTGTTACCTAAGCATGACTTCGTTGCCCCAATTTAAGGATTGAAACATAGCTTAGATGAAATAAAATAAAAAGGGGTTATACTAACTGTAAGGATTTCTGTCGCCATGACAGCTGGTTCTGGGTATGGATTTTAAAAGTAACGTGAGGCTTGGATCGTGAATTAGGATGTTGTACCCAATAAAACAGCCTAGATAATATTTCTCAATCGTGTTTCTTTAAGCTTTGGATTTGATGTAATGTTCATGTGTGTTTTTATATCCCCGTACGGGGATAATATAGTAAAGTAATTGAAAATGAATAATTTAAAATTGAGTAGTTGCAATAATTTATGTTCTTTTATTGATTAAGATGGTGGGATTATGACTTTTGTGGACGTAACGTAGCAAGTGACATGCAAAATTGTAAATATCCACTGGAGAATTAAATTAAGTTAAAGTAATATAAAGATGGCCTTTATTGCTCTGGGTGGCTATTCTTACGTGATTTTAGACAAATATTTGAATTGGAAAATTTTGTTGATCTCCCTCTTAATCATTGAAATAGACTAATTTCTGTAGAATTCATATTAAATAAATTATATTATTGAAGACAATAATATATTATGTGTGGGCTTCTACTTCATTGTGACTTTTTAATTATTTTTTTGGAGCTCCACATGGGCTATCTTTTTTTATTGGGCCCAAAATAAATAAATATGATATTATGAGCCGGATAATTTATGGGCTTTTATTTATAGCCGATTGGGCTGATTTAATTGAAGGGTGAGAATTGTTTATTTATTTATTTATTATTATTTTCTTATATTGTATTGTGATTTCAAATAATAATATCATACACTGAATATAACGCAAAATGTTTGTCAAGAAATATCACTAGATTACGTCAATGTCACGATGAATGCAGTTAAGCTATTAGAATGTGCACTTATTAAGGGACAGCTGTACATCATAAATATACTCCAATATGTTTTATTATTTTAAATTTATTTTATCAGTGCCGCTGCCAAGTTTGTATTTGACATTTAAATGAGGTTGAGCTTGATATTGTGTGAGAGACTTATATACCTTCTATAGGATTGAGTGTGTTTCTTATTTGAGTTGAGATTTGACCGGCTATATTCTGTGAGAAAATTATGTACTTTTACAAGATTAGAATTGTCAAAATTGAATTGTTCTGAAAATTCGAATTTGTTTAATCTGAAATTTTTAAATTCGGATTTGGGTGTTTCGAGTTTTTAAAAGAATTGAATTGATCTAAACTCGAAGTGAAAAATATAGCAATCCGGTCATCGGAAAACCCAAAAATCGGATTTGATTTTAACTTAATTTTATAATTAAAATTCTTTTTTATTTCAAACAATAATATACTATAAAATAAAAGTTAAAAAAAAAGTAAGATTTATTTAAAAAAAATATTAAAAAATGAAATTAGATTTTCGGATTTATTTTTGTAGCATATTTTCTAGATAAATTTAAAATTTTCAAATTTTAGAGTTTGTTGTGTCATGTTGTCAGGGTTCATTGGAATTATCCCACCTAACATATAAAGTAATGAAAAAAAACTGTAAAATAATAAAAAAAAAAAAAACTTTTAAAAAAACTTGTTTGTGTATAGACACTAATCTCAAAAATATATATATGTATAGAATATACATAAATAGATTTAATAATATTTTTTTGCTCATTTTAAATGCTAGTCTATACGTGCTAATAATAAAAAAAAAGTAAAAAAAAAAAGTTCTGGAGTCTTCGAAGTCAACCATTTGAACAAAAGAAGAGTCGTAATTTGGTTACTAATCACTAACCACTATCTTAATGAAATTAATTGAATCAATACACGTGTGGCAATTATGACTGAAATTATAAGCAATAAAAAAAAAAATGATGCGACAAAATTTTCGATATTCCAATAATTTATGGGACAAATGTGGAATAGTAATTATTCCCATTACCAATTCACCACTGTCGAAAATAATTAGTTTGTGGCTCGAATTAAATTGTTTTGGGGTTTAAATACATAAAACTCAATTATTTTGTTGACAAAATTGACCGTTATTGGGTAGTGTTAGGCGCCGACGGCCATGCATTCAGCACGTGTTTTATTTTCTTAAAATCCGTGTGAATATAGGAGTGAATTGAACACTGATGACACTCCAGCATGTCTTGCAATTTTTTTGTTACTAAACTTATTTACTAGGATTAGGAAATAAGCATTTAATTATTGTTCAATAATAATTTAAAAATAATTTAGATAGGATTTAAATATTTTTGGAAATGTTCTATTTTCATATTTTTTGTTATAAAAGACAAAAGGTACGAAAGAAAAAAAAAAAAAAACATCAACATTATTGGGTGACACTATTTTATATTAATTTATTTTGTTTATGAAAATAGGTACATATGTATTTTTTTACACGTATCATTTAATTCGTAGAAAACATGCTATACATTTTATGTAAATATACTACTACTATATAGTATTTGTATTAAAATATAATCTACTTCTCTTTTTTTTGTTGTTGTTTTCTTTTAATGTGCTTAAATATTTTATTATTGATTTTTTAAAAAATATTTTAATATAGTTTTTATAATAATAGAATTAAAATTTGATACAATTATTAATGTAAATTTTAAATTTAAAATAGAATAAACTACAAAAATAGTATACATAGATATAAAAATAATAGTAGTAATTAATCTATTTTTTAAAATTATATATTTTTATTAAATATGATGTTTATATTATTTTAGTAAATAAGCTAAAATAATAAAATAAATATATTATTGTGAGACAAATAAAATATAAATATTAATGATTCTATAAATAATTGTAAAATAAAATATAAAGGCATCTTTTTCATCAGATCTTCAACAGACTAAAAGAGTATTTGTTTAGAGCTTACACATAGCTACAAACGGCGTCGTTTAACCACCGCCGACTGCCGACTAATGGCATCAGGGCTGTGATCCGGTGACAGCCGGTGACGTTTGATCCCCCAAACGAGTGGCTGCGATCATTCGTGGAACTAAATCGGACGGTGGGAGTTCGGCGTTTGATCCTATAGCTGTGAGTTTAGCGCATCCCCAGATAGATGAAGCAAATCCACTTGTAATGAATAAATTCCTCTCTCCCAAAAAGTGAAGTAAATAAATAATAATAATATTATTATTATTATATAGCTCGTCTTCTCCACAGAATCCACCATTTTTGTTCCTCTTTGGACCTTCCTTCTCTCGCCAGCGACAGCCATGGAAATCTCTCAAATCTGCTCGAATCGAGCTTAAATTATCGCGGTGAGTGCTGAGTTTTGAGGGTTTGGTGTTGATTGTGCGGTGGAATTGCTCAATTATGGTGTCTGTGCAAGATTCCTGTCCTCACTCGCACTCCAACCCTAACATTACGGCGCCCTACGCCGGACCACCGCATCCGTACTATTACTACACTCCGCCGCCGTCCTCGGCCAAGATAAGCCGTGCCATGGGCAGGTCTATGCGCACAATTCGCTCCAGCATCTTCGACGCCGACCAGTCGAGTCCGATTGGCAAGAAATCGGCAAATGTTTCGGAAAATCTTACCGACTCGGAAATCGACCTCCGACTTGGTGAACTCGCCACTAAATCATCGAGTGATTCGAAAAGCCCGTCCTCTGACATCGATGAGGTTTTGGACATCTCCCATGCGTTCAGCGATTTCTCGGCGTGCTCCAGCGACATTTCCGGCGAGCTCCACCGTCTCGCAACCGTACCTGATCCCGGTTTAAGTAAGGGCCCGAGCTCCGAGCCCGAGCCCGAGCCTTGCTCCGGATTTCTACAGAGGGAGACGTTTTCTACAGAAATTATTGAGAGCATCTCTCCCGAGGATCTACAGCCGACCGTGAAACTCTGCGTGGATGGATTGAAGTCGCCATCAGTTGCAGTGAAAAGGTCGGCAGCGGCTAAATTGAGATTATTGGCTAAAAATCGGGCCGACAATAGGGCTTTGATCGGAGAATCCGGTGCAGTACCCGCTCTGATTCCGCTTCTTCGTTGCACTGATCCTATGACACAGGAGCACGCAGTAACGGCTTTGCTTAATCTCTCACTCCATGAAAGCAACAAAAGCGTTATCACGAACGGGGGGGCTATCAAATCGTTAATCTATGTCCTTAAAACAGGCACCGAAACTTCCAAGCAGAACGCAGCCTGTGCGTTGCTCAGCCTGGCTTTGGTGGACGAGTATAAACTCTCAATTGGGGCTTCCGGTGCAATACCTCCATTGGTCTCTTTGTTGATTAACGGTTCTAATAGAGGTAAAAAGGATGCGCTCACAACACTTTACAAGTTGTGTTCGATGAGGCTAAATAAGGAGAGAGCAGTGAGCGCAGGTGCTGTTAGGCCGCTGGTGGGGCTTGTCGGCGAGCAAGGCACTGGACTGGCTGAGAAGGCATTAGTGGTGTTGAGTAGCTTAGCAGGAATTGAGATGGGGCGTGAGGCGATTGTTGAGGAAGGTGGGATTGCGGCTCTGGTGGAGACGATTGAGGATGGGAGTGACAAGGGCAAGGAGTTTGCAGTTTTGACTCTGTTGCAGCTGTGTATGGAAAACATTAGGAACAGGGGTTTGCTTGTCAGGGAAGGAGGCATTCCACCATTGGTCGCGTTGTCACAGACGGGGACTGCCAAAGCTAAGCATAAGGTTGGTTTTTTTGATCAAATTCACGACATCTTCTTCGTTTGTGAGTTTTCTTCTTCGTTTTCTGCCTTGGAAGAGTTTGAATATCACGAGAAACTTATTTGCCATTGCTACTGACTGAGAACTTTTTAGGGTTTCTGAACAAGCAAAAAATGTGTGAACAACTCATTCCATGTCTTACCCTCATTTTTCTGTGATGTCCTGAGTTTCATAGGTATCATAGTTGTTTCTATTTTAATTCCGATCTTTGATCTTTGTTCCTTCAACCACCCAATCTAGGGATTTGATTAATTGATCTTTTGAGATCTATGGTCAAATTTGGGGCATGGGTTATGTCTAAAATCTGCAAGTTGCACGAGCTTGTTGAATTATGTTAATTATAACTTGAGTCTGCAAAAGTGAGGGCAACTAGTTTATTACTCCATTATTGCTTGTCTGATCTTGATTGATGGTTGTGTTGGTGTCTTGTTTGTTTTTTTATCCATAATTGAGCTAGTTGCACTCCAAGTTATCTCCATATCTTCCTTCAGAGTATGATAACAGCTGCAGTGTTGCTTTCAGACGTTGTGATAGTTCACCTTACCCTGATAATGTCTTAGAGACAAAAGCTGCAATATTCTTCACGCCTGTTTTACTGAAGGATATGTTTTCACTTTTGTCAGGCTGAAACACTTCTTGGTTACTTGAGGGAACCAAGGCAGGAGGCTTCTTCTTCAAGTCCTTAATGGGGAAGGTATCTTAGGCGTGGTTTATTATTATATTTTTTGCATTTTTGTTTTGTAATGGCTTGTGCTGGCTGTATATAACAAGTATCTTCTCTTGTACTTGTATAGAGTGATTAAGTAAATTCCAGATATTTAAGGTTGGAAAAACAAAAGTGGCTAGTTGGGAAAAGCAGCTGGCCTTGTTTGCATTTGTAATTTGCTTGACCGGAATTTTGTTGGGTGGTTCTACTCCTCACTTTTTGCTGACTGCCGACTCTCTTCTCCGGGCATTGTTCTTTAACCCTTTGTTATGTTTCCTGGTTTATTGAGGATTTGGGTCATCATCCATAGTTTTGTTGGGGATTCCCAAATAAGGTTTTGCTAATTCTGTTTTGAGACCTGTATATTGTTAGTCTGCAGTATGGTTTTGGTTGGAGCTTGGTTTGTAATTTGTAACAATATAGTGTAGTGTTCTCTTTTGTGTTATAATATGATCTCATATTCTATTTCATACAATATTTGTTTTAGATAGATACCTTGAAGGTGGCAAGGTTCATTAGCTGGCTAACTTGGCATTGCCAAGATCTGTCAAGAAATGATAAACAGCTTTCACCTGAATAGGTCATCTCAGATTCCTGACACTATTGACTTGTTTATTTTATCATAGTAATTTATAAAGCTTAGGCTTGATTCCTGATGTATTACTACCATGCATTATGAACAGTCTGCCTTAATGCCCCTCCTATTAATTTTAATCATGGTGGTTGGTTAACTGCCTGAGGAAAAAGCATCTGGACAAAAGGGGATAATCTATGGAAAAACAAAAGCCATTGTAGGGACGATTGACCACTGAGGTTTTGTTGTAAAGTGGATCCACTTACAATTGGGGATGGTGGGCCCCACCAACATGCAGTGTACAAATGCACCATGATAGAGCCAGGCAGCCCTCACCAGTCACCACCCAACCATCCAACCCACAACAGATTACATGGTTTGGTAATAAAATGAATCTTTCTTTTCTTTTCCTTTGTTTTTTAACTTTAATCTGCTACTTTTGTCTTGTTATTGTTGTATTAGCTGGCAGGACAGGTATGTTCTTGTCCTACTTCTTGGATGCTCAGTTTTCCTACTCCTCAATGGTACTTTTCCCCCAAGTTCCTTGTTTCTATTTGTGTCTTAATTTACATCTGCTGGAATTATGGGGGCTTTTATTAAGGGAAATTGACATAGGGGAAAGAACAATGTTGATGATGCCACTCTCACAATTTATATGATACGTTAAAATTCACACTTAAGATTTTATTCAAAGAAAGCACAGTATCTGACATAGAACAATCTATTTAGCTCTTTAGGAAACCAGACTTTTAAGCACCCTCAAGAAAGTAGATCATAAAGCATATGTAGGATGAGGATAAAAACCTATTTTGGTTTGGTGTTGAAGCTAGTTGCACAACCATAGTCATAGCTAATCTTACAAAGGCTTTAAATTCATGCCCAATTTGTTAAAACCCCTGATAGACAAACAAATAGCTTACTTAGTATCATCATCTACCTCTTTGGAAGAGCAACATAAACCAGGTTTGTATCCCCTTTCCAGCATCTTCTCCACCTCCTCAAACTGTAAGCCTTTAGTCTCAGGTACAAGGAAGTATATTGCTACAAGTCCAATGGCTGAAAATCCAGCAAACAAGAGGAATGTCCCGGCGGAGCCGAGAGCCTCTGTCAGAGTCAAGAATGTCTCACTCACTACCAGGTTGGACACCCAATTGGAAACTGCTGCTATCCCTCCCCCAAGCCCTCTGAATCTTAATGGATATATTTCCGAGTTAACGATCCAAGGCACTGTTCCCATCCCCGGCGAGTAGGATATGATGTACATTCCCAGGAGTAGAACTGCAAAGATCCCAAACTTGCTTGGACATCCCTTAGTGTACCAGGTACGATGTTCGTCTCCACACATTTCTTTTACTGCATCAGTTGCAGCTAAACATGCACCAGGATGATACTAATCATCGATGAAAAGAAATCCGACAGGTGAGTTAGGATGATCAGGATATCTATCAATGCACTTGATATGAAACAAGAAATTGAATTCTAATTACATTACCTTGCTGTCTCCATTGGCACAGAATGCACAGTCGGAGGATGCCTTCAGACATGTCATGCAGTTCCACTGTGGCGGCTGAGGTTGCGAGACCTGCAAGAAACTTGAGCAGGTGGCGTTCCGTCCAAAGTGGAGAGATTCGGCGCTTCCGATTTTTGGGGCGTGGCTGGCAGCTTCATAAAACAATACAGACAATGCAACAAGGCAGGCAATGATTCCAAACATGGATATGATCATCAGTCTTCTCCTCCCATATCTGTCCACAAATGCCATGCTGCCAATCGAGCCCAAGGCATTCAGGCCGGATGTAATGAGGGACAGCGCCAGAGCAGTCTTGTTCGAAGCAAATCCCGCTAGCTGAACAATTGTCGGGCTGTAATACATAACAGTGTTTATCCCAACAAATTGCTGAGCAACTTGAACCGTGATGCCCGCATAGAGGCCTCTACGGACAACATTGTTTCCCCAGGCGTTTTTCAGCTTTGCAAGAATGCTGTCTCCGATGGAGCCTTCCTCGGCCTTTTCTGCCTCGACTGAGGAATGTAAAGCCTTGAGTTCGTCTTCAACTTCATTCGCCGGGTAAATTTTCTCCAAGATGACCCTTGCTTCTTTTACCTTGTCCTGTTAGGTTCATGAAGTTAGATAGGACTAACTGAAATAACTAAAATTTAATCGATTGTGAACAGGATCAATTCATTACCTGCCTGTAAAGCCATCTAGGCGACTCTGGGAGCGACAGCATTAAAATGAATTGAACAACTGCCGGAACTCCAGCCACCCCGAGCATCCAGCGCCACGTTCCAGGTGCCTTGAAACGTGTCATGTAATGTTAGGACATAATCATGGAATTTAAGGTTAGAAAGTAACTTTTACCTTAGTGAATGCCAGGTTTATGAGATAGGCCAAGAATTGTCCTCCTGTGATGAGCAGACCATTGGTGCTGACCAATGCTCCTCGGATTCTCGCAGGAGATGCTTCCGATATGTAAAGCGGCGCCGTCATGGACGCCATCCCAACTCCGAACCCGACAAAGATTCGCCCGAGAATGATCATCCAGGGACCTTGAGCTGCAGCCATGACAACTGCCCCGATGAAGAAAAGTATATCCGCTAAAAGGATGGACTTCTTTCGACCGTACTTATCGTTCAGCCAACCGCCGAATGCTGCGCCTACGATCGCGCCTGCTATGGCCATGCTGACAATTGTTTCCTGTAATGAAAGCAAGGTATGTTAAATGACTATCTCACCTAAAATCGTTAATTACATATTATATAGTTTTCAGACAAGAAGAAGTTATTACGTGCCTGCAGCCAGGTATGCCTGCCGACGTATTTGTAGTCGTCTCTGATGTAGAGCAGCGCGCCGGAAATGACACCTGGAAAACATTGCCGATGATATGTTAGTTTTAAGGAAGCATTGGTGCTATGATGTTTTGTTTTGTTTTGTTGTTGCGACATTTGTGATTCTTACCTGTGTCGTAGCCGAATAATAGTCCTCCGATGCCGGCGGAGAAGGCGAGGCGCATAATGTAAGGTGTTTTCCAGCTTGTCCGGAAACATTCAGTGAACTCTGTTTTATCTGGCTTCATGACACCTCCTTCCATGTTGGTTTTTTCTTTATCGTCACGGGACAGGACAAAGACAAGAGTTCTTCTTAATTCACCTGATGATCACAAGGCAGTTCATATATATTCAGACACGGCCTGTCAAATATGTATATATATATATACACTATCATCATCATCATCATGGGTGTCTCTGAAGAATGCAACAGATTTGCTCCAAATGTGTAATGAAATCTTCATCTGTGTTGATTAGAAGATGCATATCAAACTATAGCATATTTGAAGGCACTATACTAATTCGTAGTATTGTTAAAAAAAATAAATGACAAAAAGTGTTGTATAAGTGTGAACGCCATTCCAATGAAGGATGCCCACCTAACCTACGCAAAGGAAAAATATCAATTCGGACAGCAGAAAAATCCTCGAAACAGTTGTGTGTGTGTGTGTGTGTGCGCTGTGAGAGGACAAGTCAAACCGAAACGTTATCCGTAACCGAAACGTCATCCATTTCTCATGGAGAAATCAACTAATATAACAAATACTATAAATAGAGAAAATAGAGCTCTGTGCCGGCAGATTGGATTTTAAAATAAAATCGGATAAACCCTAAAGCAAACAGGCAGGCATACAATATGCAGACAGCGTAGTACAGTACAGAGGTGTGGAAAATGTTAATGGCAATTGAACCAACGAGTTAATAACGATAACAATAATAATGATACTAACAACCTTCCTTATACTTGACTTGTCGTCTCTCAAAAGAGTCAATCTCTATCTCCTCGTAGACAGACTGTTGACTGCCAGAATTCCTCTCCTCTGCGCGATTAGTAGGGAGATTTGATGATGACGACGACGGCCATCGATGACAGTAAGAGAGAGAGAGAGAGAGATTGGAACTTGGGAGAAAGGACGAGAGTGAGTTCAGCTGTAATAAATAGAACAGGAGAGGAAAGGGGTTACGCTTGTTTCTATTAAATTTAAAATCATTTTCTATTTTGGATTTCTTCACACTATTAATTTTTTTTTTTTTTTTACACGATACTTTCACTATGTTCTTTTTATACTAATTTTCAATTGTAATTCTAAATAAAAATAATAAATAACTTCAAATATTCCTTAAAAAAAAAAATCAAACATCAAATATTCAATTTAAGATATTATATTTTACAGTGCACAATTTTTCGTCAAAATCAATCTATCTAAAAATATATATTTACAATTTTTAAGATAAAATTTAATAATTTAATACAAAATATTAATTTTTATATTACCGATTCCTCGTATCTTATACATTAAAAAAATATTTCAAAGCTAACTAGTAGACAAGCAAAAATGATTCAATCTGATTTAAAGTACTGTGTACTTATAAAACTTTCGTTTTGTTAATAGTATATATATATTTTTGTAATATTGAGCGAAATATAAAAATATTTTTATTCAAGTAAAAAATATAGTTCTTAAAAAAATTGATATATTGAAGATAGATGAACTTGAATAACAAAATAAGATACTAAGAGTAGGGGAGTAAGTATATTAAAAGATAATACTATTCTCATCCTACTCCCATTTAATTTTTGGCGTTTTAATATTTAAATATTAATTATTATATTAAAATATAAAATAAATTAATAAAATATTACAAAAATACTTCTATTAGTGTTTATAATACTAATAAAAAAATATTTGTATAAAAAAATTATAAAAATATAACGCGGACAGAGGGATTATTCTTTTCTACATCAAATTTATGTCTGTTTTTTTTTTTTTTTTTATCATTTATACATTATATATATTGTTCATCCCATCTAAAGTATTCATTGTTTTCATTTCAGTTTGTCACATATAATTTGTCTTTTTTTTAGAAAATAATTGTGCATTTTAATCATATTTTTAATTTTATAATTCATAATTTTAATTTTAATTAAATTATTTAATTGTCTTAGTTTTAATTTATAATTATTTATATTATACCACAATTATTTTTACTAATATATTTTTTAATTACTTATTAATTATAACCTTAGTAAATTTTCGTATCTACAATAAATGAGACATTTTATCGAGAACACGGAGTATTCTTTATATTTATAACAAATCTTACTAACTTTTGATTATTCCTTTTGTTCTTTTACAATATATTATAATATATACATTTGGAAGAGTATAATTAAGTAAATAACTAAGAATATTTTAATTAAAGGAATTATAGTATAATAAAAATAATTATAAATTAAAAAATAAATTATAAAAATTTAAAAGATTAAAATGAATTTCAAGTATATAATTTTTTTTAGAAAAATAAAATTACAAAATAAGTGAGATTAAAAAAATATATAGAAAAATAGATACACAAATAGTGAAAATTAATTGAGACATGGAAAACAATTGAATATATGTAATATTTTGTCATATATTTAACATATAATAGATAAATATTTATTGTTACTATCTATGTATGTTGAGTTAGTTTATTTTGTAATTTTAGTTTGATTTTTTTTTTTTTTTAAAAAAATATCTTTGTAATCATATATTTGTATATACTATATATATACATTACAAAATTGGATAAACACACCCATTATTAGTCACGGGTTTATCTCATACCACCATATTATTTTTTAGGTGACATCAATTATTTTCGCTACAGAATAAAAAGAATTCAAAAAATATAAAAAAATAATATTATATGATGGTAACATAAAAGTATTTGTAAAAAAATAAGGTTCATATTTAATAGTCTGTCGGACTTAGTTTGCAGGTTATTAGGTTCGGTCGGGAATTTATTTAATACGCATTTACAGGTAGCGACTGCGGGTTACAACGTCATAAAAAAAATAAAAATAAAATTGTATAATAACTACAAATTAAATTAAATCAAAGTAATAATATGACAAAAAAGTCACTTATCATCAAGGGCTAAATTAATTAATTAACTAATTAATTAATATCGAAGTTTTTGACTTTGAAAAGTGGCATTATTGAAGAGTGACAATGACTACTCGAATTATTTGTTTTCAAAAGTGTAATTTAGAGATAAAAATAGATAGATCTTTATTGCAATAATCTTACAAATCAAACTTTTATCTTCACTTTTTAAGGAAAAAGAAGAAGAAGCTTTAACTTCACTTTCTTTTTGTTTAGCCCCAATCTTTTGACGATGATAAAATTCCTATATTTTGATTGAAAATTTGTGATCGTAAAATTGCACGAAAACTAAGTGATATGTCGACTTTATGAACCACTCCCAAAATGTTAAAAATAACCGAATCCACCGAAACTTGAGAAAATTCGACAAATCGAATATAGTATTTAACATCCTACTTTATGCATAGCTAGCTTAGATATAAATTTACTACAAAAAGGATAATAAATTATAGCGGTCTACAATATGTTCTAAAATATCTCGAATTTAAAAATGATTAAATAAAAAATAAAATTTATAAAAAATGACATAATAATGCTAAAAATACGAAATAAATTTCCGTAATAATTTCATGGAAAGTAACAACATCACAATCATTCATGATGATTCGTTATCTAAAAATAAAAATAAAAATAAAAAGAGCATATGTCATATTTGGAAAGTAACAATTATATATCTTTTTAATTTTTTTTTGGTATATAAATTTTCAAAATTTTGTTTTGTGACAGTAATATGTAATTGGAATTGGAATATATATATATATATATCCCATATTTGTATTTTGGGTGCGTACCCAAAACTTATAAAAGTTTTTAGTTCTATAAATAAGATTTAATTTCATTTAAACAGCACTTAAAAAAAAATAAATTTAACTTCATTTAAATGTCATCAACAAAAATCATATTACAGTAGTTAAAAAAGTAATTTATTTCTAAATATCATTATCTGTAAAATTACAATGTTTATTAACTTTTTGGTAACTAAGTTCCACATTGAAAAATAATAATAATAATAAAAAAAATCCAATTTTTATAAACCTCATGTCTAATTTTATTAATCTAACATTCGTTGAAGAAATTTAAAAATAAATTTATACTGATTCAACTCAAAGTGAATAATATCATACTCGCACGGTTGAAATACAAATTAAGTCCCATTATAATATTTCTTAGATGTATTTTTAGACAATCACAAAATTAAAATACATAACACTATTTTCTTAGGCCATGTGAATTAAATAATGCAAGAGTATAAGTTGGCCTAGTGTAGTGAATTTCTACATCATAAAAAGAAAAAAAAAAAAAAAAAATTGAAATATATTTATTTTTTTAAAAAAGATTAACTGTTTTAGAGATGTTTGAGATCATTACTTTTATGATGGTGATTGCTAATTTGAAATCAAATATTTTTTTAAAAAATAATAAATATTGTAATAGTTTTACAATTCGATCCTAATAAAATATAATCATATGCATATTATTTATTTTACAAAGAATAACATTTTATACAATACAAAATTATACAACATTAATATAAATTAGTCTAAAACAGTTTAAAAAATAATTAATATGTATATCTGTATATTACTATATTAAAAAAATAAATGAGGGACCTATTCCAAAACTCTGGCAAAAACATGTTTTCTAGCCGTTAAAAAAAATAAATATAAATTAACAAACACCCCCAAAAGTATTTGAAATAGCTCGAAAACATGGCATAGATGATAATAGAAGATTTCTTGCTTTGTCCCGCAAGAAAAAACGAACAAAAACCGTCCAGACTAAAAGGAATGGAGAATTTAAGCTTCCCTGTCTCACAATTTCAAGAAAACTGGTTTCAGATCTATCCAATATATGCATCTCTATGTATGTTATGTTCTTGCAAATCCTGTGTTCAAACTTACACAGGATGTTCCACACGGACGACATCGAAAACGCTCCTAACTAGCCTCCGATTATGCATTTCCCGATCGGGATAGAGACATCGATGCAGCAGCGACAGCATTACGCCGCAATACCTGCATCAAAATTACACGAGAAATCGATAAAAGTCTCATTCACCATCAAGCGTGGATCTCGCTCGATTCACAGCTGTCGCCGATGTTCATAATCGTTACCTCTATAGCCAATGCTGACACCGTTGTTCGGAGTTCTTACACGTGACGAGGGAGCATCATGGCGATAACCAAATGCAGCTGAACTATCGATCTTCGGATAGGATGCGCCCCACGTGTGGTTGCTGTAAAAGGATTTATCTTCTAACATGTTCCCGAAACCTCCATCAGAAGCATTGTAGTGTGGTTGCTGTAAGATACTATGATCCATCTCGCCGCCAAAAATACTTTCCCGGTGGCCATAACCGAAGTTTTCGCCAACCCGAGCTGAAACAGGATTGAAGCCCCGAATCTCCCCCGCACGGCCAAGATTTCCGGTCGTTGCAGCCCTAGAGCCAAGAAAGCCATTAGAAGCAATTGAATCGGGAATGTAGTTAAGATTCCCGCCGGCCCACAACCTTTGATTTGTCGAGTCAAATAATGTCCTGAATCGATCAGCGGTAACTTCGTACTCGTTGGGGCTATCGAATCGACCTGCATTTCCATTGTAATAAGAACTCATCCCATGCCCGTAGCTCAAACCGAATGCAGAGTCCAAACTCATGCCTGTAGCACGAGGATATCCACTTCGACCCGCATTTGCAGGACTGAATCGACTAGTCATCCTCATCCCATACGGGCTCGAATTATATCCTAGGTGGTTATAAGGGCTAAGGAAACTGCTTGTTCTGTTCAGACCATGGCTGCCTGACGGACTATTGCGCATTGGCCCGGGAGACAATTCTTTCGGCACAGCACGCTTAACTTCAACCCTTTTTCCGTGGAGCTCGTGGAAGGGCTGTAAGAGAACTCTATCCACCGCTTCCCCTGAATCATACGTGATGAAACCGAAACCTCGTGGCCTTTGTGTGTTGTGGTCGTACATAACCACAATGTCTGTAATCGTCCCGAACTGCTCAAAGTATCTCTTGAAGTCATTCTCTGTGATGGAGGACGGCAACCCTCCTACGAAAACTTTTTTCCTTCGAGGAGGGGAAGGTGTCCCTTCAGAGCTGTCGATGTTCTTGTTAAAGCTCAAATGATTGTCCCGAGGAATCGCCTTCTTTGCTTCCACCTGATGATTCAAACATTTCGACAAGTAACCAAACCTTTAACATCATACATTGAAGATGCTGAGTTCAACACAAAATTTTCGAATTGTGTTAGCTACATTACATTGCAGCCTAAACATACAACATTCAACGAGTGTATTGCATTAAACAGACAATTTGGTATGAAGAAGCTAAACTTACAACTTTGCCGTCTATGACATGCCTTTCTTTGACAACTCTCTCGGCGACAGAAGCATCTGCGAAAACAGCAAAGCCGAAGCCTCGAGCGCAGCCAGTTGCTCGATCTTTGATGATCACGGTTTCGACCACTTCTCCGAACGTTTCGAAATACTCCCTCAAACGCTCTTCATTAGTCTCCCAAGAAATCCCACCTACAAACAGCTTCACAGGCTCCATTTCCATTTTGCTCAATCCTGAATTGCCAATCAAACAGATTATTCTACTCCAATCAATAACACCAATTCATTAGATAAGCCATAGTTTCATAAACACAGCAAATACCAATGACTGAAACCAGAAAATGGATCCAAATCCAATAGCAATTCAAGTTAAACCACCAAACTAATCGATAATTCTCAACATTACAAACCTAACTCGATCGAAAACAACCAATCTGAGCTCTAAAACAAAATCCAATCATCACAAATATTGGAATGTCGATTGAAGAGACGAAATGCATACCTTGAAGAAACAAAACACAACTGAAATAACCTGGAGATGATTAATGGCCAGTTTTTTATTTTAAAACAAAATTTCTGTTGGTTTTATTTTATGTTCATCAGTAGATCATCGGATCTTCAAGATCGAAACCAAACAGCATTAATCAGTAGCCGCCTGCGGAAGAAAGAAAAACAAAGCCTAAAAACTTTCATTCGCATCAATAAAGAGATATATCAACACAACACGAAAATCAGCACCAAATAATCGATGCCCAGAATAAATATGGATTGAAATCAAGATCTGAGGCGGCGGAGACTGAAAGCAGAGGCTGAACGAGGACGAACGCTACTCAACCCTTTTCCTCTGCTCTTCAAAATTCAGTCTTTTTTAAGAGAAATCGTCTTAAGCCATTGATATTTATATACATGTATATTTATTTTCACTAATGTTACGAGTTTGCTTATCCAACATACTTTTATTTATGTGATACTATTTAATTTTAAAAGTATTTCATCAAATAAATTTTTTTCTTTCGTAAAACATAAAATTAAATATTAAATATTTTATTTTTCTAAATTTCAAAAATTCCAAAAATCTCTAGCGATATTCATATTATGTTTGCTTATACGTGTGTGTAATCCGGTCAGCGTGTGGATCGATTTTTCACATTCCAAAATTGGGCATATTCAAAATTTGTCATCCGAGCGTGTGCAGTGTGCGAATATAGCAATTTTCTGTACGTATGGTATGCATTAGTCACTGATTTTATTGGGGCAATTCTGAAATTTCCACAGTATAAATATTTTATTTCCTTTTGATCCATCGTTTTGCTAATAATCTACTTTCTGCACTCATGAAATTCTCATTTTACAGAACACACTCCATAATCGTTTCCAACTTCACAGCCATTGCACAAATCCAACTATCCAAGAGTGTTTTGTTAACTTCGCTCTCCTCTTCGCTTGTTTGCAGAAATGTAACAATATTAGAATTGAATGAAGATGCTAGAGAAGCTGAGAAGTTAGATTTTCGACGGTTTTTTATGATCGTGATGGAGGACTGCATACGTTGCCGGCTCAGATGGCGATTATTTGAGGATTGAGGTATTTTTATTTTTTTTTACAGAAATGGTGATTTACATTCCAGGATTTTATACGTTAGTATGACAGATGCATTGTTGTTTTGAATATGTGTGCTTATAACTGAAATAAATATAACACTGGTCCTGCATCGGAAGCAAGGGCTTCCGTGTGAGGTATTGTTATTATAAGGTCAATTTGTTTTTTCTTTTGGTGCTGCCATTGTCTCTGCACTGTGTGAATCTGAGTTTCCATGCGATTACGCTTAGTTCCGTCAGTAAGAACTGCTTCCTTTACAGCTAAAGAACTTAACCCAAAACTAAGGAACATCTAGTGTTAAATAAGACCAGCAATATCGTAATTAAGGCTAGCATATTGCATATCTACTAAATAAGAATATTATCAAAATCACAAAGATACACAAAATACATACGGTAGCAATATATGTAGATAAACTATATACAGTAACATCTAGGAGCATAATAATCAAAGCAAACAAATTAGAAACTAGGGATTAGGGAAGCTCCATTGGAACCGTTGTTGATTGGTTTCCCGAGTATATTGCCGTTTGAATTTCTTGATACAACGCAACACAGAAATTCCACATCGGTCTTTTTCCATTTCCTTTTGATAGGGCCAGAGATGTTTAACAAGATGATCGCACAGTTGCTCACAGTTCTCTTGTTCCTGCAGGAAGAGAGAAAGAAACAGTCCAGTCAATGTCATAAGTGTGATCACCTTAAAAAACTGCAGTAAATTTAATTCTGATGCTTTTCCATTAGGCATGAGTATTGAGTAGACAACAGAATTTTAATTACCCGAGTGTTATTCTTCAATGCCTTCTGGATGACATAGTTTCCATATTGATGCATAGCAAGTAGGATAGGTGTCTTAGAATCCTGTAGTATCTCCGAGACTACATTGATCATTCCAGTTGTGGAAGCTTCAATGCATTTCTCAACAACATTGCTGGCTTCTTTCAGCTGTGCTAGATGCACAAACTGACCCTGAAGGCAGTTCAGTACTGAATTCGTAGCCGCATCATCTTTAAGATCCAGAACCTTCTGCACAACATAGTTCCTGTAGTGAAAAGGCCATTAGTTTCAGTATTATGAGTTTGACATAGGAAGGAAAAAGCAATATATTTGTATGTAAAGTTGCACCCGTAGGGATCTCGAGATAGATAAGCTGATGCTTGTGCAAGACAAGTGAGAAGCCTCGATCTTTGATGTCCACTGATTGAAGCCATGCTTTGAAGTATGATTGTATATCCAGTTTTACGAACAGCCAACTCAAGGCAACAGTCTATTGCTTTTTCATAGAGAATCTGAGACCAAACCATATGAATCCATGTGCATTAGTTATGAAATTGCAATAGTTGAAACATATAGTAGCCATAGAAAGTACCTCATTAGGCCCAGTGCCGAGACGAATCAGGCAGAGTTCAACTACACGCAGGGAGTTGGGATGAGTAACTAGATCCCAGAATCTATCCGATAAAGACATTGTCATCCTGTATGCATGCTGCGTCTTTTTTATCCTGCGGATGAGGCTTTCAAATCCTTGCTTGCTGTAAAATTAACTCATCCATTCATCTGTTAGATTTAGCTGTAGCTACTAAAAGAATGCAAGGAAAGGGTAACCAAAGAAGGGGACAAAGTTTAAGAATGTTAAAGACTACACACCAATGGTTGGACATTGCTGAAGTGAAGAACCTTTCATCCAACAAGATGTCATTGACAACTACAAGTAGCTGGACATTGTTGCACGCATCGAGGATCTTTGGAAACAGAGGATCCGGGGACTTCTCCATCATCAAATTATGGTAATATCCCACAAAGAAGAAAATCAGTTTATCTTTCTTTTGACGATCCCTCCCTTCCACAATTTTGTGGAAGTGGGGGCTTAATTCGATATAATGTTCCCATGACCAATAATCTTTTAGTCTGTCGAGTACTTGGTTAATTCTAGTTAACGAACAAGGGTTGTTATTTGGACGCATGACCACCGTATCCTCGCGTAAAGATTGATTAAAATGATTAGAGATCGTAGGTAGGCGACCATAGAAGGGGGTGTTGATCCTATCCTGTCCTCTTGAACTTCCTGCACCATAATTTTCATTAGAGCATGCCTGATCTCTACCAGGTAATAGTTTTCATGATTTTGGTCTACATCAAGTTTGCTGCTCTTGCATATCATTATGAACGTAGAATTCGCGTATGAAAACAATTTGCTTAATGTAGTAGTTATCTTCAATGAGATTTTGCATCATTGATTTACTGATAGTAGTAATTATCACCAGAGAAAACAATTATCTGTTTTAGTTGAAAAAGTTGGTGTCTTTATTTTTGTCAACTCTAGATTCGTATTTGATGTAATTTCTTTTTTTTTTGAAAAAGTTACCGTTGACAAAGACTGTTCAAAGTTTTAAAAATATTCAAATAAACCGAATGAAAGTTACCGTTATAAAGAATATTAGTACGTTTAAGCAGCTTATCAAACTATTACCTGGAACGGTGATGGCGCCGGAGCCATTCCGGTGGCTGTCGACCCACAGGCACCGTGCGAATGCATCGGCGAGTTCTTTATTGACGTCGAATGATCGGTTGGCTTCCGGTTGTGTCGATAAAGAAGCGCCGCCATGATTGGTGGCTGTGGTTGTCGAAAAACTATTATTATCATAATTATGATGGATGTTTTGTTGCATTGTGAAGTTCCATTGTGGTTGTCGTCGTCTTTGAAGAAGAAGTTGTTCTTCTTCAAGGAGATGTCTTTCTCCGTTATGGTCCGCCATGATAATGGCTCTTGCAGCAGCAGCAGCAGATATTCTTAGTTTAAATAAGACTTTGGTTTTGTTACTCTATTTTGTTAGGATTAGTGTGTACTTTTAGATACTGTATTATTAGATTTGGTATGTATTGTAGTATTAAAGATGATATAATCTTTTTATCAACAAAATTCGAATCTTTACTTGAAATCAGATGTGTATCTGAATTAAGATTTGAATGTTCATTGGAAATTAGGCTAAGATTTAGCCCATTAATGAAATTATGTCTTTGGGCCCAATCGTATTGGGCCTCAAGTATACAAACGGCACGGGCCAGATGAGTACAAAATAAATCAAATTATATCAAGCAGCCCAATGTATTTGCTTGTTTTAAGTAATATTATTTTGATATATTTTTTTTATTATTTATTTTCATTTTAAACAATTTATAGATTATAGTTAATCAAAGTATAGAAGACAATTTTATTATTTCTTTTTTTAATAAAAAATTCAACTCATCTAAATAAAAATCGTGATTGATATGCATTTGCTGCATGAGTCTAGCCTCAACTTTGTATAAATTCAATTTGTACTAATATATGTATCTTTATTGCAATTAAATTCGATAATATTACTGCTATTAAATTGGATAATAAATTATTTTAGCGTGATATAAATCAATAATTATGCTAAAAGTTCATTTGTCATTCAGGGTTTGTTTGGTTTTGAAAATTATTCAATATAATATAATGAGGTGAGTAAATATTATTTAATCTTTCTTTTGTTTCGTGAAAAAATATACAATTATTTTGTTTTGTATTGGATCAAGAACAAGTGAAAATGTGTGTAAAAAGATTTTGATAATTTTGCATTTCCACAAGTACAAATACTTAAACTTGTAATATATATATATATTTTACTTTCGATAAAATAACTATCGTATTAGACATACTAATTTATAAAAGTATAGTATTTAAAAAATTAAATACATATGTTAAATTTTTTTTTAGTTAAATATATATTACATTATAATATACAAACATTAACTAGACAATATCACATTCCAAATTTTAATGCCCAAATTTCATTAACTTAGATTAATTCAACATGATTTTTCAATCTATTGAACCCTTTGTACGTAAAAGTGTTGGAGTCGCCATCCCTAATGATCGATGTTTATCATTTGTCGAGAAGCCTTTGAATACAATGGACCATTATAATTGGCATGCATTCCCTTCCAAAGAGCACGAGGACAAACAACGTATATACAATCATCCTTCGGAATGTTTTGTTGCATTCACATTTATCAAGAAGAAGATATACATAATAAATACATATATATATATAATTAAAGGAATGTTTGGACATCCTTGGCCTTGTCTTAATTTGAAATATCTCTTAATTTCTTCCATCATATTAATATATATATATATATATATATATACATAGAACGTACGTACCAAATAAAAAATCATAGTATTTCAAATGCACAATCATAAACTCCATTGATTAGATTATTCCCTCTTCTTTCGAGTGCTTCTTGTCTTCTTCTTCCTCTCCAATCTTCACCATTTACTTTATATATTCCAACCAAACACAACATTCCAAGTCCATACGAAAAAGGGTTTTTCAAAGACACACATCATTGCTTCGTAGAATTAATTAGACGATGAAGTAATTAATTATTAGGATATTTATTTCTCAAGATATATGGATTTTTGTTTGATTTAATTTGCATTTCAAATTAAAATCTTACGATTATTACAATACAAATCTAGTATTATTTACTCTTCTAAAACATTTCATATCAAAAATATACCTTGTAAACAATAATCAAATAAAAAACTCAATCTAATGACCAATGAAAGGAGGGTTTTTAGGTGTAGAAAAAACTCCACAGAGAATACTTTTTAACTTTTGACCTCCTCTCTTGGAGAACACACATTTTCTTTTTTGCTACATACATACATACATATATATATATATATATACACACACAAACCCTAACTTCTGCAAAAGTTTCTAGGGAAAAATAATGGTGGTCCATATATAGAAATGCTTTTATATATATATATATATATCTGATTTGTCGTCACATTAATAGTCTCATACATTATATATATGCGATATTCAGGCATGCATAATTGAGACAATGGCCGATGAAGGGAAGCAACATCGATCGTGCGGCGGCGGAATTAGGGTTTCCTCCATGGCTCTGCTGCAAGAGAGATTCAGACAACTGCAGAAAATGAAACAATTGAGACAGGAGAAAGAGATCCTCAGATCAATCATCTTGTCCCAATCTCAAAAACGCCATAGCCCCTCTTACCCACAGAAACCGATTCCCGGCCGGCGCCGCCGGCAGCTAATTTTACTGCCACCAAGTCCCACCACCGGCGGGGCGGTTGTTGACGACTCAGAAGTGCAGAAATTAGGGTTAATGGAGGAAGAAGAAGAGGGGCTGCACAAGCTTGAAAACCCTGGTGGCCATGGCTCTCATCATCATGATATTGTCGACACCTCCCTTCGCCTCTGAAACGGCGCCGTTTTCTCATCTTAATTACTGCTGTTTTTTAGACGATGATAATTATCAATAATGTATTTAAATTAATTTTAAGTCTGTAATAGGCACTTATATATGCCTTTTCCTACTACTTGAAATAATAAAACAGTTCATCCAATATTACTTTGATCATTATAATATATATAACATTTTGTTTATTGAAAGACGATTCATTCGAAAGTTTATCCAGTATGCACTCAATAAATAGCACTTGTAGATTTCGACTTTACTAAAAATAGACAATTTAATATTATATCCGTCTATAATCAATATATGTATTTATTTTAGGACTTTAAATAAATTTAAAAATATTAGTATTTTATAATATGTAGTATATAAGAATGTATTGATATAAATGCTCTTGGAAAAACAACGGTATTTTATTGTTCATATTGGAGCACACTATAAAAAAATTTGGAAAAAAAAAATAAAAAAAAATTGATTTTAGACTAAGTTAATATTGTAGATATATAGATTAAATTTGGAATGTAGGGAGTATATTATTATAAAACTAATTGGGTATGTTTGGTTTGGATTTGTATTTTGTGATTAAACAAAATGATATATTTTATAATACACATATTAGATTACAAAAATACAAAGTAATATTAAACATTTATCATAAAAAATAGTCCAATCCAAAGAATTTTGGAGTGTATAAGGTACATTTTTAGTTTTTATAATAAGTGATAGGTTTGTTTGTTTAATATTTCGATTTGACGAATTTTACTTATTATTTTATTTTATTTTTTCACGAGAAATATAAAAAAGTATATTTACAAGTATAAAATATATATTGAACGGTAACTATTGGTTGACTCACGTACATAAATAAATGAATTAATGATATTCGTTGTCCACGCACAAGTTTTTGTATAATTGACTTTCATTTGCATATGTGAAACCACCGACTAAAATAGGTGGAAGGAGGAAATGCTATCTTTATCCTAAAATTTTGTTATTATTTCTAATTTTTTTGGTGTTCCAAAACTTGTGATTTAATTTTTTTTTTATTTACATATAAAATTAATAAAAATCATGATAAGAAAACTATCAAGATTCTACTATCCCTATTTATGGATTTTTGCATATATGGGATGCATCAAATCTATATCTATATCTCTATCTATATATCATTCAACCATTTGTTAATATTGCAGTTATACTGATATATCATTTGGGAAATTTTTAGACAAAGCTGTCCTGAACGAGAGTCTGGTTCTTCGCTGTTACAGGGAATTGAAGACGACGAAGTCACAGACAGATCGATAATATCCATGTAGTCCCCGATAAAAGGGTTTTTTTTTTTTTTAAATAAAAAAGAAAACGGCGCCGTTTCAGAGGCGAAGAGAGGTGTCGATATGATCAGCGGCGCCACCACAGTGTTCAAGTTTGATTGGCGAAATACAAACCCGTTGTGCCGACCACGACTTGGCAAGATCGGATGGGCCCTCCTGCGCTTTCCTAAGGTCCCGGGAGCTTGCGTGTAATTCGGGCCAGAGGGACAGGGACAGGGACAGCAGCTGGAGCTGCGGCTGAGCTGGTCCTGATCCTGGACCTGGAATAGACTTGGGTTGAATGCCTGGAGATGTTTTCTCGATATATGACATGGGAGAATTATTAGTCGAAGGAGGACTACTGTTATGTCGTCTTCTTTCAGATTCCGACAACATTTTCATCAGCAGCTCTTTCTCCTGCCTCAATTCTTTCATTCTTTGGAGCTGTCTGAACCTCTCTTGCAGCAGCGCAATCGAACCAAGAGCAACACCGCCATGGCGATTTTCCTTCACCATTTCAACTTTCGATCGATCGGGAAGTAGTGTTTCTATATATCTATCTATATATATATTTATATGTATATGTATGTGTGTGGCTGATTAGTTAGCTAGGTGGGGGAAACTATGATCAAGAAATGTAAGGGTTTTTCAGAATCAGTTTATGCAAGCAGCTCTTCCTCGAGAGCTCTTTATATATGCGTGTGGAAATGGGGGGAATTGATATTTTCAATTTGGAAAAAGGAATTAAAAGATTGGGGGGTTTTGGTTTCCAAGAAAAGGGAAATTAATTAAGGTGGGGAAGGAGGAATCGACAAGAAAATTACAAGAAGAAAGTGATGAGCAATTAGGTTGCAAATTAAAGCAAAGCGGTTATGTATAAATTAAAGAAGAAAATGGCTTCCAAGAAAATCCAAGAGGGGAGGTTAAAACTAGCACATGGAATCATGCCTTTGGACTGGATCACCAATATAAATATATATATATATATATATATAGAGGCAAAGGCAAAGGTTACCCATCGATATGATCATCACTATTAGGTTAATTTGTAGTTCAGTTCACAAAATAGATTCATATATATATATATATATACATATAGATATCAGAAATCATATATTCTTCAGCTCAATGATAAGGTTCTTTGAAAACCCTTTTAATTACAAGCTGGAATTGAAGAAGGGCTCTTGGAATGCAGCAGTTGGATTGGAATATATATATATATATATATATATATATAGAGAGAGAGAGAGAGAGAGAGACGACAAACATGATCAGTTCAGTTCAGTTGGACTACTGGGAATTATAAATTTGAATAATATATATGTCCAAGAAGGTGGTTATGATTGTGCAATTGAATTGCAGAGAGTAGTATGTTGAAAAGATAAGAGTGAGAAAAAGGTGTGCCCAACATTCAGTCATTCTATTCTATTCCCTGGGGCATTGAAAAACAACAACCAAAACATTCTCAATCTGTATGATGGTTTCCTGTTGTCGTCCTGCTCTTTGGAAGGGAATGACATTAATGGCATTGGCATTGCATGCATGCTTTCTCAATTCAATTCAACTAAAGCTGCATGTACATGTACATATACATATACATGCAGGATGCTACATTTTTATTTATTTATTTTTTTTTATATATGGAGCAGATGCAGATCTAAGAACCAACCCCACCAATATTATTTAATCACTGTTGTTTTCGAATGTCACATAATACATGTTCATTGGAAATTAAATTAAATAGGCACGCGTGCGTGCGTACTTGAGATATTTTAATTAATTCTGCACTACTTTCTTGGAATCGAAATATGTGAAGATTCAATTCTGTCACCTTAATTTTCTTAAAGCTCAACATCATCACTCTTAATCTGTAATTTAAATGGATCATTGCCCCACTTCTTTATTCCAAGATAATTACATTAATCCTAAAATTACACTGTAATTTGATTAAAATATCTTAAGAGAGAGACTCCCCATTTATATTTATGTGCAGTAGAGTCAAATGCCAAGTAGAACAATGCAACATTTTCGGATCAAAATCGATATATATATATTATATTTAACATGTTGCTTAGGAAAATTAGTGGTATGGCTTCAAGGTTTTGTCTTTGCCTATCTGTGTTGATTCTGCATACATACATATATATATATATGTATAATTGTATATATACACACACCTGCTCTCTCTCTCTCTCTCTCTCTCTCTCTCTCTAATAACTGCTTCCACTACCTTTGAGGAGCTTTAGTTTTGTGTTGTTGCTGCTTGACTCCATGTGTAAACTGTAGGTGAAAACGTGCTCCAATTGTAACACTAACACACACAATTATTTTATTTAGGAGATCCAGTGGAGGAGGTAACTAAGTAACATCACGTGTATATATATATATACACACACATTACTGAGACTGAGAGCAACCAAATGGATCGTTTTCAAGAAAATTACATAAATCAGATGTTCATATCTTTCACTATAGATAGTATATATATATATATATATGTGTAATTAATTAATTAATTGAATTCCATTAGGTCGTCTATTATCTACCAAAAATTCTGTGAGTTTTCACCGTGATTGGCGACTGAAATTTGGTCAGATAAGCTACAATAATATTCTGGTAAATTTTAATGAAAGCAAAAGGAGGAGGAGGAGGAGGAGGAGGAGAGGCCTTTGGGAAATCCCTTTTTGTTTTTTCCTGTCTGTTACTTTATTCTTCCTTCGCAGTTAAGGTGCTACTCATGAATAAACTTGCTAGCTTTTAATGAAATTGATTCCCTTCAAATTTATTTATTTCAGTTTTTTGCGGCTAAAGGACTCGATCTGAAGAATCCACAGGATTGATTGAATATTTTATATATATATAGATCGAATTTATTACATTATTATATATATATATGCTATTCTTACATTGCCAGATCTTGAGTTCGATTATGATTTATAATTTATTGCATGATCTTGTCAGTTTCGTAAACTTGAAGCATCCCTCTTCCAATGGGGGCTTATTTAAATAAGATAAGGCTTTTCTTGGTGACCATACACAGTGTGCAACAAGGATAAAATTCAGATTTTGATACCATACGTCTGTCACATGTGAATCAAACTTTGGCATAAACCAAAAATTTCCAGATCAACATAAATGTCGATCTTGGCAAAGACCCTTCTCCCTTTCATCTTCTTGCTTGCAATCTTGCACAATTCAGGTAACCATGTTAATGCTTTTCTTAAATAATAATTGTTATTCCATTAGTTAGTTCTATTTCATAAAATTTATAGTGAAATATAACAACAATGTCAATGTATGACATTAGAGGGACAGTTTGAGGACTATTGTGTGGCAGACGAGCAAACGGTGGAGGAGCAGCTGGCGGCAGCCATGGATTGGGCTTGCCGGAATGGCGCCGACTGCCGGCCAATCCAGGCTGGCGCGGCGTGCCATCTTCCCGACACGATCAAGGATCACGCCTCCTTCGCCTTCAACAGCTATTACCAGAAGATGAAGAGCCATGGCGGCAGCTGCTACTTCAATGCTGCAGCTGTTCTAACAGCTACTAATCCAAGTAAGAAATACCAATACTACTAATTCATTCACATTCATCCTTTAATTCAATTCCAATTATATATATATATATCCTAAAATTAAATTTGTGTTAATTTGGCTGTAGGGTCGGATTAAGAAATTATGTTGTCTGAATTTATTTGGTGCAGGCCATGACTCCTGCAAATATGAGTATCTTCCTTAGCTTCAAAACTTGGGCTTGAACTTGGACTCGAAGGGCCTCTTCTTGTCTTCTATACTGCAGTTTGAATTTTTATTTTTTTTGTATTTTTGCAATATTGTTTACTTCAAACAAGTTTGTGTTTGTATTGTAATACAAAAGAAAATGATATATATATATATAAAAGTGAACCTATTTTTTTTTTTTTTTTTTCAAAATGTAAATGAAAAATAATAATAACAATAATAGGGTATGGAATAAATGTTTTGAAAGACTAGTTTGCACATGGTGTGAACACCTTTAATAATTATAACTTGTGATTGCCATAACAAGAATGTTGATGTATATTATAATGGTAATTGACAGGCCTGCATGGGCCAATTGATTTATCCACACATAAAAAAGATGTAGTACTGTCCCAATTAAATTTTTGGTATTGTTTAGGGATGAGACAACAACTTGTACGAGAGAGTGCACCATGACCATGTCCTTTGGATTTTTGTGTAATCATTTGGAAATCTAAGATGGAATTTGTACTATAAACATTATCATAATTGTAATTTGGCAGGCCTAGCCCTTCTTGAAAAAAAAATAAAAATTGCAATTTTTTACAGTTCACAGTAAAGACAAAAGAACTCACTTCTACACTTCTTAAAAATGAAGAGAGAGAGAGAGAGAGAGAAACAAAAAACAGAGAACCAACCAACTATCCAATCTCATCCCCTTATCTGCTACTGTGTCGTCTCTGTGTGTGTGTGAGGAAGAAGGAATTGAAAAAAAAAAAAAAGATTCCTGAATGTTAGGCCTTGTTCATTCATAAATGCTTTCCAGATTTCACAGCACCCCAACATTCAATGTCACAGTAGCCCACATTTAATACTCCATCAAGAATTCATTAGATGAGATGAGATGATCGATTATGAGTAGTTGGCCTCAACCCCCTCCCTACAAACCCTAATAATCACCATTACAGAAGCTCTTGATTTGCTTTTAATGATGGATCGGATTTGGATACAGACGACGACGACGACATTCTTGATTTCTTTCTCAGTGCCCGCTACCAATATCCAAAATCGAAACCTTTTTTTTAATTATTATTATTGAATCCATACTTAATGTGCAGGATTGAAGACTAAGCCACTTTCATTTGGTGTCTATTTAAGTGTTGGAACAAAGGTAGGTGAAAGCATTCAGTTCTGGCAGTACTGTGTGTGTGTTCTTCTGCTTCTCTCTCTCTCTCTCTCTCTAACCCTCTTCCCCAATTTCTCCTTGTTTTTTTCTCAGCCCCAATTGCTGCTGCAGCATCTGTGTTGCTCATTATTTAATTTAGCTGTAGTTTTCTGCAACCATGAGTTATTTGGGTGTGGGTGTGAGCCCTGGAAATGTTCCTGTCTACCATGGGAGCAATCTCAAGGTGCTCGACAGGAGAGTGAAGCTTGCAGAGCTTGTTTTGAGATGTGTCATCTGTGCTTTAGCCATACTTTCAGCTGCCCTCATAGCTACAGATTCTCAGGTCAGGGAATTCTTCACCATTCGCAAGGAAGCAAGATTCACAGACATGAAATCCCTTGTGTAAGATCTCACCTCAATACTATAATAATGGGGATCTTTATTGTGTTCTTGTGCTAATGTTTATGCCTTCTTCTGCAAATTTTCGAAGCTTCTTGGTGACTGCCAATGGATTAGCTGCTGCCTACTCTCTGATCCAAGTTTTGAGGTGTATTGTGAGCATGATTAGAGGCACTGTTCTGTTCAATAAACCCCTGGCTTGGGCCATTTTCTCTGGAGATCAGGTTTAGATCATTGAACCCTAATGTTTGTTACTTCAATCTGTTTAAATTTGAAGAACTAGTATTCAATTTTGTCGAATCAATCCATAGAAACTGAGATCTACACAGGAAAATTTGATATATTTGTGTCGGATTTGATTTGGACGCTTCAGGCAATGGCGTACTTAACAATGGCTGCAATTGCGGCGTCGGCGCAGTCAGCAGTTTTTGCGCAATTCGGGCAAAAAGAACTCCAATGGATGAAGACTTGCAATCTTTATGGGAAATTCTGCAACCAAGTCGGCGAAGGCGTAGCCTGCGCCGTAATCGTTTGCCTCGCTTTGGTGGCACTCTCCGGCATTTCAGCGTTTAGTCTCTTCCGTCTCTACGGAGGCAACAAATCGAAGACCAGTAGCAACTGGTAATAAAGCTCGTCGTGATCTCGACCATTTCTGTTTAACACGAATATATGTAATCCTGTTTTGAGGCCATAAACAATAGATTGTTCCACATATGTATTTATGGATATATAATCGAAAGATCGCGTTCTTTAAGCTTCGAACCACGCTGTAAAAAAGACAGGTAAATACAAAATAAACATCGCCCGGACAGTGCAGAAATTCAAGAACTCAGAAAAATCGAGAAGTTGCAACAGCAGCAACGTAGGAGCTTAATATCTACAGAAACTTATTACGCGTAATTTTTCCCCGAGCACGGCTGCTTCCATCAGACCAGCGGATGGGGCGGATTGAACTCATTCCCGGGTTCGAAGACTGGCACGATTCTGAGCTTTTGGACAGCTTATTATTAGCACAAGAACTGTAAGAACTGTAAGCAGGTTCATCGGGGGTACCGTAGACATAAAATTCCTTCAACAAATAATACACAGTGTGAGAACATCTAACATAAATTTGAAAATATGTGACATCCAGTACCGGAAAGAAATTAGAATAAAATAAAAAAAATAACGATAACCTATGCTAAACAGGCAAAATAAAACAGTGTTGAAATCTACTACTTTTTTTGACCAACAAAATGTATGCATATGCTCGTATAGTAAAACGAAAAACAAACACACGAAACACATTTTCAACATGCTTAACGAAATATTGTGAGCATCTACTCGTGCACACACACCCACAAAAAAAAAAAAAACCATTAAATACCAAATTCACCTAAATTATTGTTGTCGAAATTGGCCTCTAAATCTTGCTGCACTAACCCCACGTGTTATCCCTCTAACCTTATGATGTTATTCTTGATTCAACCACAATAGAAACACCCAATTTGATCCCAAAAAAAATGAAAAAATTATAATACTATCGAACATCAATTTAAGGTCTGTTTGGTTTGAGAATAATGGAGGGGAAGGTAGGGGATGGGAGGGGAGAAAAAAAATATATAATTATCTAGTTTGGTTCTATTTTTTTAAATAGGGAAAGAGAGGGGGAAAAATATAAAATGAATTCATTTTGATTTCCTTCAAAATTGGGGCAACTTAGAGTGAAGAATATATATATATATATATTTAATTTATAAATTATTTTATTTGTATTTAATTATACATAAATTATATTATACGAAATTTATAGTTAAAAATTAGTTATGATATTTAAAAATTATATAATGCAATTAAATTATAAAATAAATTTTTATATAAATCAAATTAAATTATTTTTAATTTAATCATTTAATTAAACCATCAAGAGTGAGGTTTTAATTAACAAAATAAACTTATATCTATCATATTTATTTAACACTAAACGATATTTATCTTGTAATTTATTCTAAATAAATAAATTTATGTTAGAATAATTATTTTTTATTAAAATTATTCAATTTTCTTATATATAATTTTATTTTACTCTGTTTTAGGCCCCGGTTGCGAGTGAGATGAATCGAGGTAAAAGGAACATGCTTAGCTTTGATGATTTTTTGTCTTTATACGCGTGAACTGACGATGATTGCTTTCAATCCGTTCAGACAAAGACCGAGAGGACCAGATGGACGAGGTTACTGCACGACTGCAGTTGATTCATGAAGTGTCCCATGTTTTTTATGTGCCATTGTTGTCTTTAATAAACCTTCACAAGGTTTAGGTTTGAGGTTTGGATATAATAATGATTTAAATTAAAATAATATTTTATATGATATTTTAAATGATCCGAGATCAGAATTAGACCTGATAGAAACAGACAAGCTTTTTGGACATCGCTTACCAATGGATTTTTGAATACATTGACCGGAGATCGCTCTTGGCGAATGAGCAATTTTACTTCAATAAAGTGATAACAACATTAGATATAGAGACATACAATACTTATTTATGTTAATATAATATAAATATAGGGCATAAATTGATAGTAACAAGTGATATAATTTTATATAATATATGCTATTATTAATTTCAATACAATAAATATATTCATGTACTATAGAAAATGAATGTTGTCTTTATGTTTATATGTTAAGATTAAGGAAAATCAATGTTATGCTGATTTTTCTCAGCAACATTATAACCATCTCCTAGGGAATGAGTAGTCCTCACAACGATGAATTTTGTTCCATGGATTGACTACTTACAAGTAGATATTTGAAATTACATCCGCGACAATATCTCTAGTCCCATTTTACAAATATTTGCGTGGCTAGGTAAATCTACAATAACGTTTGCAAAAATTATTACAAGTGCCCTTCGGACAATTGATAAGTTGGAGGGCATATACGGTGATTTGTCACTATCTTTGTTTGATCAGAATTGTTGAGATATTTTAGATATTTAGTTTTAGATTTAGATTTAGTAGATTTAAATTTAAATTTGTCTTATCTTATTCTATCGAGTCTGTGTATATTATGTGTATTTATTGGTCTTTATTTTCTTTATTTAAGAATGCAATTTTTGAGTTCTTATAATTAATTTCTCACAAATCATTTACTTAACCGTCAAATTAATGGTTATGTAAAGGACTCTTAACTCCTTAGACAAAACTTATATTTTTCCATGGGTGCCGGAGAAACTTTCAAGTGTGCACAAGTTCGAATACAAAAATTGTTCGAAGCATCTATCGATACCATCCATCTACAAGCTTGAATTTGTTCCAATATTTAACATCAATGAATGATCTAATGATGGTGTCAAAATCAAATTTCATTGTGTTAAAGATGGGAGACTCATCTTTCACCATGGGTTTTTAAAATGGTCCGAAAAACTATCCAAACAAGGAATTAATTAGGGTTTGTTTGTCCATAATTTTTTTTCTAACACGATTTACAATATTTATATTTTATTTTCTTACAAAAATCAACATTCAATATAAAATATTACTACTTCACATAAAAAAAAAATTCAAAATCAAAACACTATCTTTTGATATAGTTTGGAAAATTTTGATTTGAAATTGATATTAAAATAATGTATAATGAGATATTTAATGAGCGAAAAATATATATATTTTTTTTGAAAATGCAGTTCAAATAGTAAAAAGCTGGAGTTTAGGGTTAAAAAAACAAAATCTAAATAAAGAAAGCCTTACACTTTTAAAAAAGCGTACATATATAAGATTAAATATCTAAGCTAACTTTTTTTTTTAAAAAAAAAAAAAAAAGACCAAAGTCTATTTTGATGCAAATATGAAATAGCCATATTGAAAATAGTTGTGACATAATTACTATTTTTTAATATTTTATCACTTTAAAAAAATAATTAACAATTGTCAAATCTTGTCAATTTCAAAGGATTTTCCATTTATCCACTGATTTAATCAATTTCCTTAATTAAAACTACTAATTACCAAAAGAAACTAATCGACTATACATTTTTAAAATTTAAAATTCCTAATGGTTGCATCAAATAAAAAATTGCATCAAATAAAAAAAATCCGATTTGATCATTTTCCTTAATTACTATTTCTAATTACCAAAAGAAACTAATTAATACATACCATAGATTTTTAAAGGTCAAAATTTCCAATGATCACTTTTCTTAATTAATACTAATAATTATCAAAAGACCCGTAATTTATATATACCACACAATGTTAATTTATGGCACGATTTAAAATTTTAATTTTAATTTTTTTTACATAACTACATTAATAATTTTTTATAGAAAATCTAAATTTGAATATATATTTTTAGAGTTTTAATATGACTACAAATAATTACTTCAAATATAAAAATAATTTATGCTAAAATTAATTATCTATTTTATCAATAAAATATTAAATAAATAAAACATCTCATTATATTTTAAAATAGTTAATTATAGGTGGAAAAATAATTTGATTTAATATTTTTTGTATACAAAAAGTAATAATATAACATCGAGTAGTACTTTTTAGTTATAAAAATTTGAAAAATTATTACCATACTTAAACCGAACTTCATAACGGTAAGGAAGAAACTAGAAAGAAACGAGAGAGAGAGACAGACAGACAGAGAGGGGGAAGGAAATGGAGAGAATGAGAAAGTACAGAGACAAGAAGAGAGGAAATCGATCACGGAAGAGACTGTCTTCCGTCGTCTACGCCGGTCGTCGGCCGGCGGCCATAAGAAAGTCCGTCGTCCCTAATCATCCGTTTTAGGTTTTCCATTTTAAATTCAATCTGCTTCTTGATTCGATTTTTTCATTTTTCTTTAATCGAATCGGTTCGATTTTACAAGTTTCCTTTCTGATTGCAGAAGAAGATCGAGAGAAAGGAGAAAAACCAACGCTTTGCCCGGCCTTCGTTCGTTCTGCTCTGCTCTGCTCTGCCCACCGGACCCCTGTAAGTTGGGTTTTCTGTTCATCTTGGATTAGATTGGTCTGCTTTTGCATTTTCTTGTTTGGGGCTCATGGACTTTATATTTCCCCCTTCCAGGATATCAACTATGTCGATGCATTGTTATTTCACTTGCTATCCATTACTGTTTGAACCTTGCCGAGCTTAATATTTTAATTCCTTCCTATGTGAGGACTTTGAGCCTAGAGCATTCGATATTTATATATTTTTTGTGTGATGTTAGATCTAAATTGGCATTCTAGAACTTGCCTCGAAATGCATGTTGAACACACATGAGGACCTGATATAAGTAAGATGACGGGGGCATTAGGTATACCTACTTGGCTTAAATTATCCTACCCAAAAATTTTATCCACTAGTTAACACTGTTGAGCCTTTTGAAAACCTTTTCATTCTTCAATTAATCATTAATCCTTTAGCCATATACCATTTTTTGGATTTATACCTTATATTGATCCTTGTGTCGAAGGAAGAGTGGAAGTTTTATGGCTATCATTTATATTCTTCTTGTATAAAATGTAGAAAGGGAAAGTATAGTGTTGTTGATGTTTACAAAAAAGAAAATAAAACAAAGGGGCTAGACCCCAACAAAACAAAAAAAAAAAAAAAAAAAAAAAAAAAAGCAAAACAAAAAACAAAGTGCTGAAACAAGAAAACAAAAAGAAGCAGCACAAAAAAGTAAAAAAAAAAAAAACAAAAAGAAACAAAAATGAATGGAGTTACGGTTACCAATGTAATGTTGATTTCAGTTCTTACAAGTGATATGCTTTAATTCTTTCCATTGTTGTTTCGACACTTTTTAGCCGTTCATGATCCTTTTTTCTACCTATACCCCGAGCCCCATTACACCTGTTTAAAGACCCCCTGATACTTGTCATTAGGTCCCTTAAGTGAGGGAGATATGATTGACATGCAAGCCTATGGGATTGTCATTTTAATGATTTAACTTGAGTGCATACACTAACCCATGGTGAGGTTTGTTGAGCTCAGCTTGGTTCACTAATTATTATTATCCATTTAGCTGTGATGCCGGGTGAAAGATTGGAGTGCATTGGTCAAGGTAAGTTAACTATATTTTAATTGAAATACTTTCTACGAATATATATTTTTCATGTCTTTTATGCATTGCAACTTAGATAACCCGTTTATAAGTATGCATGGTTCTCATTTAATGTTTTCTTTTATAATGCAGTACCACAATGGAAATGCACTGCCTACTCAAAGAAATGAACAACAAGAAGGAGAAAAAAAAAATCAGAAAAAAAAGAACTGAAAAAAAGGAAAAAAAAAAAAAAGAGAAAAAAGAAAAAGAAAAGCAAAAAAAGAAAGTCAATCAAAGTGCAGATGTCAAACCTGTTGGTGGCTGTGAAAGAAAACATGAAAACAAAGTGGGTATATATAAATTTGCTTAGTTTCACTAAATTCTATTAGTTGTTAGTTTTTTTAGTAATAACATACTGTTCTTTTACATCAACCGGAAGCAAAGGAACTCATTAGGTCAAAACATCCTATGTCGGCCTTCATCTACTCACACAAGTGCCAAGCTGCATTAATTGTAGAAAATAAGAACATTGTGGAGGTAAACTGGCTTGGTTTGTTTTTTAATTTTTACTTCTTTTAAGTGGGTTGATTTGGAGTTGACAAACTAACATTTTAATTGTCTAAAACCAGGTTTTGAAGACCGTCGGTGAGGGTTGGACATGCAATACTTACCCCAAAAAAGTAAAATAAATAAAAGAAGAAAAGAAAAAAAAAATGAAACAAAAGAGAAAGCCAATCCAAATGCTCACTTCATAGAGATGTCAAACTTTTTTGGGGCAAAATGGAAGACAATTAATGAAGTCGTGAAGGAAAACAAGAAAACTAAGTAAGTATACATTAGTTTGTTTAGTTTTACTAAATCTTATTGTTTGTTAGTTTGTTTAATAATCATATATGGTTCCTTTACATAGATAGCAAGGAAAAGGACATATTAAAGCCAAAACATCCTATGTCATGTCTGAACTACATTGATTGAAGAGAATAAGAACATTATTGAGGTAAAAACTTGTTTGCTTGGTTTTCTAATATATATATATCTTTAAAGTGGGTTGAGTTTGAGTTAAGATAACACTAACATTTGATTGTCTAAATCAGATTGTGTCGGTGAAGAAAGGACATGAAGAATGTGCTTAATAGTACGGTCTGGCTATTCTTTTGAAGTTGAGAAGAGATATTCATCCTCTTTTGGATGCCAAAGCTGAAAAGGTAAGTGTTTGGGCAGGATGTAGTCTATCGTTGGCTTAATTACATCTCATTAATATTTTCTTTATAATGCAACACCACAATGGACATACAGTGCCTACCCAAAAAAACGAAAAGAAAAAAGAAAGAAAGAAAAAAAAAATCTGAAAAAAAAGGTTAAAAAAAGCATAAATGAAAAAAAAAAGAGAAAAAAGAAAAAGAAAGATAAAAAGCATAAAAGTTAAAAAAAAAAAAAAAAAAAAAAACTGTGAAAGAAAAAAAGAAAAAAAGGTGAGTATATATGAATTTGTTTACTTTTACTAAATCCTATTGGTTGTTAGTTTGTTATACAATCATATATGGTTCTTCTACACAGAAGGACCCATTACGGCCGAAACATCCCATGTTGGCCTTCATCTACTCGAACAAGTGCCGAGCTACATTGATTTTAGAGAATAAGAACATTGTGGAGGTAAATTAGCTTGCTTGGTTTTCTAATTTCTACTTATTTTAAGTGGGTTGATTTGGAGTTGAATCAAACTAACATTTGAATTGTCTAAAACCAGGTTTTGAAGACCGGCAGTGAGGGGTGGACATGCAATACTTACCCAAGGAAAGTAAAATAAATAAAAAAGAAGAAAAGATAAACAGCAAAGAAAGCCAATCCAAATGCTCACTTCAAAGAGATGTCGAACTGTTGGGGGCAAAATGGAAGACAATTAGTGAAATCGTGAAAGAAAACAAGAAAACTAAAGTAAGTATACATTAATTTGTTTAGTTTTTACTAAATCTCATTGGTTGTTAGTTTGTTTACTAATCATATATGGTTCCTTTACATAGATAGGATGGAAAAGGACATATTAAAGCCAAAACATCCTATGTCAGGACTCCATCTACTCGAACAAGCGGTGAGCTACATTGATTGAAGAAAATAAGAACATTGTTGAGGTAAAAACTTGTTTGCTTGGTTTTCTAATATCTATATCTTTAAAGTGGGTTGATTTGGAGTTAAATAAAACTAACATTTAAATTGTCTAAAACCAGATTGTGCCGGTGAAGAAAGGACATGAATAATGTGCTTAAAAGTACGGTATGGCTATTTTTTTGAAGTTGAGAAAAGATATTTATCCTCTTTTGGATGCCAAAGCTTTTTGGGCAGGGGATGGTATATCCTTGGCTTAATTACATCTCATTAATGTTTTCTTTATAATGCAGCACCACAATGGACATGCAGTGCCTACCCAAAAAAACGAATAGAAAAAAAAAATTCTGAATAAAAAGAATAGTTAAAAAAAAAAGAAATGAAAAGAAACAGAAAAAAGAAAAAGAAAAGAAAAAAGCAAAAACTTTTGAAGAAACAGAAAGAGAAAAAAACAAAAGAATAGAAAAAAAAGAAAGTTGTGAAAGAAAACAAGTGTCGAGCTACATTGATTTTAGAGAATAAGAACTTTGTGGAGGTAAATTAGCTTGCTTAGTTTTCTAATTTCTACTTCTTTTAAGCGGGTTGATTTGGAGTTGAATCAAACTAATAATCATATATGGTTCCTTTGCATTGATAGGAAGGAAAAATACCCGTTAAAGCCGAAACATCCTATCTCAGCCTTCTTCTACTCAAACAAGTGGCGAGCTATATTGATTGAAGAGAATAAGAACATTGTCGAGGTAAATTTAGCTTGCTTGGTTTTCTAATATCTGTATCTTTTAAGTGGGTTGATTTGGATAAATAAAACTAATATTCTAATTGTCTAAAACCAGATTGTGAAGATGTGAGGGATGGACATGAAGAATATGCTTCAAAAGTATGGTTTTGCTACTTTGTTGAAGTTGAGAAGAGATATTCATCCTCTTTTGGATGCCAAAGCTAAAAAGGTAAGTGTTTGGGCAGGAGATGGTTTATCGTTGGCCTTATTTTGTGTTACAGTTTGCAAGTTTGTGCTTTTTTGGTTGTTGTTCTTACTGTATTATTTTGCAAAGAGATCAATAAAAAAGGTTGAAAAAAAGAAAAGAAAAAAAAAGAAAAGAAAAGAGCTGGAAAAGGGGAAATTTTTTTGAAAAAAACGGAAACAAAGATGAAAAAATTAAGAAAAAAAAAAAAAAGAAAAATGAAAAAAAAAAGGAGAAAGAGAAGAAAAAAATTGAAAAAAAAGCCAATCAGATGTTGACCTTAAGGAGATGGGGAACCTGCTGGCGGCAAAATGGAAAACAAGTCGCGAAAGAGAACAAGAAAACAAAGTAGGTAACTTGTTTAGGTCTACTAAATCCCATTGGTTGTTAGTTTGTTCAATAATCATATATGGTTTTTCCACATTGGCAGGAAGAAAAAGAACTCATTAAGCAGGAACATCCTATATCACACTGATTTCAGAGAACAAGAATATTTTGGAGGTAAAATAGGCATGTTTGGTTTCATGATCTCTACATCTTTTCAGCAGGTTGATTTGGAGCTGAGACTGATATTTGAATAGTTGAAAAATAGGTTGTAAAGACAGCTGGTGAGGTTGGACATGCAGGACTTACGCAAGGAAAAAAAAAAACGAAAAAAGAAGAACTACAAAGAGAGAAGGGTCAATGCTGAAATGTTGCGCACTTATGCTATTGACCTGCTGACTGCATGCTTGGAGAAGTATATTCCAATATTTTTATTTTCAATTTACTTCTGTTTTCTTTTTCTCCTCTCATAATTTCCTTTTGATGTTGCTTTTTCAGTGGTGGTCAGTTAGTGGAAGATGTGTTGACATAATGTGATATCTACGAGTACGGTTAACACAAACCAAAAGCTTCTAAGGTATTGTTTGACAACAAAAGTGTGTCTAGCATGGCTCTAAAGGCCAAAGAGGGTGGCAGGGGTAAGTCAAAGCAAGTGACAGAGAGTTTTCACATGGATACTGAGACTATCAGAGCCCATCCCACTGAGAGTGAACGTGAAAAAGATCGCACATCTATGGACAACCTTGATTGAGATGATGAGAGGTGTGGCAATAGGCAAACATATGGGGATATGTACTGGGGTGATGAGGAACATCTTGATAGTGTAGCTCCTGAGGTTGATGCATATGATGCTGAAGCAGATAGTGACGAGAAGTGGGATCTCTGCCAGTCAAAAGAAAAACCTGGTGGAAAATCTCATGGGGAAGAAGACTTTGAAGGAGTATCGATCGCGATCAAGAGGTAGGTCCAATGAAGGAGTTTCTGAGACATTACTGAGTTGGTTATGAAAGCAGTCGGAGCTGCTGAGCCGAAGCAAGAACAGACCATGCACCTGCCTGTGCCATTAAGGCTGCAGGTGCTGCTGCTGCTGAGGTCGTTAAGACAGCTGATTAGAGGTGAGCAGGTTCTCAAACCTCTCTAGGTTCTCGTTGAATGCTTGTTTCTCATGAACTTATTTGTGTATTTCTTTAGTGCAGGAATACAAGAAGACGAATGACGAAGAAGCTATTGTGGTTGCTGCATCCAGATCTTCATCACACTGTTATGGATGCTGCCAGTGCAGTTGCTCTTGCAAGGTTGGTGGTCCTATGCTTCATGAGATGTCTTTAACTGATGACAATTTCCTATATGTTTTAATCGTTTTGTGTTTGAGACATGGTTATTTATGCTATATATCTATATTTTCATTTGATATGTTGATACTTGTAGAATTCAAAGCCATGAATTTGCTGAATTTTCTATTCCTGGTGGTCATTCCCTTCTGAAGTTGAGAGAGAAATTCTGTATCCAGTGTCTGGTGTTTATTGGGGAGTATGTTGAAGTTCTTGGTTCTGTACTCCATGAGAAGGAGTAAATGTATGCCTTGCACTACTGCAGCGAAGTCTTAAGCTCGAAGAAACACCCTACACTAAATTCCTTATGAATGAACTTTGAAGCTAATATGTGCATTGGCTGCTCACAGAAAGTTTTCTGCATTGTTTGTTGATTGCGGTGGCATGGACAGACTCCTTGCGACTCCTAGAAATGCCCATACATATGTGGGTCTTTCTTCCTGCTTATGAACTATTGGGTCAATTCAGGTAGTTTGTCCTGCCCATATTTTTTGTTGTTTCCACTTGCACTAAATTCTTTATACACATTTTGGAATGATTTGGTTTTTTACTCTTTGTTTTCTTGCTGCTTTGTATCACTTGTTGAGGATGGTTATTGATTCACTCCGTACTTTTGCAGGTGATAATGAAGTGTGTTTGTTCTCTTCCGCCAAATATTGTCCATCAGATTGTTAAGTTGGCTGGAACTGCGACAATAATTCAGGGCACATCTCCTCTTGCTTGTGGATTCTATTCAACCTAACGATGGTGATGGCTATGATGAACCTGAGGTAATGTTGCACATCAACCGTATGGTTTATTTTAAAGTTGTTTGTGCCTCAATTAACTTTGAAAATTTTCATTGTCAAAATTGTAGATTGTTGAACCAGCATTGAATTTGTTAATAAATCTTGTGTGCCATCCTTCATCAATAAGCAATAAGCCAAGTCTCATGCAAGGTCAGCAATACGGAAATCAATCTGCTATGAACTCCAGGGACAAATTCAGAGAGGAATTTCCCAGAGCGTGGTCTAAATCAGAATGAATCAAGGGTTCGAACTGGGGAACTGACACCTATGCCATCATCTGTTGGTAACACTTCATCATCACAGGAATCTGCTTCATTAGTTGCTTCTGGTTTAGTTGGAGATCGCAGGATTTCGTGCTTGGCTTGGTGCTCAGCTTGAACAAGGATATCGTCAAGCTAGAGAAGCTGTTCGTGTAAAGCATGCTTCTTCAGCTTCTCCAACCTCGAATGGTGACATCCCCTGCAGCTCTTGATTGTCTTCGTGCTCTTACATGCCGAGTACTTTAGCAGCTAGTGATGCAGCGACTCCCACTTTGAGACCATTGAAAGAGGAGCAGCCATTGCTGCTGCTACTCCAGTTTCTTATCATTCTAGGTACTTGATAATCATTCCTTCCTAGATATATGGATCATGGTTTTTGGTTTAATTTTCTTCTGATCAACACCAACTTCAGGGCTTATCCATGAGCACCTTCAATTATCTGGATTAGGTTATCACCAATGCCATCCTTGGATGCTCCATCATCTTTAGCACAACACGCATCTGGGCAGGAGTTGTCATCAATACAAATAGAATGGCCATCTGAAATAGCAACTTGTGGATTCTTGTTGGATAGACCAAACTGGTGAACATACACTCAGACCATATGGATTCGAACTTGTTATGCACACCATCTGTTGAGAGTTTGCTAACCAGTCCGACCTATTTATCCTCATGTCTGCCCTGAGCCAAGCATTCAATGTTTGCATCACTGCCATCAGATTCATCCCGGCGTTAAATCCTTGTGTACGATGATATCCAGTCTTGTCAATTGGATCTGACACTGACTGATACTTCTAATAACCCGTCTGGACATGATCATGGATGTGATCATTCATATTGACTCAATGCTGCTTTGGAATGGAGTTTTGTGGGATCGCAAGACCAATTCATCGATTTTATCAATTTACTGCCTATGATGGTGGGGGCTACCATTCTGCTGGGAATGAGGTATTTGTAATGTTAACTATATTATGATTTAAAGTTTTAAATTTAAACTTGTAATAAATTCCTTGATATGAACAAAAAATTTTGATATTAGCTTATGCTTAAGTTTGATTATTTTTCCTCTAGAGGATGTCACTTCAGCATTCAACACACTCCGTGTGAAAGCCTTAAGCTTTGAGTAGATGCTTACATTTTTTTCGTTAAGCATGATGAGAATGTCCTTTGAACTTTTCGTTTTACTAGATGAGCATATGCATACATTTTGTGGTCAAAATAGTAGAGTCATATATTTATATATTTTTATAGTTTTGGGAGAAGTCTGAATGGATCTTGCAATTCGGGTGATATGACTTCACATTTTGCTGCTGCATCCACTTGTAGAGGATAAAAGTAAATCACCTAAAATTATTGTAATAGCTAGGTCAATTCATTATTTGCATAGATTTTCAGAAACCAATCTTATCAACTCCCTTCATAGTTAACCTCTAAATATTGCGGCTCTAACCCCACGTGTTGCTTATTTTATATTAGGGCAAGTGTTGTTGGTTGCATTTGTTCGGAATTTGTGTTTTTGCGTATTCATTTTAATTGCATGCCTCAATTAACTTTGAAAATTTTCATTGTCAAAATTGTAGATTGTTGAACCAGCGTTGAATTTGTTAATAAACCTTGTGTCATGAATAAGCAATAAGCCAAGTCTCATGCAAGGTCAGCAAGCTTCTTCTACCCAAGCTGGAATCAATCTGCTATAAACTCCAGGGACAGAAATTCAGAGAAGAATGTCCCAGAGGTGGTCCAAATCAGAATGAATCAAGGGATCAAACTGGGGAACTGACACCTATGCCATCATCTGTTGGTAACACTTCATCATCACAGGCATCTGCTTCATTAGTTGCTTCTGGTTTAGTTGGAGATCGCAGGATTTCATGCTTGGACAAGGATATCGTAAAGCTAGAGAAGCGTTCGTTCAAGGCATGGTATAAAGGTTCTTCAGCTTCTCCAATCTCGAATGGTGACATCCCCTGCAGCTCTTGATTGTCTTCGTGCTCTTACATGGAGTGCTTTTAGGTTGATGCTATTGCACATATATTGACCGAACTTCAGGTTGGTGTAGCTTAGTGCTGCTATTTTTTTGGTTTATTAATCAATTATAAAATTGACGGGGACCCATAGCTATAAGCTTTCTAATATTATTTTATTTGTTTATTTTTTTAGGTTTGGAAAAGTTTTCAAAGCTCATCCGAGTGGGAGCCAAACCGCCAGTGGTGACCAAAATAGATGGCAGGCGGAATTAACTCAAGTGAGCTTATTGGTATGGGCTCTAATTTCTTCATGTTATTATTAGATTTCAAGAGGAAACTTGGCCTAAATATGTGCACACTTTAGCTAGTATTACTCCTGACAAGCCTTACCCTCGATATATATATATATATACATATATTTGGCTGAATAACCTCTTGGCTATCTACCTCGATTATATATATTGTGATCCAATCTGGAAATACAAGTTATAACATTGGATAATACAGGCATAATGTTCATACGTGACCTTAGTCTTGTCAGATTTGTACATGTTCTTTTTGAGATTATATTTTGTTCCATTACGGGCGTGCAAGTATTGAGATGCATCGAAAGGGCATAGCTGCTGCTACTCCAGTTTCTTATACCTTCTTGCCTAGATATATGGATCATGGTTTTTGTTTAATTTTCTATTGATCAACACCGCCTTATCCATACTTACTTCAGGGCTTATCCATGAGCACCTTCAAGCATCTGGATTAGCTGAGAGTGCATCTTTGCTAAGTTATCACCATTGGCTGCTCCATCATTTAGCACAACACACATCTGGGCAAGAGTTGTCATCAGTACAAATGCAATGGCCATCTGAACGAGCAACTTTTCAGGAACACCATCAGTGTCTACTGGGAAATCAAGTGGCGATCCAGACAATCCGAGAAGAACTCCAATAGTGTTGCCAATGAAACGGAAAAACAGACATGAAAGAAAATGGGTTTGGATCATCGGTAAAACCGGTGAACATACACTCAGACTACCTGGTTTTTCAACACCGAATTCTGCTTGTAGAAGTGGTCTGCAGGTGGATTCGAACATACATTTAAGGCGAGGAAGACGATGATGATAGTGGCAGTGAGGTTCTTGAATCTTTCAGCAGTGACTATCTTCTGTGATCGATCCTTCTTAAAGCTGCAATCCTACAGCTGAAGATGCTCACACTTTTACGATAAACCTCATGAGAATTGGTATGTAACTTTCTTTAATTGTCGAGATTAAATTGATGCTCAATAGTATTATAGCTTTTTCATTTTCTTGGGCTCAATTTATGTGTTTTCTCTCTATTGAGGTTGAATCAAGAACAACATCGTGAGGGGCAAGGCTAATAAACCAAACCCGATGAGAATTGGTATGTAGCTTTCTTTCATTTTATTGAGATTAAATTGATGTCTGATATCAAATTGATGTGTTTTCACTCTGGTGAGGTTAAATCAAGAACAATCATGATAAGAATTGGTACGTAACTTTCTTTTTATTTTGTTGAAACTCAATAGTATTATAATTTTTTCATTTTGTTTGGATCAAACTGATGTGTTTTCTCTCTATTGAGGTTGAATCAAGAACATCATCTTGAGTAGAGGGAAGTATTAGAGGCCAAATCCGACAAGAATTGGTACGTAATTTTCTTTCTTTTTTTGGGATCAATAGTGCCAGATTTTTCATTTTGTTTTCTCTCTATTGAGGTTGAATCAAGAACAGCATTGTGAAGTTAAATGGGCAAGGCATACGGACCAATCATGATAAGAATTGGTAAGTAACTTTCTTTTATTTTGTTGAGACTCAATAGTATTATAATTTTTTCATTTTTTTGGGATTAAACTGATGTGTTTTTTCTTTATTGAGGTTGAATCAAGAACACAACATCATGAGTAGAGGGAAAGATTATAGGCCAAATCCGACAAGAATTGGTACGCATTTTTCTTTCTTTTTGTTGGAATCAGTGCTAGATTTTTCATTTTGTTTTCTCTTTATTGAGGTTGAATCAAGAACAAAATTGTGATGTTAAAAGGGCAAGGCATACAGACCAGACCAATCATGATAAGAATTGGTACGTAATTTTCTTTCATTTTGTTGAGACTAAATAGTATTATATTTTTTTCAATTTGCTGGGATCAAATTGATGTGTTTTCTCTGTATTGAGGTTGAATCAAGAACAACATTGTGATGTTAAAGGGGCAAGACATACAGACCAATCATGATAAGAATCGGTACGTAACTTTGAGACTCAATAGTATTATAATTTTTTTATTTTGTTAGGATCAAACTGATGTGTTTTCTCTCTATTGAGGTTGAATCAAGAACGACATCGTGAGTAGAGGAAAGGATTAGAGGCCAAATCCGACAATAATTGGTACGTAATTTTCTTTCTTTTTGTTGGGATCATTAGTACACTTGTCATCAAAACATACAATAAGCACACAACTAATCTTATTACCCAATTAATAAGCACCCAATTAAAATAAATACACGACAACCACAAATGTAAACAAGCACATATTCCAAACAGATATGCAACCTTGAAGGCACAAGCCTCCAACAAAAAGCAATAATATAATTTGAATAAAAAATACAAAATTTTACTTCTACCGTATCTACCCCAAATGATAATCAAACATGTAACTAAAACAAAATTACATACATCGGGTACAACTACCCCAATAGATAAGACATGAACAATTATAAAAGATATACAATGTTTTGAGTATACTTGCCGTCAAAACATACAATACGAGCTTTCAAGGCACTCCAATTAATATACATTAAAATAAATACGCGTCACCACAAATATAAAAAACTACACATTCCAAACAAATACATGCCCCCAACAAAAAGCAAACACATAGTTCAAATAAAAATTCAAATATTTAATTTTACCATGTCTACTTGCAAATAATATCACATAATTAAAACAAAAATACAAACTTCCGGATAGAGCTACCCTCATTGGATAAGACATGCACAATCATAAAAGATGTACAATATTTTGATTACACTTAGCCCTTACCAAATCTTTTTACATGCTTTCAGGGACTCCAAGTAATAAATATACAATTATAATAAATACGCAATAACCACAAAAAATTCACAATAATAAAAGATAGATAGATAAGACATGCACAATCATATAAAGGTGTACAATATTTTAAAAGTACAGTTGCCCTCAAAACATACAACAAAAAAATAAATACACAACAACTACCATAAATATAAAAAATTCAAACAAATATGCAATCTAAAAAAAAATCACAATTAAAACAATATCAGACACATAATTAAAACAAAAATTAAAGTATTGCGTGAGTCTACCCCAACATATAAGGCATGTATACTCACAAAAGATGTGCAATGATTTACACACACTTAAAATAAATATGCAACAATAACCACAAATACAAAAAATTACATATCCAACCTTTAGGTCACATAGTCTAGCAAAAATACAAACTTTTATTGATATCAAACACGTAATTAAAGCAAAATCACAAATATTGGATACATATATCACACAATTAAAATAAATACGCAGAAATACAAATTCGAAACAAATGCACCCAACAAAAGCAACCACCATAGTCCAAAAAAAGACGACATGCATAATCATAAAAGATATACAATATTTTAGTACACTTTCCCTCAATACCATTATAACACAAATAATGTTCATTACATGCTACCGAACGCATACTAAGATATGTATATATATATATATATACAAGCAATTAAAACATCTATAAGCATTTGGGGCACATTGGCCCTTAACAAATAATACACAGTGTGAGAACATGTAACATAAATTTGAAAATGTGTGACATCTAGTGCCGGATAGAAACTAGAATAAAATATAAAAAAAAAATATCGATAACCTATGCCAAACATGCAAAATAAAACAAAACAGTGTGGGAATCTACTATTTTTTTTACCAAAAAAATTTTATGCATATGCTCATATAATACAACGAAAAACCCACAAAGTACATTTTCAACATACTTAACGAAAAAGCGTGAGCATCTATTCGCCCACACACCCACAACAACAAAAAAAATTATAAAATTTTAATTAATCTTATTTATTTTTTCTGGGTGGATAAAAAACAATTTATTCATAGCTTTTGGCAATGATGGATGATCATGACATGTCTTTTTTTTTTTTTTTTTTTTTTGTTTCTTTTAATATTCTTGAAATACATATTATTGTAACAAGAAATAAATAAAAGGGGAGTAAAGAATTCCATAAACGGGAAAAAATGAAAAGGGTAATGTAGTAGTAGTAGTAGTGAATAGTGTGGTCACTAGACATACCACGTACGCACCCTCATCAAATTATTATTGCAATTATTGCAATAAAGTAAATGAAAATTTAGTAATGAATAATTTTAATTAATCCTAAAATTAAATTGTTTTATACTATAATAAATGGATATCTAACTTCTCTTATAGCTTGTGCACGAGACCAGACATGTGCTTTTGTAACATGAGGAATTTTTTTTTTTAATTTATAAAATTATTATTATATCCTTAATATTATATATTATTTTATCTGTATTTAATTATACATAAATTATATTATACGAATTTTATAGTTAAAAAGTAGTTATGATATTTTTAAATTATATAATGCAATTAAATTATAAAATAAATTTTATATAAATCAAATTAAATTATTTTTAATTTAATCATTCAATTAAACCGTCAAGAGTGAGATTTTAATTAACAAAATAAACTTATATCTCTATTATATTTATTTAACACTAAACGATATTTATCTTGTAATTTATTCTATTTAAATAAATTTATGTTAGAATGATTATTTTTTTATTAAATTATTCAATTTTCTTATATATAATTTTATTTTACTTTCTGTTTTATTTACCTTCGGTCACAATAACAAATCACACCTAATGATGGTAGATACGAAACCTGCATAAATATTACTTAATCAAAATATTTAATTCACACCAAAACTATCTTACAAATCCATAGTTGGAAATTTCAATTCAACCTTAAACTAGAATAAGAGTTTGGCCACTAAACATAATTAGAATCAAAAGCAAAGACGACAAATTTTACAGTCGTTCTTGTTCCAGCTGTCCGTGGGGTCCTCTTCTCTCCGAGATGAATTCCTTTTGATTTCTTGATTTTTATTGTTTAAACCGTGCACCCTCAAAATTAGTTTTGCAAATTTCTTATTTTTTTCCACAAAATTTTCTTTGGTGCAAATTTTCACAAATCTCTACGATCTTGCGAACAAATCATAGTGACCAAGTAAATACATCCCAAATGGAACACCGATGATTGAACTAGTAAAATCTATCATGAAAAATTATCCATTTCAAACAACAATAAACACTTGCATATATAGAGCTAATTAATGTTAGTAGCAGCTTTAATTCTTTTTGTCTTCCCATGAGATATGGTTACCAACTTGGAGATGCTTATTTGGGAATTTCTCTTGGTGAATTTCCTGTATTTGTTTAGCCGTTGTGCCAACACACGGACGACAATCTTCCACCTCTATCATCTTAAGGCTTTTGATGTTCCTGGAATCTCGCGCAATTTGTAACAGTGTCTGATAACCAGGCGCTCCAGTTTTGGGAAACGGCGAGAGTTGGCTCCCCACACCTCCATGTCCAAGTCTTCGGGGAGGCTGATTGCCAAGCAATGCAACGGACTACCGCTGGCGCTTGTGGTGATCGGAGGTATTCTTGTGGACTACACGTCGCAAGAAATGAGCGCAATCCGTGCGATGGCCCAGGACGCCGGGGTCCTCCCTCTCCAACTCGGTCGAGTCATTCCTGGCGGACGAATGCTATAGAGATCTGAAAAGGACTCGGTAACTAGTCTGAACAACGACGCTTCCCGCCCTTCGAACCGTTGCTACGTGGTATTCCCTTCTGCTTTGTAGTAGTAAAGGGGAAGATATGTCTCTCGAGCCTTTATTGTTTATTGAAGGAATAGGGTTTTGGTTTGGTCAAGAACGGTTGGTTCGCGAGAATCCTGGCTTCGTTGTAAAAGCCTATCCGGCTGAAAGGCTGAATCTTAGCTTAGTAAGACACCGCCTTTACTGACTCATCCATTCTCCTCTCGGATAATGTGAGCAATTACGTGAAAAACTACGACAAGGAGGATCGGATAGCGAAAACCGTGGCGTTGAGTTACAATAAGTGTCGGAAGAGCTGAAGAACTGTTTTCTTTACTTATTTATGTTAATATAATATAAATATAGGACATAAATTGATAGTACATGATATAATTTTATATAGTATATGCTATTATTAATTTCAATACAATAAATATATTCATATACTATAAAAAAAAATGTATGTTGTCGTTATGTTTTATATTTTATGATTGAAGCAAATCAATACTACGTTGATTTTTTCCGGTCAACATTATAACCGTCGCCTAGGGAATAAGTAGTCAATGATAATTTTATTTTATGGATTGACTACTTACAAGTAGATATTTGAAACTACACTTACGACAATATCTCTAGTCTCATCTTACAAACATTTACGTAGCTAGGTAAATCTACAATACGTTCATAAGAATTATTACAAGTGCCCTCCCAGCTATTGATAAGTTAGAGGGCATGTACGGTGATTTCTAAATATTTGTTTGATCAAAACGGTTGAGATATTTTAAATATTTAGTTTTAAATTTAATAAATTTATATTTAGATTAGGTCTTATCTTATTTAGATTCAAATTTATCGAGTTTGTATATTATGCCTATTTATTTGCCTTTATAACAATGCGATTTTTGAGTCTTTAATATTAATTTTGTCACAAAAACTATTTACTTAACCGTCAATTTTATGGTTACGTGAAGGTGACTCTCAACTCCCTAGACAAAACTCATATATGTCCATATGTGCCAGAGAAACTTTCAAGTGTGCACAAATTTAAATACAATAATTATTTGAAGCATTTATCGATGCTATCCTTAGCATTATATGATCTAAAAGCCTAAAATTTTTCCAAAATTTCACATCAACGACGGATCTAATATTGGTGTCAAAATCAAATTTCACTGTGTTAAAAGATGCGAGACTCTTCTTTCACCATGGATTCTTAAAATGGTCCGAAGAACTATCCAAACAAGATAATTAATTAGGGTTTGTTTGCCCCTAATTTTCTTTTTCCGACACGATTCATAATATATATATTTTTTTTTTACAAAAATCAATATTCAATATAAAATATTACTGCCTCACATTAAAAAAAAAAAATTCAAAATCAAAACACTAAGTAAAAAACCCCTTAGACTTTTAAGAAAGTGTACATATATAAGTCCAAAATACTATTCCATTGTATGTATAAAGCAAGAATACCAATATTGTGCTGCAACTTTTGTTAGCTTTATTATGCATAATATTTGTTACATTTTCCACAATGGAGTTTTAATTTGGGTAGTTCGAGTCGGTAGTTTAAAATTTCGGGTAATATTTTATATTATCCGACTTGACCTAAACATTTCAATTACCCGAAATATGTGGTACTCGACCTCTTCGAATTTGAATACCTAAATTTTCTTTTTTAGTTTTATTTTATTTTTTATGTTAAAAAGATAGTTTTACTATTTTTTAAATATAAATAAACTATTTCATGCATATAAATTTATAAGTGCTAAATTTTTAACTATAAATAATTCAAAAGTTATAAATATACAAAATAACATATAATGATGTACATCTATAATTATAAATTTAAAATTTCAATCGAGTTAAGTGTAAGCGACTTGAACTTTTAGTATATCTTAATTATTTTAAATTAGAGAAATGATAAAAAAAGAAATAATAATAATATTTAATAATATTAATAATATCATATTCAATCAATGTATATATATTATAAAAATATAAAATTAAATGTAATATATATTGTATTAAAAATCTTATAATCGAACTCCTATTTCAACTAATTACTATTATTAATAATAACCTATGTTAAAATATAATACCAAAACAAATTCGACTACCCGAACGGGTGTTGGGTGTAAACGTTTATACCCGATATCTTACCCTTTTTTTTTTTATCGAGTACCCAAAATTTTTATATATTTTCATAAAAAAACACCGACTCGATTAATCCAAATCCGATCTAGTGTCAGACCCTATCTACCCGACCCGAATGCCCATCCCTAATTTTAAGATAAGATTAAATATTTAAACTAACTTATTTTTTTATTTTTTTATTTTTAAAGATAAGATGTAATTTGATGCAAATATAAAATAGCCATATTGAAAATAGCTCTAAAATAATTACTAATTTTCAATATTTTATCACTTTTTTTAAAAAATAACAATTGTCAAATCTTGCCAATTTCAAAGGATTTTCGATTTATCCAAACAAATTTTTGATTTGATCAATTTTCTCAATTAATACTACTAATTACCAAAAGAAACTAACTGATGTCGACTATATATTATTAAAATTTAAAATTCCTAATGGTTACATCAAATAATAAAAAAAAAATTCTAAGTTGATCACTTTTCTTAATTAATACTACTAATTACCAAAACAAACTAACTAATAGCAATTTTAATTAAATAGCACCCACTTAGATCCAAATTTTAATATATATTTTACATAACTACATTAATAATTTGTTACTATTAAAAATCTAAATTTAGATTTAAATTTTTAGAGTTTTAATATGATTACAAATAATTACTCCAAATATAAAAATAATTTATGCTAAAATTAATTATCTATTTTATCAATAAAATATTAAATAAATAATTTGATTTAATATTTTTTTATATGAAAAATAATAATATTATTTTTATCAAGTAGTGTGTTTTAGTTATAAAAATTTGAAAAATTATTACCATAATTTGAAATATTATTACCATACTTAAACCAAACTTCATAACGGGAAGGAAGATTATTACCATACTTTTGAAGCACGAGAGAGAGAGAGACAGATGGAAATGGGAGAGAAGAGAAAGTCCAGAGACAAGAAGAGCGGAAATCGATCATGGAAGAGACTGTCTTCCGTCGTCTACGCCGGTCGTCGGCCGGCGGCCATAAGAAAGTCCGTCGTCCCTAGTCATCCGTTTTAGGTTTTCCATTTTAAATTCAATCTGCTTCTTGATTCGATTTTTTCATTTTTCTTTAATCGAATCGGTTCGATTTTACAAGTTTCTTCGTCTGATTGCAGAAGAAGATCGAGAGAAAGGAGAAAAACCAACGCTTTGCCCGGCCTTCGTTCGTTCTGCTCTGCCCACCGGACCCCTGTAAGTTGGGTTTTCTGTTAATCTTGGATTAGATTGGTCTGCTTTTGCAATTTCTTGTTTGGGGCTCATGGACTTTATATTTCCCCCTTCCAGGATATCAACTATGTCGATGCATTGTTATTTCACTTGCCATCCATTGATGTTTGAACCTTGCCGAGCTTAATATTTTATTTCCTTCCTATGTGAGGACTTTGAGCCTAGAACAGTCAATATTTATATATTTTTTTTCATGTGTGATGTTAGATCTAAATTGGCATTCTAGAACTTGCCTCGAAATGCATGTTGAACACACATGAGGACCTGATATAAGTAAGATGACGGGGGCATTAGGTATACCTACTTGGCTTAAATTATCCTACCCAAAAATTTTATCCACTAGTTAACACTGTTGAGCCTTTTGAAAACCTTTTCATTCTTTAATTAATCATTAATCCTTTAGCCATATACCATTTTTTGGATTTATACCTTATATTGATCCTTGTGTCGAAGGAAGAGTGGAAGTTTTATGGCTATCATTTATATTCTTCTTGTATAAAATGTAGAAAGGGAAAGTATAGTGTTGTTGATGTTTACAAAAAAGAAAATAAAACATAGGGGCTAGACCCCAACAAAACAAAAAAAAAAAAAAAAAAAAAAAAAAACAAAACAGAAAACAAAGTGCTGAAACAAAGCAGCACAAAAAAGAAAAAAGAAAACAAAAAAAAAAAACAAAAATGAGTGGAGTTACGGTTACCAATGTAATGTTGATTTCAGTTCTTACAAGTGATATGCTTTAATTCTTTCCATTGTTGTTTCGACACTTTTAGCCGTTCATTATCTTTTTTCTACCTATACCCCGAGCCCCATTACACCTGTTTAAAGACCCCCTGATACTTGTCATTAGGTCCCTTAAGTGAGGGAGATATGATTGACATGCAAGCCTATGGGATTGTCATTTTTATGATTTAACTTGAGTGCATACACTAACCCATGGTGAGGTTTGTTGAGCTCAGCTTGGTTCACTCATTATTATTATCCATTTAGCTGTGATGCCGGGTGAAAGATTGGAGTGCATTGTTCAAGGTAAGTTAACTATATTTTAATTGAAATACTTTCTACGAATATATATTTTTCATGTCTTTTATGCATTGCAACTTAGATAACCCCTTTATAAGTATGCATGGTTCTCATTTAATGTTTTCTTTTATAATGCAGTACCACAATGGAAATGCAGTGCCTACTCAAATAAATGAACAAAAAGATCGCAGAGAAAATAAATCAGAAAAAAAAAAAGAAATGAAACAAATGAAAAAAAAAACAAAAAAAAAAAGAGAACAAAGAAAGAGAAAGAGAAAAAAAAAAAAAGTCAATCAAAGTGCAAATGTCGAACCTGTTGGTGCTGTGAAAGAAAACATGAAAACAAAGTAGGTATATATAAATTTGTTTAGTTTCACTAAATTCTATTAGTTGTTAGTTTTTTTGGTAATCACATATGGTTCTTTAACATCACAGGAAGCAAAGGAACTCATTAGGTCAAAACATCCTATGCCGGCCTTCATCTACTCACACAAGTGCCAAGCTGCGTTAATTGTAAAAAATAAGAACATTGTGGAGGTAATTTGGCTTGCTTTGTTTTCTAATTTCTACTTCTTTTAAGTGGGCTGATTTGGAGTTGACAAACTAACATTTTAATTGTCTAAAACCAGGTATTGAAGACCGTCGGCGAGGGTTGGACATGCAATACTTACCCAAAGAATGTTAAATAAATAAAAGAAGAAGAGAAAAAGAAATGAAACGAAAAATAAAGCCAATCCAAATGCTCACTTCATAGAGATGTCAAACTTGTTGGGGGCAAAATGGAAGACAATTAATGAAGTCGTGAAGGAAAACAAGAAAACTAAGTAAGTATACATTAATTTGTTTTGTTTTGTTTTACTAAATCTCATTAGTTTGTAGTTTGTTTAATAATCATATATGGTTCCTTTACATAGATAGCAAGGAAAAGGACATGTTAAAGCCAAAACATCCTATGTCATGTCTGAACTACATTGATTGAAGAGAATAAGAACATTATTGAGGTAAAAACTTGTTTGCTTGGTTTTCTAATATATATATATCTTTAAAGTGGGTTGAGTTTGAGTTAAGATAACACTAACATTTGATTGTCTAAATCAGATTGTGTCGGTGAAGAAAGGACATGAAGAATGTGCTTAATAGTACGGTCTGGCTATTCTTTTGAAGTTGAGAAGAGATATTCATCCTCTTTTGGATGCCAAAGCTGAAAAGGTAAGTGTTTGGGCAGGATGTAGTCTATCGTTGGCTTAATTACATCTCATTAATATTTTCTTTATAATGCAACACCACAATGGACATACAGTGCCTACCCAAAAAAACGAAAAGAAAAAAGAAAGAAAGAAAAAAAAAAATCTGAAAAAAAAGGTTAAAAAAAGCATAAATGAAAAAAAAAATAGAGAAAAAAGAAAAAGAAAGATAAAAAGCATAAAAGTTAAAAAAAAAAAAAAAAAAAAAAACTGTGAAAGAAAAAAAGAAAAAAAGGTGAGTATATATGAATTTGTTTACTTTTACTAAATCCTATTGGTTGTTAGTTTGTTATACAATCATATATGGTTCTTCTACACAGAAGGACCCATTACGGCCGAAACATCCCATGTTGGCCTTCATCTACTCGAACAAGTGCCGAGCTACATTGATTTTAGAGAATAAGAACATTGTGGAGGTAAATTAGCTTGCTTGGTTTTCTAATTTCTACTTATTTTAAGTGGGTTGATTTGGAGTTGAATCAAACTAACATTTGAATTGTCTAAAACCAGGTTTTGAAGACCGGCAGTGAGGGGTGGACATGCAATACTTACCCAAGGAAAGTAAAATAAATAAAAAAGAAGAAAAGATAAACAGCAAAGAAAGCCAATCCAAATGCTCACTTCAAAGAGATGTCGAACTGTTGGGGGCAAAATGGAAGACAATTAGTGAAATCGTGAAAGAAAACAAGAAAACTAAAGTAAGTATACATTAATTTGTTTAGTTTTTACTAAATCTCATTGGTTGTTAGTTTGTTTACTAATCATATATGGTTCCTTTACATAGATAGGATGGAAAAGGACATATTAAAGCCAAAACATCCTATGTCAGGACTCCATCTACTCGAACAAGCGGTGAGCTACATTGATTGAAGAAAATAAGAACATTGTTGAGGTAAAAACTTGTTTGCTTGGTTTTCTAATATCTATATCTTTAAAGTGGGTTGATTTGGAGTTAAATAAAACTAACATTTAAATTGTCTAAAACCAGATTGTGCCGGTGAAGAAAGGACATGAATAATGTGCTTAAAAGTACGGTATGGCTATTTTTTTGAAGTTGAGAAAAGATATTTATCCTCTTTTGGATGCCAAAGCTTTTTGGGCAGGGGATGGTATATCCTTGGCTTAATTACATCTCATTAATGTTTTCTTTATAATGCAGCACCACAATGGACATGCAGTGCCTACCCAAAAAAACGAATAGAAAAAAAAAATTCTGAATAAAAAGAATAGTTAAAAAAAAAAAGAAATGAAAAGAAACAGAAAAAAGAAAAAGAAAAGAAAAAAGCAAAAACTTTTGAAGAAACAGAAAGAGAAAAAAACAAAAGAATAGAAAAAAAAGAAAGTTGTGAAAGAAAACAAGTGTCGAGCTACATTGATTTTAGAGAATAAGAACTTTGTGGAGGTAAATTAGCTTGCTTAGTTTTCTAATTTCTACTTCTTTTAAGCGGGTTGATTTGGAGTTGAATCAAACTAATAATCATATATGGTTCCTTTGCATTGATAGGAAGGAAAAATACCCGTTAAAGCCGAAACATCCTATCTCAGCCTTCTTCTACTCAAACAAGTGGCGAGCTATATTGATTGAAGAGAATAAGAACATTGTCGAGGTAAATTTAGCTTGCTTGGTTTTCTAATATCTGTATCTTTTAAGTGGGTTGATTTGGATAAATAAAACTAATATTCTAATTGTCTAAAACCAGATTGTGAAGATGTGAGGGATGGACATGAAGAATATGCTTCAAAAGTATGGTTTTGCTACTTTGTTGAAGTTGAGAAGAGATATTCATCCTCTTTTGGATGCCAAAGCTAAAAAGGTAAGTGTTTGGGCAGGAGATGGTTTATCGTTGGCCTTAATTTGTGTTACAGTTTGCAAGTTTGTGCTTTTTTGGTTGTTGTTCTTACTGTATTATTTTGCAAAGAGATCAATAAAAAAGGTTGAAAAAAAGAAAAGAAAAAAAAAAGAAAAGAAAAGAGCTGGAAAAGGGGAAATTTTTTTGAAAAAAACGGAAACAAAGATGAAAAAATTAAGAAAAAAAAAAAAAAAGAAAAATGAAAAAAAAAGGAGAAAGAGAAGAAAAAAATTGAAAAAAAAGCCAATCAGATGTTGACCTTAAGGAGATGTGGAACCTGCTGGCGGCAAAATGGAAAACAAGTCGCGAAAGAGAACAAGAAAACAAAGTAGGTAACTTGTTTAGGTCTACTAAATCCCATTGGTTGTTAGTTTGTTCAATAATCATATATGGTTTTTCCACATTGGCAGGAAGAAAAAGAACTCATTAAGCAGGAACATCCTATATCACACTGATTTCAGAGAACAAGAATATTTTGGAGGTAAAATAGGCATGTTTGGTTTCATGATCTCTACATCTTTTCAGCAGGTTGATTTGGAGCTGAGACTGATATTTGAATAGTTGAAAAATAGGTTGTAAAGACAGCTGGTGAGGTTGGACATGCAGGACTTACGCAAGGAAAAAAAAAAACGAAAAAAGAAGAACTACAAAGAGAGAAGGGTCAATGCTGAAATGTTGCGCACTTATGCTATTGACCTGCTGACTGCATGCTTGGAGAAGTATATTCCAATATTTTTATTTTCAATTTACTTCTGTTTTCTTTTTCTCCTCTCATAATTTCCTTTTGATGTTGCTTTTTCAGTGGTGGTCAGTTAGTGGAAGATGTGTTGACATAATGTGATATCTACGAGTACGGTTAACACAAACCAAAAGCTTCTAAGGTATTGTTTGACAACAAAAGTGTGTCTAGCATGGCTCTAAAGGCCAAAGAGGGTGGCAGGGGTAAGTCAAAGCAAGTGACAGAGAGTTTTCACATGGATACTGAGACTATCAGAGCCCATCCCACTGAGAGTGAACGTGAAAAAGATCGCACATCTATGGACAACCTTGATTGAGATGATGAGAGGTGTGGCAATAGGCAAACATATGGGGATATGTACTGGGGTGATGAGGAACATCTTGATAGTGTAGCTCCTGAGGTTGATGCATATGATGCTGAAGCAGATAGTGACGAGAAGTGGGATCTCTGCCAGTCAAAAGAAAAACCTGGTGGAAAATCTCATGGGGAAGAAGACTTTGAAGGAGTATCGATCGCGATCAAGAGGTAGGTCCAATGAAGGAGTTTCTGAGACATTACTGAGTTGGTTATGAAAGCAGTCGGAGCTGCTGAGCCGAAGCAAGAACAGACCATGCACCTGCCTGTGCCATTAAGGCTGCAGGTGCTGCTGCTGCTGAGGTCGTTAAGACAGCTGATTAGAGGTGAGCAGGTTCTCAAACCTCTCTAGGTTCTCGTTGAATGCTTGTTTCTCATGAACTTATTTGTGTATTTCTTTAGTGCAGGAATACAAGAAGACGAATGACGAAGAAGCTATTGTGGTTGCTGCATCCAGATCTTCATCACACTGTTATGGATGCTGCCAGTGCAGTTGCTCTTGCAAGGTTGGTGGTCCTATGCTTCATGAGATGTCTTTAACTGATGACAATTTCCTATATGTTTTAATCGTTTTGTGTTTGAGACATGGTTATTTATGCTATATATCTATATTTTCATTTGATATGTTGATACTTGTAGAATTCAAAGCCATGAATTTGCTGAATTTTCTATTCCTGGTGGTCATTCCCTTCTGAAGTTGAGAGAGAAATTCTGTATCCAGTGTCTGGTGTTTATTGGGGAGTATGTTGAAGTTCTTGGTTCTGTACTCCATGAGAAGGAGTAAATGTATGCCTTGCACTACTGCAGCGAAGTCTTAAGCTCGAAGAAACACCCTACACTAAATTCCTTATGAATGAACTTTGAAGCTAATATGTGCATTGGCTGCTCACAGAAAGTTTTCTGCATTGTTTGTTGATTGCGGTGGCATGGACAGACTCCTTGCGACTCCTAGAAATGCCCATACATATGTGGGTCTTTCTTCCTGCTTATGAACTATTGGGTCAATTCAGGTAGTTTGTCCTGCCCATATTTTTTGTTGTTTCCACATTTTGGAATGATTTGGTTTTTTACTCTTTGTTTTCTTGCTGCTTTGTATCACTTGTTGAGGATGGTTATTGATTCACTCCGTACTTTTGCAGGTGATAATGAAGTGTGTTTGTTCTCTTCCGCCAAATATTGTCCATCAGATTGTTAAGTTGGCTGGAACTGCGACAATAATTCAGGGCACATCTCCTCTTGCTTGTGGATTCTATTCAACCTAACGATGGTGATGGCTATGATGAACCTGAGGTAATGTTGCACATCAACCGTATGGTTTATTTTAAAGTTGTTTGTGCCTCAATTAACTTTGAAAATTTTCATTGTCAAAATTGTAGATTGTTGAACCAGCATTGAATTTGTTAATAAATCTTGTGTGCCATCCTTCATCAATAAGCAATAAGCCAAGTCTCATGCAAGGTCAGCAATACGGAAATCAATCTGCTATGAACTCCAGGGACAAATTCAGAGAGGAATTTCCCAGAGCGTGGTCTAAATCAGAATGAATCAAGGGTTCGAACTGGGGAACTGACACCTATGCCATCATCTGTTGGTAACACTTCATCATCACAGGAATCTGCTTCATTAGTTGCTTCTGGTTTAGTTGGAGATCGCAGGATTTCGTGCTTGGCTTGGTGCTCAGCTTGAACAAGGATATCGTCAAGCTAGAGAAGCTGTTCGTGTAAAGCATGCTTCTTCAGCTTCTCCAACCTCGAATGGTGACATCCCCTGCAGCTCTTGATTGTCTTCGTGCTCTTACATGCCGAGTACTTTAGCAGCTAGTGATGCAGCGACTCCCACTTTGAGACCATTGAAAGAGGAGCAGCCATTGCTGCTGCTACTCCAGTTTCTTATCATTCTAGGTACTTGATAATCATTCCTTCCTAGATATATGGATCATGGTTTTTGGTTTAATTTTCTTCTGATCAACACCAACTTCAGGGCTTATCCATGAGCACCTTCAATTATCTGGATTAGGTTATCACCAATGCCATCCTTGGATGCTCCATCATCTTTAGCACAACACGCATCTGGGCAGGAGTTGTCATCAATACAAATAGAATGGCCATCTGAAATAGCAACTTGTGGATTCTTGTTGGATAGACCAAACTGGTGAACATACACTCAGACCATATGGATTCGAACTTGTTATGCACACCATCTGTTGAGAGTTTGCTAACCAGTCCGACCTATTTATCCTCATGTCTGCCCTGAGCCAAGCATTCAATGTTTGCATCACTGCCATCAGATTCATCCCGGCGTTAAATCCTTGTGTACGATGATATCCAGTCTTGTCAATTGGATCTGACACTGACTGATACTTCTAATAACCCGTCTGGACATGATCATGGATGTGATCATTCATATTGACTCAATGCTGCTTTGGAATGGAGTTTTGTGGGATCGCAAGACCATTTCATCGATTTTATCAATTTACTGCCTATGATGGTGGGGGCTACCATTCTGCTGGGAATGAGGTATTTGTAATGTTAACTATATTATGATTTAAAGTTTTAAATTTAAACTTGTAATAAATTCCTTGATATGAAGAAAAAATTTTGATATTAGCTTATGCTTAAGTTTGATTATTTTTCCTCTAGAGGATGTCACTTCAGCATTCAACACACTCCGTGTGAAAGCCTTAAGCTTTGAGTAGATGCTTACATTTTTTTCGTTAAGCATGATGAGAATGTCCTTTGAACTTTTCGTTTTACTAGATGAGCATATGCATACATTTTGTGGTCAAAATAGTAGAGTCATATATTTATATATTTTTATAGTTTTGGGAGAAGTCTGAATGGATCTTGCAATTCGGGTGATATGACTTCACATTTTGCTGCTGCATCCACTTGTAGAGGATAAAAGTAAATCACCTAAAATTATTGTAATAGCTAGGTCAATTCATTATTTGCATAGATTTTCAGAAACCAATCTTATCAACTCCCTTCATAGTTAACCTCTAAATATTGCGGCTCTAACCCCACGTGTTGCTTATTTTATATTAGGGCAAGTGTTGTTGGTTGCATTTGTTCGGAATTTGTGTTTTTGCGTATTCATTTTAATTGCATGCCTCAATTAACTTTGAAAATTTTCATTGTCAAAATTGTAGATTGTTGAACCAGCGTTGAATTTGTTAATAAACCTTGTGTCATGAATAAGCAATAAGCCAAGTCTCATGCAAGGTCAGCAAGCTTCTTCTACCCAAGCTGGAATCAATCTGCTATAAACTCCAGGGACAGAAATTCAGAGAAGAATGTCCCAGAGGTGGTCCAAATCAGAATGAATCAAGGGATCAAACTGGGGAACTGACACCTATGCCATCATCTGTTGGTAACACTTCATCATCACAGGCATCTGCTTCATTAGTTGCTTCTGGTTTAGTTGGAGATCGCAGGATTTCATGCTTGGACAAGGATATCGTAAAGCTAGAGAAGCGTTCGTTCAAGGCATGGTATAAAAGGTTCTTCAGCTTCTCCAATCTCGAATGGTGACATCCCCTGCAGCTCTTGATTGTCTTCGTGCTCTTACATGCCGAGTGCTTTTAGGTTGATGCTATTGCACATATATTGACCGAACTTCAGGTTGGTGTAGCTTGGTGCTGCTATTTTTTTGGTTTATTAATCAATTGTAAAATTGACGGGGACCCATAGCTATAAGCTTTCTAATATTATTTTATTTGTTTATTTTTTTAGGTTTGGAAAAGTTATCAAAGCTCATCCGAGTGGGAGCCAAACCGCCAGTGGTGACCAAAATAGATGGCAGGCGGAATTAACTCAAGTGAGCTTATTGGTATGGGCTCTAATTTCTTCATGTTATTATTAGATTTCAAGAGGAAACTTGGCCTAAATATGTGCACACTTTAGCTAGTATTACTCCTGACAAGCCTTACCCTCGATATATATATATATACATATATTTGGCTGAATAACCTCTTGGCTATCTACCTCGATTATATATATTGTGATCCAATCTGGAAATACAAGTTATAACATTGGATAATACAAGCATAATGTTCATACGTGACCTTAGTCTTGTCAGATTTGTACATGTTCTTTTTGAGATTATATTTTGTTCCATTACGGGCGTGCAAGTATTGAGATGCATCGAAAGGGCATAGCTGCTGCTACTCCAGTTTCTTATACCTTCTTGCCTAGATATATGGATCATGGTTTTTGTTTAATTTTCTATTGATCAACACCGCCTTATCCATACTTACTTCAGGGCTTATCCATGAGCACCTTCAAGCATCTGGATTAGCTGAGAGTGCATCTTTGCTAAGTTATCACCATTGGCTGCTCCATCATTTAGCACAACACACATCTGGGCAAGAGTTGTCATCAGTACAAATGCAATGGCCACTGAACGAGCAACTTTTCAGGAACACCATCAGTGTCTACTGGGAAATCAAGTGGCGATCCAGACAATCCGAGAAGAACTCCAATAGTGTTGCCAATGAAACGGAAAAACAGACATGAAAGAAAATGGGTTTGGATCATCGGTAAAACTGGTGAACATACACTCAGACTACCTGGTTTTTCAACACCGAATTCTGCTTGTAGAAGTGGTCTGCAGGTGGATTCGAACATACATTTAAGGCGAGGAAGACGATGATGATAATGGCAGTGAGGTTCTTGAATCTTTCAGCAGTGACTATCTTCTGTGATCGATCCTTCTTAAAGCTGCAATCCTACAGCTGAAGATGCTCACACTTTTACGATAAACCTCATGAGAATTGGTATGTAACTTTCTTTAATTGTCGAGATTAAATTGATGCTCAATAGTATTATAGCTTTTTCATTTTCTTGGGCTCAATTTATGTGTTTTCTCTCTATTGAGGTTGAATCAAGAACAACATCGTGAGGGGCAAGGCTAATAAACCAAACCCGATGAGAATTGGTATGTAGCTTTCTTTCATTTTATTGAGATTAAATTGATGTCTGATATCAAATTGATGTGTTTTCACTCTGGTGAGGTTAAATCAAGAACAATCATGATAAGAATTGGTACGTAACTTTCTTTTATTTTGTTGAAACTCAATAGTATTATAATTTTTTCATTTTGTTTGGATCAAACTGATGTGTTTTCTCTCTATTGAGGTTGAATCAAGAACATCATCTTGAGTAGAGGGAAGTATTAGAGGCCAAATCCGACAAGAATTGGTACGTAATTTTCTTTCTTTTTTTGGGATCAATAGTGCCAGATTTTTCATTTTGTTTTCTTTCTATTGAGATTGAATCAAGAACAGCATTGTGAGTTAAATGGGCAAGGCATACGGACCAATCATGATAAGAATTGGTAAGTAACTTTCTTTTATTTTGTTGAGACTCAATAGTATTATAATTTTTTCATTTTTTTGGGATTAAACTGATGTGTTTTTTCTTTATTGAGGTTGAATCAAGAACACAACATCATGAGTAGAGGGAAAGATTATAGGCCAAGGAAAGTAAAATAAATAAAAAAGAAGAAAAGATGAAACAGCAAAGAAAGCCAATCCAAATGCTCACTTCAAAGAGATGTCGAACTGTTGGGGGCAAAATGGAAGACAATTAGTGAAATCGTGAAAGAAAACAAGAAAACTAAAGTAAGTATACATTAATTTGTTTAGTTTTTACTAAATCTCATTGGTTGTTAGTTTGTTTACTAATCATATATGGTTCCTTTACATAGATAGGATGGAAAAGGACATATTAAAGCCAAAACATCCTATGTCAGGACTCCATCTACTCGAACAAGCGGTGAGCTACATTGATTGAAGAAAATAAGAACATTGTTGAGGTAAAAACTTGTTTGCTTGGTTTTCTAATATCTATATCTTTAAAGTGGGTTGATTTGGAGTTAAATAAAACTAACATTTAAATTGTCTAAAACCAGATTGTGCCGGTGAAGAAAGGACATGAATAATGTGCTTAAAAGTACGGTATGGCTATTTTTTTGAAGTTGAGAAAAGATATTTATCCTCTTTTGGATGCCAAAGCTTTTTGGGCAGGGGATGGTATATCGTTGGCTTAATTACATCTCATTAATGTTTTCTTTATAATGCAGCACCACAATGGACATGCAGTGCCTACCCAAAAAAACGAATAGAAAAAAAAAATTCTGAATAAAAAGAATAGTTAAAAAAAAAAGAAATGAAAAGAAACAGAAAAAAGAAAAAGAAAAGAAAAAAGCAAAAACTTTTGAAGAAACAGAAAGAGAAAAAAACAAAAGAATAGAAAAAAAAAGAAAGTTGTGAAAGAAAACAAGTGTCGAGCTACATTGATTTTAGAGAATAAGAACTTTGTGGAGGTAAATTAGCTTGCTTAGTTTTCTAATTTCTACTTCTTTTAAGCGGGTTGATTTGGAGTTGAATCAAACTAATAATCATATATGGTTCCTTTGCATTGATAGGAAGGAAAAATACCCGTTAAAGCCGAAACATCCTATCTCAGCCTTCTTCTACTCAAACAAGTGGCGAGCTATATTGATTGAAGAGAATAAGAACATTGTCGAGGTAAATTTAGCTTGCTTGGTTTTCTAATATCTGTATCTTTTAAGTGGGTTGATTTGGATTTAAATAAAATTAATATTCTAATTGTCTAAAACCAGATTGTGAAGATGTGAGGGATGGACATGAAGAATATGCTTCAAAAGTATGGTTTTGCTACTTTGTTGAAGTTGAGAAGAGATATTCATCCTCTTTTGGATGCCAAAGCTAAAAAGGTAAGTGTTTGGGCAGGAGATGGTTTATCGTTGGCCTTATTTTGTGTTACAGTTTGCAAGTTTGTGCTTTTTTTGTTGTTGTTCTTACTGTATTATTTTGCAAAGAGATCAATAAAAAAGGTTGAAAAAAAGAAAAGAAAAAAAAAAGAAAAGAAAAGAGCTGGAAAAGGGGAAATTTTTTTGAAAAAAACGGAAACAAAGATGAAAAAATTAAGAAAAAAAAAAAAGAAAAATGAAAAAAAAAAAGAGAAAGAGAAGAAAAAAATTGAAAAAAAAGCCAATCAGATGTTGACCTTAAGGAGATGTTGAACCTGCTGGCGGCAAAATGGAAAACAAGTCGCGAAAGAGAACAAGAAAACAAAGTAGGTAACTTGTTTAGGTCTACTAAATTCCATTGGTTGTTAGTTTGTTCAATAATCGTATATAGTTTTTTCACATTGGCAGGAAGAAAAAGAACTCATTAAGCAGGAACATCCTATATCACACTGATTTCAGAGAACAAGAATATTTTGGAGGTAAAATAGGCATGTTTGGTTTCATGATCTCTACATCTTTTCAGCAGGTTGATTTGGAGCTGAGACTGATATTTGAATAGTTGAAAAATAGGTTGTAAAGACAGCTGGTGAGGTTGGACATGCAGGACTTACGCAAGGAAAAAAAAAAAAAACGAAAAAAGAAGAACTACAAAGAGAGAAGGGTCAATGCTGAAATGTTGCGCACTTATGCTATTGACCTGCTGACTGCATGCTTGGAGAAGTATATTCCAATATTTTTATTTTCAATTTACTTCTGTTTTCTTTTTCTCCTCTCATAATTTCCTTTTGATGTTGCTTTTTCAGTGGTGGTCAGTTAGTGGAAGATGTGTTGACATAATGTGATATCTACGAGTACGGTTAACACAAACCAAAAGCTTCTAAGGTATTGTTTGACAACAAAAGTGTGTCTAGCATGGCTCTAAAGGCCAAAGAGGATGGCAGGGGTAAGTCAAAGCAAGTGACAGAGAGTTTTCACATGGATACTGAGACTATCAGAGCCCATCCCACTGAGAGTGAACGTGAAAAAGATCGCACATCTATGGACAACCTTGATTGAGATGATGAGAGGTGTGGCAATAGGCAAACATATGGGGATATGTACTGGGGTGATGAGGAACATCTTGATAGTGTAGCTCCTGAGGTTGATGAATATGATGCTGAAGCAGATAGTGACGAGAAGTGGGATCTCTGCCAGTCAAAAGAAAAACCTGGTGGAAAATCTCATGGGGAAGAAGACTTTGAAGGAGTATCGATCGCGATCAAGAGGTAGGTCCAATGAAGGAGTTTCTGAGACATTACTGAGTTGGTTATGAAAGCAGTCGGAGCTGCTGAGCCGAAGCAAGAACAGACCATGCACCTGCCTGTGCCATTAAGGCTGCAGGTGCTGCTGCTGCTGAGGTCGATGTCTTTAACTGATGACACTTTCCTATATGTTTTAATCGTTTTGTGTTTGAGACATAGTTATTTATGCTATATATCTATATTTTCATTTGATATGTTGATACTTGTAGAATTCAAAGCCTTGAATTTGCTGAATTTTCTATTCCTGGTGGTCATTCCCTTCTGAAGTTGAGAGAGAAATTCTGTATCCAGTGTCTGGTGTTTATTGGGGAGTATGTTGAAGTTCTTGGTTCTGTACTCCATGAGAAGGAGTAAATGTATGCCTTGCACTACTGCAGCGAAGTCTTAAGCTCGAAGAAACACCCTACACTAAATTCCTTATGAATGAACTTTGAAGCTAATATGTGCATTGGCCGCTCACAGAAAGTTTTCTGCATTGTTTGTTGATTGCGGTGGCATGGACAAACTCCTTGCGACTCCTAGAAATGCCCATACATATGTGGGTCTTTCTTCCTGCTTATGAACTATTGGGTCAATTCAGGTAGTTTGTCCTGCCCATATTTTTTGTTGTTTCCACTTGCACTAAATTCTTTATACACATTTTGGAATGATTTGGTTTTTGACTCTTTGTTTTCTTGCTGCTTTGTATCACTTGTTGAGGATGGTTATTGATTCACTCCGTACTTTTGCAGGTGATAATGAAGTGTGTTTGTTCTCTTCCGCCAAATATTGTCCATCAGATTGTTAAGTTGGCTGGAACTGCGACAATAATTCAGGGCACATCTCCTCTTGCTTGTGGATTCTATTCAACCTAACGATGGTGATGGCTATGATGAACCTGAGGTAATGTTGCACATCAACCGTATGGTTTATTTTAAAGTTGTTTGTGCCTCAATTAACTTTGAAAATTTTCATTGTCAAAATTGTAGATTGTTGAACCAGCATTGAATTTGTTAATAAATCTTGTGTGCCATCCTTCATCAATAAGCAATAAGCCAAGTCTCATGCAAGGTCAGCAATACGGAAATCAATCTGCTATGAACTCCAGGGACAAATTCAGAGAGGAATTTCCCAGAGCGTGGTCTAAATCAGAATGAATCAAGGGTTCGAACTGGGGAACTGACACCTATGCCATCATCTGTTGGTAACACTTCATCATCACGGGAATCTGCTTCATTAGTTGCTTCTGGTTTAGTTGGAGATCGCAGGATTTCGTGCTTGGCTTGGTGCTCAGCTTGAACAAGGATATCGTCAAGCTAGAGAAGCTGTTCGTGTAAAGCATGCTTCTTCAGCTTCTCCAACCTCGAATGGTGACATCCCCTGCAGCTCTTGATTGTCTTCGTGCTCTTACATGCCGAGTACTTTAGCAGCTAGTGATGCAGCGACTCCCACTTTGAGACCATTGAAAGAGGAGCAGCCATTGCTGCTGCTACTCCAGTTTCTTATCATTCTAGGTACTTGATAATCATTCCTTCCTAGATATATGGATCATGGTTTTTGGTTTAATTTTCTTCTGATCAACACCAACTTCAGGGCTTATCCATGAGCACCTTCAATTATCTGGATTAGGTTATCACCAATGCCATCCTTGGATGCTCCATCATCTTTAGCACAACATGCATCTGGGCAGGAGTTGTCATCAATACAAATAGAATGGCCATCTGAAATAGCAACTTGTGGATTCTTGTTGGATAGACCAAACTGGTGAACATACACTCAGACCATATGGATTCGAACTTGTTATGCACACCATCTGTTGAGAGTTTGCTAACCAGTCCGACCTATTTATCCTCATGTCTGCCCTGAGCCAAGCATTCAATGTTTGCATCACTGCCATCAGATTCATCCCGGCGTTAAATCCTTGTGTACGATGATATCCAGTCTTGTCAATTGGATCTGACACTGACTGATACTTCTAATAACCCGTCTGGACATGATCATGGATGTGATCATTCATATTGACTCAATGCTGCTTTGGAATGGAGTTTTGTGGGATCGCAAGACCAATTCATCGATTTTATCAATTTACTGCCTATGATGGTGGGGGCTACCATTCTGCTGGGAATGAGGTATTTGTAATGTTAATTATATTATGATTTAAAGTTTTAAATTTAAACTTGTAATAAATTCCTTGATATGAACAAAAAATTTTGATATTAGCTTATGCTTAAGTTTGATTATTTTTCCTCTAGAGAATGTCACTTCAGCATTCAACACACTCCGTGTGAAAGCCTTAAGCTTTGAGTAGATGCTTACATTTTTTTCGTTAAGCATGATGAGAATGTGCTTTGAACTTTTCGTTTTACTATATGAGCATATGCATACATTTTGTGGTCAAAATAGTAGAGTCATATATTTATATATTTTTATAGTTTTGGGAGAAGTCTGAATGGATCTTGCAATTCGGGTGATATGACTTCACATTTTGCTGCTGCATCCACTTGTAGAGGATAAAAGTAAATCACCTAAAATTATTGTAATAGCTAGGTCAATTCATTATTTGCATAGATTTTCAGAAACCAATCTTATCAACTCCCTTCATAGTTAACCTCTAAATATTGCGGCTCTAACCCCACGTGTTGCTTATTTTATATTAGGGCAAGTGTTGTTGGTTGCATTTGTTCGGAATTTGTGTTTTTGCGTATTCATTTTAATTGCATGCTTCAATTAACTTTGAAAATTTTCATTGTCAAAATTATAGATTGTTGAACCAGCGTTGAATTTGTTAATAAACCTTGTGTGCCCTCCTTCATGAATAAGCAATAAGCCAAGTCTCATGCAAGGTCAGCAAGCTTCTTCTACCCAAGCTGGAATCAATCTGCTATAAACTCCAGGGACAGAAATTCAGAGAAGAATGTCCAAGAGGTGGTCCAAATCAGAATGAATCAAGGGATCAAACTGGGGAACTGACACCTATGCCATCATCTGTTGGTAACACTTCATCATCACAGGCATCTGCTTCATTAGTTGCTTCTGGTTTAGTTGGAGATCGCAGGATTTCATGCTTGGACAAGGATATCGTAAAGCTAGAGAAGCGTTCGTTCAAGGCATGGTATAAAAGGTTCTTCAGCTTCTCCAATCTCGAATGGTGACATCCCCTGCAGCTCTTGATTGTCTTCGTGCTCTTACATGCCGAGTGCTTTTAGGTTGATGCTATTGCACATATATTGACCGAACTTCAGGTTGGTGTAGCTTGGTGCTGCTATTTTTTTGGTTTATTAATCAATTGTAAAATTGACGGGGACCCATAGCTATAAGCTTTCTAATATTATTTTATTTGTTTATTTTTTTAGGTTTGGAAAAGTTATCAAAGCTCATCCGAGTGGGAGCCAAACCGCCAGTGGTGACCAAAATAGATGGCAGGCGGAATTAACTCAAGTGAGCTTATTGGTATGGGCTCTAATTTCTTCATGTTATTATTAGATTTCAAGAGGAAACTTGGCCTAAATATGTGCACACTTTAGCTAGTATTACTCCTGACAAGCCTTACCCTCGATATATATATATATACATATATTTGGCTGAATAACCTCTTGGCTATCTACCTCGATTATATATATTGTGATCCAATCTGGAAATACAAGTTATAACATTGGATAATACAAGCATAATGTTCATACGTGACCTTAGTCTTGTCAGATTTGTACATGTTCTTTTTGAGATTATATTTTGTTCCATTACGGGCGTGCAAGTATTGAGATGCATCGAAAGGGCATAGCTGCTGCTACTCCAGTTTCTTATACCTTCTTGCCTAGATATATGGATCATGGTTTTTGTTTAATTTTCTATTGATCAACACCGCCTTATCCATACTTACTTCAGGGCTTATCCATGAGCACCTTCAAGCATCTGGATTAGCTGAGAGTGCATCTTTGCTAAGTTATCACCATTGGCTGCTCCATCATTTAGCACAACACACATCTGGGCAAGAGTTGTCATCAGTACAAATGCAATGGCCACTGAACGAGCAACTTTTCAGGAACACCATCAGTGTCTACTGGGAAATCAAGTGGCGATCCAGACAATCCGAGAAGAACTCCAATAGTGTTGCCAATGAAACGGAAAAACAGACATGAAAGAAAATGGGTTTGGATCATCGGTAAAACTGGTGAACATACACTCAGACTACCTGGTTTTTCAACACCGAATTCTGCTTGTAGAAGTGGTCTGCAGGTGGATTCGAACATACATTTAAGGCGAGGAAGACGATGATGATAATGGCAGTGAGGTTCTTGAATCTTTCAGCAGTGACTATCTTCTGTGATCGATCCTTCTTAAAGCTGCAATCCTACAGCTGAAGATGCTCACACTTTTACGATAAACCTCATGAGAATTGGTATGTAACTTTCTTTAATTGTCGAGATTAAATTGATGCTCAATAGTATTATAGCTTTTTCATTTTCTTGGGCTCAATTTATGTGTTTTCTCTCTATTGAGGTTGAATCAAGAACAACATCGTGAGGGGCAAGGCTAATAAACCAAACCCGATGAGAATTGGTATGTAGCTTTCTTTCATTTTATTGAGATTAAATTGATGTCTGATATCAAATTGATGTGTTTTCACTCTGGTGAGGTTAAATCAAGAACAATCATGATAAGAATTGGTACGTAACTTTCTTTTATTTTGTTGAAACTCAATAGTATTATAATTTTTTCATTTTGTTTGGATCAAACTGATGTGTTTTCTCTCTATTGAGGTTGAATCAAGAACATCATCTTGAGTAGAGGGAAGTATTAGAGGCCAAATCCGACAAGAATTGGTACGTAATTTTCTTTCTTTTTTTGGGATCAATAGTGCCAGATTTTTCATTTTGTTTTCTTTCTATTGAGATTGAATCAAGAACAGCATTGTGAGTTAAATGGGCAAGGCATACGGACCAATCATGATAAGAATTGGTAAGTAACTTTCTTTTATTTTGTTGAGACTCAATAGTATTATAATTTTTTCATTTTTTTGGGATTAAACTGATGTGTTTTTTCTTTATTGAGGTTGAATCAAGAACACAACATCATGAGTAGAGGGAAAGATTATAGGCCAAATCCGACAAGAATTGGTACGCATTTTTCTTTCTTTTTGTTGGAATCAGTGCTAGATTTTTCATTTTGTTTTCTCTTTATTGAGGTTGAATCAAGAACAAAATTGTGATGTTAAAAGGGCAAGGCATACAGACCAGACCAATCATGATAAGAATTGGTACGTAATTTTCTTTCATTTTGTTGAGACTAAATAGTATTATATTTTTTTCAATTTGCTGGGATCAAATTGATGTGTTTTCTCTGTATTGAGGTTGAATCAAGAACAACATTGTGATGTTAAAGGGGCAAGACATACAGACCAATCATGATAAGAATCGGTACGTAACTTTGAGACTCAATAGTATTATAATTTTTTTATTTTGTTAGGATCAAACTGATGTGTTTTCTCTCTATTGAGGTTGAATCAAGAACGACATCGTGAGTAGAGGAAAGGATTAGAGGCCAAATCCGACAATAATTGGTACGTAATTTTCTTTCTTTTTGTTGGGATCATTAGTACACTTGTCATCAAAACATACAATAAGCACACAACTAATCTTATTACCCAATTAATAAGCACCCAATTAAAATAAATACACGACAACCACAAATGTAAACAAGCACATATTCCAAACAGATATGCAACCTTGAAGGCACAAGCCTCCAACAAAAAGCAATAATATAATTTGAATAAAAAATACAAAATTTTACTTCTACCGTATCTACCCCAAATGATAATCAAACATGTAACTAAAACAAAATTACATACATCAGGTACAACTACCCCAATAGATAAGACATGAACAATTATAAAAGATATACAATGTTTTGAGTATACTTGCCGTCAAAACATACAATACGAGCTTTCAAGGCACTCCAATTAATATACATTAAAATAAATACGCGTCACCACAAATATAAAAAACTACACATTCCAAACAAATACATGCCCCCAACAAAAAGCAAACACATAGTTCAAATAAAAATTCAAATATTTAATTTTACCATGTCTACTTGCAAATAATATCACATAATTAAAACAAAAATACAAACTTCCGGATAGAGCTACCCTCATTGGATAAGACATGCACAATCATAAAAGATGTACAATATTTTGATTACACTTAGCCCTTACCAAATCTTTTTACATGCTTTCAGGGACTCCAAGTAATAAATATACAATTATAATAAATACGCAATAACCACAAAAAATTCACAATAATAAAAGATAGATAGATAAGACATGCACAATCATATAAAGGTGTACAATATTTTAAAAGTACAGTTGCCCTCAAAACATACAACAAAAAAATAAATACACAACAACTACCATAAATATAAAAAATTCAAACAAATATGCAATCTAAAAAAAAATCACAATTAAAACAATATCAGACACATAATTAAAACAAAAATTAAAGTATTGCGTGAGTCTACCCCAACATATAAGGCATGTATACTCACAAAAGATGTGCAATGATTTACACACACTTAAAATAAATATGCAACAATAACCACAAATACAAAAAATTACATATCCAACCTTTAGGTCACATAGTCTAGCAAAAATACAAACTTTTATTGATATCAAACACGTAATTAAAGCAAAATCACAAATATTGGATACATATATCACACAATTAAAATAAATACGCAGAAATACAAATTCGAAACAAATGCACCCAACAAAAGCAACCACCATAGTCCAAAAAAAGACGACATGCATAATCATAAAAGATATACAATATTTTAGTACACTTTCCCTCAATACCATTATAACACAAATAATGTTCATTACATGCTACCGAACGCATACTAAGATATGTATATATATATATATATATACAAGCAATTAAAACATCTATAAGCATTTGGGGCACATTGGCCCTTAACAAATAATACACAGTGTGAGAACATGTAACATAAATTTGAAAATGTGTGACATCTAGTGCCGGATAGAAACTAGAATAAAATATAAAAAAAAAATATCGATAACCTATGCCAAACATGCAAAATAAAACAAAACAGTGTGGGAATCTACTATTTTTTTTACCAAAAAAATTTTATGCATATGCTCATATAATACAACGAAAAACCCACAAAGTACATTTTCAACATACTTAACGAAAAAGCGTGAGCATCTATTCGCCCACACACCCACAACAACAAAAAAAATTATAAAATTTTAATTAATCTTATTTATTTTTTCTGGGTGGATAAAAAACAATTTATTCATAGCTTTTGGCAATGATGGATGATCATGACATGTCTTTTTTTTTTTTTTTTTTTTTTGTTTCTTTTAATATTCTTGAAATACATATTATTGTAACAAGAAATAAATAAAAGGGGAGTAAAGAATTCCATAAACGGGAAAAAATGAAAAGGGTAATGTAGTAGTAGTAGTAGTGAATAGTGTGGTCACTAGACATACCACGTACGCACCCTCATCAAATTATTATTGCAATTATTGCAATAAAGTAAATGAAAATTTAGTAATGAATAATTTTAATTAATCCTAAAATTAAATTGTTTTATACTATAATAAATGGATATCTAACTTCTCTTATAGCTTGTGCACGAGACCAGACATGTGCTTTTGTAACATGAGGAATTTTTTTTTTTAATTTATAAAATTATTATTATATCCTTAATATTATATATTATTTTATCTGTATTTAATTATACATAAATTATATTATACGAATTTTATAGTTAAAAAGTAGTTATGATATTTTTAAATTATATAATGCAATTAAATTATAAAATAAATTTTATATAAATCAAATTAAATTATTTTTAATTTAATCATTCAATTAAACCGTCAAGAGTGAGATTTTAATTAACAAAATAAACTTATATCTCTATTATATTTATTTAACACTAAACGATATTTATCTTGTAATTTATTCTATTTAAATAAATTTATGTTAGAATGATTATTTTTTTATTAAATTATTCAATTTTCTTATATATAATTTTATTTTACTTTCTGTTTTATTTACCTTCGGTCACAATAACAAATCACACCTAATGATGGTAGATACGAAACCTGCATAAATATTACTTAATCAAAATATTTAATTCACACCAAAACTATCTTACAAATCCATAGTTGGAAATTTCAATTCAACCTTAAACTAGAATAAGAGTTTGGCCACTAAACATAATTAGAATCAAAAGCAAAGACGACAAATTTTACAGTCGTTCTTGTTCCAGCTGTCCGTGGGGTCCTCTTCTCTCCGAGATGAATTCCTTTTGATTTCTTGATTTTTATTGTTTAAACCGTGCACCCTCAAAATTAGTTTTGCAAATTTCTTATTTTTTTCCACAAAATTTTCTTTGGTGCAAATTTTCACAAATCTCTACGATCTTGCGAACAAATCATAGTGACCAAGTAAATACATCCCAAATGGAACACCGATGATTGAACTAGTAAAATCTATCATGAAAAATTATCCATTTCAAACAACATTAAACACTTGCATATATAGAGCTAATTAATGTTAGTAGCAGCTTTAATTCTTTTTGTCTTCCCATGAGATATGGTTACCAACTTGGAGATGCTTATTTGGGAATTTCTCTTGGTGAATTTCCTGTATTTGTTTAGCCGTTGTGCCAACACACGGACGACAATCTTCCACCTCTATCATCTTAAGGCTTTTGATGTTCCTGGAATCTCGCGCAATTTGTAACAGTGTCTGATAACCAGGCGCTCCAGTTTTGGGAAACGGCGAGAGTTGGCTCCCCACACCTCCATGTCCAAGTCTTCGGGGAGGCTGATTGCCAAGCAATGCAACGGACTACCGCTGGCGCTTGTGGTGATCGGAGGTATTCTTGTGGACTACACGTCGCAAGAAATGAGCGCAATCCGTGCGATGGCCCAGGACGCCGGGGTCCTCCCTCTCCAACTCGGTCGAGTCATTCCTGGCGGACGAATGCTATAGAGATCTGAAAAGGACTCGGTAACTAGTCTGAACAACGACGCTTCCCGCCCTTCGAACCGTTGCTACGTGGTATTCCCTTCTGCTTTGTAGTAGTAAAGGGGAAGATATGTCTCTCGAGCCTTTATTGTTTATTGAAGGAATAGGGTTTTGGTTTGGTCAAGAACGGTTGGTTCGCGAGAATCCTGGCTTCGTTGTAAAAGCCTATCCGGCTGAAAGGCTGAATCTTAGCTTAGTAAGACACCGCCTTTACTGACTCATCCATTCTCCTCTCGGATAATGTGAGCAATTACGTGAAAAACTACGACAAGGAGGATCGGATAGCGAAAACCGTGGCGTTGAGTTACAATAAGTGTCGGAAGAGCTGAAGAACTGTTTTCTTTACTTATTTATGTTAATATAATATAAATATAGGACATAAATTGATAGTACATGATATAATTTTATATAGTATATGCTATTATTAATTTCAATACAATAAATATATTCATATACTATAAAAAAAAAATGTATGTTGTCGTTATGTTTTATATTTTATGATTGAAGCAAATCAATACTACGTTGATTTTTTCCGGTCAACATTATAACCGTCGCCTAGGGAATAAGTAGTCAATGATAATTTTATTTTATGGATTGACTACTTACAAGTAGATATTTGAAACTACACTTACGACAATATCTCTAGTCTCATCTTACAAACATTTACGTAGCTAGGTAAATCTACAATACGTTCATAAGAATTATTACAAGTGCCCTCCCAGCTATTGATAAGTTAGAGGGCATGTACGGTGATTTCTAAATATTTGTTTGATCAAAACGGTTGAGATATTTTAAATATTTAGTTTTAAATTTAATAAATTTATATTTAGATTAGGTCTTATCTTATTTAGATTCAAATTTATCGAGTCTGTATATTATGCCTATTTATTTGCCTTTATAACAATGCGATTTTTGAGTCTTTAATATTAATTTTGTCACAAAAACTATTTACTTAACCGTCAATTTTATGGTTATGTGAAGGTGACTCTCAAACTCCCTAGACAAAACTCATATATGTCCATATGTGCCAGAGAAACTTTCAAGTGTGCACAAATTTAAATACAATAATTATTTGAAGCATTTATCGATGCTATCCTTAGCATTATATGATCTAAAAGCCTAAAATTTTTCCAAAATTTCACATCAACGACGGATCTAATATTGGTGTCAAAATCAAATTTCACTGTGTTAAAAGATGCGAGACTCTTCTTTCACCATGGATTCTTAAAATGGTCCGAAGAACTATCCAAACAAGATAATTAATTAGGGTTTGTTTGCCCCTAATTTTCTTTTTCCGACACGATTCATAATATATATTTTTTTTTTTACAAAAATCAATATTCAATATAAAATATTACTGCCTCACATTAAAGAAAAAAAAAAATTCAAAATCAAAACACTAAGTAAAAACCCCTTAGACTTTTAAGAAAGTGTACATATATAAAGCAAGAATACCAATATTGTGCTGCAACTTTTGTTAGCTTTATTATGCATAATATTTGTTACATTTTCCACAATGGAGTTTTAATTTGGGTAGTTCGAGTCGGTAGTTTAAAATTTCGGGTAATATTTTATATTATCCGACTTGACCTAAACATTTCAATTACCCGAAATATGTGGTACTCGACCTCTTCGAATTTGAATACCTAAATTTTCTTTTTTAGTTTTATTTTATTTTTTATGTTAAAAAGATAGTTTTACTATTTTTTAAATATAAATAAACTATTTCATGCATATAAATTTATAAGTGCTAAATTTTTAACTATAAATAATTCAAAAGTTATAAATATACAAAATAACATATAATGATGTACATCTATAATTATAAATTTAAAATTTCAATCGAGTTAAGTGTAAGCGTCTTGAACTTTTAGTATATCTTAATTATTTTAAATTAGAGAAATAATAAAAGATAATAATAATAATAATATTTAATAATATTAATAATATCATATTCAATCAATGTATATATATTATAAAAATATAAAATTAAATATAATATATATATTGTATTAAAAATCGTATAATCGAACTCCTATTTCAACTAATTACTATTATTAATAATAACCTATGTTAAAATAAAATTCCAAAACAAATTCGACTACCCGAACGGGTTTTGGGTGTAAACGTTTATACCCGATATCTTACCCTTTTTTTTTTTATCGAGTACCCAAAATTTTTATATATTTTCATAAAAAAACACCGACTCGATTAATCCAAATCCGATCTAGTGTCAGACCCTATCTACCCGACCCGAATGTCCATCCCTAATTTTAAGATAAGATTAAATATTTAAACTAAATTATTTTTTTATTTTTTTATTTTTAAAGATAAGATGTAATTTGATGCAAATATAAAATAGCCATATTGAAAATAGCTCTAAAATAATTACTAATTTTCAATATTTTATCACTTTTTTAAAAAAATAACAATTGTCAAATCTTGCCAATTTCAAAGGATTTTCGATTTATCCAAACAAATTTTTGATTTGATCAATTTTCTCAATTAATACTACTAATTACGAAAAGAAACTAATTGATGTCGACTATATATTTTTAAAATTTAAAATTCCTAATGGTTACATCAAATAAAAAAAAAAATTCTAAGTTGATCACTTTTCTTAATTAATACTACTAATTACCAAAACAAACTAACTAATAGCAATTTTAATTAAATAGCACCCACTTAGATCCAAATTTTAATATATATTTTACATAACTACATTAATAATTTGTTACTATTAAAAATCTAAATTTAGATTTAAATTTTTAGAGTTTTAATATGATTACAAATAATTACTCCAAATATAAAAATAATTTATGCTAAAATTAATTATCTATTTTATCAATAAAATATTAAATAAATAATTTGATTTAATATTTTTTTATATGAAAAATAATAATATAATTTTTATAAAGTAGTGTGTTTTAGTTATAAAAATTTGAAAAATTATTACCATAATTTGAAATATTATTACCATACTTAAACCAAACTTCATAACGGGAAGGAAGATTATTACCATACTTTTGAAGCACGAGAGAGAGAGAGACAGATGGAAATCGGAGAGAAGAGAAAGTCCAGAGACAAGAAGAGCGGAAATCGATCATGGAAGAGACTGTCTTCCGTCGTCTACGCCGGTCGTCTGCCGGCGGCCATAAGAAAGTCCGTCGTCCCTAGTCATCCGTTTTAGGTTTTCCATTTTAAATTCAATCTGCTTCTTGATTCGATTTTTTCATTTTTCTTTAATCGAATCGGTTCGATTTTACAAGTTTCTTCGTCTGATTGCAGAAGAAGATCGAGAGAAAGGAGAAAAACCAACGCTTTGCCCGGCCTTCGTTCGTTCTGCTCTGCCCACCGGACCCCTGTAAGTTGGGTTTTCTGTTAATCTTGGATTAGATTGGTCTGCTTTTGCAATTTCTTGTTTGGGGCTCATGGACTTTATATTTCCCCCTTCCAGGATATCAACTATGTCGATGCATTGTTATTTCACTTGCCATCCATTGATGTTTGAACCTTGCCGAGCTTAATATTTTATTTCCTTCCTATGTGAGGACTTTGAGCCTAGAGCAGTCAATATTTATATATTTTTTTTCATGTGTGATGTTAGATCTAAATTGGCATTCTAGAACTTGCCTCGAAATGCATGTTGAACACACATGAGGACCTGATATAAGTAAGATGACGGGGGCATTAGGTATACCTACTTGGCTTAAATTATCCTACCCAAAAATTTTATCCACTAGTTAACACTGTTGAGCCTTTTGAAAACCTTTTCATTCTTTAATTAATCATTAATCCTTTAGCCATATACCATTTTTTGGATTTATACCTTATATTGATCCTTGTGTCGAAGGAAGAGTGGAAGTTTTATGGCTATCATTTATATTCTTCTTGTATAAAATGTAGAGAGGGAAAGTATAGTGTTGTTGATGTTTACAAAAAAGAAAATAAAACATAGGGGCTAGACCCCAACAAAACAAAAAAAAAAAAAAAAAAAAAACAAAACAGAAAACAAAGTGCTGAAACAAAGCAGCACAAAAAAGAAAAAAGAAAACAAAAAAAAAAACAAAAATGAGTGGAGTTACGGTTACCAATGTAATGTTGATTTCAGTTCTTACAAGTGATATGCTTTAATTCTTTCCATTGTTGTTTCGACACTTTTAGCCGTTCATTATCTTTTTTCTACCTATACCCCGAGCCCCATTACACCTGTTTAAAGACCCCCTGATACTTGTCATTAGGTCCCTTAAGTGAGGGAGATATGATTGACATGCAAGCCTATGGGATTGTCATTTTTATGATTTAACTTGAGTGCATACACTAACCCATGGTGAGGTTTGTTGAGCTCAGCTTGGTTCACTCATTATTATTATCCATTTAGCTGTGATGCCGGGTGAACGATTGGAGTGCATTGTTCAAGGTAAGTTAACTATATTTTAATTGAAATACTTTCTACGAATATATATTTTTCATGTCTTTTATGCATTGCAACTTAGATAACCCCTTTATAAGTATGCATGGTTCTCATTTAATGTTTTCTTTTATAATGCAGTACCACAATGGAAATGCAGTGCCTACTCAAATAAATGAACAAAAAGACCGGAGAGAAAATAAATCAGAAAAAAAAAAAGAAATGAAACAAATGAAAAAAAAAACAAAAAAAAAAAAGAGAACAAAGAAAGAGAAAGAGAAAAAAAAAAAAAAAGTCAATCAAAGTGCAAATGTCGAACCTGTTGGTGCTGTGAAAGAAAACATGAAAACAAAGTAGGTATATATAAATTTGTTTAGTTTCACTAAATTCTATTAGTTGTTAGTTTTTTTGGTAATCACATATGGTTCTTTTACATCACAGGAAGCAAAGGAACTCATTAGGTCAAAACATCCTATGTCGGCCTTCATCTACTCACACAAGTGCCAAGCTGCGTTAATTGTAAAAAATAAAAACATTGTGGAGGTAATTTGGCTTGCTTTGTTTTCTAATTTCTACTTCTTTTAAGTGGGCTGATTTGGAGTTGACAAACTAACATTTTAATTGTCTAAAACCAGGTATTGAAGACCGTCGGCGAGGGTTGGACATGCAATACTTACCCAAAGAATGTTAAATAAATAAAAGAAGAAGAGAAAAAGAAATGAAACGAAAAATAAAGCCAATCCAAATGCTCACTTCATAGAGATGTCAAACTTGTTGGGGGCAAAATGGAAGACAATTAATGAAGTCGTGAAGGAAAACAAGAAAACTAAGTAAGTATACATTAATTTGTT